GTATAGTGGTATAGTGGTATAGTGGTATAGTGGTATAGTGGTATAGTGGTATTGTATAGTAGTCCCATCACCTCATACTGTACAAAAGCCTGAAAAAGGGGATACGAGACTGCATCTCCCAGTCACTGTCCGTAGTTGGAACTCGTAGTCGTGGGTCTCATTGTACCTCCGTGTTTCCTTTCATTCCCCTTCAGCAAAAAAGCCTTTTTGATGGTGAGATGCCGTGACCTTGACGCCTTGGGCCGTCCACCAACGTGTAGTGTTACATACAATTGCCGTTGCCTTTTTGCCTTTTTGCCTTTTTGACTTGCCCCCGTGATAGTGGTAGTGGTAGTGATGTCGATAGTGATAGTGAATCATTGATTAGTCCTTTTTAATATGATACGTAGACCTTTTGCCTTCATTCATTTCCAAAAGGGGGGGAATTATCCCTCCATGCCGTCCTTCTCGTACAAATACTGGGGTGGCGCTGTGCTGTGCTGTGCTGTGCTGTGGTATATGCTGCTCGCGTGTGCAGATAATAATAAAAGGGCATTCGTTTCTTCTCCATTCATGGCAGAGGGCTGGGACCCCTCATCTGCGTGGCGATGTAATCATCGTTGCTGATGATTGAGTCCCTATTCCTATAGTTATGCTCAATGACGCGATTCCGACCGTCTATTCGCATTGTGATGTCGGCTCGTGTGTCTTCCGAGCCCAATGTCCTGTGGTTGTTGAACTTGGTGGATATAGTCAGCGATGTCGGGAGACTTCGGTTGGGCCGTGGAGCGCCGGAGCCAAACTTTGCGCTGATCTCGCTCCAAAGTGCCTTGCACGCTGGGAGACTGGTTACGATGTAGATCAGTGTGTTCCAGAATCCTTGTAGAGGTAGTACCAGACTGGAGGCTAGGTCGAGTCCGAAGACTGTATTTTCTGGGTGAACCAATGTGTTGACTCGGTTGATTGTGGAAGGAACCCTGACATGACATGTCAGTGGGAAGTTTCGAAGGTGACTGAGACGTCTCGAGACGGCAGATACGTACCATGTACACAGCAACGCGAAGAAGAAGAGCAATGCCGTCTTGCAATAGCTCAATGTCGCCTTATTTGCATCGAGGACTCGGACTGGAGATCGTTGTACTACCACATTGGTATTTGGAGCAGGGTATGTTGCATCGGGAAGGGATGAGAATCTGGCATGGGCTGATGTGGGACTCTTCATGGCAGTTTCTTCGGTATATGTGGTGTTTCGTGGAGAGGTCAAAGTGGTCTTCCAGTCTGGTGAGTGTGCAACTTGACTCGTGATGGTGACTTCGTATCGGGCGGCTTGAGACATGGGAGCAGGAGAGGGTAGATCTTTCATGGCAAAGCCCCGGAGTGCACCACCGGACGCGGACTTGGGTCCACTCTGATCCAGCGACAGGAGCTGTTTACGCCAGCGGAAAACCACCATGCCTACCCGAATATAGATGAATATGGTTGTGAGAATGACAATCCAGACCGGACCATAGAACACCGCTATTCTCAAGACATTCCATTCGGGAGAGATCCAGCACCATAGCTACAGCGATATTAGCAGAAGACAATATGTAGATAGAGAAGGGGGAAAGGAAACTTACAACTGCAGACCCAAAGACCTTGCCTCGGGATGGAGAGCTGACGAATAGGAAGACAATGGCTGGAATGAAAGGGACACCATAACATGCTCCCAGATACTTCCATTCAAGGCCTTTGAGTTGTGCTGAGTCATATTGGCGAAAGAATGATAGGTAGACATTGCAAGCCATGGCGAACGTCCACAACGCGTCGGCGGGCAGAAACCTGTGGTACATGTTAGAACGCGTCGCCGTCAACAACGGATAAAGGAGAGGAGCAGTACCATTGAATGAGAAAGGCCTGGAATTGACATAACGGGGACGTCACTCCCAGGTTGACACCCGATCTTGATATAAGCGTACCGACATTGGCGAAGAGATTCCCCCATGCCGCATAAAAGACTAGTCTGTTGATGGGCTTCCTGAACCTGCTGTCCAGCAAGAAGGTCCCGATGATGAAGGAAGCACCCACAACAGAGAGGATGGAGGTGACTTTCTCAGCCACCTCCAAGGTCAGAGCCTGAGAGTCCGTTATCGACATGACGACAGTGGGTAGCGCAGTCCCACCGTGCGTGCATACCGAAGTTCAGGTAAGGGGAAGGTTCAAGAAATGTCAAGAGATGCAATTCTGTGGGGGAGGGTCATGTCTTTTGTGCTCAGCATGTCCTCGTGGTAGCGACTTGCGAAGACTCGGCCTGATGCTAACGCAGGAAGGATAGCCTTGCTCCCTCGCGACCGTCATTAGGGGTTACACTTTAGTCAATAGACAGGGGTTGTCGGCCGTCGATGCGACGGCGAGCAAAGTCGCTAGCTAGTTACTGTCCCCCAGTCGAGTCCACCAACATGAGTCCATCTCTCAGCCTCGGCGGCGGGGGCACGGCGCATGAACGGAAAGTGGCTCTCTCGTCGAGGTACCAAATCTGGGGCAAAAAAATCCCCCAGCAGAGATGCTGCTGGTGAGTGGTGGTGGTTAATTGCCCAGGCTAGAATGGACCGGGGATGAGCCATCCGGCTGAAATCGCATGCACAGGAGAAGAGGCGGGCCCCATACGGAGTACTATCCTACAGAATGAATTGAAATGCCCCCGGTCTCTTCGTAGGTTGAAGAATAATAAAAACACCGAGACGGTTAGATTCGAAGATTGAGGGTGGATAATGTGGATCCATTCGGGGAAACGACTAGCAGGGACTCTAGTTCATTCGATAAAAGTGGTTCGACTCAAAGGTTCCATTGACCCTTAAGAGGGTTTGTACTCCGTTCGGGAGTATTTGTATTAAACAGAAGTCGTTGAGCCAAGCGGTCGTGGAGAGACCGATTCAGGAAGTGGGCAGAGTCACTAAGCTCAGTGCTACAGGCTTCACTGGGAGAGCCGGGGGGGGGGGGGGGGGTTATTACCTGCTGGGGATGGTCACGGTGGATCAGATACACGACAGTCTAACGTTTGGATGATATCACCCAGTTCGACCGATCAACACAAGAGATACTGTTCCTGTAGTGACTAGACAATGCCGCCCAGCAAGACCATACCCCTCCATCACAATCAACCCCAAGGTTGTAGTGTGTATCTTGCTTCGAATACGAGCGGTTCGTACCGCGGCCGGCAACCAAAAAGCAAAGAGCACTTGCTCAAAGTGTAGAATTCCACACGAGCACGAAGCACGAGTCAAGAAGGCAGGCGGCGCACGATGGCGCTCTCTTCTAGAAGACAAAGTCTGGCGCGGAAGCGCTGAGCCCACGGCGGAGGGAATCGGTGTGTTTCGATGCCATGAACAATAGGTTTCTGACACCGAGGGACTTACGCGAGGCCTTCCTCACATGAGGAGCATTGACATGGGATTCTCGAAGCTACTGCAGGCACCCCCAGGAACCAAATGCAGCCGAAGCAGTGTTTGCATCACGCCAGAAGCAACGGTTGTGTGTCTCAGCCAGCCTGCGACGCCTCTTGCTACGGGGTATGGAGTAGTGGGATACAATGTACGGAGTATCTGGTTAACGCATGATTGCTCATCACTACGACCTCTGTACGCAGTACTGCTGCTTGTCAGGAACCTCGTATTCTGACGGAGATACATGCCAATGTTGGTGTGAGCCTACCAAGGACTCCGTACTGAGCCCGTGCTTGAGAGGCTTTCTGCTATGTTGCCGAAGGGCCGCTAAATCATCGGGGCGTCGTCTTTTTCTTCGAAAGAATCGGGGTTGGGCTGAACCTTCGTCCAGCAAACAACCAAGGGAGGGCCCATTCAGAATTGGCACTCTTGAGTCTTGAGTCTTGGGTCTTGGGTCATGATTCCGAGGACCAGGAAACATCCACGGCTTTGGTCAAGCCTTTACAGAGGATGAGGACCAGCGCATCCGGGACATACCCATCTGGACTGACCCATGTGCGACATGCTTAACGGGAATGATTACATCCCATCGATCTACAATGCTAGCTCAGGCAAGTAGCAATATGGGGGCTTATGGCAGATCCATACTGCATCGATGGACGAAAGAATTCCACTAGACCCAACGGGCAATGACGGGCAGGGCGGGTCTTCTGTACTCCCTGATATGCTATTCAGCCTTGAAACCAACCTCGAATATCGCCCGAGCACCGAGCACAATTCTTCATATTTCCACGCCTCTCGATCGAGTCCCCGCTGAACTGGACTGTCCATCCCCAACACAGCAGTTGTATCCTCCAAGGACCGGGACTGGGCATTTTGCTCGAATACGAGTCCAAGAAGTCGTCATTTACGTGAAAATCGATCAAGGTACAGGAGCACAGAGCGAGAGGCGAGATTGAAGGGAAAACCAAGGTCCCTAGCACCCCTCAGGACGTTTGCTACTCTGCTTACGGAGTAGTGGGTTGGATTCGGTAGCAATTACGGCTCCTCGTTACGACGGCCGTGCCCGACCCGGAGTAGTGGGAGCGGGAAGTGCGGGACGACCTGCGAGGGAGCATCAGGTCAGAAGGCGAGGAAGGCGAGAGAGCGGCACGAGGTGTACCCAGGTACTTCGTTACAAGGGAGGCAGATGTGCCTCGTACTACTGAACGGAGTATTACCGTCGGACACCCGTCTCGTGTTTGTAGAACCCTCAACTCTTCGTTGCGTTTGATGATCACCGATATTCGACCTCGTGACTTGTGGTTTGATCAATGACCAAATGTACGGCCTGACGGCAGCAAGCTTGGGGCAGGGTTACTCCCTATTTGTGACCAAAGCTGTGCAAGCATGGCCAGGTACTGCAGCCTTCTACACCCCCTGAGGGCCCAGAATACTTAGTGGGTGGGACATGGGTTGACTTACTACTAGACAGTACCCCGTCCATTATTATTGCAGATTTTCTCAATGGAAGAGGCGGATGGTGGTCCCGGGGAGGAGCAGCAGGACGGAGCCCTCTGGGAGATGGAGTCTGCCTGATCAGCAGCTATTCGGTAGAAATCAGTCGTGATTGGACGGACGACTTGATACTAGTCAAGGGCCTAGATAGATGGTTTCAAACTCCATACCAGTACACATACAGAGAACAGGGTACGGGACGCCGCACGTACTCGTAGTATCCGTACACGGTGCTACGTAAGTACCAATTAGCCGGACGCCGTGCGCAAGTGGTACATCCTCCCAGGGCTGGCTGAGGCAACACTTCTTCATGATGAGACAAACCACAACCGACTACCAGGTATGATGTATAAGCCCTACTTGTGCTCCGTAGGCTAGTGATAGTGGTAAGATGAAGCCGTTGGAAGCTGGTTACCAACATACCATCCTGACTCCGTCTACTCACTATGATACACATCTAGGGCTGGTATCAGGCTTCGACAAGACGACGAGGTACGTAGTGCCACTAGATAGAAGAATACAACTTTCCGAAACCGAGAAAAAGGCGTGCATTTACAATAATTTCTGAGCATGGCTTCTAACTGTATGCATACCCACAAAACCACTCGATGGTCTTGCTGTATTGTAAATCACGTGGACAAGGGACTGACTACTTCTGCAATATCCCACCAGTCCGAACCAGTCATTCGTACGGAGTACCGGTGGAAGCAACTATGAAATCTACTCCAAACGGCTCGAACCTGCATGCAGTATCCATAGTATCTTTCTGTTCAGGTTCAATCGCCCCCGGCGCTTGATCTGCGCCCTTCATGCCAGGTCTTTGTAAGTCGAATCCTACTTCCTTCACCTGCGCACGAATTCGAGGTGAGGTTGCCTAGGCAAAGAGAGTGAAACTCACTACGGAGTGCTTCTGGCGAAAAAAGTCGCCAATGTCTAGTGTAGTGTTTAGGCTGCATAACTCATGCAGACAGAAGTTCCTTGAGCCCCGTACTAGTATTTAAAGAAATATGACAGGTGAGTGTCATTCGCAGTAGGGATCCCCATGTACAAGTTCATCTCTCTCAGCGGCCATCTTGGCGGCCAACTGCAGTGCGGTTTTCTTCCGCAAAGAGAATTGAAACCATGGACGCCGCAGACTGTACAGATGTTTGCTTCATCCCTTCCCGAGGTTGGCAATCGGCGATCGTGACTCGTGACCGTTGAGGATTGTACTGTGTAACCATGTGTTCTGCTTGTGTTCCATCTCAGAAATGAGTTCACTGTGACATGAGTTCGCTGTCCTGACCATCAATCCCAAACGCCGCTCGCTAAAATAGGCAAAATATTGATGCGACTCAATGGCGCCACCAATTAAATTCCTTGTAGGCAACTCCCAATTCAGCTTTTGACGGCGCTCGGTTTGCTGTTATATTTTGGCATCTTCTCGTAAGCATTGGGACTAGGCTTCCGCTTGGCCTTGTTGTGATTGCAGTCATCTCCATGTTTATGTCCGCGGTCTGATTTTCTGCCTCTCCGATTGCCACTCATTCTGGCGCCACCGTCGTCTGCGCTGTCGCTACCACCACCGTCGCTGTCACTGGAATCATCACTTGAGCTGTCATCCTCACTCGAGCTCTCTCCAAATTGTCTTTCCTTGTGGTATATGCAACACACTTTGCTTGATTTTCGGCCAAGGCCTTCGTTATCAATCACGTCCTCTGCCCAGGTGATCCGTCGTCGAAGTCTTGTAGTGCCTGTTTCCGAGACTTCATGTGCTCCTCGGAGGCGGAGAATAAGTGGCTCTGGAGAGGCAGATCGAGAAGAGGAGGGATCAGCAGGGGTTATGGTATGTGTAGCAGACCCGGTAGGTTGACGTGCAGAAGGTGCAAGCCTCTGGTTGTTCGTGTTTCTTGACACATTAGGTCGTGAAGGGTCCTGAGGGTTGCTCATGACGGCAGAGAGCCGATCTGCCCGGTAACAAAGGCGTGGTTGGAGAAGAGGAAGAGAGCAATTGAGCTTCTTCTAAGGGAGAAAAGAAAGTAACGGGGGCCGCCGGTGGGAATCGAAGGGTGTAGTGATGGATAGAACGAGCGGCTGAATAAAGCGATGGGCGAGGAGATCTGACAAGGATAGGGTTGGAGAGGATGTGAGCCTGTATATCTAGAATGGTCGAGATGTCTCCTTGTGTGTTAATTGAGTGCTTGCCCGCTATGCACAGCCGAACACGAGGCTCGTAGATTTGAGGGTGTGGATGTTGAATGGTTACGTGATGGTGAGGAAGGGCACGGGCAGCAAAAGTGGTCAGCGGCACAGCTGAAGGATCAGGTGACTGAGGTCACAGGATCTCGGCGAATATGCGACGGGGGAAGGTTAGGCGAGGGCCCTGGCAGACGCGTACTCGTACGCCCAGACGACGTCCATCTATCTGCCATCGCCGTCCAAGCGCTGGCACGGACCGCACACCTGCAACCTCCTTCTTACGAGTACACATGCAGGAGATCGAATTGGTCTTAAGAATCCATGGATTTCTCCCTATCTAGGAAGGTCCAGGATCTTCGCTAATGTTGTTTGCCCCACGTGGTGTTAACTTTCGTCGCCATGCTTCCGAGCATGGCGCGTGCCCAAAAAGTCCAGGCTTGAGATGTCTTGAGATGCCTTTTCAGCTGAGCTTGCGATCTCCAAGACTGGCGTCCTTCCCCCTGCCTCAACCTCAACCTCATGCTTAAGATGCTATTCTACTTCCCTTCCAAGGAGTGCAGACCAGCCAGCTGACCTCTTGCTGAGGCCAGGGCTAAGCCTGGCTTTCAGCCCACGCAGACCAGCCAGTGAATCCTCTTCTTAATGGTAATGCCGGATCGTCCGTTGAACGCCAGCTTAATCTGGTTCGTTGCAACGTCGTGACCCAAGGCTTCTTTCTGGGAAGATCAAGTCAGCTGTCACCCTTCAGTGTTTGGGAAAAAGAACTCACTAGGGTCGGGAGGAGAACAATCTGTTTCTTTTCGCACCGGCAAGTTGGGTGGAATATCGCGTTCACTATTGCTGGCTCGATTTCGACCAGCAATTCTGGGCCGGTACTGGCTTTCAAAGCTAGGAGCGCGAAAAGCAACGTCGCTATTGATGAATCTACGACGTGCTCATAATCGAAGTTGCTGACCTTGTTCTGAATCTCGGTAATGTATTGACAAGTGCGCTGGAGAATGTCATACACCCTTGTACTTCTCAGTTCCAGGACCAATCTCGGCCATGTTCTCGGTGCCTTGTCGGTAAGCGCCGCCCCAAGTTTTTCAAACCGCGGCTTTTTCTTGATGATTTTCTTTTCAACTTTTGTTATATCTTTAGACCACCTCCTGGTTGTGGAATTAGGCAAAGAGTATTTTCTTTTGAAATCCAGAAATTGCAGGGCGTCAGCGCCGATCAAGTGGCCTGGGGTCATTGGGTGTTGGAAGTTTGGGTTTGCATTGATCTCGGCGACACTCTTGTTGTGGAACTGCTTGAGACGACGCTTGACGCCCGTGGCGGAGTTATACATATGAAAGCACGATGGGCAGCAGTGTTTGCGGCGTCGAAGACCCGACAGAGTTTCTTGTTGGGATGAGCACCTGGATTCCCAATGAGTGAGACGACTTGCCCGGAGTTGCATATTGACCACTTTGTCTACTCCCCGCGTTACTTGTTATCAAGGAGGGAGCGATCTCTGGCCAGGGACCTGGGAAAGAAGGGAGCTTCGAACCAAGGTGTCCTTGCGCTGGAGGGCTGGGAGGAGCCTCTTGGGCATAGAGAAGCGTTTGGTATCTGGAAGGCTTTGAGGCCAAATGATGAAATTCAAGACCGCGGCCTTGCGCGGACTGCATGTCGTCCAGAAAAGTCAAGCGGGTCCAGCGACGATGTCATGGCAGCCAAACGTCGCTCTAAAGTCATTCTGGAACTGTGTTGCTTGCAACAGTCTACCCGCCTTGACAAGCATTCTGCGATCATCCTGTAAGGTCAAACAATGCTCCCCCCCTTTTGGAATACCTCACGGACTAACGTCGAAAACGGCTTTCAGAAGAATAAAGGGGAGACTGATGAGGCACATATCGCAGTCCGCTTTTCCTGCTCTCCTCTGCGCTCTACACTTGGAAGCTGCCAGACCAAGAACACTGCTCGCCGCAGGAGCTGCAGGCTAGTGCTGGCGGGTTCCGATTGATGTATAGCGTAGTATAGTCCAGCATACCTTGGCTTGTGCCTGATACCCTTCTCAGTCTCAAGCAAGCTCCAGATTTCGATGACTCACGTGTTTCAAAAACAACGGAAAACAAGATCATTTGAAAGGAGTACTAGTCTCCCGTTTAGCTCGATAATGGAGTTGTCTCGGTCACTTTCTTTCCTACAACATCCCACACATCTCTCAAAACTCTCCTTTTTGGCTCTCTAGCTCGCTCGCTCATGCAACATACTCTATCAATCAATATTGCCCAATGTCTTTCTTTCCAGGCAGGCTGAACTGTGCTTTTGTGGTATATTGTGAGAATAAACCATTGGAAAAACTAAAGGAGAAGGAGAGATATGCTCCATCGTCCGCTGCTTGATTCGTCGTGTCTCTCGTTGGACTTGCGTTTGCACATTTTTCATTTCCTAGTCGCCTCCAAGACCTTTTGCGCCTCACTCAGCCTTGTCTTTCCCCTCCTCCAATGACGACTCTCGGGTGTGCAATGCAGCCCTCCATCCAACAGATTAGCACTTGTAGAATACCCAACCGTCCTCGAAGGCGGCTCCCGGAGAAGGTCGCTCCATAGCGTAGTGTTCCACAGAAGGCTCACTAGCACTGGCCTCAGGTTCCGCTCTAGCAGCTAAGGTCGCGAACTCAGTTCGGAGTTCCTCTTCGAGTCACAGCTCATCATCTTGATCCAGATCTGCAGGCTTGATGAGACCTCCAACTTTCATATTTCGCTCGCGCTCTGCATCAGCGAGATCCTTCTTCTCCTGTTCTCTTTCCTCTGCAAACAGCTCGGCGTTGTCTCCAGCAAACTCTTTGAGCGAGATCAGGAAGTCTCGAAGATGAGTCTTGAATTTAGTGGGATCCTCGTTCAACGCGAATAGGCCATTAACAAAGTGCTGAATCTGGATTTCTTTGAGATTGGAAAACGCATTGTGTAGAAGATTGGCTGTAAATTCGCTCACGAATTGTTTGTTCGAAGTCCCAGGGGCGGCTTGATCGGGCTGATACAGTGGTTGAGAGATCTTGTTCGCTTCAACAAGCTGGAACATGCGAGCTAGAAGCATGCATTGTGATTTGAAACCGGCCTTGTGGTCAGAATCGGTAAGGACAAAGAAGACATCCTGGAGGATTGAGATGTAAAACTGTTGGAAGAAAACTCCAGCAGTCTGAGGATCGGTTTCGGCCATGTTGTTGATGAGTTCAAGGCACATCGAAAGACCGGTGTTTTCAACCTCCCGGTTGTCGTGCTTGCTGGCCCACATGCAAGAATCAATCACAAACTTGAACTGTCGTCCGTCTAGTTTGAGTAATGCTGGGAAGCAGAATAGGTTAATAGCCTGCAAAAGCTTGAAGAACTCGACACGGAACTCGGGATAATCATGGAAGTCCTTGTTAATCATCTCAAGCGTGCATTCGAAGATACTATCCATGATTGGAGAAATCTTATCGTCCATAAGATTCTATAAAAGGTTAGCAAGGCCGCTTTGGCTAGTAGAACAGTCCCTGACCAGATGGCGAGACCTTCTTGGGGTCCAACGTACATGTAGTTTGTGAATGATCGTGGTAGTCACACTCAGGACTTCAGCATCTCGAGCGTCGGGTACGTTGCGTTGGTAGTCGAGCAAGATAGCATCCAAGAGTGGCGGTACCATGCTGTCGTTGACCATTTGCAGGTCATCTGCTTTCTGCACATAGATGTCGACAAGCTTGAGGATTTCTTTTTTGATAGTTCGCAGGCCGCGGACTTTAGGAGTCTTCGTAGCAACATTCCCTGTATATTATTAGTAAAAGCGAGAGAAAAGATAACCTTGGCTCACCTCCAGAGACCACAGAGTCCGATATCAGTTGACTGGATGCACGGTACATATTGAGCATGTCGAGATAAATACGTCCAATCTGAGAATAGAAGTAACTCCCAATTGACGAGCAAGCAGCAACGTTTGTCTTCATGATGTTACCAACAACTTTTATGGTATCTGCATCTTGAAGGATGGCTGGGTCGTTGTTGGCCTGCGCAATGACGTTGTCCCACGCCTGATTGGGAAGTGACATGAGGTTATCGATGAGTCGGTCCTGTACACTCTTCTGGCCCTGCGCAGATATCATGTAGCCACAAGCCTCGTAAAAAGTGTGGACCTGCTGAGGGGTAAGATCACAGGTGATCTTCCGCATATTGCGTACAATCTCGTCAATGAATGGTTCGGTCTCCCCCGGTTGCAGTGCCACGAAATGACGCTTGCACTTGTTCGCAATCTTGATGAAAGTATCACATGCCATGTCCTGGACACCCTCATGTGTTTCGTGCATGAACTCAAAAAGTTTGTTGACGACGGTTTTCAAGAATTTCCAATGGGCCTTCAGGAAGCGAGGATACTGGCCCACGATGTACATGATGTTACTGGCCACGACCGCCTTGTTGTCCTTACCACGCTTCATCTCCGTCAATCCAAGGAGATCCTTGATCACCGTCACTAGGAAACGTTTTTCGGTGTCCTCGTTCATTGCGCCAGATATCGAGCCAATGGCCCAGCATAGGGTATTGCAATTATTCCACGACCACTCGCTCCCATCTACCTGTCGCTGCAACTTTTCGGACATGATGTTCTCTGTATCAACGACATCCAAGTGAGTCAAATACACCAAGCACTCACGGGTGGTTTTGTATAGTTGAATGGTATCGCTCTCTTTGACAAATTCTCGTACAATCTCGCCCTCATCGTTCTCGACAATAAGAACTTCTTCTGGTCGGACCATCTTTTCAACCATGACCTGTCTGAGGCTTGACAGAACCTGTTGATACTTGTGCTTGCGGAGAGGGTAATTCGCGAGGGTACTTGGATGAGGGGCTCCTCCATTGGCTAGGCCTGAGACACCCATGTTGACCAAGGGATTGAGTTCGGTGATGGGCAGCTGCTGCATCTCCTCGTAGAGTTCTTGGACAAGCTTCGTCCAGTACTCGAGACAGATCTTGAATATCTCTCGGTCGTCGATCAAACTGATCTTGATGAGATAGAAATGGCCATGCAAGAGATAGTCCGCGTTCGGTAGTCTCTCGATGGTTTGGAGATGGACGGAGAAATAGTTGCAGAGGAAGATGGCGAGGTTGAGAATGTATTCCTGTTCCCTCGGCCCGGCTTTTGCATAAGCCTCGCGAAAATCAGTGTCTAGAGGTAATGTGCGGGCGACAACGGTCAATGTCTCGGTGAACATCTGGACGAGCTTATCATCATACTGATATTGCTGGCCGAGTTGCAAACCGCCGATTTCGGTGAGGCATTTGAGGGCGATATTGCGGAATTGGTCGACCTCGAGAAATCGAGAGACAAGGGTGTCAATGAGCTTAGTCTCAAAGATGAAACCAAGAGGAATCCAGTTCAGAAAACGAAGCAGAGTGTCCAAAGTAGCCTTGACGAGAGTGATTGAGTTTGCAGTGGTAAGGACTTCATTACACAGCTGGAAAATGGAGGAGAACTCGGCGCACATGGTTGTCTTAAGGTTCTTAGCCTTGGTGGAGGTCATTTGATCTTGGGAGAAATCAAACACCTCCTCAGACAGCAAGCGCAGAATAGTCATGTTGTTCTCGCAGACTGATAGACCAGTGTGGCAAGCCGAAATGATTTCGTTGATGAAGGTGGGCCAGTTGTGCGGCCATTCTTGCTTGAGGATAGTGACGAGGGTCAGATCGAGCTTGTTGATGAACAGTTTGTTGGTCTTGAGGGCCTCCTCGGTCTCAGAAGAAGAGAGAATCTGGCCAACGACGAAGTTTCGAATGCCCAGGCACTGATCTCGTGGCAGGACTTTCCATCGGGTGTTGACAACGTCGTCTAAAACTTGCAGACCAAGATACTTTGTTGGCATGTAAGAAGCCTCTTGCAGAATCTTGTCCACCATCAACCATGCGTCAGGATTGGACTTGAATTCATTGAGTTTTTGCTGAGCCTGTTTCTGGAGATCGCCCTTGCCTTCTTGGAAAGCCCTGACGGTGGCGTCAAGCTCAGCGACGGTGACGGACATGACTGGATGGAGGTGCAAGAAAGCGGACGCTCAGAGAGCGAGTGAAAGCACGGTTTGTGTGCCAGTGAGGGCGGGGTGGTGCGAATCGAGGCTGGGATTGATATGCGGGCGCGCGATAAATGAGCCGAGGGGGACTTAAGTTGGAGAGGGCTGCGAGGTGGATGAGACGCGAGAAACGCAGAGAAATGAGGCTGTTTGCGATTCAAATGGCAAGGGTTGGTGTTGATTACAGGATGAAGTTCAGAAGGCGAAGAAGATGGTGGTGGGTGATAGATAATTATGAATGGAATGGAATGAAATGAATGAATGAATGCACTGCAGGCACAGTGCAGTTGCAGGTGAGGGTGAGTGAAGTGCATGCAATTCCGGTGCTGAAGTCTGCACCACAAACTCCAATCTGGCAGTCACACGCAACGCACGCAACGCACGCGTTGGTGGGATTAAGGCAGGCGCGATCTGCTTCAATACCGCACCACAGAGCGTGAGGCTCTTACTTTCCACCGTCACTAATTATGGCTTGTCTTGTTTTCTATCCTGACTTTGTTCAACTGTACATTATGGATGGTCCAAGGTCCGTCTGTATCCTCCAGGGACAGAGTAGTACAGCGTATGCGTCGTCATGTATCATGGAATGGATAGTACCGCGATACACACCACCCACCGCCCCGCCCAGGCTGCCGCAGCCCAACCTTCGCCTTTCTGACTAATGTACTTTTCACCTTACAACTTGGTGACTACCAATAGGGATAGAGGTCATCAATTGGGCATCCAGGCTGCAAAATCCCGTGATTTCTCTACGGTCGACGTGTCTCGAAGCAATGAAAGAAGGATTTGAAAGGAAATATTCTTTGAATAAGTGACTCTGAAAATATTACCAATGCCAGCTATCTAGGTACCTCAACCTTTCATTGCCGTGGTACTTGGTTTATCTGGTATCAAGATCATGTAAAACAAAATGTATACTTGAACGTCAATTGACTTCGCGTCTTTTTCTGTTTCTGGTTTTTTTTATAAATTTTTTTGGATTTGGCTCTTCAGTCACTGGTTCCAACCCCAGTGGTGTGCTCGGAAGTTTTCAGGTCGCGCTCTTCGCTTGCTTTGCGATACTGATGGTACGCTGCAGCCATTTCCTCCTTGGACTGAATGCCATTCTTCTCGGTGATCAAATCCTTCAACCATTTATTCTCCATCTCAAGCTGAGTAATTCGGGACTCGAGTTTGTTGTTCTTGTCTTGAACTTCACGAACCGTTGTCTCTAGCGCCTGTTCTCTCTGCTTCTTCTTCACTCGGAAGCGTGCACTGGCAGCAGTATTTCGACGCCGCTTGTCCTCCTCCGCAGCTACACGTGACTTTTCTTCACCATTCAGTTGCGTGACCTCGATGTTGTCCGTCTTCCGCCCGGCGGCGGATGCTGAAGGTGAGGGTCGAGTTTCAAGGCTGCCAAAGCCTGTCGCCGGGGCAGGTTGGATGGGCGTGTTATATGTGTTATAGAATGCAGCAGATTCAGGTAGAGATGTCTCGACATTGTGAGGTGAATAAGTGGGAATGGCATCTGAGCCGGTCAAAAGGTCTTCATACTTGATATTGTGGTTGTTCTTCGGATCGTTCATTTCGAAGTTATATGTGCCGTCTTCTGGAAGGGAAGGGATATCGAAGTGTGTGAAATCGGTATTCGTAAACATAGCCAGGTCTTGACTGAGGTCCAGGTCCTCGCTCTGGAATTGCTCCTGCTCGTAGGGCGAAGTCAGGCTGTTCAGGCTGTTGAGGTATTCCGAAAAATTCGGCCCCGTACGGCCGCGGTAACTTGACATGATCCTTCTCAAAACCACCGGCAGACAGAACTAAATCTGTCCCGACCGTCGTCCGTGAGATTCACTGGTGGCTACCCAAGCTCACCGGGAACAATAAGTTGGTTGCTCACTCGAGGTGGGTGATGACAAAGCAGCGGGTGTACGAATCAGAGAAGGCCAGAGTCGAAGTCGCAACTCGGATGGCGACAGCGACGACGAGTATTCGAGCGCCAGTTTCAGAGAATGAGGCCGCCGTTTGTGGTAGGCAGATACGACAATGTTACAGGAGGAGGGAGTAAGAGGAAGAGGGGAGAATGTGCATGAGAAGAATTGGTACTTGCAAATTGCGTGGGACAAACCTTAGGCGGGGCTTAAGGGCGCAGGGAAGTAAGCCCTCGGGTCCCTGGCATTACTCGCAATTATTGATGGGGGCAAAGCACTGCAGATGGCATATGCCGCCGCTCGGGAAGTGTGGGATGGTCAACCCTCACCTTCCGCATCTTCGAACTTGTTTCAGGAATTGCAAAGGGAGGAGCCACCCATAGGGTGATAGCGGCTTGGCACCGGTTCGTCCGAGATCCCACCGGGCGTTCTGCTTCGGTTGGGGGAATAATACCGTAGCTTAATAGTAGCGACCGGAAACACAGCCAGGTATCACGAGTTCCGCTACACATCTGTGATCACGTCCTTTCCAACCAAAAGTAAATTTCACCTCGTGGATAGTGACATGCATGCATCCATTCATCCCTCGAGGTACAGGCACATACCTAGGTGCGGTATTACACCCGGACGGCATCATGTTGGATGTTCTATGACGCCTCAACTGAGTGATGACGTGCAGCGACAGATACGACAGGGTTGAAGACTAACGAATGATGACGGATCATTGATTCATCAGCGAATACGCACGCAATACTGACGCCCACCAGCATGGCTTTGTGCGGTGTTGCTGGGCCCTCTGACGGAGAAATTACCCAAGCTCGACTGAGGCGACGGAACAGCAACGGGTCTTTCATTATTGTTACCTTTGGTCCTCGGTATCGGCATTGAGCTAAGCTACTCGTACTACCACCAACACTTACGAGTACTACGAATGACTGCCACCACTCTTCTCCCAGCTTTTAACAGACTCGGACCTCGCCAATAATATAATAACAGCCTTCTGCAACGGCCACGGAGAATGAGCTGAGCTTGAGGGAAAATACGCCCTTGTCCGCTTTTCGGCCCTCGCCAATGAATTTAGTGTGGGGATCCTAGGCTGACGCTCTCGGCTTCTTCTCTCTTCAGTCTGCACCCAGCTCAACACTACTACGAGGCACTGCTACTAGCCAGATCCCCATGCCTTCACGTCTGGCTTCATTCTGATTCTCATGCTTATCCCCTGAGCGTGACCGTAGCTGTGTCGGTTTCCTGGCTGGGAAGTGACTTGTGTAAATGCTCCCGAGAACTTAGTCCCATGCCGGTTTCGGATCCTTGATGCGGCTGTTGAGTCACCACTCGTACGAGTATGTACGGAGTACTGGACCTAGCCTGAGTGAGGGGCAAAGTCCCATTAGTAATCATGAAAAGTTCTGACTTTGGGCTGTGATCGAATGAGGTAAGATCACGTGCGGCTTAGGATCATGACTCGAGTTGAGTCCTATTCTAGCCGCCCTTGAATCAGTTTGTTTACCTTCACGAGGACGATCCTTAATCCAACGGAGCCGCATCCTTGCGTAAACATTTCCAACCCATCCTTACCAATGGCCGCCAGAGCACTGAACCGACTTTCTCGAGAGTCTATTCTCAACTTGGTACGGATATGGCTTCACGACACGCACTGTTCGCCATACCTCGTCCAAAACCGCAATTTCCTCGAGGCTGATGAAGAGGACTACTTCCATTCCCCAGCCGAGAATGTCGAGGCTTTGCGCGCAATCTACAGAAACCTGAAGAAAACCACCAACTCTTGCACCAAAAAGGATGTTATTGATCGAATTATTGACGGCGATTGGCGGAGAGGCTTGTCCTTGCATCAACATGCTATGATCGATATGGCATATCTAGAGCAAGCCGATACCGCTCTTCGATGGAGCGCGCTGCGTCTCGTCCCTCTAGATCCCGACGAATTGAAAGAGGAGGAGCCAAAAGAACTGCAAGCTAGACGAAAGAGACGGAAGTTGAATGACCTCGACCCTGATCGCAAATATCCGCAGGTTTCTCCGCCTGCGTTCCTCGCTGCGCTCAAGGCTGAGATCTCCCCCCTCGTCAAAGCGCATTATCACTTGCATCGGCTGCCTGCACCTTACAATATGTCGGTCGTAAGATTGTACATAAACTCCTTGTCCACCTTTCGACCATGTCCATCTCAGATACCCCGACGTGCCAAACATGCTACCAACACCGCGAGAGTCATGTACATTGCACTTCCAGAGAGCTGTCCGTACATATATGTTTCTTTGTCTGGATCCACAGGTTCAGGTTTGCGATCAAAGGCTTCAAGACATTCCAGAGGGAAGATCACCACCAAAGTGGACCTGGCAGCAATGAAGAAGATTGTCATCGAGGCCATCCCAAAAGCCCTGTCACGACCACAACACAGATGGGCTCTGGAATCTACAAAACTCACTGCTCGGTCACTTCAGAGTCTCGCTGCTCTTAGAGGAAACGTCGATCCTGGTTCAGGCGGTGGGGCCTACAGTGTGTTCTGTTCAACGGGCACGTCGTCGACTACAAGTCCAGTGGATGTTCAGTCACGACAATTAAGGCAAGGAGAGAAGGAGACAGCACTGATTGAAACAAGATTTGGCTCAATGGATGGCCCTCATCATGCAGCCTTGGACCGTGTACATGTGACTATTCAAAATGCAGCAAAAGTTGGTGAGACAGACGATGCGAACATGGAGGACATTGACGCAGCCCCCATCGGTTTGAACTTTTCTGGCAATGATATTTTCTTAGGCGTGAAGAAGCTTGCAGAATTGGGCGACGATTACCTGAATTTGGCTAACATGCCTGCATGGATGACTGGAGAATTGGGTATCAGCAGTCTGAAAGTGTAATACTTCTGTTCACGGGAACATGGGGTTTGAGGTCACGAAAGTTCATGATTATACGATTTTTCTATCCAGCAGTTGGGGTAAGGCTGGGGTTCTTGGTTGTCTTTGAAGTAGCACTCCGTACACCTTTTTGCTATTGAGTCCACCCAGTTCTAGGCGGAAAAAGTGGCATTCGTAAAGGAGCCTCTCAACTTGGGCTTTGCATAGATTCTGTGCCTTGGCCAGGCTTTACGTGACTGACTGTTCTCGATACTCCTTATAACTACTGGAGTCATACCTGATGTTGTTGTGTTAGTGCCTCGGTTCACCTTTTGGAGAATGCTTCTCGTGTACATAATAAATAACTCGGCATTTGACATTCGAAAGTCCGATGGCTCCCAGACTCAGGCATCTTCTGCATTTCTCCAACTTTCTCCTCCTGCAACTGAGTGGTTGAGCATCATGATACGCATGTAACCCCGGGCACGTTACAATGCTTCATATCCGTAAATATATGTGGGCCAGAGCCTTCATATCTTGAAGGTATATGATATCCATTCCTAGTCACTTTTATCCCCCTTCTGTACATTGCACGTGCACTCATTCGACCTTGTAACGTCCGAAAATCGGAACATGTCATCTCGACAAGTTGACACCCCCCGGCCGGAGGAAGAGACACCTTCAAACCAGGTAGGCAAAAGCCTGTGCGATGCAGTGATGAGCCAGAATCTGAGCAAGCTTGCAAAATCAAATCACACCCTCTCCCGCTTCATCACAGAAGATGTATGGGGCAAGCTCGCAACGAACTCTCTGATCGGAGACAGGGAGTGGTGCCTCGTGGCCATCATGGCATCTATGTCCGTTGGCAGCGATGCTGCCGACCAACTAGCAACGTACATCGCGATGGCCCTTCGTCATGGAGTGACCGAGGTAGAGATACAAGACCTTGTCGCTCAGGCAGGGGTATTCTATAGCCTTCCTAAAACCATTGCTGCCCAGCAACGTGTGGACGAGATACTGCTCGCGCTTGACCATCTCCCACGGCTGCCACGAAATTATCTAGAGAGACAACTATGGCTCGGCGATCATCACACGATGATCTGTGACTCGAACCCGACCGACAACACGTCTGTTCCCATAATTCTAGTCCACGCATTGGGTCTCGACCGAAGAATGTGGCACCAGGTCTTTTTACAGATATCATACAGTAGCCCTTCTGTGCGATTGATATCGTACGATCTCCGCGGACATGGACACGCACGTTCAGCTCCACAGGTCACCTCGCTCGACCACCTCGCTGACGATCTCGCGACTCTCCTCTCCGCCCTGAATATCACCACAGCAGACATATATGGCCAGTCCTACGGTGGCGCAGTAGTTCAGTATTTCGGGCTTCGCTATGCCAGCATCCCACGCTCCCTTGGTCTCGTCACCACCGCTGCAGAAGGGCAGGCCAGCTGGGTCGAGCGCGCGACTCGCGCTGAAACGGCGGGGTCAGTGTCACCTCTTCTCCCCGAGACGATCATCCGCTGGTTCACGCCACAGGCGATTGCACGGAACGAATGGGGCGTGCGCTACGCCCGTGCCTGCGTCGAACGCATCTCGGTTCAAAACTGGGCAAGTGCATGGCGAGCAATGAGCGGACTCGACACGCTGTCTCGGCTGAGGGAGATCCAGGTGCCTATCCACATCATCTGCGGCAAGCAAGATGCGAGCACGGGGCCGAAGTGGATGACCAAGCTGAGGGATGCTTGTGGACTGGGTCGTGCTACCTATGCAGAACTCGATCCTGGTGTGCATATGATGGCCCTGGAGCAAGGGATAGCACTCGCTGAAGAGATTTTACGCTTCAGAGAAGGTCTTGGAGATTAGAACAGAACTCTGCTGCTCTCTCTCCGTCTCTCCTCCCTTTTTCTCCTCCCTTTTTCTCCTCTCTTCTGCGGCTTTTACATTCTTGGTGAAGTATGCTGTTTGCAACAATTTCTTGTGCACATTGGCTCTGATACTATCCTCCCAATATTTCAGGCCTGTAGGGAAGAGCAGACCATTCCAAGCCCAGCGGTGGGTGCCCATTTCTCCAATTCCACTAGAGCACCGTGAACATTACAGGCATATATTACATCGCTCTCGGTGTTTCCACTGGTACGCTCTGGTTTTAGGGTCTCAAGCAAATCCGGAGCTCCGTCATCCTTGCTCAGGAGACCTGGCACGCTCATCAGGAGACAAATTCACGTGGCAAGGACAAACGAAGTCCAATGAGGCTCAGGTCGTGGAATCAGTGTTCCTATTGCAAGCAATTCCATGTCCCAGGACCCTCTGGACCTGATGAACACCACGATGTTCGTGTGCCCGTCGCCGCACATCAAGCACGTCCCTTTTTCTCGTTCCAATTCTCGGCCTGGCCCATTTCTCTTGTCTCCATTGTGGCAACGCACAGTTGATTTGAGAAAGCAGATTTCCCGAAAGCACGACCATCATGATCCCTGAGGAATAGCCCAAGTACCCATGATTGGATTTTCCCTGGGCAAATGCATTCGAACAATTTACAAGCATCGACTGGTTTTCCGCATTCGGCATCAGGCCCCTCTCTCCGATCGTGGAAAGAAAACTTGAGAACCCGTAGGCGACCCATCGGAATGAAAATGCGGGTCAATGACCTTCTCTAGGTATCAAACTCTTGAATTTACGCTTTCCAGCTTGGCCAAGTGAGCCAGTGGACAACTAACTACCTCACAAGTGTCAATCTATGTGTCGGACTTCACCGCAGACTGGACTTAAGATACACTGAATTGGCTCACCAAAGGCCAACCTCGAGGTACGTAAATGTATGTGGGCACCGGTGTGAAGCCTAGATTTTAGAAAATAGAACGAACCTTTTGTCTCATTTCTCTGGCACTGGCTTTAGAAGCTCCAGCGTTCGCTGGTCAACCGCGTTGATATGGTCGTCACCGGCCCACGAAGTAGTAGCAGTGCGCCAGGTACGGAGTACTCCATGGCCGCAGACCTGTTTATGACTCAAGGCATGGGTCTCTTCAGTGACAAGAAGGAGCCGATAACGAATGAACGTGGAAAACTTTGCGAAGCATTCCTTATTGGGGGACTATAGATTCTGAACAGATTCATCTTCGCACAATACCCCTACAAAGATTATCTTGATATAAACTCATCAACTCTCTAGCGCATCCACACTCCTCACTCCAGACAGCGCTTTCTCCCGGTTAAAATAGAGCCTCAATTCAGGCCAAGCAAGTGAAACAAGAGGAATGGCACTGCCACCAAGCACCACCGTTCCGCTCAACACAGTGCGAACGTGGACGCGGGATGGGTTCCTGATATCGACCGACACCTCACTGATCCCCATCGCAGCACTTACCGAAGCGTTCAATTCGGAACAGATGTACTGGGCGAAGGGGCTTTCAGAGCATGCAATGCGTGAGATGCTGTCCCACTCGCTCTGCTTTGGCCTGTACTCGCCCACGCCTGCGCCTCCGTGCTCCCAAGAGCCGACCGATGCTGGACCAACGAAAGGCGCCGACTCAGTGGCGGATACACCGCACGAGATTGCGGAGTATGTCCGCGCTGATGGCCAACCTGGTAGAACATCATCCACAGCCTCGCCGTCACCATCAACCAATCTCATCGGCTTCGCGCGCTGTATCACCGACCACGTGACGCTCGTGTACCTGACCGACGTATTCGTCGCTTCGGAATGGCAAGGCCAGGGTCTGGGCAAGTGGCTGGTGAGCTGTGTGCAGGAGGTGGTGGCCGACATGCCGGATCTGCGCCGTAGCTTGCTCCTCAGCAGCGCTGCCGGGGCAGCGAAGCGCTTCTACGGCCAATTAATGGGTATGGATGAGTTGGGTGGTAGCGCGGTCTGCTTGAGTGCGAAGGGGCCCGGTTGTACTTTTTAGTGAGTGTGTGCACCTGGTGTTGGTGCTGGCTGAGTGAGTGAGTGAGGAATGAGAGTAAAGAGCTAGGGAGCTGTGTGGTACATGTTTGCGACCAGCTAGTGCAAGGTTTTAGGTACATATATCGTGAAATGAATGTATACTACCTAGGTAGAACGTCTATCGTTTCCGAATTTGTGGACGTCCTGGGAGTGCCAAACGTGAGGAAATGATCCGTGCCTTCTTTGCTTGAAGTCGTAATGAGGTCCTAAATTACCTGTGTTCGCCATCCGTGAACCCGCCCTGGAGCCAATACTGAGGCATTTTGAAAGGCCGCCACTCGATAACGCAAACCAGGTGCACTCGCTGTGCGTCGTTTAATGTCCTCGTGAGGATTCCGTCAGGGACCTCGGGATCTCTCTGATTATTCTCTTGCTGGAAATTCTGAAACTCCGTGGCACTGTTGAGGCTCTTCCTGATTACTTCAAGGGACAGAACCTTTTTGATATCAGAAACGGACATATACGGCTATGTCTTGACATTTCGCTTTTGCATCTGTCGATCCACTTCCTGGTGCAACATTCGGCGATAGGTTTTCGTGGGCATGGGTATCTCACAGATTTTCAAATAATCGCAATACATTTCCTCAGAAGCTCGCTCATGCGCAAAAGGTGATCATGAACAAAGCCGCGAACACTCTTAACGATCTTTTGCCGCGTCAGATATGAATTGTCAAATTCGATGAACTGCAAAGAATCTTTCAAACTTATTCCTCGTTCGATCCGCCGAGATATGATTCGGAAAATTCCCTGCTACGGATAAATCGTGTATCCCTCGGACTTTTGGAAGTCCTTTATATTCGGTGTAGATTGCCGTTGATCATGGCTAAGAATACAATACAGGCTTTTTCAGTGCGTACCTTTCTACAAAGGAACAGCTCAGTTCGACTATTGTACACAGCTAGTATCCACTTCATGGCTCGAGCTCTTTGTGACGCTGGATTCTAAGGCACACCAAGAAGGCTGTTACGTGCATTCTTTGTTGACAGGTCGGCTAGCTGAGACAGGCTCTATATGAGGATTACGGCTGACCCTCGCATTTCCTACGCCTCTTAAACTTTGCAGAAACGTACATAAAATGGCATTGCTTCACTTCTGAGAGTTGAGACGCTTCGTACCTGGCGAAAGGCGTAGCGAGACATCTTCGCAAGCGTCAACTCTTAGCCACAATGAGTTTCCGAAGGAGACGCGAATTGGAGCGTGTCTAATACAACTTACAGACGGGCTGAGGCTCTGAAATGCAGGAAGATTGAGCTCAGAGTCTTGGGTGAAGAGAAGTCTTGTGGTTCCACGCCAATCCCTCGCTTCCGAAGGGCTGGAATGAGAGCGTGTCGAGTTAACAGTTAAAACGTTGGAACCGAGACTTCCCAGCGGATCTTTGCCTATTATATTAGTGATGCTTGAGTTTACGAGCCTCTTTGTGTGAGGTAGCAGATTCAAAGCTAGAATAAAAAGGTGTACTAGTTAATGTTCAAAGTCCCGACCTAAGCTAAGTATGGAACTTATTAGTAGATTAAGAGCTCTCTTTTCCCCTCCCACTCCATCTTTAACAATATATAGAAAGTCAATACTTTTGATTAAACTTTTGAATAGAATAAATAAAGAGGAAGAGCAATGGCTAAAAGGCTTACAACCTCCCACCGAGACCGTACAATGATTTAGTATGGTAGGATGTCATGGTCAACCGCTGCCCAAGCTAGATCAGATGCATCGCAGAGATAAGCGCCTTCCTGTTCGTCATGCTGACTATGCAACTCTGACAGGGTGGACCTGGACAACTTTTCATCTTGGTACTTCCACCAGCGTTGCAGGACGGTCTGGCAAGACCTGACATTTCCCATTCCATAGTTCATCCACAAGGCTTTCAGCAAGCCTCGGACCATGTCTCTGTCTGATTGATTTGTGCACAGAGTACCGGCCACAAATAGCGGAGGTAACGCGGCTACCCCAGGACAAGGGCCGCTTTGATATGTAATTGCAGTAAGACAAGCCAGAATTGATTGTCTGCTGTCCTTGATTACTTGCAGAGGAACCGATAAAGACCCACGTCGAGAAACTTGCAGAAGCGCCATATGGTGATAGGCTTCGTCTAGCAAGTAAAGTTCATGGCTGGTGACCCAAGGAAGACCTCCGTTATTCTGCGACTCCGGCAACTTCCTTTGTGCCATTAACGCTCTGATCCGATCGAACAGCAAGTGCGATTTATGCTCCAGAGGTGAAGTGCAGTCAAAATGTGGCGGTCCCGGAGGTGAGTCGCAGGCGAACTCAGGGTCAGGGAAGTCCTGCGTTCGCTCCAAGTTGTTGATCTCTTGGAAAATTGGGAACAGGTTCGTAGAATAACCCGCAAGGTCATCAATATGAGCATCACACTGACCAGTAGCCGCTTCTAATATGTGTCCGTCGTAGCTTTGGGCACCGCAAGCCAGAGCGATCGCTTGTAAAGCTTGGAACTTCCTTCTGAGAAAGGCTGATGTTGACGATTGACTGCAGCCGCTGGAAGTGCTGTGTTGCGAAGATAGTGTGGCAGCACCGTAGAGGTGCGACCTCCATGACGAGACGGCCGAAGTAGGCGATATTACTTCAGCCATGCACAGTATTAAGGTTGTGGCAAGAATTTGATCGTTGTCAGTCGGACTGAATTGAGTCAAGGCCGATCTCAACTGCTTCAGACTTCTCCCCTTCATCAGCTCAAATTGACAATCTCCCTCGGCCAGTCCGGAAGATTGTCGGTGGGCAGCAGCCAAGGCAAGAACGGCCGATAACAAATGGGGCACTCGCAAGGACATGGGGACAATGGTGGAGCAGATGTCATCTTGTATGCCTTTGTGGCAGGATATGGATATGGTCATCCCGTGGACGAAGTAGTCCAAAAGGGGTTGGAACTCTTTCTGCACCATCGGCACCATCACTGACGAACGAGGATCGGAAGAGCTTTGAACAGAGAAGGCGGACCCCCCACTGCTCCTCTGTGCAGTAGTATGCAATGTTTCAACATTGAGAATGTCGAGTTCAGGCCCCCCTTGTACGGATTCTTCCACAGTGATTGGCGTTACGTCAGAGTTGTGAGAAGGCCCTCGCTCAGGAGTTGGGTCGTCGCTCAGCCTTCTAGGCGAATAAGTATAAATGAAGTCTTTCTTAGTAAACAGCTGGTCTTTGCAGAGTAAGTCAGCCAGTACTAAGTCCGCAATGTGAGAGACATACGATCAGAAGCTGTGATGCTTATGGCTCTTGCTTCCAAATCCAGACACTTGCCAAATCGTGATTTCTTGAACTGCCGTCCGCCCCAGGAGAGTTGCCGAGAGTAGACGCAGGGCCGGTCTACACTCAGGCAGTAGCCGCAAGTTGGTTTGGCCTCATTGCATTTCCAGTGGCGCCGACGGCATTCGTCGCAACCCGCACGCGACCGACTTTGCCGCAAAGGTGTACGGGGCCGAAAATCGTCCATAATATACAGAGAAGCGATTGCGAGATGTGGGCAGAGTCGATGAACGATCCGCAACAAAATAGCCTACGACAGTCTTGGCGATGGAGTGGCTATCGCTGAAAGCCGCTTGACCTTCAGCCTAGCCGATGTCTAATACCTATGCACTGGACTGAAATATTGCGGTGCCATCAACAGCACGTTTGACTCGGTGTATAATCATATGGTCCTTCCGGCACAGGAAATGCAAGATCGTGGTTTCGGGTAGAGGTATGAAAGTCAATATTAATGTTGGAATACCAGGGTGAAAGCTGGGAGCGGAAGGAGATAGGATATGCTTTCCCCTTTGGGATTAGTGGGTCTAATGCGGTTCGAACTATGGGGCTCCACCAGAGCACGATGCTCCTAGACATCGACATGTAGGTAGAATCACATCTCCCAGAGAGTGATTCATAGTGTCCGGGATGAATTTTCAATTCATTACCGAGGGCCACTGTCCTGGGTGTGGCCTCAGCTCAGCACTGGTGCCCTAATAAAAGCAAGATGGACATGTCTCTACTGAAGCGGACCTCTTCCTCAGTACTCTCACTGTGGCAATTACAGACTCATTCAATACTCCGTGAATATCACCATCACCGGTCACAATGCCCGACAATACGGTCAACGAACGCTCATCCCTACTTCCAGGGGCTTCTCGCGCCACGAAGGACGAAGACGTTTCCTTTCATCATTGGCAAGACTTTGTTGGCCTCACGAGGCAAACCGTTCCCATCTGTCTCTCTTTTGCGTTGCAAAATGCAGTGCAAGCAATCAGCGTTCTAACTGCCGGGCGGCTGGGATCCTTTGAGCTGGAAGTTACCTCCTTTGGTTTTATGTTTTTCTCCTGCACTGGCACCATGGTCGCCATCGGTGGTGCAACAGCGTTGGATACATTGTGCGCTCAGGCCTTCAGCTCCCACGCCTTGACTGAAAATCCAAAAGTCCTGGGCTTGCTCTTACAGCAATGCCTGCTCGCGCTGCTCGGAATTTTTGGCTTTCTGATTGCGCCCATCTGGATAGTTTCGGGGCATTTATTCACTTCCTTGGGCCAAGAGCAAGACTTTGCGCTTGCTACAGGGAAATTCATGTTATTCATGCTTCCCTCTGGGCTGTTGCAAGTCGTGGCTGAATGCCTGAAGAAGTTCTTGCAAGTGCAGGGCGAAAGCAATGTTGTCGGATTGTGTACATTGGCAGCCAGCACGGTTGGCGTGATAATCAACTTTGTTCTGGTTCGGCTGACGAGGTTGAGATTGTGGGGTGTTCCTTGTGCCTTTTGCGTCTACCAACTCCTCACTGTTGTCGCCCTGCTTTGCGTCCTTATTTGTAAGCCTGAAATTGAAAAGAGCTGTCGCTGGTCAATGGTCGGCATTTTCGCGGGCTTACCACGATTGTTGTTCTACGCTGTCACTGGAATTATGACGATTGCGACTGAGTGGTGGAGGTGAGTCTGCTACACTTGATGCTTCCAGCTTGAAACTGATCCGCTGTGCTATAGTTTCGAGATACTTGCAATGATGGCGGCACGGCTGGACCCAAGCTCCATTGGCGCTCAGAGTGTAAGCGGATGATCACCTTTCAGTCCATCATGCGACTGTGCTGACCACACTTATAGATACTAATGTCTTCCGATCTGCTCTTCACAACAGTGTCTCTCGGCATGAGCGTAGCTGTCAGCCATCGCATTGGGGGCTTACTTGGTGCAGGCAAGGGTCTGCAAGCCAGAAAAGCCATCGCAACACCATATCTGCTATCTTTGATTGTTGGAGCGATTGAGTTTCTCGGAATCCTGCTTGCAAGAAACCAATATGGCCGAATCTTCACAAATGACCAAGCAGTAATTGAAATGACCGCGAGGGTGCTTCCGCTGATGGCAGGATTTCAGATCTTGGATCTTTCGAACGGAGGCGCTGGCGGAATTCTGCGAGGTGCTGGAAAGAATCACTTGTCAGGCGCATGCAACTTCCTTGCTTACTACGGGGTAGGCCTAAGTTCCGCATGGTTTCTATGTTTTCGCAAGCAGTACGGAGTTTTTGGCTTGTGGGCTGGCATAATCACTGGCAGCGGTGCACTTCTAGTCCTACAGTCTTGTTGTATTTTGAGCATCTCGTGGAGAAAGTTGGCCAGAGATGTATCTAGGTCGCATGCCACATGCAATTAGAGCAGCAAGGCCATAAATTTACATTCGTTCATGGATGACTATAGAATTTACCTCTACATGAACCTGGAAACAGATCTAGGAATCGTCCACGGCTACAGTACAGTCGAATGGCCATGTTGTGGCAGTCAACAGTATATGGCAATGCCATCCACGGAATCTCGAGCCATACTTCACCCTTTCTGCTTAAACTCTCTATTGAATGCCCTGAATCCCGACAAACTCACATTTGTTGCATATGCAGGACCATTCCTAGTAAGTTTCCGCGGACCTGGACACAAGTCTTAAAAGAAAGAAATAGGGTGAAAAGGATACATTCATTTCGAGAAAGTCTCATTCGCTAGGGCTGTCTCTTGGCCAACACTGGAACTTCTTATCCTATACTGCTTTGCTCTGGAAACTGAGACAGGGATCCTTCCTTGGGATGAAGGAAGAAAGAGAACTGGGATACGCTATCGCTCATCCACACCCAATAACACCAACGACCAGCGGACCTAGAGGCTGATTCTATTTCTGACTAGCCTAGTTATAAGCTATGCTTAGGTTAGCGTCCGTCTGAACTCCTGTACTTCGCGCGACATACCTCTATCGTGAACTCTGCAGCAGCTATGCCTGTGATTTCTGCCTGGTCCAGAGCGGGAAGGACTTCCACAATATCCACCCCGACAATATTCAAACCTTCCAGACCATCGATGATGATTTGAATGATTTCTCTCGGAGTCCATCCTCCAGAAGCTGGGCCAGCGGTACCGGGCACAAAGGCAGGGTCGAGACTGTCAACATCTAGGGATACATAGATCGGTTGGTCGCGGGGAACAATTGAACGGATTTTGTCGATTACTCCCCATACACCATCCCTCTTCAACATGTCTGACGCGGGAATTGTTGTGAATCCCACTTCCTGATCGAGTTCCATGTCTTTCTCTGAGTCCAAGGAGCTTCGGATCCCAGCATGGACGTTCTTGGTGGTCAACAGGCCTTCCATGCCAGCCCAATAGTAAGGTGTGCCGTCAGCATACTCAGCTTGTTTGCTACCAGCTTTGGATCCTGCGAATACTTTGGGGGACCAAGTATCGATATGTGCGTCTATATGGATGGCAGAAATCTTTCCATAGACAGTGTTCAAGGCTCGCAAAATTGGCAATGAGATGCTGTGATCACCACCAAGCGCAACAATTTGCGGATGAACTCGACCGGTCTGAAAATGACTCGTCAGTTGGTTCAACTTGCATTTCTACCTGGTGACCAGAGAACTTGATGGACCTTTGATGATCGCAATCCCTTCTCTGTAGACTTGACCTCTCTCCACAGAAGCCGCTTGTACCACTCTTCCATCTGAGCAAAAGCTAGACCATTGTCAAAAGGCGAGATTGGGAGGTCACCACAGTCGACCACAGATACATTCTGCTCATAGGGGTTGATCGACTGACGATAGTTGTAGTGTCCACTGCCAAGAATCAGCTAATGTGTGACTTTGCGGCTTGGGAACAGAACACACGCAAGGGAAGCTGCTCGAGAACCCTGGCGGACAGCGTTTGGCCCAAAGCGTGTGCCGGTTCTGTACGATGTCGCGGTATCAAACGGGAATCCCAAGATCAAGATATCGTCTACAGTTCCGTTCTCCGTCAAGCATTGCATCGAGGGAAGTTGTGCGAAAGTCGTTATGCCCGAGAACGCAAAGCTTGCGGAAGGTTCAAGGTCATATTCGTCCTTGAGCTTGTCGATTTCTATACTGGTTTGTTGACCATCACTGGTAGGGAGGACAAAAGCAGAGGAGGCGACGGCCAATACTGCGAGGCTGCTCAGACTAAGGAAATGCATCTTGAAGTAAAGATGATCTCTATAGGTGAAATAACTGGTTTGCTTCTTTTCCGATGCAAGATGGCACACCTTCTTGAATTTGTACTCCGACCGTGATAAGGAGAAACGGTTTGAAACTTCACCAACTGGAAGCCTCGTCCTATCATTCCTCCTTGCGCCACTCACTTCGTAAGTCGGCTAGCCTAGGCTATGCATACCTCTTTTGCAAAGAATGTGTATGGTACCCATGGCGTCAAAGTTCTTTGGGCAAGATATACTGAATGGCTGATAGGGTCTAAGCTGTTATCACCTCCACAACGCAGACTAGTATATTCCTTCCCCTTTAGGCCTAGTTTCGTTCAGAGTCAAGTGGAGTTTCTGGGAATCTCATTACGAACTTGTCTCTGCGCTCTCTCCTACACCAGTGTCTGGTGTATCTCATTTGCTTTGCTGATGCCTCTTACTGGATGTGTGCTCTGGCTTCGTGCTGCAGCTGCCCCCATCAGACTTGTAGTACCATGTGCAGCAGAAATTGACGCAGGCTCTATAAAGAGTCGACTCGTCTTGTACCGGGCAGCAGGTCTCTCACGATTCCTCTATAGATTTTCAGCCTGAAAAGACACCTAACCGAGCTGCACGGCTATTGGATGATGTCCGTTTCCAAATCAGCGCCACATGATCTCGAAGCTTCGCTGAAGCAAATGAGCAACCCCAGCATATCTCCAGGGGACATTGCGGACGATGACAGCAAAAGACTGCCGGAGACAGGCCATGTGCAGGAACTGGCCAGAAATTTCAGCTTGCTGTCTTTGGCCGGAACCGGCATTCTGGTAGGCAATGTCTGGCCTGCTTTAGGTGGTTCCATCTTGGTTGCAATCTACAATGGTGGGCCACCCGGGGTTCTCTACGAATTTATAGCTGCCTCTTGCTTCTATTTCATGATAGCTGCCTCCTTGGCTGAGCTAGCTTCGGCGATGCCGTCGTCCGCAGGACCTTACCTCTGGGCGTCTGTCACGCCAGGCAAGAAGTACGGACGAGCCGTAGGGTTTTTCGCCGGGTGGTGGAACATCTTTGCTTGGATTTTCGCGGCTGCCTCAATGAGTGCTATCTGTGGTCAGCACTATCCCCGTTCACAGACTCAGAAGAATGATTGTTAACTTTACTGCATAGCGAACGTGATCGTGCAGATGTACGCCTTCTCGCATCCATCGTTGCGAGTCACAAGCTGGCACGTTTTCATCACTTACCTGCTCATCACCTGGAGTTGCTGTGGAGCAGTTTGTCTCTTCAACAAATACATGCCTATGCTGAATAAAATCGGCATCTTAGTGACTGTTGCTGGAGTATTCATCACAATTTTAGTGTGTGCAATTATGCCTTCTCACGGTGAAAGGCCTGGGCATGCCAGCAGTGAGACCGTCTGGGCAAGTTGGACCGCCGACATAGGATACCCAAACGGATTTGTTTTCGTCGCAGGTATGCTTAACGGGTCTTATGCAATGGGAACACCAGATTCAACCAGTCACTTGGCTGAAGAGATCCCAGAGCCATCGAAGAATGTTCCAAAGGCGATCGCCATGCAATATGTGATTGGGTTTGCGTCAGGTCTGGCGTATTTGATTGCGATCTTGTACGCCATAAACGATTACGACGCCCTCTTCACATCTGCTTTCCCAATCGCCGAGATATATCACCAAGCAACAGCCAACACTTCGGGCACCATCGGGCTACTGACGTTGCTCCTGCTTCCCACAGTTATCTGCGTTGTTACGCTCTACATAACGTGCGGACGCACACTATGGGCACTCTCGCGCGACGGCGCAACACCATTCCCAGGCTTTCTGGGTCACGTCAATTCGAAGCTTGGCCTTCCAGCGAACGCAACCTTGAGTTGTTGCGCACTGGTGACAATGATGGGCTGTATCTACGTCGGTAGCATCACCGCTTTCAATGCATTCGTGGGCAGCTATGTGCTGATGTCTACATCCTCGTACATCGCCTCACTTTTACCATTCTTATTACACGGAAGGCGAGGTGTGGAATTCGGTTATTTCCAACTACCGCGTAGTCTTGGTTTCATTTTCAACTCTCTGGCCTGTGCGTTTATGTTGGTCTGGTTCGTCATTTACTGCTTCCCGTACAGCCTACCCACAAACGCGCAGAGTATGAATTACTCTAGTCTCATTTGGGGAGGCTTGACGATTTTGGTTGGCTTGTGGTGGGTTTTACACGCCAGAACTCGGTACCTAGGCATTGTGTTGGCGCCAAGACACGAACTAGCGTAAACTAATACTAGTCAAACGTAACCCGCTAGTAACTAGATATTACTAGTAGGTAATAGTTACTATCGGTATATACTAATAGCATTAAGATATTTGTTAAAGTATGTAGAAAAAGGCCTTACACAGATTATTCAATTCTTAGTAAGTATCTATATAAACTTAGTAGTCACTATCATGATGGCAAACTAAGAGATAGATCTCAATTTTCGATTATCCTAAATTGACTCTAAAGTGGCCTACTGTGCCAGTGGTCCCTAGTGTGCCCTCATATCCAACATTGGTATTCAAGGCCAGTTAATGCTCAAGTCGATGCGGCCTTCACTCACCATTCTCTAGGATCAAACCGTAAGTAGCAGTTAGGTTTTTCGTGTGTCAGGCAATAGGTCCGTAAGCCCTTGAGGATCGCTCAAAAAGACTAGAATCTCGTACGAAGTACGAGGTATTCTCGGACCTATTAGTTATATGCTTGCTAGGAAGCCGCCCAGGGTATTCCTAATATCGTGCTCGCGTAATAGTGGTAGGTAAAGGTCAGGAGGCTTAGGAGCAGTTCACTGTAGATTTGAATGGTGGCACTAGAAGAGAAGGCTCTCTTGCAAAGGGTCGTCTAAACAGGTGAACAATCGAGAGGATGTCTAGTCTTCCATTCTTTCAAAGGTAGAGAAGGCCTCCTATTGATTCCACAGTCTTATTCTGCATCCGTAGAACTCAATCACCAGGTTCAAAACCACATCCACAAGGACAACCCGTCTGGACCTAGTGGCACATATCTCGACCTGCATGGCCCAGGGCCCAGTCCATCAATCTGCTCCACCAGCCGCAAACTCATAATCCAAAGGCCAACGCGGTTGCTATGCTCGTTTAAGCAAGCGATGAATAGACGCCGTAGAGTTGATAGCCAAGTCTGGGTAAAAAGATGCGGGCGGAGAATCATTTCGGATACAGCAGTCCCTTCTCCTTGTCTATCTTCGCTACACTCCTGACTCGAGCGACGAAAGCCTTTCTCTGGTTTCTGGGATGAGCCACGAGCTTCATCAATTCCTTGATAGTGATGCCCTCAGAGGGAATCGCACTCCTAATTTCCTCTTCACTAGGCAGCTCTTGTGGTGATAACGGCGGCGGAGGTGTCCCGGCGCGTGAAGACGGTTGTGGGGTACTTGTGCCACCTGCTCTAGGGGGTGGGGATGCTGACATCTTCAGTTTGAGTCGTTGATGGGCACGACTAGCGTCCGACATGGCACCCCCATCGCGATCAGAGAGAACGTTATCGGTGTCACTACCTGCATTTGAGCCTGCTACTCGTCGTCGGACCTTGTTGATCGCTGCAGATGAAGGATCTAGATTCTGTGGCGCTGAACCGGGTGGAGGAACATTCGCAGGGGACATTGGTCTTGATGGGCCTGGTGTAGGTTGCGTACTTGACAGGTGCTTCGACTTGTGTTTTTTCTTCCGTACTGAAGCGTCGGTTCCGGAAGCATCAGAAAGATTCGGAGAACCAGGCCGTTTGAGGGAACGGCTCGATGATGATTTCTTTATTCCACCAGCGGTTTCGCGATCACTAAGACCACCAGCGGCTGACAGCTTCTCTTTGCGATTGCTAGGGGTATTGGTCCCAGATGAGGAGATACCTGCGGCGGCTTTGGCGGCCTCCTCCTCACGTTTGATGTTCGCAACACGTTCGCGTTCAAGGCGCTCGCGTTCTTCTTCAGAGTCAGTCTAGAATGAAGTTAGTTCCATATCCCGAAGAACGACTGGAAAAGCTTGAACCTACCGAGCTCACGTCTTCAGAATCGCTACCATGATTGTAGTTTCGTTCTCTCCTTTCCAATGCTTTCCTCAGCTCACGGAAGTTCTTCTTCTTAGCTTCCGCTTCGCGCTTCTCTCGTTCCTCTGCCTCGTCATACTCCTTCAAATCTTTGAAATCTAGAAAGTTTGCTGTCAATTGATCTTCTTTGATCTTCTTCTCAGCCAGCTTCTCATCTTCATCTTTGTCAACGAACAAGGCGCCTTCCTCGTCGTCGGCAAAATCATCTTCGAAATCAAGGTCTGCCTCCTCGCCTCCTCGTCCTGCTATACCTCCCGCTTGTGCACCTGAGAAAAGACCTCTGCTCTGCTTGGCAGTAAGCTCTCTCGCCGCTTCAGCGACACGAGCTTCTCTTTGGCGAACCAGCCATTCGGGGTCACTACCTCTTTTCTTCATGGCAGCTTCCACCTCTTCGATCGTCATTTGCAGTCCTAGTTCACGGCGCGGTTTGAATTGGTAATATTTCTCAACAGGGACCATACGGAATTTGCCGGTAGAGCCATCAGGAGTTGGTTCATAGATCAAGGCAGCATGTGTATTCATTGAGCCAATTTGATGATGCCCAACAAGGCAGTGCTTATTGTCAAAATCTTCCAAATGCCATGGTAGCTTCTCCTCGTAATTGGTTTGAATGCGACGCTTCTCTGCTGTCGAGAACTCTGCCCGGAATACTTGTTGAGTCTTCCTTTTGAAGTTGTACATCTTCTTGCCAGCATTTTGAGACGGCGCTATCTGTGCCAGATTTGCTTCCCGCTCTTTTTGTCGAACCTCCTTCCTTCGCGTCAGTTCTTCTCGCTCTGTGGCATTGAGACCATCTTTGGGTTCTAACTCGGGCTCATCCTTTTGCTGGGGACCGGGGGGTGGTGCTCTAGGATCGCGTCTGTGTAGGCGAGCAGGTTTTGGGAATTCAGACTCGTTCCGAATATCTAAAGCCTTGTCGCCCGCTAGCTGTAAGAGATGAAAGCGAAGATTGTTTAGAAGATCTCGCTTGGTGGTGACAAGCTTATAATCTTTGAAAGGAATGCCTTCGGCCGTAAGGCGAGGGTCGCTGAAGCCACTGACTCGTTCATTTTCCGCAACTGCAGATCGGGAAGGCGAAGGATCCGGTACATTGCTAGGAGTCAAAGGGCGCAGAGCTTGAGACTTGGGAGGGAGATGACCATTGACCGGAGGGGTCAAGTGTCCATTTTGTTGAGGTCTTCCCAGCGGAACAGGCTTTCTAGGACCCTTGAAGAACGGATCAGATTGTGCTTTCTTTCGCTTGATAACAGGAGTTGCGCCTGGAGGTCTGTTGGCAGGTCCGCCTGGAGGGACAGGACCTGGGTTCATGTTGGGCAGAAGGACATATGCATGGGAAAAAAAGACACCAGTATCTCAGGTATGAGCGTAGACAGTTGGTTCAAAGGTGGTGTAGGTGGTCTGGGACGAAGTTAAATATGACAATGAAGCGTTGGAATGTAGAGGGCGCGTGGGGAGGTCTCGTTCAAACAACTTTGTATCTCTCTTCCGCCTGGAGATCAGGTCGAGGGCCTGTACGGAGTACGGAGTAGTACTTGCAAGTCAAACTGCGGAGACCAGTCATTGTGCCAAGCCGGAACGGAATATCGCCCGCTCCGCTAAGGGTTCACATGCTCGGTGAAGCTTCCTGATTGAGTCATTTCCATCCTCATCCCATCCAGTCCTTGTAACGAGTCTTTCACGACAACTACTCTTCCTTCCACCTTCACTTGCGATAGACTTTTCCTTGCTTACCTCTCTCTTCTTTTCAAACCCCCTCGTAATCCTCACCTGGATGGTCTCTTCTTCACTTTTCTTGCCTTTCCCTGTGTAAAGTGGGCATGTCTCATGACTACCGAGGTCTCTCCACGGACGTTGAACCCTGCCGGCTTTCCATCAAGTCAGCCAACCCACGACAACATGGAATCGTCTGACCCCCCTTCCGGGTTCACAACGCATGCCATGAATCAAATACAGGATATCTCCCAGCGACAAATTCAGCGTGGGAGAGGCCGTGGGAGAGGCCGTCAATCTAGGCATCAACCAGCTCAACCCCAGCAGCCTCTTGATTGGTCCAACCAAACAGAACACTTCCCTCCACTTGGTACACCAAAGCCGCTTCAAGGGCCTCAAGTCCCGGTTGTAGTTTCTCAAGGCCCTCGTGTAGGTGCTCACTTTCAAACCCATCCTCCACCACCTTTTCTATTTAATCATCACGAGGATGCTCCCCAGTCCTACCAACCTCTCCACAACACCTCACCCCGAGAATTTCAAGAACGAGCACGAGGCAACTACGGGCTCCAGGGTCCACACTTATCTTCGTATACTCACCAACCTCGAAGCTCAACCGGATATTCTCCCCACTTATCTTCCAACAGACAATTACCCCACCCTAACAACCAGCTGTTCAACCTCAACACAGACATGGCCTACGGTTCATTCCAGCGCCAGCAGCAGTCTAGACTGAAAATTCTCAAGAAGCAGTCGGATTACCTGATGAAGGTCGGTCAAATCGCTTACGAGACTCACAGCCTTCGAAAAGAAGAAGTCGCCGCGAAGGAAGCTTTTCGCCAAGAACTGGAAAACATTGCCCAAGCCGCTCTTTCTGCCATCTACCCTGCTCTAGATGTAAGCCAAGTTAAATTAAAGTGCTTTGGCAGCCTTTCAAATGGCTTCGGTCTTGCCGGTAGCGACATGGATTTGCTTCTAGCACTGCCTGATCATCCGCATGGTTGCTCGACTCACAACTTGACATCTTTCTCTGAGCAACAGCATCAAGCTTTCGAAGTCGATCAAGATCCGGAAGAGCAAGGGTTCAAAGTTGAGGCCCGCCGCATCTTAGAAAAGGCATTCCTTGACTGTGGATATGGGGCAAGACTGCTTACCAACACCCGTGTTCCCATCTTGCGAGTTTGTTCGAGCCCTGGCGCTGAGCTGCTCAGTAACTTGCGAGAGAATCGTGGCGCATGGGAAAAGACTTTTTCCCAAAGTGTGACCGAGAGAGGAGTATCCAGCCCTGAGGAATCAGGCACGGTACGCAAAAACGATGTTACAGCAGACATGGGTTTGATTGAAAATAAACTCACAGAGCTCAATCTAATGGATTCGGTCAACCCTACGAGAACGACACGTGACAATACTAAATTGGAGTTCATCGGAGATGTGGGTATCCCATGTGACATCAATTTCACCAACTTCGTTGCTGTTCACAATTCTATACTCTTGCGACTTTACCATGACTTTGACTCCCGTGTCGCGGATCTGGGCTTCTTTGTTAAGGTCTGGGCGAAGGCTAAGGACATCAATACTCCCTATCGAGGCACTTTGTCAAGCTATGGCTATATTCTAATGGTTCTGCACTATTTAATGAACGTTGCAAAACCTGCAGTGATTCCCAATCTTCAGGCTCTCGCGAAAGTTGAGGATAGCTGGTACCCAGACAGGCCAATCGAGCTGTATAAAGGATATGATATTCGCTTCCTTCGAGGCCGGAAAGAAATTGAAGAAGCGCGTGCGACGATGACCAAAAATACTCAATCCACTGGTGAACTTCTCCGTGGCTTCTTCCAATATTATGCAGTACGGGATGGGTTTCATTGGACACGTGACGTGATATCCATCAGAGAGAGGACCGGTCGTGTGACAAAGGCACAAAAGGGATGGACCGAAGCGAAGTGGTCACAGCAGGAGAAGCGCCAAGTTCGCCTCCGCTACCTTCTTGCCATTGAGGATCCATTCGAGGTCGAACACAATGTTGGACGAACAGTTGGCCACAATGGTCTGGTAGCGATTCGCGATGAATTCCGTAAAGCAAATGCAATTCTGGAAAAGCTTGGAACAGATGCCGAAGTGCCTCTTGAAGAATTTCTGGCGCCAGCTGCCAATCGTGGAGACACGCTGAGGAAAGACCAAGAGTATCATCGACAAAAGCAGTTGCAACTGAAACAAGAACTCGAGGCCAAGGAGAAAGGATTGATGAGTAATGTCAGTGATGAAAATCCTGATGTGAACGTAGATGGTATGTCAGGAATTCCTCACCAGGTACAATCCCAGGGCGCTGGCTGCAATCCGATGCACCGCCATCGAGGATCGGACCCAAAGCTGACAGGGAGCATACACCAGGGAGTGGAGAAGAAGCAACGACAACCATGGCGTCAAAGGAGAGTCAAAATTGACAGCGACAGTGAGGATGATGACTCAAAGGATTCGAATACCACCCGAACCGAAAGTAGCCTCCCGGACAGCGATACCTTGCTATTGGACGAGAACAATACCCGAAGCGGAGTTCACTTTGCACCAGGTCAAGTCAGCATCTTGAACGGTTTCGATGAATTCGGAAATATTACACCATGGGATCAGAGCACACAGGATGGACGTTGGCTGCAATGGAGAGACTGCAAAATTCTCCAAGGAAAAATCCTAGACTTTCGCGAACCGTCACTACGAGAGCTTGATGAGCAGTGTCCTTATGACCCACGACGAGTCCACTTACCGAGTCAAACCTATAGACAAAGAAAGGAAAGAGAAAAGAGCGTGCGACCGCCATGGCCTTTACCGGACCCAAAATCCAAAGCAAGCACTGGAAGTATTGGTGATGCCTCTCAGGATGGCTGGCTGAAGACCTCCCGATTGCGTAAGGCAAAATCTGGACCGAGAACGCGGGTAGCCATAGAGGTGGAAGAATCGAAGCAAAGCCCAGGCACTGGATCAATTACCGCAGTGCAAACCTCAAGAGAGGCTACACCACAACCAAAAGAACCGGATTTGTTGGTCAGTCCCAACTTTGACTTTGTTCGAGCACAGCGATTAGCATTCTTTGCGAAGCCAGAATCACCTGCCGCCAGTGTGCACAAGAGCAATGCAAGCTTCTTTCTGCGTGGCGAACCTGCCGACCCCGACAATAATACGTGTCAGCACAAAACCTCAGATGATGGTCCCGCCGTTGTCGTCATGGGTCTAATGCAGCGTTCAAGTCCTATTGAACATACAATGGTATCGACCGAAGCGGACTGCGCTCCAGTTAGCGGTGAAAAATCCCCATCTCAACAAACGCCTTTCAATGCAGCTCCAAGTGGTAGTGTTACCAGTGCGTCATCTCCTTCACACGCACCTTTGGCTGTACCCGCGACACTTTTCTCAGGAGTGAACAGAGATAGTCGACCATGGGATGAAGATCCCAACATTATGCCTATCCCACAAGAGCTTGGATTTGAGTTTGACACACGTCAACTCCAGGATCTTAACGCGATTGCACGTGGAGGAAACGGCTGTGCTCGTGATGGGGCAGGGTTCAGTGTGGAACAGGATTATGACTGGGGTGGAGGAGGTATGATGGGTTACAAGTCCAGCACCAGTGCTCAACAAGTCCCTGAGAGTGATCCTGCTAGCCCATACCAGGGAGGTAAAGGGGACGATGAAGGGCTTCTGGCCGAATTACCTGGAGCATTGGAATGAGACGCAGGACAAGTGGCAGAGACATGGGATGGAGACGAATATACTGTACTAATTAAAAAGGGTATGAAGTCAAAGAGAAATCACGGCTGGGCTTGTGGGTTGCATTTCTAGCTGGGCATCTCGATGCAAACAGCCGGGAAGTCGTCATCATAAATAGCAGCTTCAAGAATGGCGTCCCAGATATCTTTGGATGTGCTACGTGCCCAGAGACGGCAGACTAGTCAATCAATACCTTGGTAATCCACAATTGCAGAACAACGAGCCTCCATATCACCTGATTTATATGCCTGATTCAACTTTACCGTATCGAGTAATTATTCAACCTGTACGAGTAGGCGATTGTTTCATCCTCTTGTCACCAGAGGCTGTGAGGATGATTGGCTGCAGAAGCGCGTAAATCTTGTCGGACCTTTTCCCCTGAACCTCGACCACCTCCTGACAACCTGAAACACCTCAGGCTCCAGCTTCGCAACAGCCCCAGATACACCGTTTTCAGCAACCGTTTTCTTTTTGGATTCCTCTCTGATCACTCCATATAATCGTAATTCTTTGTTAGGCAGGTCCTAAACACACTCAGATCACCAAAGAAAACACAACTACCTCGGTGAACAACCGGGACCTGATACTGAATACGTTCAGCTGGCTGAAGATAAGTGAGAAAGAACATTAGCATATTTGTCACAAATTGTTGTCAGTTGAGAGCTTCATTGTTGATCCTTTGAATCCGACAAGACGCGGTAATGGTATCCCGTCCATCAACATCGAAACTGCCGCCCTCGGCGTCAGCGACCTCGGGGCGGGCAAAACCATGGTACCGCTACGTCAACCTTGACCTGCTGGTCCGGATCTTGGTCAATTCGGTCTTCCACCCATACATCATCTTCATCTTCTACTTGACCCAGGCGGCTCTACACGTGCACCGAGAGCCGCTCGCATATTACACGCTCTGCTACGCGGCATTCCTTGGCGTCGTGGAGGTCGGAGCGAATATCAACCACCGCCTCACGTACGGAAAGCATCGGAAGGTCGAGTGGGAGAAGGAAGTCGTGGTCATCACCGGCGGGGGTAGTGGTCTTGGTCGCGTCCTGGCTGAGATGATCGTCCGGAAAGGCGGTAAAGTTGCGATCCTGGATGTCAAGGCGCCTGACGAGGAGGCCGAGGATGCCATGGAGAGGTGGGATCTGGTCTGGGAGAAGTGTGATGTTTCCAAGGAGAGTGATGTTAAGAAGGCTGTGGATAAGATTGTCGACGATGTGAGTTCTTTTGTCTTGGATCTATCAAACCCCAGGGCCCAGGGGCTAACCCCATCTCTAGCTCGGTGCACCATCTGTGCTCATCAACAATGCAGCATCCGGGATTACTGGTCTACCACTAGTCTCTCCAGCCACGAGTGCAATGACACTGTCTCCTGGGCAGGCAGCAAGGACGCTAAACACCAACACCATTTCACATTTTAACACACTGTCTGTCCTTCTCCCGCACCTGACAAAATCCCCGCAAGGAGGACACGTTGTCACCATATCCTCGATCCTGTCGCATCTAGCACCAGCTTCTCTTGCGGATTATACGAGCTCGAAATCCGCCATTTCATCACTGCATCAGACCCTGCAGCATGAACTTCGCTGTCACCCAGATCGGTCGACTTTCGCCAGGGTAAAGACGCTGCTCGTCGAAACCGGTCAGATCAAAACGGAACTTTTTGCAGACAAGACGACCCTTCCACCCTATGCGGAATTCTTTGGGCCGGTTCTCGAAGCTAAAGATATTGCGAAAGAAATCGTCAAGACCATCGAGAGAGGGGATGGTGGTGTTATTCGCATGCCTTTTTATGCTAAATGCATGCCGTTTTATTCGATTTTGCCTGGAACAATGCAGGCTTTGGTGAGATCGTTCAGCGGCATTGACAAGGCGATCAGCTCGGGGAGAAAGGCTTCATAAGGATGAGAGGCGCTCCAAAACCGTCGAGATGGATAGTTTCTGGTACCAGTCAAAGGCTCAATACTTTGTTGATATCCCATGGTTGGAATCATAGCCGTTCGGCATTGTCGCTGCCATAGAGATCATTGTAGAATAGCAAAAAAGCACCCGTTCAGGTTCAATCGTCATCATGAATCGTAATGCCAGCCTCTTTGACCACATCAGCAACACCAAAATCACTTCCATGATCGTCATCTCGACTTCCCCTTCTCGGAACCTGCAAGTTGGGCTTCCTTTTCACACCCTCCGCGCCTTTCGTATCATGTCCGTTGGCCTCGTCTCCATTCACGGCGGGAGACTTTCCATGAACTCCATTACCGTTCTGCTTCCCGTCCTTTCCCTTGTTATTCTTCTTCTTGTTCCGCTTCTCACGCTTCTTGCGAGTGCGCTCCTCGTCCCTTTCCTTGCGTTCTCGCTCTTCCCTCGCCCATTTCTCATCGTCCTCGCCCTTCTTCGCCTCCTCGTCCATCAACCTTAATCGTTCATATTCTCGCCGCCGGCTCGCCTTGTAAACGTGGAATTCTCCGCTACCCGCACCCGCGGATGAGCCCTGTACATTCGCGACGATCTCAGGTGGTGCGGGCAAGCTAGATTTGCGGGCGGTTGATGGCGGCGGGAGGTTCAACTGCCTGTTGGGATCGAGGAACAGATTCTCGATTTCGTTGGCTTGGGAGGCTAAAGCAGTGTCTGCGCCACGAGCGCGTTTGATGGGTCGATGAGATCGTGGATCAGCTGAGGTGGGTATGGAATCTGGTATTGGTTCAGACATGGTTGGTCCGTGAGTTCGAGTGAAACTTGTGCAAGATGTGCTAAGAATACAGGCTGCGCAAGCGCGCGTAAAGATGCAGTTGCGGCAATGTTGTCAATCATTCGACGTTCCTTCCTTGTAGGATGCGCTGTAGGCAGAATTACTTGTTTAGGAACTTTGATCTGTAGGTCGAAGCATTGAGGCTGATATAGCAGCTTTATGCGCCACCGTAGCACCTCCAACGGCCTCACGGTGACATACCAATCTCCATCCACCAAGATGTACTCCCACGGCTGTGACAGATGAGGGCATGTTTGCGAAATCAGTCTGACTGTAGTCACGGATACCTTATGGATGAATACTAATTGAGAGGGGTCTTCCCCCCAAGGCTAGCGACATCCATTGCAACCGTCAGGCCAACCCTCACATACCGAGGCTACGAGGCTGTCCCTCACTATCCGACAGGCTCTCAGCCGAGGCGGCGGGGTCCTTGATTCTTATGTGCACCACTGATAACAAAGACCTCGCTTAAACGGGTATCTACTCGAGCAGGAAATCACGAGCTTGATGATTACTATCGACACAAATGCTGTTTTCCACTCTTCCAAAAGACCACGAAAGACATTGAGATTGCGATAATTTCTTGGGCCGCGTCAAATCTTGAGTTGAATGTGTTGTTGAACTTATTCTGAGCTTCCTACGGCGAGTGGCGCTACTCCAACTATCTGCATTCGACCTCAGAAGTATTCTGCTTTTAAAGTCCTTGTTGCCGCATTTGGCCGTGGCCAACGAGCATTGGAACCTCTTTTAGAGACCATTCTACAGAGGTCCTTTCAATTACTTCTCCAGGTAGGACCCTAGAGAAATCGATTCGTATCATGTCGTCCAGTGGATACAAGTATGAAGATGTGATCCTCGAGATCAAGGGCAAAATCGGCGTTATCAAGGTATTTCTTGACTTCCCTCGATACCCCGCCCAAGATACTCCCACGTTACGACCAACATATGGCCGACAACCCAGGCTGTCTGTTCCCTTCATTGAAACCATTCACTTTCTTCAATTGCCCTACTCCTTCAAATCTCGAGACTAATACTCCTTGTGTCCAATCAGTTGAATCGACCCAGCAGCCTCAATGCATTCGGCGGTACTCTTCTTCTCGACCTAGTCACGGCACTACGAGAGCTTGATGAGCATCCCGACACCATTTTCACCGTCCTTACTGGTGAAGGACGGTTCTTCTCAAGCGGTGCTGACGTGAAAGGTTCGTTTCTCTCTCTCTCTCTCTCTCTCTCTGTCTGTCTTTCTTGTCCAGCGTTTCTTCCGTGTTTGAATATACCGTCTTCTATCATAAGCTAATAGAAGCTAACACCCATGTCTTCAACACCATAGCCGAGTCAACAGCTTTTGGTAAGGTCTACGCCAGCGCTGCACAGAAGAAGATCGATTATATTGGTGGGATGTACAAGGGTAAGATCTGCCACCATTCACCTCTGGTGTCCTCAAAAAGCGAAATCAAGGGGGAAGACTAACAGTACAGCAACAGCAATCGAACTGATGCGTTCAATGATCGACCACCGCAAAGTGCTAGTCCTGGCCCTCAACGGCCCAGCCGTGGGAGGCGGCGCCGCATGGTTCCCAGGAGTCGTCGACATCATCCTGAGCGTGGAGGACGCATACCTACAAACGCCATTCAGCGCGCTGGGACTGGTGCCCGAATTCGGCTCGTCGACGATCTTCGCACAGTCGATCGGCGTGCACCGGGCGAACGACTTCCTGATGTTCGGCACGAAGCTGACGGCACGCGAGATGCGCGACGCCGGCATGATCAACCACCTCTTCCCGCGCGAGGGCTTCCAGAAGCGCGTTCTCGAGTTCCTCGAGGGCCAGTTGGAGATCAACGACGGCAAGAGCATGATGGAGATGAAGAGGTTGCAGAACATGCCTCTCAGGGGCGAGCGGATTCTCGCTGTCTTCAATGCTGCCGATGCTCTTGCCGAGCGCATCGTCGAGGATGCGCCGAAAAAACGTTTCGAGGAGAAGAAGGCTCTGCTGTTGGGTGAGTCGCCATCCTGGTCACACATCCCACCCTTTCTTCACGGCGTGAGTAGAACAGAGCTCGCTCTTGATTGACTAACCATGGTCATACAGCCAAACGGGGAAAGCAGTCGAAATTGTAAAGGAGACGAAAGTCGGGGTGGATGCGGGCTGCGATGCTGCTACAGGTGTCCACTGTAGTACGCATACAGTGGGGCGATGAATAGAATTGTGCCTACAAAAATATTGCAATTTACAAATGAGCTCCTTTTCCTGGATGTGAAAGTTCCATTGGTGCTGCCTTTGCGATCAAAGACCATGTATGAGTCGTGCTTCAAACCCCTACCTTCGCACACCCGTTCTGCAAGATGTGCACCCGACAAGACCCTCCTAGACCACTGAAACATTTCCCCCTTTATCATATATATGTGTATATTTACCATGGAACCGTCGCGCCAGAGTAATCTCTAAACCCACCATGCGTGCCCTCATCGCCATCACTCTTGAATCTGGCGCTATCCACACACTCCAACAGTCCCGCAACGCTCTTATCAATATCAACGAGCCTGTTGGCGAACTCGGGGCGTTTCATGAGGTCCTTGAGGTCCGGGAATGCGCGGGTCAGGTCCGTCTTGACGGGGCCAGGCGTCAACAGCTCAATGACGATGTCCGTGTATTCAGTGCTCAGCTTGCGGATCAGGTAGTTCAGCGCCGCCTTGCTGAGCCCGTATGGTACGGTCGTTGCATAAGGCATTGTGGGGAGCAGGCTGATCGACGAAGTCCCGGAGGAGATGGCGAAGAATTTGGCCGGGCCGTCGCGGGACGGAGACGGAGCTCGGAGGAGGTGGACTGCCGCGCGGAACAGGTGCAGCGGGCTAAGAGTGTTCAGACTGATCGCGTTGTGGATTTCTGAGGCTGGCACCGAAACGGTGGGCCCGCGCCAGCTCATGCCGCCGGCGTTGGCGATCAGGATGTCAATATGGTCGACTCCGTGGGTGTGCTGCGCGGTGGCGATAGCGGTGGCGGCCGAGTCGGGATCCATCGCTTCGTATGCCAGGACAATGACTCTTGCGTGCTCAGCTTTTGCCAGCGCATGCAGGGATTTCGAAGTCTCGTGTTCTGGATCCCGAACTAGGGCTACCAGAGTCGTGTTCGGCCGCGCGAGAATTAGACCTGCCAGCCCATATCCAATTCCTCGGTTCGCTCCGGAGATGAGGTATGTAGTGGACATGGTAGACCAGTGGGAAAACTTGTGTGGGTCGACAATAGATGGTATTCTGGTGTTCGTCGCAAGACTGAAGATGAAGTCCATTCTTTCATCCCATCTAGGAGGCTCTCGATCTTTATACTACCTAGCTGGTATAAAGTTCATGCCTAAATGGGGCAGCCCTTGGGCCTTTCAAGCTCAAGCCAGGTAGGTTCATCCTAATTCCTTGCCAGATCTACGCTTTCCTGTGCGCCCTATCGCTCAAGTCAGAAGAAGCACACGGCGTGGAATGAGACAAATGCTGCAGGCAGATGCCTATCTCCGCTAAACTCCGATGCACACTTCTTCACCAGTGGACCAGTCCAATGAGTAGTTTCTTGCAATTTGCCGACTCCGCCAGAAAGATGACCGAAGTAACAGGGTCGCCTTTGCGTCGCCTGCGGACGTTGCAGAGCATTAAGCTTATTGCGAGCTTGTTTCAAGTGGGCCGTAGCTGATCAGGAAGGCTGTAGGGGTGTGGATGAATCACCTTTGCGTGCGAATGAGCAGTCACCTTTTAGACCACCCAATGGTATGTACTGCGTTGAGCAGACTTGAGGTGATAATCAAGTGGATGCTGCCCGATCGCGTAGCCTCACAGTACTGAGTTGAAATCCGGCATGCGTTCCCAGAGTCTGATGGGGCTGACGTGCTGGATCACTCATCTGCTGTACATGGAGAGTTCTACATGATGTCTCCTGTTGGGTGGTTAGCTTAGTATTAATGCCTCGAGTGTGGCTCGCCAGGATGCGCAATGTGGCTGAAGGGGCAGTGCCATGAACACGAGGGAAGGAAAGACATGCATGGGCTGCGATTCCAATGCCGAGCACCGCTGGTATTGGATCCGAGGGGAGCATTGGATGAACAGAATTTCGATGGGCTGATATATCTGCTCAAAGGATGCCCGTCTTCACATGATAGGCATCAGATATATATCCTCCTTACCTAGTATTCCCTCGATAGAAACCTCGGAAAGAAGTGGTCAGTGCCAAACCCCACACCAAGCGCTCGGGGTTTGAAAGCCAGGATTACTTGATCATGAAACCGGCAGAAGCTTCAAAGCTATTGATATCTGCAGCGTCTGGGATCTTTGCACATTTCCAAGAGAAAAGAGCTTTGTCGAAGAATTCGGCTGAGGTATGTAAATCGCTGATGCCGAGGTCTATCGCTCGATGGGGTGGGGATTTTGGAGAAGGGACAATCGATGTCAACCAAAACCAAGTATCACCAAATGTTGTCTTCTTGCTTAGTCTGCATCAAGAAGTTCAGATGCCCGTGTAGGTAGCTGAGTCCAAAAGGACACCCCTTATTGGATTGGGATCTTGCTTCAAACTAAGGCAATATGTCGATTTCAGCACTACAGCCAAACTTGGGGCCATCGCCAACAAGACTTCGGCAAATCGCCCTGATTGCAGAGGATCTCGAAAAGGCCAGACATTTATTGGTGAGCGCGCAGATTGGCTTGTATACTTTGAGAGATCCTAGCTGACGATATCGTAATGGACCACCGTCCTCGACACAGAGGTTGTGTTCGTCGACCCTCAAGTCGCTCAGTGGGGGTTGAAAAACATCCTAGGCGAGTATCGTTGACTCCCATGCTTTGAACATCGAGTCTGACATGAACAGTGGCTATTGGGGGAGATATCATTGAAGTATGCTCACCGTTCAAGCCGGACACCACTGTTGGAAGGCTACTTGAAAAGAGAGGCGACGGCGGTTACATGATCATCATGCAGACTAGCGACGCCGCCACCCGAAAGCAATATATCGAGTCCAAAAATTTGGCCAAGGTGATCTTCAGCTACTCTCACGACGATGCTGTATGCGTTCAGTACCATCCCAGAGGAATTCCCGGTAAATTGCTGCTTCATGAGATCCAGTCACTCTGCGTGAACATCCGCTAACACTAGATGCAGGAGGTATGATGCCAGAGTTGGACTCCCATACGCCATCAGCAACAAACCCAACTCCGCTAGCGTCGCCCTATAGCCCATGGCATGCCTGTGGACCGGATTATCCGCATTACTCTTCGGCAATGAAACGACGCTCGCATTTGAGACTCCTAGGTGCAACCTTGCGCCTCGCGCCAGGCCAAAGTGATACTGAGGGCGCCGCACGACAATGGCAGGATTACTTCGGCATCGGCAGAGCAAGAAGTGACTTGGTCTTCACCAATGCAAAACTGAAGTTTGTCCCTGGAGTAGACGGTCTGCCCGAAGGGTTGGAAAGCATAACAATCGAGGTAAAAGGAAAGGACATATTTGACAAGATGCTAGACATCGCGAGCAAAGAAGGGCTCTGTGGTGATGGTTGGGTCAACATGTTGGGAGTCAAGTGGTACTTCATCCTCAAAGATGAAAAAGGAGGCGCTGGAAAAGACAGGAATCAGAGCAAGTTGTAACTTGGACATTCTGGACGAATGATACCGGAGTTTACTTGCAAAATAGCCAAGGAATGTTTTCGCAACCCAAGTCTTCTTTCTGGAGCTTCCAACAACACCAGCGCGTGCGCCAGGATCATCAAGTCGACGTCCGAGGCATGTACCTAGCACTCAACCATTCAAGATCATTCTCGTGCGGCTTGGGCCATTTCGAGTAGTATTTCCACAATTGCTCATCCTTATCCCATTTGCGATTTGGTACAAATGCCTCGACGCTGTAATAGTTATCCCGTGTGAATATAGGCTGGTAACTTGGAGGGCCGCTCCTTTCCAGATATACATCGGTTCCACTGGCAGCTTCGCGATCCGTGAGATGATACAGCCTCGGCCGAAGTGTGGAGATCTTCTCTCCTTTCTTTCGCCACTTCCCTGAGCGAATGATTGTCCGCGTGGTGGTGTCGAGGTGTATCTGCAGGATTCTTGCATATGTGAGTGGGCTTTTCATGGCCTTCATCACGGTATCGGCATTGCGTTGAAGTAATTCGACGTTCCATTCTGGGTTCGTCCCACGCGCAATGATGGGTATCGGTTCCCGATGTTCTAGATTGGTTTGCCAGTGAGCCAGATCAAGGATGATGCAGAGATTGTTCCAGGCGAGCACACAGCTCATACAAGTGCACACTTCGGAAGGGTTCATCGGCTTAATATGCTGATAAGGATTCTTGTGGATTCGTAGTCGGTCTTGCCACCCTTGACTTAAGAGTGGTTGCTGAGCCGGGACAGGCACATAAACCAACGAAACTGGTAGCGGGAAGCATTGCCTGAGAATCCAATATCTCCTCCTGATGATCTCTTCGGCGACTGTACTTTCATTCTCTAGTATGAAATTTCTCATGGACATATTCAGTATCAACAGTTTGCTGACATCGGAAGGCAGGAGGTATCCAAGCACCGCCAGCAGTAATTCCGGTGGCAAATCCTGAAAAGACTGAATACCATGGGAATGAGCTTTGCGTATGGCCTGTTTCTTATCTGCTCGCCGTTGCAAGCGTAAGGTCTTCTTTGAAATCAATGCCAATTTCGCGGTCCTGTCGATGAGTGGTTCAAGCTCGGAGTCGGACGTCCCAGAAACCACAGATGGCGTCGTGTTGCTCTGGGTTTTCTTAACACCAGTGACTTTTGGTTGACGCCGCCCGGGAAAGATTATCGTGACTTGGTCATCACTGCTCTGCGCTTGCCTTTCGGCTTTTCCTGCCGTATCAGCCTCATCTGTGCTGCTCACTGATCCTGCTGTCATACGGGCTGTCGTGTAGAGCTGGGTTCAGTGTCCAGGCAGACAAAAGACCTTGAAATTGGGCGCAAGATATGGCGGTTGCCACTGCCAAGGCCGACACGATGCTGGGTGTGACTCTCGGCCTAGGCAGAATACGGTTAGGGCTGCCAAGGAGGGTAGGATTCCCCCCTTCATTCAAGATCAGCCTGATGCGGACCAGGCTGGCGCCACTCTTCTCATCCGTGGCGCATCAGCACAGAAATATGTGCACCTACAAGGCATAATTCTTGAATTGGCCTAAGGGATTTTTCCAGTAGGATCTAATGACCGTAAGCTGTGAATAGGATTGGGTAGATTCTAGGAATAGTGTCTCAAGGTCGAGTCTCGAAACCATGTATTCATTGATGTTGAGTGAGAATTTGAGATATCTGGCTACCAAGCTGCGTTTTTACGATCGCACAGCAGTAGCACTAGCACTGCCCTTGCTGGAACCATCTGTGCTCGCCATCCCCACGAGATTCCCATATTTCAGGGTATTCGTAGTGGCCGAGAACTGCTGCGATGATGGTGACACCGTCAGAATCATCGCGGAAGTACTATCTTTGCTACCCAGGAAGTGCTCGCGAAGCGCCATCGTAAGCGGTGCCGAGCGGAATGGGATCCGGGGGAGGCCCAGAGCACGCGCACGGAGGACCTCCTTTAGCCCAAAAAGGTCGGTGTTGATCTGTCTCCCTTCTTGCCGTTCCTGCGGACTCGGCGAGGGCCCCAGCGTGGACGTGCCGGTCCCTTGCTCGAAGTATTCCGACCCGGCCAGATCGACAAAGACGAACTTGCCGCCGAGGCATGAGTGCAGACTGGAGGCGAATACATGGGACACATCCGCCTCGGCTTGCGCAACTCGGGCCTCGCATTCGCACTTCTCTGCCTCCGCTGCGTCAATGCGAGCTTGGTTGGGTCGGCAGTCTGGATTCTGCCGGTACGTCCCGTCTTCGTTCTTGATCAGGCTGCGAGTCACTTCCTCCAGGTAAATGTCCGTCGCTCGCTTGCCGACAGGAACCAGTGCGGACTGTCGCTCGATGACCGCGTTACGAGCCTCGAGAAGCGTCGAATTCACCACCTCCAGCTCCAGCACCGCATGTGTGCGAGAACTCTGGTCGTGGACTGTCGATGAACCCGTTTTCCTCAGTTGCAGTCCTTCGAGAAGATGCTGACGGACCTGGTCGAATGTCCAACAAGCCCGAGTCTGGATCGGACGGACTCGCACTTTTCCATCCTCCAGCATCTCCGTCTCCCCTCGAATGTGAGTCTTTCCGTCAGGACCTTCACGGATGTAACACTCGTTGTGCCCGTTGAGGAGGTCGAACGCGCTCTTTCGTCGTAGTTCGTAGAGCCGCAATCCCACACCGAAATTTGCGTGCGTTTGTCCTTCAACTTCGGAAAATCCTGCATTCAATTCGTCAATGGCAACCGTGAGCTCGCGTGCCGCACCAAGGAACAATCCGAGGTTCTCGTCACGCTCATAGTCGTAGCCGACAATCGTATGCGTTTTCCCACTGCCAGAGTGGCCATAGGCAAAGAAAGTACAAGTGCTCCCATTGAGAACCAGCGGCAGCGTAGGCGCCACCACCTCTCGATAGACCACCTGGTTTCCAGCACCAACTTCAAAAACGCCGGTGAAGGATCCCGCGCCGCTCTTCCAGGAACGGGTCTTACGGGTTTTCGGATCCGCTGGACCGTCTAGCGAGATGGACATGGAAGACTCCTCCTCGTCCTTGTCATTCTCCACCGTTTTCCGCTCGATCTCGGGCAGCTCACTCTCGGAAGCGCTCAGCGGTCGCCACCGTACGAAGACCTTGAATCGCTTTAATTGTGCCTGTGCTGGAGCGGAAGACATCTTTTCTCGAGCTGGCTTGCTAGAGGACGTGCTCAAATTCCAGAAAAGTACATCGGTTCACGCACAATGTCCAGGTCAGTTTGGGTTTTCTGGTGGAGGTTGCCAAACCCCGTCACAGCAGACAGAAAAGAGTGCGGTTGCGGCGCACGCTGAAATGGCGGTTGCCAATTTCTGAATTTGGAGTCGGCGCGTCGGGCAGGCAGACGCGGCGCACAAGAAGTAAACAATAGCCTCACCTCCCGTCTTGTATGGGTTTGTGTGGCGATGATATCGTCCTCCCGGCGTCTGGAGATAATCAATAGAGCGGACTGATCCGCTGTCACGGACTCACAGGTGCCTGAAGTGGACGATCACCAGGACGCTCTGAGTGGTGAACGCTTGCGCATAATAAGGTCTGCTCGATGTTATGACAACGGAGTCTAAGATTGAATTTAGTCAAACACACTAACTGTCAAGCGATTCTCATACGCATAAATCGAATCCATTTGTCGCTCGCTTGGGCCAGCCATAAAAAGAGTATGAATAACCAATTGCCAATATTTCTCTATATCAAATTCTAGTGTTTATTCTATATTGCTCCGTGTCCAGATTTCCATCGCTTACATGTTCGTAATCCAACTCCCCAAGAACAGTAATAGCGTCCATGGCCTCTTGAAATCGAGGTTGGTAGATACCAGTGCCCGGGGTTGCACAAGGATCTCCAACGTTACATTAATCGATTGTATAGTGATGATGCCGGAAGCGCGAGTCCAAGAGCGGGCCAAGTACTCGACCGGATTACTCCTCGTGCTCCAGAGGGCAAGTGGCTTCCCGTACCCTTAACATGAAAGTTGTTGCATCAGAAAGTCAGCCGGAGAAGATCGGTCATGAAGGTCATCGAGGCAAGCATCGTTGCCAATAGGGCGTTGAAAAGGCAGGCTTGGTTGATAATGAGACAACATCCGCCGTTTGGTTCGGCAACACGTCGTTGAGAGCAGTGCTCGAGACGAGCCAGGAGTGTTGTAGAATGTGTAATTAAGTATAATGCAAAGCATATACCTCACGTATGTCGTAACGTCGTAAACGTCATCAGATGTTGATAAATATGACATGCCGTTCATTCAATCAATGACCGTCCACAGACCATGTTGCATCCTCACAGTCACCTCGCGATTCTTTGAACACTTTGACGCGTTCCAACATCCATCCAGAAGTCGTCTCCTTTTTTGGGTCTGCTGTGCGACCGAGCTTGATAGACTTTTGGAGCTTACAGGTCCCAGGATGCCAAGACCATTGAACACACTCTGTGTTGTCCTTGCAGGCTTCTATACAGTCATTCGCCGACTCGGCAGATTTTTTCTGAAGTTCTGACAAGTCGTCCCACATTTTTTGCTTTTCTTCGTCATTCTTCCAATCCCAGTCGTTGTCCTCCTTTACATGGTCTGCAGCTGGTTTTGTGTAGGTCATGTCGCCAGAGAGATTGTCCCAATCGACCTTCTCCTCCGTTATAATAGGTTCGACGAAGTATTCAAAGGCGTCTCGATAGAGATACGGAACCGATCCAGGATCTTCGTCATCCCAGGTCTTGTTCAGCCACTCTTTCTCAAAGTCCCACAAAGCTTCAACCTCGAAGGTGGGCGAATGATGCCAAGTGATTGCTGGTTTACACCAATATGCATCCGACCAGGTCAGGCCAGAAGGTGGGTCGACCTGGAACATGGGCCAAGCACCGCTTACACTGACTCCAGCATGACCCATAGCGACTCCAAGCATGACATCGCCACAGCAAATTGTGGACGTTTCCTTTTCCCAGTCTGCAATCTTTTCTGGAGTTCGAATTTCCTCGAATTTCTTGACCGAGGCTTTCGAGAGAAGATAGCCGGTACCACCCTGTGCAAATGCTGTAGGTCCATGCCAATAGACGCAGCCAGCGTATAGTGGCTCTTCTGGATCCATCTTATTGAGGAGAAGGAGCAGGTTGGTCCAGCCGAGATAAGTATCCGCGTCAATGGTCATGTACCAATCGGCGTTAGGATAGACAGTATATGCTTTGTGTAGCATTGGAATGTTCTTCCATTTGTCCAAATTCCAGCCCTTCTCGGAGCCGAGCACACTCACATCTCCGTGGGCAGCGTGTGCGGTATGAACCTGATTGTAGAACTTAAAATCTTCGTGGTTCTCCTTGTACTCCTTTCCGACCTCGTCAAGGGCGTCGTAGATGTGGAAGTCACCCATGTCTTGAGCCATGTCAGAGAAGACCATGAAATTGGGGACACACTCGGCAAGCGTCAAAAGTTGCTGAGGAAGGCGGGCAAATGCCTCGGTGGCCCCGGTCTTAACGATCACGACGACCTTGTCTGCGCCTGGCAGTAGGCGGCATGGAGGGACGGCTAATCCATCAACGTAAGACGTCGGGATCTCGGGCTCCGAGGGAAGAGATTCGGTTTGTTTGTAGGTTTCTTCATTGCCCTTGGCCTCAGAGTTGTCAGAAGGGTCAGAAGGGTCTGAGAGATCGGATGTGTCGGATGTGTCTGCGCTGTCGGATAGGGTTTGGTTGTCGTCGTTTACGGAAGAATAGCGATCAGGGTCAACATCGCTCACATCCTCAGCATAGCCATATCGGAATCCCGACAGCCAGCTTTTTGAGTCTGCAGAAACTGTTTCAGGGTGGCCAGGAGCGGGTAGGTAGTATGAGCGGAATACTAGGAGCGACAAGAGAATGAGAAAAATAATGGTCAGGCGGACGGGGCCGAGGCCTCGAGGGAGAGCGAAAGCCATGGAGGTATTCCGGCAGAGAGTGCTATTCCAAACTCAACGCTGAGGCTCGACGGGAAGGGACTATATGTTGGACAACATGAGTTCAGAAGCAACGAACAGAAATGAGCGTGGTCAAGGTCAAGGGACAGTGAGTGATGGTTGAAGTTTAGGAGAAAACATGTGGTGCGATGCGAGATGCGAGATCTCGAGGGCACTGGCAAGGGATGATAAAATGGACAGCTGAGGTGGATAACGACAGGGGCGAACGTGCAGGCGGGTCCAGGGAGGGCGTGGATAAGGAACGGGTGCCACTGCAGATATGCACAGATGCGCATGCGCATGTCATCTCTTATCAGGGGGGGGGCCCACGGACCGCCGCGTAATTTTCGGGAGGGGGGTGGGGGAGGGGGGAAGGTTTGTGTGAGGCTGGGCGTTATCTTAACCAGCAAATGCCTACGAGTAAGTACTCAGCACCCCCACCAGTGCCCCAATCAAGACATGCAGCGTATTTCGGACATGAAACGCACATCATCGAAGAAATGATTTAGGCTCTGTTTAGGTGCTTGCCCAGGGCCGAGGGGGCCCTGGCCACCTAAGTTCTGGGTCTAGGGACCGTAACTACCTATCGTCAATGCCTATCTGTCCCAGTAATTCCAACGAGTAGGTTCCATTCGCATGCATTACCACCAACGCCCGCCAATTGCTTCAACTAAATTAGAATGCCCCGCTCCGACCTCTCAGCACCTACCAGCTATCAAGCTCACTGAGATTCCATCGCTTAATCGCCATCTGCAGGGAAGATCTCTCCCAGTTGGTTCGCCAGGCCTTCGACGCGATTAATTTGCGACAGCTGTCGTCCCTCGCCAGCCCTGACGGGTGGATAGGCTATGCTATGTCATGCTCCACGGGTTAGTTGACTAGATTGCCAGCTACCCCTTTCTCTTCCACCGCACTGCGAAAGACCTAAGATGGAGAGAAGCGTACGTCTCCTCTGACTCCGGACCTCATGCAATTGACTGTGACTAAATTAGTGCCTGTTCCGTGGCCGGCAACGTTGCAAAGTCCGGTGCTGTCGCAGTCACAACGGCGTTGGTACGTATCTTGAAGGTATGTAAGATGTCCTTCCATCATCCTGCATGTCTGCATCTCTAACTTTTCCTTGCCGTCTGGCATCCAGTCCCTTGATCAATGTTGCCATCATTGTTTGTGACAATTGTCATTCACGCCAATATGTCCACCCTATTTTCAATATCCGCGGATTTTCCAACGAGCGCCTTTGATAAGTAAATATATAAATGCGGTTGCCTTTGCCAACAACAGCGGGAAAACAAATTGCACCCCAGCACCCGCCCTCCTCAAATTCGGTGAAATATTCCATGTTTCAAAGTGGGCAAGATCATCTGGTATCATCTCGTATCATCTCGGAGATCATCCCGATGTTTGCGGGACTTTCAAGGTTGGGCTCAGAGACTCCAAGCTCTGTAGCTGGGTTGGAGACATACTGCTGGCCATGGGATTGTGAGTCGCTTCGTCAGGAGGACCCAGCTCAGTGTCGCTTGAATTGTCGTCGATACCCATATCCACCGAATCAACCGCCGCCATTCCCGTCTCGATTACTTCTGATGAAGCAGGGGTAGGGGCGGCGGCCACATCTGATGGCCTCGACTCGTTCTCCTGTGTCCCTCTACGAGAGTGGCTGGGTGAACTCGGGTATCCAGAAGATCCCACACTAGACACGAGGGGGTTGAGTCTCTCAAAGGGCAACTCGAGGTCTGTTTGAGGCCCACCGATGTTCTCCTTGTAGGCTTCAAGGTAAAAGTCGGGGTTCGCTTCGAGGTCGGAACTCAGCTGGTCGGTGATGCTCCTCATCGATTGTACCAGTTTCTCAGCCTTCCTACGTTCGTCCCGGTTCGGCTGTAAAAGCTTGCGGATGTTCTTGATTAGTCGGATGAAGGCTCGCATCTTGTTGCATTTGGCCTCGAGTTCTTCAAGTACTCTCTCAACAGCAGGCTTCAACACGTAGCCAGCTTTAGTCTTCACCCAGAATCGATCCTCGCTGTTTCTAGGATCAGCACCGGAGAATTCGGCACGTTTTGTTGAGAAACCAGCGCCATCATCCCAGTGGAACCTGAATAGCCATAGATGCAATTCCAGAAAGACACATCCCAAGGCCCACATATCAAACGACTTGGACACATTTCCATGTCTCTCCCAGTCAGGAGCAAAATACGTTTCTGTTCCCCCGGTTTTAGAATATTGCTTACTCCTTTTGTCATCATTGGGACCTGCATAAAAGTGACCGGCGCCAAAGTCGGCAATCTTGAACGTTGGGTCCTTGTTTGGTACCCTTTCGAAAACGAGGATATTCTCTGGTTTGATGTCGTGATGACAGCCTTCAATGACAGCCCCATCCTCGCTGCCATCCTTGATCCGATGAACGTGGTCGATGGCATCCGCCAGCCCACCAAGTTGTTTGAAAAACCACATCATGACTGGCTGCCTCAACGCAGGAGGCTCTACATCCGTCATGTACGATCTCAAATTATGGGCGGCTTTGGGATAGAGGATGAAGTGCTGATCAGCCTGCGACCATGCAGTAATGTGGCCAGCAATATGATCGTGCCCGTGCGGGGTGAGGACGTCCAGCATCGATACCTCACTCAAGAATGCCGCTGTCGCTAGGTCGTTGCTAGCGAATGTTTTCAGGGCAAAACGGCAATCGGGGTCCTATAATTGTCAATGACTAGTATTCTAGCATGGAGTGGCTCACCATTTACCCCTGGGAAAGAATAATGAGATCGATCAATGATGACTTGCGTGACAACTCCATAGGCGCCCTGACCAAGTTCACGCTCCTCACAAGGCGGGTGCTGCAGAGGTACCACCTCTTGCGTAGTCAGCATATGCCGCTTCTGACCCTTCTTGATATTCCTGGGGAAGAAGGTGTGGATATTATTCCTCAGCTGTGCATACTTCGCTGTGCATTCCTTATCCCCGCACGTCGTGCTCGGTTGGGGCCGTGTTTCGTCGTTAAACCCATGATCAATAAGGTGTTTCAGCTCATCAAGGTTGAAGCGGCTGAAGACGCAGAGCACAAGAAGTTTCCTCGCAGGGAATGTCTGCACCTTCCTCAAGAATCTGGCTGTCTCAAAATGACTCATGTTCACAGAGGCATCCTGGTCCAGGAGGTTGCGTGCTACCGACACATCTAAGAACACCTCAAGATCACACGCAGGAATGTACTGCTGTTCTTTAAAATTCGTGCACACCTTCTTTTCAAGCCCCAGTCGTATTGCTTCTGCGTAGTTTTCGGAAGGTAGTGGTCTAAGTCGCGCAGAAGAAAAGTCCCAGTGTACCTCGAGGGACGGAAGAGAGAAGAGATTTTTGGATATAAATCCACATATGTCTCGAATTGCATATTGACTCAAGTCTTCAATGTCATCGACTTTGGAGAATTCACCTTCGGAGTTCAGATCAGAAGGGCCTTTCACCTGACAAGAGCCGTGCCTAATGTATATTTCGTGACCGTCTAGCTCAGGGCAAGCCTGCACATGATGGTTGATAATCTGGGCAGGACTGAGCTGATCGTAGCTGGCTTGTGCCGTCCACTCAAAACCACAGAGTTCCCTGGGTTTAAACACCTCATTGTCGCCATTGAATAGAAGATGCACCTTCACCTGGATCTGGAAGGGAAAGGCCACATCTGTTTTGGTTCCACTGCTGATAGAAGGGGGTACCTTGCGTTTTTGGCTCTGCTGTGTCGCATACGGACTGTGTTCTGCAGGGATGCCGAGAAGCGCCTTGACTTGTTGCGGCGCGACCCGACTGTGAGTAGACGAATTCGTTTTCCCCACAATACTCGAAGCCGTTGGCGCTCTCACCAAGATTTGAGGCGGTGCTTCAGCGGAGATAGATGATGTTCCTGCAATCTGACCAGAATACATAGGAGGAGAGGTCCTGTCCGAACCAACAAATGGTTCGGTTGTTAGGTCAGTCCGGCCAGCGGCAAACCGTCCGAGCTCTTCCGTTCTCTCATCGCTGCTATGAGAAGTACTCGCTGTGGTGGAGGAGTCTGACAAATTGGCATTGTCAGGAGCCATTCTTCTCAGGACTTTCCGCCCCAGAGGCTGGGTGTGTGTACCATGAAAAGGCTGGTCTGCAGCCACGCTTGGGGAGGGTGCCGGTGAAATTGATTGTGGAGCGTGTTCATCAACATTACCATCTTTGTGGGTGTCTGGCACAAGCGAGGGAGAGTCAAAATCCAAGTTTCTCACAGGTAGGCGAGGACTAGGGCTTTCCGCAGCAGCCTTTTCAGCCGCCGAATGGCGCTCGAGGGACGCTCGGATTCGTTTTGGAGCATGTCGAACAACTTCTTCGTGGGGATCCTCTGAAGGGTTGAATGAAATTCTCCGTGGTACTGTTGATGGATCCGCGGTTTCATCCTGTCCGGATTTCTGCGGTCCTGTGATGATGGGTCAACAAATCCCACTCGCCTCTAGAGTGTCAGTGGCTCTCCTACCGGTCATCAATATTGCAGATCTATGTCTCTGCTTCAGCCTTCCCCACCATTCTCTAAAGCCAAAGTATGGCATATTGCCTGACGGCTAACACCGAGGAGACCATGACGGCAGAGATAGAACGGGGTCTGAGGCTGGAATAAAGCCATCAATTCTGTTGGAGCAGCATACGGCTCCCACCCTGCCTGGGAAGACTGCCACGGAGTTCTAAGATCTGCAAGCTAGACCGATGGTCCGTCGGCATCATGGTGAGGACACCAATGGGCATCGCTTATGAGGCTTGTGGCGTAAGGCCGTGCCCAAACCCGCACAAGCATTTGGTACACGCTTGTAGAAGACTTCGACGCAGAAGGGTGGACATCATCCGTAGGAAGGGTTCCATCATGGGAAAGGCAAGGTTCTCTGCAGGAGTTAGTGGAGGCTGTTGACCAAATGCAAGACGTTGCATGATCGGTCCAGGTCACCGTGAACACGAGGCGAGGCGGCCTTGGAGGGTGAGTTACTGGTACGCAGTCACCCGAGTACCGAGTGGCGATTAGGGCCAAAGTGCTTAGCCTCATATGGCGTCCGCTGAGCCGCATGGCATGAAGGGTCGCTTTTCGCAGCCAAAAGGAGGCTCGGTTCAGTTGAGCCTCTTGTGTCATTCCCTCAATTCGTTGTTCTGGGTGCTCCTCTCCTTCCCGAGTTGTTCCCAGCCTCGAGAAGACCCGAGAATCGACCAAGATACCAAGCTGCTATCTATCTTGCCTCCAGTCCACCATCAAACAGAACATCATGCTGCAAACCTGTACGAGGACGCCCACGGAGCCTCCCGGCGCATTCACTCAGCTTCATCCACCACCTAGGATACTGCCCATCGACTTGTTTTTGGACATAGAACCACCAGACGTACAAAGTCACGCCAGTTAGTGGAAGAGCAATAACAATGCTAATCCACCAGTCCTTTGTAAGTGCTATTTCCGAGCTACCGTTGGCGCGGGACGTAAAATTGACGAACGATGTTGAGCAGAAATTCTACACAAGGAGACGTACAGTGTCAGAGGACGCCTTGTTCGCATGAATCATTCTGTAGCAAAACTTACAAGCACAGCAGTTGTTGGCAAGTATACCAGTGTCACTATGGTTAACACTTTGACCGCGGCTGCGTCACGAGCTGCCTTTTCTGTAAGGGCGTGCATTGTAGCATTCTCTGCCCGTGATTCGATAGCCAGCACCTTCAAGACATTTCCATTGTCCAGATCAAGGATATTGGCAACCTAGGCAAAATGATGAGTCCATTGAAACCATGTTTTAGGGTGGCAATTACCAAAGCGGAGGCACTTCGAATTTTGGTTCTCAGTGAGTCAGCCTGAAGACGGTGATGCTTTAGATCGTTCGCCTTTTCCCTCAGACCTTCCGTGATAACTTCAAGATATCTGCCGCTGACACTGTCGTTTGAACGCTTAGTTTTTGGGAGGTTGCTTCTTGGGCTGACATGGTGCCTAATGAGGGTGTTGCATGTTTCCAGGGTTGAGTTCAGCGCACTCAAAAGGTCAGTGATCATATCTTCGAGCTGCTTGAGATATTGTCCTTCTTGCAGCCGGGCAAGTTGGGCGCCGTCGCCTTCGAAATCGGCCGCAATTGCACGATCACCCTAGAGTCGACATGTTAGACAGTATTTGGACCGTTACTAGGTAATGTCTCATGTACCTGTTGGCGCACTTCTTCGGCGACGTAGATGAGATATCTTGTCTAGGTCCCTACCACAACGTTCAAGACCAGGAGATGGATTGCAAAAGGATCTTGGGTCTTGTTGATACAATCCGCCGCCAAGAAGTGTCCTATCTGGCCGCGTATGGATGGCGAGGCTGAGATAAGAAGCCACACTGACCGCTGGGGATCTTCTCGATGCTGATAGTAGAGCTGTGCTTGTCGGATCGACCATAGATTACTTTCGTGTCGATGGTTAAGTTCCACAAATTTCAAGATGTAGATGCATTCTGAAACAGTGAGCATTGTCCACTTGTTCAGCAGCAGCCATCATATTTACCAAAGGATGGCTTGATGCTGCTTGAGGCAGGGCCTAGCCAATGGAAATGTATTCGTGGAGGACTGAGCTCATTCTCGCCATTCCGGAGGCCGAAGCAACACACGAAATCATACACCTGATGAGATGCCTGCATTTCAGACACTAGGGCAGAAAAGATACCGAAAGTGACATTCAGACGACTCAACGAGTTTCTTCGAGTGATGTAGCTATCACGTTTAGCAACAATCGATCCAGCTTTCATGGTTCATATCATACATAAATAAGGTGGATGTTGTGGATATCTTTCAATTTTGTCAACCGACATTTCAAGACAAAGGGGATCAATACCTTCAAATTCTGCTTTAATTCATCGACAGAAGGATTGCTCAGCACGATCTCTGGGGTAGGCTTGTTATACGGGTCCCCGCCCAGTCTGTTCTGAGGGTCTTCAGCAGTGTTCTCCGACCCCTTGACCTGGACGAATGTAAGGCGGCATTGGTTGGGATCGTCCACGAAGCAAGATGCTACACGCTCATGTAGGTAATCTTCAGCCGCTGAGCTTTGACCGATCAGTATCGCCCGCCGCACATACTCGGACAGGTCCATAGGAAACCCACCAGATTGTTGACTATCTGCGTCGAGCTGGCGTACATGGCAAACATGATAAGGCTAAGTGGGTGTAATCTAAGTAGCTAGGTCCCCCCATCCATTAGCTTGACCTCTCACGTTGTTGCTTATGGCCGTGGGGTATGGCACTCCCGAGAGTGGCCTGTTGCGGTGTGCCTCTCTATCTAGTTAGACAGGCAAAGGAGGGCGACAAGACCTGGGGAGACCGAGTTTAGAGACAAACTGCTGGGCGAACCAACTCCAAACAGAACCGGCAAGCGAGACTGGGCGCAAGCCATTCGATATGCACACCACTCCTTGCCCCAGCCGCCAGTCCTTGTGTCGGTGCTTAACTTGTAACACTCAATACCCAGAAGGAGGGCGCCCGCCGGCCTGAGGGGCGTCTGAATAGACCATAACTTCTCCCTGTGGCGACTTGAAATGAACCCCCTGCAGGTCTTAGCCGCGCACCTGGCAGTATCCGGGGGCGCAGACACGAAGCTGGCTGCCTCGGCTGCCTATTTGTTGCTCTCGTTCGTGTTCTTTTGCTGCGAGATAAAATGGTACTTTCTCCTTTCTCGTAAGGTCTCGACGCTCATGCGTGGTGCTCGCACTTCACCGGTTACAATCCTCATTTTGAATCCTACTAGCCGGCTTGGAGGTCTGGACTCGTGGCCATGGGGCCAAAGCGACTCTCAAGTCTACACGGTATTGATAGCAGCAAATGACCTGGGCGTCCGAGGTAACAAGGCTGAAAAACAGGCTAAAGACTATATAAGTTGAGATACTATCGCATCTCAATGCTGTTGTCTATCACAGACCATGTAGTCGTGACAAGTGTATTCTGCCACACACTTCTCCATACGATCCTCTCTTCAAAAAAATACAACCTATCAGCATTGCGTGGCACATATTTGAGGACACATCTCAATGGCACAACAGATCATTTCCAGCAAGAACATCCACAAACGTCGGCTTAACAGCTTGCTCGAAACACTCCATCCTTCTCAAGATGACGAGAAAAAGAGATTTCAGATTCGGCGCAGACTCGATACCTGGATAGTGGAAGTCCCTACTCCTCTCAACACAGACCAAATAGCCAGTCTCAAGATATGACAAACACTAAGCATCACTGCCCTTTCTCTATCCAGTAACGGATGAGCCGATTGAGTGTCACTCCAGGCTTTGGCCACACGATACCTCCAAGGCTCCTGTTAATCGCGCATTTCTACTTATGGAACTAGTAGAGTTATCTACCATCAACTTCACCCACTCCTTACTAGGCTATTGGCCATTCAGCGACCCATCAATACTCAGCTCTTCTTCAATTCACCATACTCAGCAAGACCTTCATAGGGTTCGATTTTCAGCCGGTGGCAGCTGCCCATCAACCCTTTCTCTCCACCAAATCCTATGGGCATAGGAGGACGTCAATGTAGGATTCATCGATAGAGGAGACGTTTCATCCTCTCGTGCATTTGACGGTCTCCCGAGCATTAATAACTACTTAGGTAGCTTACGTACCAGCTTCTTTGTCAATACAAAAAAACCGAAATGGATCAGAGCTCCGACGTACACTTTTGAAATTCCGAGTCCATTTGATGAATAGTCACGCACCCTGCTACGATTTCTGAAGCCGCCTTCGTGCGCAATACCTCCTGGAAAGTGGTGGCATTGTGTGCGTGACAAAGTGACGCCGTTTTATATCTGAGCCACCTCTCAAGCACCACGACTTCGCGCAACGCTGAGAATGTAAAGCATGGGAAACTCGGTTTCCGCTGGTGTCCACGACCTACTCGTAGTTCACTAGATTGAGTCTTTCGCTACTAGAGTACTGATGAGGAATCCTCCCCGCAATGCCACGCGGCACGGTTATCAGGTAAATTTGCAAAGGTGTTGTGGCCCGTCCTTCAGCATCAGCCCATCAGCCCGTCAGCAAAAGTCCGCATAGGGTGGGGCCCGGCAAGGGGCTGAGCCTCGCCATGCTGAGTCCGAACTTCCAACGGGTAGATATCCAATCTAAAATGCTTTTAAGGCACTCATATTGCCGTTTAAATTGAAGCATTTGAGTACCTCATGCCAAGGATCATGAGGTCGAAAATGTGTAGGATAAGGCTGTTAGAAAAGGTGGCTAAGGTCTTGCCATTGAGTAAACTTGCACAACCGCACAGGAGGGCGCCTCAAATTGAAGGCGGACAATCACGTCCGAGCATAGTTCTTCTCCAATTATTTCCCAGAGACAGCGCACGAGGTATATATCGGCAGGTGGCAGCATTCCTAGCCCTGATAAAAATGCTAGCAGCTGAATTTGAGCTTGAAGCAATGCCAAGCCTAGCTCCGCGTTGGTGGTTCCTACATACCTGAGTAATTCGGACAAGGCACCAACAAAGTACACAAGAATCAGATCGCCTTCACTGATATACCCACATAGGCGGAGAAGCCGACCACTGATTATGTTCTCATATACCCCGTGTACGAAAGTGTGCCTCGAGGAGTTGCATTTCCTCTAGGAGTCAGGCTTGCAGGCTTGACCGCATGCGCAGCACCAGAATATAAACTGAAATTTCCCATTGTTCAAACCAAATTTCGAGTCTGCTCTCGAGCACGTCTCAGAAGAACTCAACCAAAAGTCGTGATAATGGCAATCTCAGATGAGCGCACAAGCATTTAGCGAGGTGTGTCCGCTACAGCGAGAGCAGGCCCAAAGAAACAGCGGTTCACCTCCTATGAAGTGTGGTTCATTGCCCAAGTGCCATGATAGCACGTCTTCGGTGTTTACGCCCAAATTGCGGGAAATGGTCAAGCTTATGCAAGGCTGGATTGACTGGACGGGACCGGGAGATCCTGCATTCCCCTTGAAACAGGCTGTTGATGACCCCGCCACAATGGCCTTCCAAGGTCGATTCTCAGTGAGTGATTGGCCCGATAATTCGAAGCCCACGGTCGGCGCCGGTAAGCTCATACCAATTATACGGCAGAACAGGGAACTAATCAGGCTTTCCATTGAGCTTGGCTTCTGTTATTGAACGAATAAGGGGCCAGAACGCGCACTTCGTTTCTAACTTAGATTCTCGAGCTCGGCCTCACGTGGCGAGGTCATGGAGTCGTCAGATCCTGTTGGCCTAAACCCCTGGTGATGCCTTCGCCACACCGTTTGAGGCCGTAAAAGTGAGCTTCGGGTCATGCAAGAGACGATTATATCTTCTCTGCTTGCAGACAACAACAAGTTGCCCAAAATGCACATTAGCATGTTTGCAGTCATTCATTACTACTACTAAACAGAGTTTTCTATGGGTCTTCTGCTTGTTGGAGCTCTCTTGGGCTTCTGGGTCTCGACGGCGTATGGCGATGCTACCAATTTGGCCCTGATAAACTTGACGCCCTACCCGTTGCGGCAAAATGGGAATCCCTCCTCATACCAAATGAAGAAATGGGATGATGCTTTTCCAAAAGAAATACCAAAGGGTAATCTGATCCGATCAATTCATTGCACAAGTTCTGAGCTTCTACAGGAACCAATCAACCAGCCTTCGTACAGCTAAAAACTGGAATATTAACAAATGAAGGTGATACAGCGGCTGAATTCTACTATACCCTGGATGACGGTACCAAAAATGGCATTCAGCTGGCTCTCGATATGGCTGGCAAATCTCCCAACTATGAGGTCCTTCTTCGGGCTAATTTTGACGGGATCAAAACTCAAAACAACCCTTCATTTGTCGATGTCGGCTTTCTAGACGATGATGAGGAGTGGACACCTTTTATCATCGCTGGTAACAAAGATTCCTATGTAGGCAACAACCCTCCTACAGACTGGATGCACCAGAATCTCCCGTTTCTTGGGTGTCGTTCTCTGCAGCAATTATCGCTGCCAGGATCGCATAATGCCGGCATGTCGAAGGTTCAATTCAGCACCGCATTCTCTTCGCCTTCAAACACCCAAACGCAACAATTAGATATATTAGGGCAGCTCAACGCTGGTATTCGATATTTTGACATTCGTCCTGTGATTTCACACGGAGACTACTATACTGGACACTACTCATATATCAAAGATGTTGATTCGAACCAGGGTTCTGTGGGCCAGAAGATGGACGATATCATTGACAATATTAACAAATTCACCGATGCCAACAAGGAATTGATCATCCTTTATATGTCTCACTCGAGCAACACAGATGCCGACTACGACGCCTTCAACGATGACGAGTGGAATGGGATTCTTCACGACCTTACGGATGGTTTGAAACACAGATGGACGGTTAAGACGGACAAAGCTCTCACCAAGCTCTCTCTCTCCGACTTTATCAAGGATGGACCTGCGGTGGTAATTGTGGTCGACGAGCGGGACCAGTCGTTCCTCGACAAGCAAGGGTTCGCTGGGAAAGGCTTCTTCCCCGCTTCGCAATTCCCAAAATATGACAACTATGCAAACACCAACGAGCTCGACGTCATGCGTGACGACCAATATAAGAAGTTCACACAGCAACTTTCGAAACCTGATAACCCAGATCAAGTCTTCTTGCTTTCTTGGACGATGACACTGCTGGATGTCGACAACCTGAATCTTTTGGACAAAATCACTACTCGAGCGGATTTTGTGAACAATAGACTTGCAGCCTTGACAGGAGACAAGGCTCATCTATCACCGTTTTTGTGGGATAAGAGACTCCCCAACATCGTTCTGATTGACAATGTGCGAAAGAACAAATATTTGACGGCGCTATCAGTAGCTTTTAATCGGTTCACGAGCGCTTGTTGAGAGCTTTTGAAGCACTTTGCAACAACGTGGTTGACAGATAGAATAGGCCCGGGTCAAGAGTATAATGATGGTTCAGGTGTAATGGTTCAAATGGAAGATACCACTTCTGGAATGCTACTCAAGGATTGCGGGAGGAGTCCAACGATAATGCGGCATATAAAGCACTAGCAAATACCCATATATAGCAAAATATCACATCGCCAACGAGGAATTGAGTTTCTATTCTGTTGTCATTGATTGATAGACGTCAGGAATGTGGTGATATGGGCGTCTGTCTCGAAAGCGAACAAGCAGCCTTGTCATTGACATGGACAGTTCGTTGACAGACTTCGTCACTCGTGAATCAAATATGAAAGATTCACATGTCAGCAGGTTTGGGAGGTCCTTCAATGTGAGGGCCCACTGAGGCAGCTTCTATGTCATCAACCTGTATGCTCGTGAAGCGATTAAGGCGGCTTCTCACAGAAGCGAAGGAGCGATCGCCTTTACTTGCGCCACTGCCCTCCAGAGCATTTTGGATTCACAGCTTCCACTTTCAACTCTAAGAACAACTATGCATCGATCTCCGTGATTCAACATGACACAAAGAATACACAACATCGTTTTCATAATCGGTGGTCCAGGCTCGGGAAAATGCACACAATGTGAACTTCCTCTGTGCCGAGCGAAACTTGAAGCACCACAGTATATCCTAAGAGCGGAGCAACAAAAGCCTGACTCGATTTGGGCATCCACCATCGAGGTTAACATACGTAAAGGACTCAATGGGGCAAAGGAAATGACCGTCAGCCTCCTCAGGGAAGCAATATTGCAGCATACCGAAAGGAGTCCCTCACTTCAGGGGTCAATCATGGACGGTAAGTAGGCCCAGACTAGGTTGAATTAGTCCTGTCACACCCTATTGACCAAATCATAGGATTTCCACGGAGCCTAGATAGGGCAATTGCATTTCGAATAGACAATTGAGCAGCCTCTTGCGGTCCTGGTGCTTGACTGTTCGGAAGAAGTCATGAAGGAAAGGCTGCAGGCCAGGGCGGAAATCCTCGGCTGGGTGGACGCCAATGAGTCGGTCATAAATATACGGCTGGAGACTTTCGCCAACGAGACGAAAGGGGTGATTGAGTATTACACCCAACAACGTCTCCTGACGCGGAGCAACGGCGCAGGCTCGAAAGCTAAAGTCCAGAGCCTAGTGGCAGCTGCGGCAAACGAGGCATTTGCGAGAGCCAGTAGTCACACCTGAAGATATCAGATGTTTCTGAAGTTGTCCGCCTCTGAAGCATCATGGAAATGGGCGAAATGGGCGAAATCAGCGCCCTTACGAAACAGGAGCTCACTAGACGTCCCGGCGTTGGGCTGCATGTGCTCCCAAGGCCGCAGCTCTGATTGGATCACAGTGATATTGATGCACCCGAAATTTCGGAAGCCGTTGAAAGTAACTAAAGTCCAGGGGGGCAATTGTCTGTCTGCCTTGCAGAGTCGGAGAAAATTTGGGCACATGATGAGGTGCGTACGGTACAGCTGCAGGGCCAGAGCTCTCGACTGGTGCCCTTCCAGGATTGAATGAGGCTGTGCTCTTCATGAAATAGGACCCTTCGGTCAGAGTGTATCTTGATTGCGTCCTCTTTGGAGTCGATTCTTTTACTCTTGATAGTAATAAACAATAAACAATAAACATCAGGTCATTCGCGGCAAAGGGGCTGACCATATCCAAAATCGTCATCGAACATGTCTTCCTTCTCTCGCTCGAGCACAAGCCGATCGGGCAACAACATCCAGACGGGCGTAAATCGAACCAAGACCAACACATCTAGTCACTCTGCTACATCTAGTTCATCACGATACCCCACACAGATAGTTGGAGACCGCTATCTCGACAGGAATAAACTCGTCGAGTACCTGGAGAAAAGGCATCCAGGACAGTGGAGACTTCAGTGGAGACTTCAGGTATGTACTGGCTCCTTTTCTCAGCCCTACCATCTTCAGCCTACCAACAAGGGTCGCGATAGATGAAATTGGGTAAATGGATCATCCAGGCCCCTGAGAAAATCCCGGAGGTAAGTTAAGAAGGGCAGATGAATTTTGTGGATGTTTGGTGACCGATAATGACTTTAGAATGACTTGGACAAGTTGTGCCAGTGACTACACAGTGGGCTTGGTTCACGCAACTGTGTGCTGTCTCCGGCGACACAGGCGACTTAGGTAGGCTCATGATATAGTATCAGCACTAGCTCAGGGTTGCTGCTGGAGTGATTTCACGCCCAAGTCTCTTATGGGTTCCTCGAAGCAACCATCATTTGTTATGGAGTCGAGTCTCGTCTATGCGCTTCTCAGCGAGGTTAGAATTTGCACATTCAATACCTTCCTTAAATTCCCGCAATCTCGCCATTGATGATCACATCGTAAGCCTATACAGACCTATTTTGCTTTCCTCTGCTCCATCAACTTCAGCGGGTCGACCATGCCGCTCACGTCCTTGGTCCTCCATTGAACCGCCTTGCAAAGCCCATAGATGGTCCTCACTATCGGCATACTCACTCCAGCCTTCTCCCCTGCCCTCAACGCTTCTCCAACAATATTCTCGAACTCGATGAATCGGTTCTTCCGCCGATCCTGTAACATACTGGGCGCACAGAAGATCTCGATTGGGTCGCACTCGACCATGTCCTCGACGAGGGAGTCCGGTAAATCCACGTTGGCGACTGCCTTCGCGGCGGCTTTGATTTCCCTCATCGCCGGTCTGATGAGCAGATTGAGCGGACTCGCGGGGTCGCCCTCCTCCGAAGCAAGGCGGAACCGCGATGTGTCGAGGTCCGTAAGCGCACATATCGGGTTCCAGACGGCATTGTACATGAGCTTCCGCCACCGGACGAAGAGCACATCTGGCTGGTACGAACACTGCACTTTCCCAGACGCAGAATATATCCTCACAAAGTCCTTGGCCGCCGCGGTCTGCTTGTCCTTGTCGACGGTGTCGGACACGAACTCGCCAATGTAGAGCCTATCAACGTCGTTGTGCAGAATGTTGCCGGGACTTAGCTCGTCGGCGCCCATCAAGGACACGCCCGAGAGGCAGATGTTGTCGGGGAACGCGCCGAGAAGCGGTTTCTCGATGTTGAGGCCATTCTGGACGAGTACGATGACGGAATGGCCTGGTGTCACAGCTGGCTTTATCAGGTCGACCAGAGTCGGTGGGATGTCTGGGATGTTCTTCGTCGTGCAGATGATGTAGTCGTAGGGTTCCGTCGTCGATTGCTCGGGGATTTTATGGAGCACTTGGGTCGGCCTCCAGCCTTCGAATTTTCCGTGGTCGCATGAATCTATTGTGAAGCCCTTATCCTTTACTGCTGCGTAATTGGAGCGAAGAATGGCCGTCACGGTTGCCAGTCCGCCTTGCTCGAGGTTGAAGGCCGTCATCGTGCCTATTCCACCTGCTCCCACGAGCAGGACCTTCGCCTTCTCAGCCATGGTGATTCCGTACTCAAAAAATGCGATCGAATCTTGACAAAGTTGGGTTTGGGAGAAGCGAACAGGCAGTTTAACGCACTTTGAATACTGTCACTGAAAAATCTTCTGGTTCGTCAGATCCATATGTGACAGGGCGTCCCCTAGGCGTTCATCGCCCTCATCCGCACTGGAGATGCCCGCCTCCCGCCTATCGCATTGGTTTAAAGCCAATTAAAAATAGGGCCTGGTAGTGAGGGGCTGCAGCTTTCTCAGCCTCGTCAGGATGGAGTTTCCCCAATTTTACCCCTCCACGATTTCATCATTGATATATGCTGGATGCCAAACCCCAGTCCATTTGACCTCCTATTAGCGGTCGATTTTGGAAGGAGCGTATTTTTGCAAAACTAGAAAAGATTACTGGAGCCAGAAACACGAGAGGACAGTGCGTTGCGTCCCAGAATCCCGGGATTTACTGAATTTCTAGTCCACCGGTTTTCGCTCCGAAGGGATAGTGGGACCATTCACAAACTGTGGACCAAGTGGACGCTCGGTTCAAAGACCTGTCATATGTTGTTTCCTAACACCTCTCGCTGAGCTTCATCATGGGCTCCATCTCTCAGCCCATTCAGCCACCGCCGTCGGTAACAAACTACACGATCGCATCCATACCGGCCGATGGAATTGGGCCAGAGGTAATAAGCGCAGGCATCAAAGTTCTCAACGCGCTGGCGTCGACTTTCAAGACATTCTCATTTTCCTTCACGCACTTCGACTGGTCCTCCGACACGTACCTACGAACAGGAGCGTATATTGCTCCTGATGGACTAGAGCAATTGAAAGAGTTCCACGCCATTCTATTTGGAGCAGTTGGCGATCAACGTGTGCCTGATCACATCAGTCTTTGGGGTCTTAGACTCGCCATTTGCCAGCCACTGCAGCAATATGCCAATGTGCGGCCGACACGGATTCTCAAGGGCGTGACTTCGCCACTAGCAAGTTGCCAAGGCAGCGAAGAGAGTGCAAAGAAGCTCGACTGGGTGATCATCCGTGAGAACAGCGAAGGTGAATATGCGGGCCAGGGTGGACGAAGTCATGTGGGCCAAGCTTGGGAAGTAGCAACTGAAGTATCCGTCTTTACAAGGCACGGGGCGGAGAGGCTACTGCGCTTTGCGTATGAGACTGCTCGATCGCGAACCCGGAAGAAATTGACATTTGTGACCAAGTCGAATGCCCAGCGGAATGGGATGGTGCTTTGGGATGAAGTTCAGAAGATCGTGGCGAAAGACTATCCCGATGTCGAGACCGACAAGATGTTGGTGGATGCCATGACCTGCCGCATGACTTTGCAGCCAGAGACCATCGATACCGTTGTTGCGACGAACCTTCACGCGGACATCCTGTCGGACCTCGCCGCTGCCCTGGCCGGAAGTATTGGTATTGCACCGACGAGCAATCTCGACCCAACGAGACAGAACCCCAGCATGTTCGAACCAATTCACGGCTCCGCCTGGGATATTGCAGGCAAAGGGATCGCTAATCCCGTGGGAACATTCTGGACATGTGCTGAGATGGTCAAATGGCTGGGCCAGGACGAAGCAAGTGAGGTCCTCATGGAGGCCGTTGAGAACGTGTTGGGCCAAGGCATTAAGACCAAAGACCTAGGTGGCCAGGCTGGAACCGAAGAAGTCACAGATCGGGTCTGCGAGGAGATCGAGAGCATTGGCAAAGAAAGGACATTGGGGACTGGGACTGCGCAATGAGTAATACCGATGATGATTTCTGGCGCTAGCTCCGATCGAAGCAAAAGAAAGCCCCCCGGGGGGGTATTTATGCAGGAACGAATTGTACGGAGTTCCATCACGTCAAGGCCAGATGTCCTATGAGTTTTCGTCTACGGCGTGATAAATAGTTTGTGCATAGCCATGAGATGAGACAGAAATACTGGAAATAAGACAGTACTATAGATCACTTGGACCTAGATTAGAGACAGTTGCTAATTAGTCGTGGCCGATGAATCCACCATTGGAACCACATCACGTGCCACATACAAGGTTCCTCATCTGTGGCGCAAGCCATCCCTTTTACGGAAACGCCTGTGGCGTTCTGTTTGTGGCTGTGTTAAACCACCAAATTTGCGGTCATCGCCCTTGCTGAACATAGCTCGCAAGTTAAGCCGCAGGGCGGTCTGAGAACACGAGCTCGAGGTCAATAGTGAACCTTAGCATAGCCATCACTGGAGCACTACTGATAAGAAATGAAAGATTGATCAGGGATAAAAGACTGTGAAAGTGGTGCGAATCTTGTTGGCTTCAGTATTGGAGCCTGCTGGTCTTGGCAAATTTACTTCCCGTTGCCTCATAACGAAGAGTTGACTCATATTCATAGGTATGTAGGGACTGTCACCCAAGTGTCGACTCAGCGTGCTGGCTAGCATGGCATGGCTGCCTGGAACGCCCATGAAATTCCAGTCTTCATCTTCCCGTGCAACAGAAGGGGAAATTCGTGACTCGATGGCGAGCTGCCGATACCCATCGAGCGGTGTTCTCACTCTAGAAACGCCATCGTTCTGATTGGACGGCTGGCTACGAGCTTCCCCGCGTGCCGCGAGGCTGAGCCCAAACCTATCGTGCTCATCACACGAACGGCCACCTGCTTTCTTCTTGTACCCCGTCCCTCTCCGAAGCAAGTTCTGATCTCAATGTAGGCCTTTTCATCGGTGGAGGCTGAGGAACGGTAACGCTTCAGCTATTGGTTGGTACGACTTCCTTTCCCCACTGGATTGGTCAACTTACCCCCTTTCACCCAAACCGGCAAACAATGTCTGCCTTACAGGTGCCTAGATATCTGTTGAGCAGTACATAAACTCCCCAAGGCTTCTCTCTGTGTTCATTCTGGACATTCAATCTCTCTAAGTCTTGCCAACAACGTACTCATTGTCATTTCCCAACTATACACCATGTTCGCTCGCCCAAACTACAGCCGGTCTCTGTGCGGGTGTTGGTATGCAGCACCAGTCTCTGGATATTGGAAGGTAGAAAAGAAATACCTTCCACAAGTCCAACTTTCATCCTCAACAAATATCCTTGCCACCACCTCACGGACAACATTGAGACAGACCTTCGTCAATAATGAATCTAGAAGTCTCGAGCAGGTCCAGTATACCTTTCCCCTCTATGATGGTGTTAGTGTTGTTGGTTTCACTTGCACCGTGGGCTCCAAGACTATTGTCGGTATCGTGAAAGAGAGACAACAAGCCCGCGTGGATTATCAAGCAGCAGTCTCACGCGGCGAAACCGCTGGACTCCTTGAGCAACTACCTGAAGCGTCAGATGTTTTCACCACATCAATCGGCAACATTCCACCCAACGAAAAGATTATGGTGGAGATAGTCTATCTCGGAGAACTGAAACATGATGCAGAAACTGACGGTTCGCGCTTTACTATTCCAACAGTGATCGCGCCTCGGTATGGTCCAGTTTCAACAGACTCCGCCCAAGTACTTTCGAGTACAAGCCTGGCAGCCAAAACAGGCATCTCCATCTCGGTCGATGTGACTCTCGAGGAAGGGTCCATAGTACGCGGTTTGCAAAGCCCCAGTCACCCCATCGCTGTCACTATGGGACGAACATCAACAATGGACGAAGACAGCTTCAATAACAATCATGCTTCGGCGACCTTAACCCTCGGAAGCACTGAGTTGGAGAAAGATTTTGTGATTGTTGTCCTAGCAAAAGGAACCGACACTCCTCGCGCCCTACTCGAAACCCATCCTACGATCCCGAATCAGCGTGCCCTCATGGCAACACTTGTGCCAAAGTTCAACATCCCGAGCATTTCTCCCGAGATTGTCTTTGTTGTCGACAGAAGCGGCAGTATGGGCGGAAAGATTGAGCTTGTGGTCGCCGCCATGAAGATCTTCCTCAAGTCTCTCCCGGTAGGCGTCAAATTCAACATCTGCTCCTTCGGTTCTCATCATTCTTTTCTCTTCAAGAAGAGCAAAACTTACGACCAGTCAAGCCTGAAAGATGCGCTTAAACATCTTGAATCCTTTTCCGCAAATTATGGAGGTACGGAAATGCTTCAGCCTGTGAAAGAGACGGTGAAGAACCGTTACAACGACTTGCCGCTTGAAGCCATGATTCTCACTGACGGAGAGATCTGGAATCAAGACGAGTTATTCAAGTTCATCAATACTACTTCCAATGCACGCTTCTTTACTCTTGGTATTGGTAGTGGTGCGTCCTCTGCCCTCGTGGAAGGCATTGCTCGTGCAGGCAACGGATTCGCTCAATTCGTCGGGGAAAATGAAAAGATGGACAAGCGAGTAGTGCGCATGTTGAAGGGAGCTTTAACTCCTCATGTGACTGACTATAAACTCGAAGTCACTTATAACCCGGAAGAGGTGGCCCCGGCGGATGATGATTTCGAAATGATTGACTCCGAAAAGCCAGCTCGTCAAGCAACTGTGGTAGCCGACTTACAAGAGTCTGGGGGAAAGAAACCCATTTCTCTATTCGACACCAATGCTACGGAACAACCAACCAACCCTCCTGCCGGGAGGTACGATAGCGTCCCTGATGTTCCATCCCCGAAGATTCTGCAAGCACCCGACCAAATCCCAGCATTGTTCCCTTTCAATCGCACCACAGTTTACCTTCTCCTTAGCCCCGAATCAACACGTCAAGTTCCAAAATCGGTAATCCTCCGCGGAACGAGCGAGCATGGTCCACTCGAACAAGAAATCCTTGTCCAAGACGTTGGCACTGGTGAGACTATACACCAGCTAGCAGCCAAGAAGGCGATACACGAACTTGAGCAAGGGCGTGGATGGATCACAAAAGCCCGCAATGCTGAAAACACACTCCTCAAATCGACGCACGAGGGCAAATGGGATCTCATCGTGGAACGCGAAGCTGTAAGACTCGGAGTACAGTTCCAAGTCGGTGGGAAATGGTGCTCCTTCGTCGCAGTCGAGAAGCAACCCGGTGACAAGAGTGCTAATCCACCAGAATACTCGGAGAAGGAGTTGAACACTGATGGAGGCTCCAATCATATGCGTAAGTCCAGCCCCTTTAACAGACTCTTTGGTGCGCCCGTGACAATGGATGCTTGCGATGTGTCTCGTGGCCCCTTTATCAATGGCCCCAATGGTAGCTTTGGCGTTGGCTCTCAACCTGGCTATCAGCAATCTGGACCTGGTCAATCTTCCGGTGGGGAGCCTGCCACCAACACCACTTCTGGATCACTGTTTGGTGCTACTTCAGCAATACATTCTGGTCCTGCACCATCTCTATATAGTGGAAACACCACACCAGAGTCTGGGGGACTAGTTGCCAGAATCCCTACTAATGCCCTAGCATCCGCTGGAGGCCTATTTGGTACCAAAGTCGTGGACCTAGCGTCATCTTCTGGTGGTCTGTTCGGCCAGAGTTCTTTTGGATTTGGCAGCAGGGGAGATGTTATCCCCAAACGTGAGAATAGCGCACCGTTCGGGGCACCACCTGCTGGAGTTGCTTCCCAGCAGACAAGACGAAGCCTGTTTGGTGGACTTCCTCAGGCCTCTTCGACTCCATCTTTGTTCTCTATGCAAGAACAAACAAATGACACATCTAATGGACCTGACCTGTCGGTGACCTGCAACCTCAAGCCTCCCAGTTCCGGACAGCTCAACTCAACTAACCAAGGCATTCACCATATAGACCTTCCATTCCATCTCCCTTGCTATGCGCTAGCGAACCATGCATCGACCCAGCACTGTGAAGGAACTCGAAATATCATTAACACGGATGACCGCCCCGACCAAGTCTCACTTGACGACAAAATCTACGAAGCATACACTGCGGAGATGAATGATGCTGCTTGCATGCCACTACCAGACGAGTCGGACTCGGACTTGGACCTGGCCACGGACATTTTGCGTAACGCTCCATTGGCTAAAGAAACCCCAGCTGACCAGCGTGTGAACACAGAACCACAAGACCAAGTGAGAAAAAGGAGTGCCCCTACCAGTCTATCTTACAGGGGTGGATATGGTGCACCCCTTCTCGCTTCCTCCGCTGCCCGGTCCTCCGCCCCTGCGCCGGCTCCAGTGCTGCAACAATACCAAATGGGCTTGATGAAACTCGAGCAGCAGAACAAGAACCGCCTGCCGATGTACGACGTTCAAGCTGCTAATGCACAGTCGATCCATTATGCTATGCCCCCGGGAGGCGCTGCCCCGCCCCCCGCTCCTCCCCGTTCAGCACTCCTCAGTACAGGAAGCGCAGCCCTCTCATTATCGTCGGGGCCAGAACCCAAGGCCAAACAAGGTGCTAAGGGATTTAGCGTGGCCGGCCTTTTTGGCAGCAGCGGCAGCAGTGAAGCCAAGGCCGGGAAATCCACCGGCGGTAGTAGCTTCGGCGGTGCTTTCTTCCGGAACAGCGCTGTAGGTGGCCCCACGGCGTTCTCTAGCCGGCACTCAAGTAGCAGAGAAGCAGAGAAGGACGTAGGCGATGGTGAAGAGAATCAGAGATTGTCCCTTGATAGAGCAGATCAGTATGTGGACTATTCTGAGGAGTCGTACAGCCCCCAAGACGTCCGTGCTGCCACCTCATCCCCTAGCGACAAAATGCACGCCTTGATCGGCCTCCAATCCTTCGATGGGGCTTGGAGCGCGTCGAAGCAGTTGTTCCAACTTCTCGGCATTGACAGCAACAAGATTTCGACTCTTTCCAAAGATGAAAGCGTCTCTGTGACGGCCTTGGCAATTGCTTGGTTGAAGAAGCACGCATGCAACGAAGAAGATGTCTGGGAGATGGTGGTGGACAAGGCCCTCGGGTGGTTGGAGGCCAAGGTCGGCAGGGACGAGGCCGCGAAGGTTTTGGCCGATGCTGGAAATGTCGTTTAATACAACGTTTTTGTTTGGAAAAGGCTATAAGTGGGCAGATGAGGATGCCACTGTTGACTCATTCGCAAACTTGCTGCGAGTGACGGTACTGTGCAGGTTTACGAGAATGTCCTTGTCTCAAAGGAAGAAAATGGAAACCCCAAATGAACGCATCGCGAATACGACTTCATCGGAGGAGGCCTCTTCAGTACTCTTCAGTACTAGTTAGTTCAAGTACGTAGCAATAAAGTTACACTCACCACCAAGCATCCGCTTATCTACCTAACATCTATGTATTTCCACTTGAATGGCGGGGAGACGACTTTAACTCCGTGTATCTCCGGCAATCCTAGATGCTTCACTTAACGTCGAAGGCAAGGGAACAGTAGCACACCGCAACTCCCATACGGGGTTAATGAAATTTAAGGTCATCTCCATCAAACTATAAGAGCCAGGTTGCGCTTGGGAGGTCTAGAAGATGGTTCTAGGTAGAACAAGGGTGCAATCTGGCTTCATACAACGCCCTTGAACAGCATACATAGCCTCGTTGGTCTGGTAAGGAATACTGTATACTAGTGCCTTCACCATGGCAGCCATCCCAGAGACACATCGTTCCCTCATGCTCACTTCCTTCGACGAACCACTCTCTGTCAAGACGCTGCCCACTCCCACTCAACTCTCAGGCAGTGCCATAGTCCAGATCCTCTCCGTGCCAATCCTGTCCTATGCCTCCAAACTCTACTCTGGCGCAATGGGATATCCACTTCATCTTCCCCTGACCATAGGAGGCGGCGCCATCGGCCGCATCATAAGCGTCGGCAGTGATGCCACATACCTCGCGCCGGGTCAAATGGTGCTCGTGGATCCGATGATCCGCGGCCGTGATGACCCAACAAAGAGTATTCTCCTCGGGGTCCACGGTGGCATCTCAGAAGGCGCCGCTCGCCTGATGGCCGGTGACTGGCGAGACGGGTCGTGTGCTGAGCTTGCCAGGTGGCCGTTGGAGAACGTGCATGCGCTCGATGAAAGGAAGTTGCTCGAGGAACAGGGCTACACCGTCCACGAGCTGGCTTATCTCGTGCGTTTGCTCGTGCCCATGGGCGGGCTCTCCGAACTCAACGTCGGCGCGGGTGAGAGAGTGGTCATCGCACCGGCAACAGGGCAGTTCGGTGGCGCCGCTGTCGAAGTCGCTCTAGCGTTGGGTGCGGACGTGGTCATCTGCGGGAGGAATCGCGTCGTGCTGGAGAAGATGAAGGCTAGTCTCAGCCCTGCCTATCCCTCGGCTAACATCGAGATCGTCCAGCTCTCGGGCGACGTGGACGTGGACGTCAAAGCGCTGACGCAGAACGGTGCATGTGACAAATACATCGACTTCTCGCCCGCTGCGGCGGCTCGGTCCGCACACATCACCGCGTGTCTCATGGCGTTGAGGAAAGGCGGCAAAGCTTGCTTCCAGGGCGGGATCCCTGGGCCCGTTGACGTGCCGTACCTGTTGGTCATGTTCAACGATCTAAAGATCAGTGGGAAGTTCATGTACGAGCGCCGGGATGTCAAGGATCTCATCCGGCTGGTCGAATCCAAGAGACTGAAATACAATGTCAGCACTATGCAAGTGTTTGGCTTGGAAGAGTGGGAGACCGCATTCGATGTTGCCGGGAGGAATACCGCCTGGAGAGAGATCAGTGTCTTTGACCCGAGCACGAAATCTTGATATGTCAAGTGTTTTATGAGATAAGAGTGCTCTATTTTTAAATGTGATAGCTTGGCCATTATTTACAGACTGGTGTATAATACTACTTGATTTTGTAGCGGGATATCATGTGGTGCGGGTGCGTCGAAAGACTAGACTTTGCTCCCCATTTGCAATCGTGCTGCGTACAACCTGAGCTCAAAAGTCGTGACATTCCCTTTCCAACTAATCTAGGACGCCTCGAATCCAATTCTCTACAAATAATTGGTGACAGCCTACAGTTTCGATGGTGCCCCTGCGGTCCCACAACATGTAGGATCCAATGCCTTCCCAACCTTCGGGAACACAGCATATCGCGACGAGGTGTCACACGTCTTTCCCTTGAGCTCGGAAGGAGGCACCCACAAGGCCGGATTGCGGTCGAAGAAGTTGGAGGCGCGCAGCATGATGCTGACGGGCTCGCCGGGCATGATGGGGAAGTCTTCAGCACGCGGGAAATGTGTTAGGCCAAACTGCAGGTAGCACACGATGTCAGTGTTCTCGATGTTCTCATCCCGCGCCGCCCAATCGACCACGGTGCTGTTCTGCGGGTGGCCGTCCTCGCCTGTCGATTGGCAGACGTAGTCACCAGCAGGGAATAGCTCGTAATCCCGATAGGGGGTCACCCAGAGCGTTTTGCGTGCAAAGCCACCGCGTTTGTACACCACGGACCCCGGTTTGGAGAGCAGGCTCGGCGATTCGCGTGAGATGATCTTGTAGCCGATGGGCTTTTTGGCGAAGGGGTGTTGAATGCTGGGGTTGACAATGTCCCACGTACGGGAGGTTTCGTGGCAATAGTCTACCGCACCTTGGGTGCTAGTTTTCAGCGGCGTCTTCTTGGAGTAGAACGCGTTGCCGTAGAGGTTGGCAGGACTACCGACCGGATCATCAGAGGCAACAGCGTCCGACTGCACGACCGTGTTCTTGGGGCCATCGATTTCTGGATCGATTCTTAGAGAAAAGATGTGCTGGTGGTTATGTGCGGTGAGACGCTTGGCCACTTCGGTACCAAATGGCGCAGCTGTCTCCGAGTCGTGCAGGACGTAGGTATTGAGCATACCTGTCAGCTTGACTTCGAGCTTATATGTACCGTCCAGGTGGAACGTATGGTAGAAACAATATTCGTAGTTAGCGGCAGTGATGATTTGGGAGATGATGAGTTTGCGGTCTCGAGCTGAAACGACCTTGCCGTCGCGGTAGTCTGTGTGCTTGTACAATAGGCCGTTGTCTTCTTCGTGGATAGCAAATAGCGTTCTTGATCACTGCAGCCTCGCCCTTACCGGTGCTGACGATTGCATCCAGGTAGTGGATTGCGCCTTTGCAATCACAACCAAGAGCCAGGGGGTTCGTCATAAGACCAGTACCATACTCGCCCACATCGAAAGCGTGCTTCTTGTGATGCGGGTCTTCCGGACAGCCGTATGGGACGATCATTTCCACCACGGAGATTCGGTTGAACATTTTTCGCTCGCGCTTTTGAATCTGATCGAAGACTTTCACATCAGATAGAACGATTCCCTCGCGGAAATTGAAGCCAATATGCATGCTGAAGCCTGCCCATGAGAGCTCGTTGCCGCGCATAGCGAATGAGACACCCTTAGGCTGCGTGATTTCGATGGGCTTGAGGAGGTCATGGTTATAAGAATCACTGATGAACTCTGGGAGGTAGTTGTGGTCATCGAAGGGCATGGGAACCCGCTCTCCATTGACGCGGCGGATGTCGACGCTCAAAACCTTTTCCCGCTCGGTGTCCACGACCACAGTGAAGTCAAGAGGATGCGCGTATTGGTTGTCGAACTCGGACTTGCGATAATAGGCCAGACCTTGTTGCAGACGGGTCTCGAATCCCCATCGGTTATCCACTCCAATTGCCCAAGCATCAATGAATACTTTGGACATGTCGATAATGCCGATCTCGCGACAGGCTTCAATCACGCCATCGTCTTCCCGGCAAACCCGCTCACAGACATCAAGGTCCTCAAGGGTCAGAGTCGGCATGACTTCGTTAATGACCTTAGTATCCTCCACTTGGCTGGTGTTGAGATTTAGGACGACTTCGCTGACCTTTGCTGTGACAAGTTCCAGGACGATGGCGAAAGCTCGGCGAGGAGGTTTAGGACCTGTCCCATCTTGCCAGGCCTTATACTCCAGCTTTCTGGGTTCTCGTAGCGTTATGCAGTTGAACTTGATTTTCATAGGATGTAGATGTTCCCGAATCAAACGGGCAGCCCGCGGAATTTCGTGGATAGATAATTGGTCTGGAGAAATTTAGTCCGAGAGTCTGGGAGACATGAAGGGGTGAGAAGGAAAGTGATTCACACCTAAAGGATGACATGATCTGGAAGGATGTGGTTCTGATGAATAATTACTCTCATCCTCCTTGATGATGGCATAGCCAGCTATCGACTCTGTATCTATATTCATGATGGCTTCGAGATATTGGGATAATACAGATAGTTTTCAAATATATGACGGCAGTACAAGACTTTACTTGAGTGTGTCTTCTTGAGAGTTGTCTTCGCCAGATTCTATCCCTCGGTCCTTATATAACTAATGACTCCATAAGATGTACCGTTGAGGTATTCGCTTGGACCTACTTAATCGGGTGGTTTAGCCAAGTGGACCTCGATGCCCATTGGCTTACGGAGAACAGCATCACCGGACCGGGAACTTGGTCTAGTGGGATACGATGTCACGAAGCTTTCCCCGCCTCTCTCAGATCTTACTGGACCGAATGCCAGGTAGACGAGGCGAAAGAAAGACATAATCTGGTTTCCCAGGTATCCTTTAGTCAAACTTTGCAAAGGAGCCTTCCAACTGCCTGAACACGGGCATCTCCATTGCCAGTGCTCGCAAGCGCTTTCTGGGCCGGGCATAGCTGGGTGGCCAGCACTCAAGCTGATCCCTCCGCGCCTATAAGTCGGGTGTGCCCACAGTTGACGAGGTTATAGGACCCTTTTCCGCATTGGGCGTGCGTTGTCCGCCTTGACATATTTACCAGAACGCACAGCTACCAGCTGGACGAGGTGCCTTTTGATTTCTTACAATCTTTCAATCCACTCACCACAATGTCAAATCTTTCAGTGCCTTTGCAGACTCCCAACGGCCACAGGTATAGCCAACCTACTGGACTCTTCATCAACAACGAATTTGTTAAGTCGTCCACTGGGCAGAAGATTACTTCAATCAGCCCTGCAACTGAAACGGAAATCGTTTCGGTGCATGCGGCAAGTAAACAGGATGTGAACAATGCAGTTAGCGCTGCGCGAAAGGCGCTCAATAATCGGTCCTGGAAGATGATGTCCGGAACAGAGCGAGGACAACTCATGGCCAAACTGGCCGACCTAATCGAGGCCAACAAAGAGCTTCTTGCTTCAACGGAGGCCTGGGATAATGGTAAGTCTCTCCCTTTGAACCGGAAAACTCGCCTCTAAATCACACTTAGGCAAGCCGTATCTGGTGGCATTGGAGGAGGATCTCCCAGAGACCTTCAACACCATCCGCTACTATGCTGGCTGGGCGGACAAGCTCCATGGACAGGTCATTAGTGGTATTCCGGGCAAGTTTGCTTATACTATCCGACAACCTATCGGTGTTGTCGGGCAGATTATCCCCTGGAATTACCCTCTATCTATGGCAGCATGGAAGCTTGGGCCGGCTCTGGCCTGTGGCAACACGGTCGTTCTCAAACCAGCAGAGCAGACTCCAGTTAGCATCCTCCTACTAGCCGAGCTAATCAAGGAGGCTGGTTTCCCTCCAGGAGTGGTCAACATCGTCAACGGTCTAGGCCGTGAGGCTGGCTCGGCGTTGGTTCAGCATCCAGATGTTGACAAAGTGGCATTCACTGGGTCCACCGCCACAGCCCGCGAGATCATGAAGATGGCGGCAGGAACTCTCAAGAATATCACCCTCGAGACTGGCGGGAAATCTCCTCTAATTGTATTCAATGACGCGGACCTATCCGAAGCTGTCAAGTGGTCGCATATTGGCATCATGTCTAATCAAGGCCAAATTTGCACGTCCACCTCGCGAGTTCTTGTTCAGGATGATGTTTATGATAAGTTTGTCTCCGAATTTGTGAAACATACGAAAAACACCAGTGTGGTGGGCGATCCCTTCAACAAGGACACTTTCCAGGGCCCACAAGTCACTAAGGCCCAGTACGACAAGATTCTGTCTTATGTTAAGACCGGTCAATCGGAAGGTGCTACACTTGCTACTGGTGGCGCCGCACACCGTGGAAATGACGGAAAGGGCTACTATATCCAGCCTACAATCTTCACGGACGTGAAAGACACTATGAAGGTGTATCGTGAGGAGATCTTCGGACCGGTCGTTGTCGTTAGCAAGTTTTCGGACGAAGATGATGCCATTAGGCGGGCTAACGACACAACCTATGGGCTGGGAGCGGCCGTATTCACACGAGATATCGAGAAGGCTCATCGTGTGGCCGCAGAGATTCAGGCGGGAATGGTTTGGGTCAACTCCTCGCAGGACTCAGACTATCGGGTTCCTTTTGGCGGCGTCAAACAAAGCGGCATTGGCCGAGAGCTAGGCGAGGCGGGGTTGAAGGAGTATAGTCAAATTAAGGCCATTCATGTCAATATGACGAGCAGGGAATGTAAGTTGTAAAATACCACTTATAGCAGCAGAAAAGCAGATACTATTGGAGATCTGATAATGAAACAATACCTCTCATCGTCCTTATCCCTTGGAGCATGTCAGCCCGGACTAACATGATAATGAAACGCTTGAGACTATGCTTGTTCCAACGATACGCCCGATAGATAGAAGCACCCGGCCCGTGAAGCTTTAGACCACATAGAATAGACCCTCTTGTCTCCACAATAAGTTCAACTTCACTCCTCCTCGAGCGTTGGTCAAATAAACTACCCGATTTGGAAGAGGGATCAAAGCTTGCCTGTCCCGGTGTGGAGAGAAGACACTAAAGCCACAGCCGCGGCCACGGTGTAATGATACATATTGCGAGTCGGAGATGAACGCGAATTATACAGAGATATGCTGCCGGGCGACATAAGGGTCTTCGGAACACTCGCGCAGAACAGTTGTACGCGTTACATATCAACATGGTGCTGGAGATCACATTTACTTTGCCCCTTGAGAATCGTCCAGTCTCCACAATTTTGCGGAATCATTGCCATTTTGGTAAACTTCGGCCCCTCCAGATCAGGCTTGTCCATGCGCGCCACTAGCGACTCAAATGGGCTCCCTACTTTCTGATTTTCAATGAGATCATGGCCTGGCAACTAAACCTTCGCACATTGGAAAGTTTGTCAGGACGACCGCTGGAAGCATGGCGATGGCGATCATATTGTGACATACGAATACTGTCTCGGCAGTCAAAACGCCAATATCTTCCCCCACGGGGACCCGGAGACCGGCTACCACTACTGTATTCTCCGGTCCTTGAGCTGGACATTGCACACGAAGATCTATGGCAGTGAGGTATTATTCTATTATATACAAAATCGCTCTCTCCCGTTCGTGAATCATATCTCTCTTGCCCTCTCCATATACAGCGTGACGTGACCACATAATACCATTGTCACCACAGCCATGAATTCTAAGGCAAGCGACGATCGATACAGAACTCAGGACGGGCTTCCTCCTGCCGAGCCCATCAAGTCCGTCACACAATCTAATCTTGATGCCGCCGACCTCACAACATTTGGCCATGAGCAAGAACTTTCCCGGAAATTCAGTGCGGTCTCCATATTCGCTTTGGCCTTCACCGTCCTAGGCACCTGGTCCACCTTCGCCCAAGGTCTTAGCAGCGGCCTCAATAATGGCGGCCCTGTCGCAATTCTTTGGGGCCTCATGCTCGTTGGCGTGTGCAACATTTGTGTTGCTCTGTCACTGGGAGAGCTGCTTTCCAGTATGCCTACCTCACTCGGCCAAGCGTATTTTGTCTTCGCGCTGTGGCAGGGAAGAGTTGGGCGGGCAAGCAGCTATATGTGTGCCTGGGTGAACACCTTTGGCTGGTGGTGCCTCGCTGCCAGCCAAATCGCCTTCATGACGGATTTTTTGCTCGCCATGAAGACCATGTTTGATCCGGAATGGGACGGCGCGTCCAAAGGCTGGGTTCAGTTTCTGATCTACGTTGGCATCACCTTCACCTTCACCCTTCTCAATGCCGTGGCCTGCCGCAGGGACAGTATTTTGCCCATCTTCAATGATTTTGTCGGCATAACCTTCACGTTGCTGTTCGTGGTCTTTATTCTCGCTCTCTTGATTGTCACGGGGGTCAAGCCCAATTTGAATTTCCAAGACGCATCGGTCGTCTTCGGCAAATGGATCAATGAGACGGGTTGGCCGGATGGTGTGGTGTGGTTTACAGGCTTGGTGCAAAGCGCTTACGGATTGACCGCCTTCGATTCTTTGATTCATTTTTCCGACGAGCTGGACAATCCTCGTCGCACCGGGCCCAAGATCATGTGGCTGTCCGTTGCCATGGGCTGGGCATCAGGCTGGGTTTTTATGCTGGTGTGCCTGTTCTGCATCCAAGACTGGGAGGCGTTGGCCAATTCCGACGACATCCCCTTCATCCCCATCGTAACTGGCGCTCTTGGACGCAATGGCGGCGCAGTGTTGATTGCCGTCTTCATTATGAATGGCCTGTGTCAGGGTGCAAGCATCGTAACCACCGCCTCACGTTTGACTTGGGCTTTTGCTCGTGACGGAGGGCTCCCCTTCAGCAATTTTCTCAAGCACGTCAACCCCTTTTGGAAGGCGCCTGTACGTGCAATATGGACCCAAGGGGTCATCATTGGTCTTGTCGGCGTGCTCTACCTCTTCTCTGACACCACTCTCCAGGCGATTCTCAGTGTGAGCACCATCGCCCTCACTATTTCGTACGCCATGCCTATTGTCACCTTGCTCGCCGTTGGTCGCAACCATCTTTCTCCCGGTCCGTTTCAGCTAGGCCGCCTAGGTACCGCTATAAACGTGGTCAGTATCATCTACTGCGTGATTACCACAGTCATGTTCTTCTTCCCCGGGTCACCCAACCCATCTACCGCTGACATGAATTACGCGATTGCTGTTTTTGGGGTGATGATGATAATATCCACTGCATTCTGGTTCTTGCGCGGCAACACGCAGTTCCTGGTATCCGAAGGTGTGATAGTGGGAGTAAGGAAAAGGGAGCAACAGTTGAAAGACAATCATTCTGAGGCTATGCACCGGACCCAGTATGAGTTGAAGCCTGGAGCCGGTGAGCCAGAAAGGACACATGCTCGATAGGTTATGGTGGATAGCTTCTATGATTTGTACTACGTTGCTGATGAGTGCTTCGTCCGTAGACTTTTGGGCATACTCATATAGACACAATAGATCTGTGTATCAAGAATGACCAACTCCATACCAGCCGCTGTTTGCCCGGGAGGCCTTCTTCCAACACGAAAAGAATCCGGTCTCGGCAGTATCATTGCAAATTCAATTCAAGATACATCGTGTCGATACTATTGAGACAGTGAGTTAGCAAATTGTAAAGCAATCGTGGCCCTGACCTACGTTCTCCCCATCTTCGACCCAACCCCTTTTAACCTCCCCACTTCTTCAAACCCCCATTTTTGATACCAGTCACGCAACGTCAGTCCTCGGTTGGCTGCAGTCTCATCAATAGCCATTATGGCCATGACTTTCCTAACTTTGAATTCAACTTGGGTATCCTCATAGCCAACCTCTTTACACAAATGTGTGGCGTTTTTCAAATTTGTGACAAGCTGTGAGATCAGGAGACTTCCAATTCCCCGGCCAGTATATTGCGGATGGCAGATAAGAGTTATCTCAACCGTATGGCCGTATCCAAGCATGTAACCGCGAAATGCAGATGAACAGGCATAGCCCACCACCTTACCATCCTGGGATTCGTCAACAGCGACAAGGTACGGCAGTTGACGGGACATCGAGTCTCTGTAACGGGTCGCAATGTAATCTAGCGACGGTTTCTGAGTCAGGAAAGAAACAACCGTGTTGAGTACATAGTGCTCGAATATATCCCTGACTTGATGCAGGTCAGATTCAGTCGCGGGGCGGACGATCACAGGCATTACACAAGCCAAGACTCCACTGACAAGGAGAAGAACCTGTTATAGAAAGGACACGCTACACTATCCCTCCCTTCTGTTGGAATCCCCTGATCATAAAGGCAGACTTCTTGCCCTTTATGCGGCGGGTTATCCGTCCACGATTATGCCCATCAACAAGTTATCGTTATCGTTATCGTTATCGTTAGCGGCACGTGATTTTCCCCGCACGCTCTGACTCTCCGCATTTGAGATGAGGCAGTCAATCAATTCACATCCATCGTCACTCTTTATTTTGGAGGCCGATTGCCTCATGAAGAGCCTCGTTTATTTCTGTCCCTCCAAAGACAGATTGTCTTCTTCTTGATTTGCGACAACACTCAAAACATCCATACCTTGCATGTGGTCGCATCTGCGCTTCTCTACCATGTCTGCTCTACCCCTCCGAACCATGAAGGACATCCCATCCATCAGCTCCCTCTACCGATCTATGGACCTGAGCCCTCGCGCAGGCACCCCACAGCTCGTCCCGTCTGCCAATCAAGAGCTCAACGACAAGATCTGCACCATCCAAGAAGACATCACTGTCCTCCAGGTCGACGGGATTGTCAATGCTGCGAACTCTGGCCTCGGCGGAGGAGGTGGTGTTGACGGAGCCATTCACCGCGCTGCCGGTCGTGGACTCTCGAAAGAGTGTCGCGAAATAGGCGGATGCTTTACCGGTTCTGCAGTGATCACCGACGCTTACAACCTGCCCTGCAAGAAGATCGTCCATGCCGTCGGTCCTGTATTCAAGAGCTACGAGCGTGATGAACCTACCCTGCGCAGCTGTTACACCAAAGCACTCTCCCTTGCTGTCGAACATAACCTCAAAACCGTTGCTTTCCCCGCTATCTCCACCGGCGTATATGGCTACCCCAGTGATGGTGCTGCTCACGCGGCCTGTGCAGCAGTCTACACCTTTTTGACAGGACCAAAGGGCAAAGGGCTAGACAAAGTCATCTTCTGCAACTTCTTGGACCGAGACGTCGAAGCTTATGCCAAACACATCCCGTGAGTGATCGATCCATCGTCCAATTCCTATTACTCCCCTACTGACCCTTTTGTTCTTCCTCAGGACCTTTTTCCCACCCACCGAGGAAGACCTGTCGCCTCCAGGTGAGTATGGTGCAGAGACCACAACTCGAAAGGATGATATGCCAACCAATGATGACCAGATCCTTCCAAAGCCGACTGAGGAATTGACTGATGGACCCGCCGACAAGGTTGATCCGTGCATCCTCTCAGCGTCAGACCAAACCTAGGACAACCTTCGAATCTCATCGGAAGGTAGTAAGGAAAAAGACTCAAATATTATGCGAGCACCCTAGAGATATTAGGTGTGGTATCACAAAACAGTGCCGGCACGCCCATAATGGAGTTAGTCGAGTCTAGCTTCGGTGCATGAGCAGCCATGAACAACTGTACCGTCTGCGCTTTCAAACTATCCCCTGGCTTCCCCATGCATTCATGTCTTCAAAAGTTAATGAATCCAAGGAGACCAAAATTGCCAAGGCTACGAAGGCTTGACGACGAAGGAATGATCAAAGGATGATTAGTGAAACACAAAGAGAGACCAAGACAAGGCACGCTATCAACATCCGCAAGGACTTGAGATTCACCATATCACAGTCTGGAGCTGGGATCGCTTGTGAAGGTGCACAGCCTCAGCCTTACCAATGCCTTGGACGGCTCAGTTAGATACCCCAATCAATCACAAATGTCCAACCTGATCCATCCGATCCTGCAAAATACTAATCAGTTAACCCAGTCCCACTGGCCAGCCTGCAGCTCTTTCAACTTTCGCGATACGACATTGTGAGTATACAGTTAGTTCACCGCTTTGACCGAGGACCGTACCGTAGATTCGAGTCCTTTTCAACCATTCACGAGGGAGCATATGCTGTTCAATTCAAGAGAACTTCGACCATCAAGCCAGTAATCATCACCAAAGGGTATATCATATTAAATACAAGAACAATAATAATGTAAATATCCCAATAATAAATACAGTGAATCCCTGTGGCGGACACCGCTTCCCATGATTCATCGCTCATGCTATTCCACCCCAACCACCCTGTAAACAATATGCTCATATGTATAATCCACAATACCACATCGTTTGCCGCCTCAAATATGCAAGGAGTCCAGCCTTTCGGGCTACACATCAAATCTGACTTCGCCCTCCTCGCCCAACTCCTCCTCTTCCCTCTGGACAAGACGCTCGATCTCACTGGACACGCTGAGGACCCAGTGGTCTCGTTCAGCGCGGCTTCGGCATTTAAAGACCATTCCACGACCAGGAACTCCAAGCTGTCGAACTCTCTTCAACCTAGCCAAGTTGCTGCCTTTGGATTTGCCTTCATCAGTGGAGCTTCCTCCTGTGGTGGTAGTCTCTGCCTTCGCTGCAGCTCTGAACCAGCCCTTCCGTTTGTTCATCCAAACCACAAAGCAAGTCATCACATCAACATCGGCGCTCGTCCATCCGTCCTCGAGATATACGCGCGGTAGGCTAGCCATCCCCGGGTGATTTGCATCAAATGTCTTGTTTTGGTACAAGAGATCGTCCTCCACAACTAGACCACTGTAGACGTAGCAATCCTTGAGATCTATGACCTGTTGCTTCTGTTGGTGGATATGGCGTATTTGCTGTCCTGTCCTTTTTCTCGCTGTTGCTTGAAAGATGAGCAGTTGACCGCCACTGAGTATGACTTGAGAGCGATGGAACGTCGATCGTCGGCGAGTTTTCAGGTATAATGACCCTGACATCGTGATACTTCGACAACTGCTGATGCCACACATGTTGAAAAGCTCGGGGCTTGCCTCACTTCGGCTCACCTCCCACTTCCTAGCAAATTGACCTATGACGGCCTCCATCTCTTCATCGACGTTAAGTTGTGTTAAATTAGCGCGTCGGACTGCTTTGAAGGTATCCATCTCTGCTTTGATGCGGAGTTTCCAATATTTGACCAGCTTTCTTAATCTTTGAATCCACTCATCACGAGTTTGCTTTGAATATGCCTGCAATCGAATGACAAGTCCATTGTCGAGCATGATTTCGAAGACTCTGTCATTGTCAATTTCTCTTGTTGTACCGTCTTCTGCTGTGGTACCATCCACGTCCTCATGGAAATCCACGTCAGAATCCGAACCGGGTTCCAACGTGTCGTCTGCAGCAGAAGCACCCCACTTCATCTTACGAACCTTCCGAACATAGCATAGATCGATGAAGCCATCAGAGTCAGTGATATTGGCCACATTCCGCCTGGCTTCCTCGACAGCCTCTCTATCATGGCTCGCTAGGGATGACGGGTTCCCCGAAGACAACCAGGAGATTGCACCGTCACGTAGCTTGTAAGGCTCTACGTCAAAGATCAGCGGTGTTTTCTCCACGATCTCGTGAGCAGACGGAACATCCGGACCTCCGATTGTCGCTAGCCTTGGCGGATGGGGTGGTGTCGCTTTGGCCGGTCGATTGAAGAGTAAGAACTGGTTGTGACTAGAGAAATATAGCCTTTTGAAGAATGCCTTTCCAAAACGTTGTTGGACCCCTTTTTGAGAAGTCAGGCGGATTAGAAAGCCTTCAACTGGAGGCGGCTCGTCATGGTGTTTGCCCTTTTTGCCGTAGACGAATGTTGGGTAATGCTGCTTTGGCCGCAGCTCGAGGTCATGAGACTTTTGCATGGCCATTGACCCGTACATCTTGTCCTCATTTGCACCATAGACCCATTCTAGTCGATCATACCTTTTCCAAGCAAGACCCATCTTGGTCGTCTCACTCCATGTCTTGAGAACGCTAGACCACTCGGGATCTCCCTCCAGCATTTCTATACACTGTGATATTATTTTACCGGCAACTGCTTGTTCGGCAGCGACTGTTTGAGCAATAGCAGTTTCCTCACTGGTGGCCCCTTGCGCCGCAAGTTCAATGACTTCGAACGGCTTTTCGAGTCTCAATATCACATCCAAATCTGGGACATTGACCTGCAAAGTAGCTGGTCGTTGCCAACCAAGAGCGTCCCGGAGGAAAGTATACCATTCTACCGAGTGAGCAGTTGAACTTGGTCTCATGACAAAAATCCTAGTACCCTTCTTGTAGGGATGCCAGATGACAACGGTTTTGTCCAACGAAGAGTATAAATTAACCCGTGCTGTTTTCGGATCCAATTTGATTTCGTGAGAAGGCCTCTTTTGAGTAGAGCCGTCGTCGATTTCGGGGATGACTCTCGTTTTATAGATTTGCAGTCTGAAATCATCAGCCTCGTGCCTTTTGCTTTTCCTTGCGACAATCATAAACTCTCGCCACTTTTCTAGAACTCTTGTCTCTAATTTGATGCTCTCATTTTCGTCAAAGTCTTCAGGCACTTGTTGTATGGTGAAGTCGATCCTTGTCAGCATTCTCTCCATCTTAACGATAGTACCTTCCCGGAGAACATTACGTCGGAGCCTTTTGTTCGCAACACGATCTCGCGCTCTTCCTGCTTTGTTAGTTATCTGATGCTTTCCGTGGTAGACTCCTTCTGTTACTTTAAACCTGACGCCTGTATTAGCACGCCCGAGCTGATATGGCCTTTCATCGGTGATGGGAGACGGATCGTGTTTCTGGAGAGATCGATCTGTGGGTCGTATTTTTCGCTCATTCACCAACAACCCGGTCCTCGAATTTGAATCTATATCTTCCTGAGTAAGGGCTGAAGGTTGCAGAGACGCTCGGTTAGAAGGTCCCTGGTCGTCACTGCTATCCTGCTTCAGGTGGCAGTTGGTGTCTCGTGGAGGAAGACGAGAGGGCGCTGCGTCGGATGACGGAACGATGTGCTCCCGGGCTGTGGTGAAAGATTCTGGCTGGTGAGAGCCTGTGTCTTTGCTGGCCCTCAACTTCCTGTCATTTGTTCCGTCAAAGCCGGGGATGGGCCTCGGGGCTGTACTACGCGCTCTTTCGTCTTGAACCTCCTCACGGATGTCCTCTACCGTAGCACCAAGATCAGCAGTCGCCACAGGAGCTAGATTTATTGCCTCGATCTCTTCATTATCACCATCCTCATCATCCTCTATGTCCGCATCGGGTGTGGATTCCCCAGTTGAAGTTTGGTCAAAGACATCTTCTGGTTGTGGGAAGCTGAAGCTCATTCGCGCAGCTGTGGAGGGGCCACCGAACCCTGTCAAGGTTCTGTGGTGTGGACCACTAGAGGCGGCCGCATTGAATGTAGCTTTTCTGGAAGAATAGGTACTCAGTTCGAGTCTTCGTTTGTACCAAGATTTTCGGTTGCTGTTCAGCCAACCTTCTGGTATGGGTCCGATGAAGAAACGGCGAGAGGTTATATTCAAGTGCTCGGGAGAGCCATGCTTGAGTCGAATTGCGGTGTATGAGTCAGGGTCAAGGGCGTCGAAGTTGTCAGGGCTCATCTGACTGGGGTTTGGCATCACTCTGGGAGTCGACATGATGAGAGGGGGACAATGTATTGGAGTTATAAGCGCGGGAGTCTATCCATTGCGGAAACAGAACAGCTCAGCACCCGACTAAAGTTGCTGAAGTGTTGGAATAGATATCTGACACTACGAAATACTCGTTTGGAGTGCTCATGAAAACCACTGCATTGACTGCGCCCAGCAACGCGTTGCCTTGGGAGAAAGAACGACCCTCACAATATGGCAGGAGGCTGACGTCATGAAGGTAAGTGGTTCTTTCCCTTCTGGGGATAATCCGCCTTGCCTGATTGGGACACCGTCCACATAAGGAGCACGGAGTACATGTGACATGTCAGGTACTTCGAATCCCACCATCCACCGCAACGGTATGTCGATGAAATAGAGGACACACTAACACTACCTATAAAGCCACCGCCGATCCTGTCGACAAGACATCCTCTCGTTACTAGAATAAAACAAACTTTCCCCTAACCACAACTCCTTATCGTTCTGGGCACCTTCGTACCACACGCACACATTCCCGTCCCCTCTCAAAATGTCCAACCAAATTCCCGCAGGCAAGACATGGTTTGACACCCACAAAGTGCACTTTGAAGGCGTGCCGGTGTCCGCCGACCATGGGGTTTCCACCAGCGAGTTCCTCGATGCCTCCGAGGCCACAACCACGCTCTTTGATCTACTTGGCTCGGTCGCCTTCACCCCAGTGAAGAACGACATGACCGGCAACATTGCGAAGGTCCGCGAAAGGCAGAAGGCCGCTCCAGACACCGCCGTCACGCTGCAGTCCCTGGTCAAGGCCGAGCTGGCTTCAAAATCACACAAGGCGACTGAGGGTCTACTGTGGCTGGTGCGAGGTCTTGACTTCACTGCCCAAGCTTTGAGATCTGATCTGACTTCTAATGCTACCATATCGGCCACTGAGGCGAAGCCAAGTAAGGAGTTGGCTGATGGTTTCAGGACCAGCTACAAGAATACATTGGCTCCCCATCACAGTTTTCTGATCAAGCCGGTCTTCAGTGCTGCTATGAGTGCGACCCCCTACAGAAAGGATTTCTATGCTCGACTTGGCGGTGAGGGCACCGATCCAGAGGCAACGAAACAGGCTTTGGAGAAATGGGTTAGTGCTTTGGAAGAGAGGGTGGCTATCTTGAAGACTTTCTTGGCAAGCAAGGATGCTAAATGGTAGATGGAGGTTGGTTGACGAGATCATGAAATTATGGTTCGAGCAAATTTGGGGTGTTGCGGTGCTACATCTGTGGATGCCGAAGATATATTGGTCTCTTGGTTTGGGTTCAATTTGATGCTCCAAAGAAGAGCCAAATACATTCAGCCAAAGAGGAGGGCGAGACCTCACCAGGTCAGCCACATTATACTACAAGTATTCATTTGCCCACATCTCTGTCCAAATCTGGGCCATTTTAAGGCTGGCCGTATGTACAAGAACGCCTTAGCCTTTTAACGCTGTGCACCACATCACCGGTACTTCTCGCCATCGAACATCTTCAAGACTTGACTAAGGTAGGTCGGTCTCAGGACTGACTAGTCCGCTCGCTTTTGTACCACCGCGGATCCGATACTTGAAATGGAGGCGACGGCGGCATATCTTCATGAGCTCGTGATATTTACTTGGTTCGACCCGGCCGTGAGTGTGAAGATTAGATATGAAACTGGAAGCCACTTAAAGTGATCGGGGATTCCGATTATAGCTTTGGGCGCCATTTCTTAACCATCGCTGCTGCTGTCTGAGCCTTTGGCCGTTGCAAGATATTCCTCCAGCCTCCTCCTCTGGCTGGAGTTTTCTTCTTCACGTGCAGCCAAAGCGGGAGGCAGGGGGTTACCATTCCTCGCCAGACCAACCGCCTCAAAGGCGGTCTCGAGCTCGTCGACAATACCCTGAGCGGTGTCTATGATCTCCGGATCGTCCTGATTCTCGAGCTCCCAGCAGGCAGAGGCGTACATTCTCTTCATCTTGGCGTACTTCTTCGGGTCACGGAGGAAAGTGGGCAAAAGGTCGCGGTTCTTGCGCAAAATGAGTAGTTCCTGCTCGGCTTTGCCGTCGGTGAAAGCCTCGCTGAGACGCTTTGCATCTGGATTGATCTTCGCGTCGAAGACGGCGTCGTATTCGATTCGACCACTCTTCTTCGCTGGGTAGTCGTTCTCCTCCGGCCGGATCACCTTCCATGAGTACCATGGAGTCATAAGGATCTTGGCGGTCCCAACTACCAGATTTAAGCTGATCGGGCCGTACCAGTTGGAGTCGACGCTCTTATCCCGGCTATTCGCGTCGCCTTCTACCCAAATGTGGTTGAATGGTACCACGACCGGCTCGTCACCGCCAGGGTAGCCCGATAAGGGATGCACTCTGTCTCCCGGGACACCAACAACCCGTTTCACTGCCAACGATTCGGGTCTGGTCGGGGTGCGGAAGACAATGATCTGGCCGCGCTTGACATCCACCTTCGGCAGATGCGGTCGAAACCAGGAATCCAGGAGTACACGCTGGACCAGGATATAATCCGTGGTTTCAGGGAGATCAGGCGAAGAGTTGACATTGAGGAAGGGTGACATGGAAGGGCCGGTGATGTGCATGGGTTCGACAGGGCAGAGGAATAGCAAGAAAAATGCCGTGGGCGGCGCGATGAAGAACAAGCCTCCAATCCAGGGCCGGAAAGCATGGAAGAAGTCGTCGAAGATGCTTCGTCGATCATATTCTTGTTTTTGACCTTCATGTTCCTGCTTGAACCCGCCCTCCTTCTGCGCTTGCTCGGGTGCCTTTAATTGCAATTTCGTTTCAGAAACCAGAGTTGGTCTCTCGAGAGGCAGTGGTCTTCGCCGTCGCAGATCGGACAAGCGTGACCGAGGACCGGCGGCGGCATAACTGCGGATGAAGCGGAGGGTGGTGAGGATACCTCTGGAGGCAGGAGGCATGATTTTGATAGAAGTTTTGAGCTTGCGCTCATGTAAACCCCTGGGCAGTTTCAGCCGCAAGTGTGGCAGCACTCGCTGTCATAATACCATTTTATAGGTTGTGTCTAGCATCCGTGGATGGTCATCCAAATGTCTACTGATAATTACTTCATTGGAGTTGAAGTTGCCGACCTGCACGCGAAAAATTGCTGGGCAGGTCTGCCGAGACTCTCAGCCTCGTGGATTTTGCAAGGTCCCCGAACCTCGTTGCTCTGTATGACACGAGACAAATACATTATCGTTTGAGTAACATTTGTTCATCTGGTATATCTACAATCTTAAGCCAATGGACCCTTCTGAATATCTAGCATCAGCTAAGGATGAAACTGTCTCCATGTTCTCTCAGCTTGTTCTTCCATGCCTTGTTCCTATCGTTGGCCTGTCGTTCAAGCCTCTCCATCTTGCGTCGCTCATAGACCGCCCGGACTGTGCGCTTGGTGATGTCTGCTCCCTCTTCAAAGTTTCTCTGTGCGAGTTCCGTCACTTTGTCTATTTGCTCTGGAGTGTAGATAAAATTCCAAGTCGAAAGGTAGTCGCTCGAATCTGGATCAACGCCTTCGACTTTCGAGTTTGGCAGTAGTGGGAAATAGACCACCGCTATGCCAGCTCCAGGTTTTATTAAATGAAAAGTAGAATCATTAGGATCATCCCAGGTGAGTAATTTGGAAGGAGGTGGCTCGTCGTCACTCGACCTTTCCTCTTTGGTCCCAACCCAAACGTTACATTTGCCCAGTTCTGTCTTGGCATCTGGACTGTCACCAGTCGTGGGGCTTTCCGGCGAGCCTTTACCATCCGGAACACGATCCTTCTCTTGCCTACCTTCCTCTCTTGCTTGTGTGATCTTGGTTGCGGCCTCTTGTGGTGTCGTTGCTTGTGCCTCCTCTAATGCCTGGACAGTCTCTTGTGGCTTTGAAGATTCGGTAGGCCAGCCTGCTCCGAGAGGCCAGCCTTTGATGCCTCGTTGTTTGGCATAGCCATCCACCACAGACAACCAATTCTCTTTCTGGATATCTGCAGACGCATCAAAGGCGATCACAATGTCGACATCCCTCCCAGGACGAAGAAGCGGGTATATGGGCAAATTATTGCTCATACCCGCATCCATCAGCTGCAAATGATTGCTCTTGAAAACCGAGTCTGGACATGTGGATGGCAATTGGTCCTTCATTCCATAGACAAAGTTGGGAATCGTTGCTGGGTCAATAGGATGGATTTTGATAAGATCCTCATTCTTCTCTTCGAGGAGCTCATTTACCCCGGAAAACCCAACCAGTCCCATCAGAACAGGTTTGATTTCTTTGTAATAGTGAGACAATGTTGCGCAGAAGGCTGAGCCCCAGATCCCAAGCAGTAGACTTTGCCGAATCTCTGGCAGAGCAACCCCTGTTTCGAGAGTTTGATTCTGACCATTCTTGAATGGGCGCCCAAAGGCCCAGGTCGGTATCCCTGCACCAAATTCTTCGCACCAAACTTCCCAAGGGTGCATCTCAAACCACTGGAACCAGGCTTCTCTTCTCGCTTTATCTTTAACGTTCTGCTTCAGTGCCAAACTGTCTTGCGCTTTTTCAAGCTCTTCTTCATCCACAGGGATCTCGTGTCGAACAGCTGTGTATATAGGCATGGGGTGCTCGCCATTTTCAAGATAGACGCGTTGATTAGATAGCTTGAGATCGTGATCTTGGACGTCAAGGTCTCCATGGGGCACCAGCAGTCGAGCTGCGAGGAGGCCGCCGTAGACATCGACCAAGCCAAAATCGGCGCCTGGATCTCCTTTGAGCTTTTCGACAAACCCGCTCAAGATGAATTTATTCGTGGGCGCAGAAGTTACCAATTTCATTGCAGTTGGTGGGAATGCAATATGTGTTCCGATCCGGGACTTCAAGTGTTTCAGAACGGTCGCATGATCCTGCTTCCCAAGCGAGGAAAAGTAAATGGTCTGCAGCCAGCAACTCCCGCTGACTCCGGCAGTATATGTAACACAGTCAAATAGACCAGCCTGTTGGGCAGAATGACAACTGCTCGCCCCAGCCACCAAGGCTCTCAATCCTCCTCCGCTACCACATATAGCAATTGTCGGTACATCTTCAGGATCTATCTCTTTCTCTTCAATGTCTAGATATTTGGCTAGAGCCTTGACAATACGTGCCTTTCTTTTCCGACGAAATTCCAACTCGTCCTTTCCGAGCGTATCACCTACACGCACTGTGGCATTCCAGAGAATTTCTGGATTGATTGTCGGGTCCTGAGACTCTTGCCATATTTCGTCTGCCAAAGTGCCAGGCTGCATGCTTAGCTCAAAGCGTAGTTTCTCGAGTCCATCAGGGAGGAACTTTGCCCAAACCGGGACAACAAAGTCAGTGATCTTGTCGCCCACAGTCGTCCATTCTATTCTTTCGATACCTTCTCTCACATTATTGAAATTTCGTGAAAAAGTAGCCCAGGCATTCTCATCATCGTCTTCGAAGCCTGGCCCATATGCATCTGGGTCATTCACTTTGTGTATTATGTCTGCATCACCCCACTTGGTGGCATGCTTGGGGTCTTGGTGGGCGAAGTGACTTTGGACTCGTTGGCCATAACCTGACAGATCGACATTCTGGGGCAGGGCCTTATTCGCTGGGCTATCAAGCTTGACGGTGGAGCTTCGTCGACAAGTAGCGTGAATAGCAGTGCCAGCAGCTGCGGCAAAGACAGTATATCGCCAAGGCGTTCCTGATAGGAGCCTCGCAGCGCTCATAGCGACGGGGAGCGCTGCAAAGACGGTGTTATAAACGCATATCAAACACAATGCCGGTTATTATTCCAAATTTAATAAAATTGGGAGCCTAAGTTTCCTGTGGGCATTCCCAGGTTTTGTTGAAGCTCAACAAATGATGACGTCGGAGAGCATTTGCAAATGGAAATATGTTATTCCGAACACCGGTTCCTGGTCTAGGCTGTACCAGGTTAGATGAATGTACTGGGTCTCTTCGGGCGCCAAACCCAATGGCTGGCCAGAACTGGGGACTGTTGCCAGTTCTCACCGACGACGGACTTGTTTTGGTGATGGACCAGTATTGAATTTGCATATAATATCGAAGTGTCTTCCAACATCGGATTGGCTGGTCCAACAGGGGTAATGAGTATATAACATAGTCCGAAACTGACAGCCTCTGACGCCGCGGCCGTCAGCTGGCCGAATCAAAGACTGTCGCCTGAAACTTTTCAAGTGGCGCTGGACATTGTGCATTGTCGTACAGCATATCAGCCGCCCCCAAGATGGTCGGGTCTAGGAATGCTGCTTTTGCAGAAGAAAGCGCCGAGGTCGAGGTCCTCTTAGCGTCACTGGGAAAGACTAAAGACATCACCAAGCGCATCACTGCAAGCCTGACGCGTCTTGATACCAGTGGCAAGATTGTCAAAGAGGCCATTGGGCCGATCTATAGCAATACGCAACTGTTACAAGTAACCAACCGAAATATTGAGAAAGTCAATGAAGCCATCGACAAGCTGAGACAACCCCTCGATGCCCGGGGCAGAGAGGAAGGAATCATCCGAGCAGGTCCGAAGAATGCCGGGCTGCCGCAGTATCTCAATGCTTTGAAACGAGTTGACAAGGCGTTGAACGATCTCAACTCGTCGAACATGAGATCCAACCAGCAAGCGATATCCGAGTTCCATAGTCTGCTATCGACTGGTGTCAACCAGCTCAATGACATCTACCGGCAACTACTGCAGGAGGATGCGAACAACATCGAACCTTTGCACTACATCACCAAGGAAATACCCTTTCCAACGATATCCCCGGAGAAGGCTCAAACTCTCGGACAGATGGCCACGGCAATTTCATCAGCAGGAGCTCAGTCTGCAAGAATGGGCCAGCGAGATGAGGACGCCGCTGCACGAATTTACGCCGACATTAGGGGAGACTATCTCCAAAACAGCCTTCAAAACCTCGCGTCGGCCTCTATCAGCACCTCTAAACGTCGAGCTAACGATACAGGCATTTACCGCGAAGGTTCTAGCGGTATCGGAGCATACGCCAATGCTGTTGAGGGCATGTTTCTTGCAGAAGCGGATAACACGTCTAAAATATTCCGCGAGGACGCTGGCCGTATCTTTACGCAAACTTGCGGGAAAGCAATTTCTACGTTCTCACGGACGTTAGCAGAATTGAACGGCGTCATCAAGTCCCGCATCTTAGGTGATTGTTTCCTGGCATACGAAATCCTCGACCTCATCACGCCGCTTGGGTATCGACTGGAATCGCGAACGGGTCAACTGCGTTCACAATTCGCTGACGCCCTAAGGCCACTTCGTGACACTGCGCGATCCTCGCTGAACGAAATACTCAGCCAAACGAAGAAACAGGCCGAGTCAGTAGCCACTCTCCCATCAGACGGCAATATCATCCCCTTGGTCTCTCAGACAGCCACACGGCTACAAAACCTTGCTTATTTCGAACGCCCATTGTTAGTCATTCTCTCCGCTATGGGTGAAGGCAGCTGGCGCTCCGCTCCGGGCGTGGCCTCTCAGTCTACACTAAACCTCGAGTTAACACCCTCGACGGAGAATCCAACCCTGCTCTCCCACTTCCTTCTCGACATTGTAGAAGCACTCTTCTCCACACTCAGCACGCGCGCACAGGCACTGCACCGCACCAAAGGCTTGCAAGGCATCTTCCTCCTTAATACGGTCGCAGTGATCACGCGCGCCGTCAACTCCAGCCCGGACCTCGCCCGCTACCTAGGCATCAATCCACACAGCACGAAGCTCGACGCGTACCGCAAGACCGCCTCATCACTCTACCTGACTGCGTGGCGCGAACCGTCCGCCCACCTACTGGATACAATCCACACATCAGGGCAATCGCGGCCCACGTCCGGGGCGGCGATCGACTCGACGCAGATCATCAAATCGCTCGGCTCGAAGGACAAAGACAAGATCAAGGAGAAATTCAAGCTGTTCAACACCAGCTTCGACGAACTGATCGTCCGCCACAAGTCGCTGCACATGGAGAACGAGGTGCGCAGCTCCGTCGCCCGCGAGATCCAGGTGCTTATCGATCCGCTTTACACCCGCTTCTGGGATAGGTATCATGAGGTCGATAAGGGCAAGGGCAAGGTCGTCAAATACTCCAAGTCTGAGTTGTCTAGCATGTTGGCTAGTTTGTAGATTGAATGCCTGAAGTCGGCGGCCTGCTTTGACCTGGGGATGGAGTTGCAGTACATGAACACCAAGCCACAGCTTGAGCCGATTGCCACTGCCCCTGCTGCATTGAATCATTTACAGAATTTGGATGGCAGAAATGGTTGGAGTCCCCTCGGGTAGGAGCTTGCGGGGGAGGGGGGAAGGCTTTGGGCTCTTCCTATATCTCTTGGAAGCAAGTATATCCATGTAGAGCTATTCGTACTCAAAGGTCCCTGCATAGCCCGGGACCCGCGTCTTTAGATGTCTTATGTTCGCCACGGGGAACATAGTAGTTAGTTCATTTCGTGAATTTTGTTGAGTTCAAACACAACACCATCAAACGCCAGCGTTCCTCCGATGGTCATGGCATATAGCTAAGTGGCTATTTCGCGCCCGTTTTTGTGCCCAAACCCAAGGCGCCGTGGTATTCATGGGTATGCAGTGTCGAGAAATGCCACCCAATAGAACCAATAAATTAGCTCGATCCTGTTCCTCGGTATGCTATACATGATGTTTACTATTTGACCACCCAGTATCTCCGCCTGCCCAGTCCGACTGATGAGCTCTTGTGCTCACAGAAGCCATAGATGAAATAATCCAGAACTAGCTCACAATCTGCGGAAAGTCTCCACGACCTCCCTCTCCTCCATCTCGCGATCAGGATTAAGAATGAAGCGGATAGTCCCTTCACGACCTCTCTCACCGATCCTTGGCCTCCCCCCAGGGACGCTCGTGGCAGCGGTACTACCGCTTCCGACGCCCGAGCTGGAATTCGTGCTCGGGCTCGTTATATCCTTGGGACTGACGTTTTTACTAGATGACCGCGAATGTGAACCGTTGGCGGTGCCGTTGAGTCCACCGTGGCCGTGTCCCTGGATGTTTTTCTCGTTGGGGGTCTTGAGCCACTCGGTAAAGCGCGGGAGGCGTCGCTCTTCCGACTCTTGGTTGAGGGGAATGCGGACCTCGAGGAATGTGTCGACGGAGAATTCAGGTCCGATGGCGGTCTGGTTTCGGTGGTGGGTGTACAGTTCGAGAAGATCGAGGAGCGTTTCTGTGTGTTCCTACTGTCAGTCTCATGCGGAAGCAATGGTCTTCTACGCGCAAGCCTTGGAGAGATACAATTGCAATATACGTACCCATGACCTGTGCCCGATTAATCCTCCAACTGGAGTAGTCCCTGCCAGACCAGATGTCGTGATTTTCCTCCCCTAGCAGTCTTCCTGCAAGCTCCAAACATGCAAATGCAAGTGTAGCCGTCTGTTGTTTTAGAGGCGCAAATGTTCGGTAGAGGTCCAGACATATGGCATAAGCTGTCTTGAGGACCTGGGAGGTCTTTTCGAATTTGTAGAATTTGGCTAGTTTAATGAGGAGATCTTGAGGATGACGGCTCCGAAAGTCAAAGCCTGATGCTTCTAACATGAGACGTTCTAGGCCGATGATGGCTCGAGATTGGTGCTCAAAGACCTGTTTAATGTCAGATCAGTAGAGTCGTCGAACAGTGGACACAGAGCAAGTCAACATACTTGGTCATCGGGAGATAGTTGCTCATGCCGGCCAGCTTTCAGGTTGTGGGAGGCGCAAAGAATATCTCGTGACTTCTTGAGTGTGTCTTCAACCTTGCACGCAGAAAATAGAGCGGCGGCGGCAGCATGCTGAAGGGGACATTTGATCAGCACGAGAGATTCCGAATCAGTCGAGATGCCAATACTTACCACAAAATCGTACTCTCCATCAGAATGCTGGAGTCGAAATTTATGATAGTAGACAACCGCTGTGTTGAAGGTCCTAACTGGTCTGGCTTGGAGGTCAGTATCTGATCATAAGACCCAGGATCGCAAAATGCGCCGCGAGTGCGAGTTGATTGACAGCAGTCGCGCTCATGAGATGCAAGTTGACTTACAGCTTGAGCGCTCGTCGGACGTTTTCAATCCACTGCACTCCAGCGAGTCTGATGTTGTCCTCTCTAGCCTGGGTGACACCGTTGTCCTTCAAACACTGTTGGATCTCTTGCTCGAAGACGTAGCTTTTTGCAACCTGCACAAAATTCGGCATGGGTCCATTTCGCCTAGGTGCCGCTATCGTCGCTGTCGTGGTGTTTGTGGCAACATTATTGTTACCTGAAGTTGTCTCACCCGCACCATTCATCATGTCCGGATGAATGTGAGCTTCGAGTCCACCGCATTCGCAGGGAATTAACCAAGGCTCGTTGGTAATGTAATTGAAAGATGTTGTTGAAGTCGAAGGACGAGTCGAACTTTCGACTCGAATATCGGAGAAACTCATTTCCACAGAAAGGAATCCGGGATCGGATAAACTTGACTTTCGTTCCCGCCTAGTCACGTGCGCGCGCGAGACTTCAACTCGTCTCCACAGATTTCATCAACTCAGTTTCTTCAACACCTACGCCCAGACAACTCCTCTTTGTGTGGCGATCCGAGACTCCTTATCAATATGGTAACGCATAGCCTTCATGCCTGCCAGACCATGACAAGGGGAACTATGAGGAGAGAAGGAAGACTGTGAAATGAACCATCACATCGGTTAAACGTGTCCTTCACTTGAAGTAATATGGGAAAGACTTCCGCAACTGCCTCAAAGTACCTTGCTTGTTATCGGAGACCTTCGAAAACACAAGCATAGGGGCTTCAGCCTCGTTTGGCTCTTTTACTCGAAACCTCCTCACCATCATCTCGCCTCTTCGAACCTTTCTTAATCCTAGGATCAACCTGTCTCGCTGTTGACAACGCTAATGCACCAAATGCCTCGATCAATTCTAGATCTTTGGCTTTCTCTTTCCCTCTGATATTTGCACTATCCAACCCCGCCCCTGCTATTGAACCCAAGCCTATTCTTGCCCTCAGCTGCTCCCAGGCGTTCATTCCATCCTTCATTTTCGCGTACGGATCGAGCTCTGCAGTATCAGCGCGACCAAGGATCTCGCACATCCTGACATCAGCATACATTGCTGCCGCATGAAGTAGACCCTTGCCGTCTGTTCCTTTCACGGAGGTGTCGGCGCCAGCCTCTATCAAGGCTTGTGCAACCTCATGCGCGTTTGCCCAGATACAGTCCAGGAGCACCGTGTACCCGATGTTGTCCTGTGATTCGAGATCAGCACCTCCTGCTAAAAGCAATTTTATACCATCGACATTATTTGCCAATGTAGCATAGCAGAGACAGCTTTCTTCGCGACCTGTGCGAGCGTTGACGTCTGCGCCAGCTTCTAGTAGCAAGCTGACGCTTTCATTGCGACTGTCGCTCCCTGCAAGATGTAGAGGAGTCTCACCCCAGTTGTCCCGCACGTTAACGTTCGCACCGGAATCAAGTAACTCGCGAACACAATCGACACTACCGTTCTGAGCTGCAAAATGAAGTGCACATCTGCCGGCATTGTCCCTTGTGTTGATCTCCGCGCCACACTTCAGTACTCGCTGAAGTATGTCTGCGTTGCCGGTCCAAGCCGCCCAATGAAGGGCAGTGCGCCCAGCAGAGTCACGGTGATTGATGATAGGGCGAGATTGGCGCAGAGCAATATCGATGGAGGAGTATTCGAGATTGAGAATCAGGCGCTGGAGGGTAGAGAATTGGCGTGAATCGAGGTCCGGTTGTGGAAAGATGGATGACAACGCAGTCTGGAGCTCTCGTGGTGTTGAATACTCATGCATGATATTCCACGCCAAGTCTCCAGCTGATCTAAGATGGGTGAGCAAAAGAGAAAGCAAAGGTGGGCAAAAGTACCTACGGAGCCAGGGTGGATGGATTTGGAGCAAACGGCTTGGCAGAATGAGCAATCAAGAGCTTGCACACCTCAACTTGGTAATGTGAGACAGCATAGGTGAGGACTGACATGCCAGTGAAAGCCCCGATATCAGCAGCCGAAGCCTTTCCACTGTTCAGAAGTTTACCGAGTTGGTCACAATCACCTGTACGGATATAGCGGAAGATTTCTGACTCTGGGGGGATAACACGGATCAAAGAAATGCTGAATTGCGGGTGTGCTTCTCGCTGGAAACAGATACCAACAGCTTGCTTAATAAGCCAATGCGGGAAGGAGTACAGTACTGAAATCTTAGGAATGGATCTCTGCGTGCAATTTTCATCATCACAGTTTTGCCGAAACAGAGGCCTGCCGGTATATCCATAGAAACAGTGGCCGAGGATATTATTAGACAGCAATCTCGATCGTGACATTTGAGTCACATGGCAGGAACAGTGACATGAAATTGAGCATCGCGATCCAGAGTAGCGAACTGCATGAATTATCGTCTCGTAGGACGTCACTTGCATAGCAGTATGAGTCGACATTGACTTATCTGGCCGCGGTGCCTCGTCAGAAGCGTCTGAGGCATCAATAGATGGAGCAGGGTTGATGACATCGGCTTGGTTGGACGTAGAGGAGGCTATATCCAAGAGATTGAAAGAGAGATCGGAAGGGGTGTGAGTAGCCTTGGTGAATTGTAAAGGTATTACACCACTTGGGAGACAAAGTTGGTGAGTTCAGGCAGAGGACTAATACGCTGAGACATATACTCACGAAAATTGTACTGCAATTTTGATATCATCCTTTTGTTTCCTAAGGGCCCTTCTCATGCTTGTCCATGGTATTCGTTTTCTTTTGCGCGGAATATCCGAGTTGCTGGAATAAGAAGTCTTGTTCACGGCCTCGTGGATAATGTACGAGTGTTGTGAGATCACCGAGTGGCACATGACAAACTGTGATTCAAGACTTTTTGCCGGCACTGGAAGTTGGTCACGAGAAGTGATGTTTGATGGTGGATCTGAACGGATTTTTTCAAGAACCACCAGAACATCAGATGCCTCATTGGTATATGACGAACGCGAGGTAGATAAAGGGACGGTCTTGCTATTGCGTGATAGATTTTCCAGTATATCATCTAATGCTCGGATGAGCAGACACAATTCGACCGTTAAATTGCCAGGCCCTCCAGCAAGATCAAGTCTTGACGACGCAATGCCTGTAATCTGGATTCCAGCACGAGAAGTTGTCGGATCGGTGCGTAGTGGCCCTAGCTGACACTCAGTAACAGTTTGGGGTATAGCAGAAAGATGACGGGCTTTATCAGCCGATAATAACGCCAGGCATGTCGCTGGATCTGTTCTCTGAATGACTTCCTCCGGACAGTGGAGAGCGGCTGAGCAGGACGAGCCGACGCTGCAAAGACGCTTCATCCTCGATGCCCACCGCTTGAGACTCACCCTTTTCGAGTGCGTTGATGTACAGGTCTTCTAAGCTGCTCAAAACCACCTTCAAGTTGTCGACATCCTTTTGGATTGAAGGGTGAAAGCGACACAAATCTGAGTGTTTCGTTTCCAGTCCTAACACGCGCTCCTTGTCACCTGGAAGGTAGAAGGACGCGCTCTCCTCTGAGACAACCTATAGAACTCGTCAGCGTGCGACATTGAACTTGGACATCGGGCATATGAAGGTGCTGACATTATCCAGCTTTTCCCAGAAGGAAACAATTTGGTAGTCCAGGAGCTGGTGGCGGAAGGACTCTTTCAAAATATCAGAGAAGATAGAGCCTTTCTGTAGAGTCGAGACAATATCAGTTTTGGGCGAGAAACCTAGTCGAGTTGCGATAGTTGAAGCAACTGCCGCCAGGGCAACAAGTGATGCGCTTCCTCCTCCATGAGGCGTGCCGAAGAACATTAGTCCCGTGCTCGAGAAGTCAGCATAAGCAACTCAAGGCTGAGCAAGCGTACGTAGCCTGTCTTATGCTCAAATAGTCTCGGTTATGTTGTGCGTTGACCAAGGCCTGCAGTTAAGTGAGTGTTATTCCAGCTGATCTCCCACTAACTTTGGATTGGTGAAATCAAGGTCGCACCTGCTTAACCAGGATACCGCCCAAACTGTGGGACACAAAAATCAGTGGTCGCAAAGGGTCCTAGATCAATCATGGTGAGATCACGATTGGCACGGCGGACAGTACTCTCTGTGGACAATACCTTCTTCCGCTCTGTCCTAAGGGCGTCCAGGAAATCATTGGCTCTGGAGACAAAAGAGCCGCTTTCATGTCCAAAGATAAGCTGAGAGTCGTACTCGTAGAGAAATATCCGAGCATACGGAGCAAGCTTTGGAAGGGTCTCCTTGGGCCACAGATGACTGGTAGACGCAAGTGTCTTGGTCCAAGTATGGAAAACATGCTCGCTGCGATTGCGCCCCCGAGGATTGAGGCCATGAACGAATACAACACTGTTTGTATAAGCAGATTTCGTCCAGTTTCATCCAGAAATGTGGCTTACTCAACCTTCCACTTCCCATACTGTTCCTTGCCTTCTCCCTCGGAAGCGGGAACAAGCTGCCTGAGAGGCTGCAATGTCAAAGGTTTTAGTATTATTAGCCTCAGGATCTGGACGTCATCCTACCATTCGCTCTGGTCGTGATCTGTAGATATCTAGGAAGATTCCATTCTCACTTGAGAGGCTAATCGGAGACGGGGTCGTGATGGCTCTGGGTCATATCTGATAGATTTAGAATCAATCCATCTCTCCGTTGAGCTTATAACAGGGACATTTCATCGAACTGATAAGCCGGCCCCTCAGAGTAGAACTACTTGTATTGCATTGACCCCGCGCACTGGTGCTAGCACATAGGGCATCCATGGCATGATGGTGTGGGCGCTGGGGAAGGGTTGTCTGGGAGAATCGTCTTGCTTGACACGCGCATGAACCTGCGCCCGATCATCGAAAAAGTGAATTCTAATTGGGCTTCAAGGCTCACTTGGACGCCTCGTGATCGGCCCCTTACCTGGCAAGGAATCAAAGCAACAAACCATTTTCTCAGGTTGGAGCCTAGAGGAAGCGATCAAAGCGGCTGGCCACACCACATGCCTTGAGTTGGAGCGGCAAAGTTGGGATGAGCTCGCTTCCGGCCTCTTCCAATAACACCAATTGGCCTTCTCCCAAGTCCTTGATATCATCTTGCTAACTAGGCAACCATTTGCCTTGTCAGCTAGCACACAAACTAGGAATGGGATCGGCTCGGCTCATCGATTTGAGAGGGAAAATTCAACGTGACATACCTCAGCTTACTTGTGAATCTTTGTGGGTCATATTTAGCTCGGCAAATCAAAAGCATCAAACAGTCGTCTTCATTTATTTGTGGGCACTTGATATTGATGGCATTCAGAGACCACTAATTAACTGGGGTCTGATAAAAAATAATGGCAACGCCTTACGAGATCCCTACGCCTTTTGATGTATGGCCCCTTTGAGACTGTGGATGCCGTTCTTGGAAGCCATGGCAAATGCTGCCACGTGTCTCAGCCTTGAGCAACCTGACATACAGGTAATCCTTTCTGAAACTCTCAGACAAGACTGCTATCACATGAATGATAACCGTTTCCCGGTGTTCCTTGCATAAATAGAACAGTGGGCTTGACGTTGAGTTCAGGAGACTGCAACCGGTTCATCCTTGACATCCACCTTCTTGGCCTCTCGGTCGTCATCAGCGGCGTCATCATCCTCTCTTGCTCGCTTCTTGCTATCTGTCGCTTCAAGTTCGGGCTTTTCGTTAGTCTCCTTCTTGTTCTCGGCTTCAACAGCTGCTCTGGCTTTTGCAAGGGCATCATCTCGACCGGTGTCCTGCCTGACAGCGCTCGATTTGACAGTGGGGATACCTCTAAGCCTTCGTTAGTAATTGTTTGTTTGTAGGACTTGGAAGATGAAGGAACCTACTTGTCATCGGTCGTGGGTCCACTGGATCTACTACCACCATAGCCTGAACCACGACGGCGATCACCACCGCGACGCTTATCATCCCCATATCCACGCTTGCGATCTTCATCCCGTCGAGTTCTCCAGTCTCTGTCGTCCTCGTCATCGCGCTTGCGCTTGCTGTCACCTCGGCGGTCTCGGTCGAATGGCTTGCCGCCTTTTCCGTAGGTGTTGGGCTTGATCTTTCCTGCTTTGATGTCTTCACTCTTTTTGTCACAATACTCTTTTTTGCTCATGATCTGAAGGTCATTGCCCTTGAACTTTGGCTTGTTCTCTTGTTCGAGAAATGACTGGGCGAGCTCTTCCGTCTCAAACTCGACGAAAACGCTCCCTTTGAAGAGCTTCTCTTCTGAGCGTCGTAGGCGGACTTCATTGGTAGCGCCAAAGTCAGCGAAGTACGCCTCAATATCGAACTGAGTGCTCGGAATTTCCTCGCCGAAACCCTTTGCATATATGCTTCGTCGCATGGCGGCGGTGTTGTCAAAGCTTGGCTCCCAGGCCATCTTACGTCGGACAGCAGTGTCATCATCTGCAAGCTCAAGGAAGGTCGAGTCTCGCAACGCATCGACGATTGCGGAGAAGGGTTGGAAGTGGCGCATGCGCTTGAAGGAGTGGATCGCTTCCAGAGGAACAGGCTTGTTTTCACTTCCACCAGTTTGCTCGAAAAGATATTTGTCCTTGGGTAGATTTGAATCGGAGAAGTAGAATTCAACCTAAGCAAGTCAACATGAAGGTAGTGTGTATGCATCAATTCTACCATACCTGTTTGCGGATGGCAACTGGATCAGAGCTCTCCTTCTGGTCTGTGAAGACAGATTTGACATTGTCGCGATAGCTGCGATGGCTGTGGCCATTTCGATCACCTCGGCCTCTGCCATGACCACGGCCTCCACGTTCGGATCGACCGTTGTGTCGGTTGTCTCGGCGCCTGTCTGAGTCACGGCCATTTTGTCGCGAAGTCCTAAACCCTGACTGATCTTTCTCGCCAGCGTCTTCTTTTTCGTCCGCCAAAGCATCCTTTTCCACTTCCTTATCGTTGGCATCGCCATTAGTTTGCTTTTCACTCTCTGCTGGGACTGTTTCAGTCTGCATCTCAGCTAATAGCTTTTTGGTGTCCTCAGCGGCCTGGGCATTTGGATCAATTGGGGTCTGGAGCGCATCGGTGACTGCCTCTTCTGCAGACATGTTGAAATTCAAGTTCGGCGTTTTGAATAGCTCAATCACACGGGGAGCGGCGCAGTGGGCGCGGGAAAACTGTGCGGGGATTGATTGTAAGTCTTGCGACGAGTGTGAGCCAGAGGAATAAGGAAGAAGGGACTTGGGAGGCTGTAGATACAGAACAGTGCTCAAGATGTGTTGATGAGTCAAGAGAATTCACCCTTTCTGAGGTTGAACAGGACCTCGTGAATAGATCAATGAACAATACTCAGCAGCGACTATTCAAAATTTCTGGATCTGGCAGATGGAGATCTTGCTTCCCACCAACGGTGAATGGCTGGCAGAAGCCCCGCAGGTGGTAAATCTTGGACCCCGCGGAAAGACGTAATTCCGCTCCGGATCATCTATAGCATTCACGCCGGAGCGGATGAACAATTTTCACTATTGAGAGCATAATGCTGGTATCACATGATGAGCAGCCTTCCAGGCGCTGGAACTGCTAAAGACTCACTTCTCCGGTCAGATAGTCTCCAGTGTATTGAGGCCGAAGCCGCAAGAGGTCTGGTGCGTCAAAGAGAGCCCCAGGACGCAGCAACAAGTTGTCATGGCACGCGTACCCATGAACCCGTGAACCATGCATCGCCCATTTTAGGCTCTCGGCCGATTAAAGTTCCGAATTTGGCAATTTCTTCGTCTGGGCCGAAATCCAACCGCAATGGTCCCTGCGTAGGTGGATTTCATGGGACAGTGTCTAATATCAGGCTTCCCAGATGTACCTAGTCACTTAAAAGTGTCGGATTTAGCTCTCTAAAGCCTAAGTGTTATGATCGTCCTAGGGAATTCTGTGCCACTACATAAACACAAGGTTCGATCTTCAAGCAGCTACACTCCTGCAAAATACAAACAGCTCCGCATCCCTTAGTCATGGCATCCAAGTCAATCCTATTCATTACCGGTGCAAACACTGGCATCGGTCTAGAAACCGTCAAAGCCTTACTGCAGTCACCAAAAGCATATACAATCCTTCTTGGAGGACGAAATTTGGACAAAGCCAACGCTGCAGTCCGCGACGTCCAATCGCAATTCCCTGACAGCTCTAGCACTGTCACCGCTGTGCAGGTGGACATAGAAGACGACAACTCCATCTCACAAGCTTTCGATCGCATCTCTCAAGAACACCAACGCCTGGACGTGTTGATAAATAATGCAGGTAGGCTTTTCTCGACAGAGTAGTACTTGAAGGTGAACAATGTCTGATGGCTACCTAGGTGCCGCCTTTGACGGTCAAGTTGCAGAGGGAAAACTTACAATGAGGGAAATGTGGAACAAGTCTTGGGACCTCAACACCGTTGGCACTCACATTCTAACCCATACATTTATTCCACTCCTTCTTAAGTCATCCGACCCAAGACTTCTCTTTATTACTAGTGGGACATCAACACTTACTGATAGTGGCGATACATCCGTTCCCATAAATATTTCGCCGCCGAAAGGGTGGCCGAAGCAAGGATTCTCGTTGGCTGCGTATCGATCCAGTAAGACTGGTATGAACATGATGGTGCGTGATTGGGTCAGAACTCTCAAAGCGGACGATGTCAAGATATGGGCCATTTCGCCAGGCTTTCTAGCAACTGGTCTAGGTGGTGATCAGGAGAGAAACAAGAAAATGGGTGCAGGAGATCCAGCGCTTGGAGGTAGTTTCATTAGGGATGTTGTCGAGGGTGCACGCGATGCAGATACCGGGTTGGTGGTCCGCCGGGGCGGCGTTCAACCGTGGTAGCAATATTTACACAGTACTCGTAGTAGGCTGCTCGCAGAGGTCTAGGATGAATTAAATGCATGTAGAAGGAGAATTTGAAACATAATTACTAGGTTGCCGGATTCCACAACTGCTGCCAAGCGTCACGTGCCGTCAGGGCGGCTTCCTTGGGATCATACGTCGACCATAATCGCCAACCGTGCCATAATATTGATGATAGGGTGTGTCAAGGGCCAAGACTCTGAAACATGCTGAAACCAAAACCTCTCCTCAGAGGTCCTTGTGATGGCTGATATTTCAGCATTTATTGGGAAGTTTCGCGCTTCCAAGACCGGGCTTCACGACGTTTCATCAGCCAAGGTGATCAAAAGGCCACGAGAATCTCTTGTATGCAATCAATGCAGGAAGTCCAAACTCAGGTGCGACCGAGGCCATCCCTGCAGTAGCTGCATTAAGAGAGATGAAGCATCCAGTTGTATTTACCATCGAATCTCGGTCCCTAGAACCGAAAATAGTCGGCAGACTGTGGCAGAGGAAAGGCTGGTGCATCTTGAGTCAATGGTCAAGGAGCTGATGCAAAGCCAGCCATCTGCACAACGCCCACATGCTGAACCATCTCCTAAGCCAATCACACCACCTGCATTACTTCAGGATGTGACCAACATTGACAGTCAGGCAAAGGCTGATCACCTTGCATATGTTGGATCTACACATTGGTCCGCCATCTTGGACGACATTCAAGAGCTGAAGGCCGTGTTAGGCAAAAGCGTTGAAAATCAAGAAGATGATGATTCTGCTGTACCCGAAACACGCGATCTAGGAAGCGAGGTAATCTTTGGATCACCAATGGGGTTTTCCATGCAGCAGATTATCTCTCGATATCTGCCCCCTAAAATCGAGGTTGATCGGCTTGTGTCGCTCTACTTTCAGGGCAAGACATTCATCGCCCCTTTCATTCACACGCACCAGTTTCAGCGCCAGTATAGTGAATTCTGGGCCGATACTTCAAAAGTGCACCCACTTTGGCTTTCTATGCTGTTTTCAATTTGCTATACCGCTTCCATCATCAAGGAACGAGTCCGCTCGTTTCATGCTTCTCAGAATGAGTCATCCGTTGGTGACCATGCTTTACATATCGCTGCAGGACAATGCCTCGTTCTAGGAGAGTATAACCGACCACAACAGCTGGGTTTGGAGGCTCTGGGTATGTATGCAAATAGCAAAAATCTCAGAAGTCTCGATCCTTGCCGAGAAGCTGGAGCATTGCTCGGTATGGTTGTCAGAATGGCGTACGAAATGGGCTATCATCGAGACCCGGATTCATTCGGATCATTTACCGTGTTTGAGGGCGAGATGCGCAGAAGGCTCTGGGCCTCCGTTGTCCAAATGGATTTGATGATGTCCTTCATGCTTGGCCTCCCGAGCAATATATACCTCGAGACTTGTGACACCAAAGCTCCGAGGAATTTGCTAGATTCCGATTTTGATGTCGATACAAAGGTCCTTCCAGAGGCTCGATCCGAACAAGAAGCAACGAGGTTGTTGTGGTTCATTGTCAAGGTCAGACAAATGCCCAACTTTTCCAAAGCGAGTAGGGATGCTTTGTCATTTACCGAGAATTCCGAGGCGGAGATTCTTGCGCTCGATCAAGACATTCGACAGATGTACACGACAATACCTGATGTCCTGAGAACTCGTCCCCTCTCGGAGTCTCTTGCAGATGAGCCATTCCTTATCATGACCAGAGTTTATGTCGAATTCATTTATCTGAAAAGCATATGTGTTCTCCATCGAAGGTACATGGTCAGAGGGGATGCCTTCAGCACGAGATCCTGTGTTGAAGCTGGAAAACAAATCGTTAGCAATTTCATTGAAATGTATAGGGAATTTTCACCTGGAGGCCAATTATGCACGGAACGGTGGATGCTGAGTAACTTTACTGTCAACGATGTCCTGCTTGGGGTGATGGTTCTTTGTCTCGTCCTCCACAGGCGGCGAAAGTTTGAGGGCCAGGCAGACCCGACGTTTCAATACACGATTGACGAGGCCATTGAACACGAGATCTTTGAACTGCTTGGACAAGCACATGCAATATTAGCGGAGAAATCGCAGGCCAGCAGGGACGTGCGACGTGTTTCGCATGCAGTACAGCTAACGCTAAGGGGCTTCAAGTCATCGTCGAAGCTCTCTTTCCGTACCCATGAGCCCTCAACCGTACAGGATTCGCAGCTTACAATGTCAGAGCCGGCAGCTCACGTTGCCCAAGACATCCCACTGGAGACAATGGTGGACAGCGTGAATCGTGTTTCACTGGCAAGCTTTCCCCTACAAGGCCAGCAGTCACGAGCATCACAACCCCCAACAACACCGCTCCGAACGGATAGAAATAGCTACTCTATGCTGCCATTCGAAGCTTTAGACCCTTTCAACTTCATGACCGATGTGGATAGTATTGACTGGAGCCAATTCGATCCAGATATCGAGGCATTTGATCAACCTTATGATACAAGGAATATGATGGGCTACATGGCTCCCTAGGGATGATCTCTGGGGATTCTAAGTTTCAAATAGTCGATGACTTTGTCAGCACTATCAGAGACCCGCACAGCAAGCGACCATCTATACGGGCACAGGAATCTCTTTCAGGCTCGCAGGTTCGATATAATCCTTGTAACCATTCACCTTCAGCCTCAATTTCCTGGACTCGGCGTATACCACTCTTCTCATACGATTGGTGCTACCTAAAGGCTGATGTTCCTTGAGACCATGCCACGAATTGACAGTAATGCGGTCATCCCACCAGACTCTGAACTCAGGGATCCATGAATCCTGTGGTTCGAATTCAATGGTTGCAATCTGCTCGAACGGATACTTCTTGCCGTCCCATTCCACACCGATATCATCTACGGGCTGCTCCTCTAGGTTTTGGAGCAGTTGAGCACAGAACGAATAGGTGACCTTGTTATTCATGTGGAAGTCCCGGTTGTGCTGGGAAATGACGTTTATCGGGTCGTCGTCTTTGATGTAGGTCTTTTCGAGTTTCTTTTGCTCTTCTCCCAGCGGGAAAACGCCAAATTTGGCCACGTAGTCGCCGAAGCGGTATGCGGCTTGAGAGTATTCAGGCATGGCAACCACTATCGACAGTTTGTCAGCATGCCCCTCTCGCCAGAAGTTTCACGAGAGTTCGAATGCTACCCACTGTGCTGTCTCGGTAGTTGACTGCCCCAGGTAGCCACGTCAGAATCGACACGCTTGCTCTGCTCCTCCGCGAACTTGGGAATATCATTCCAATTCTTCTCCAACGAGTCCGCAATTTCATAAGTGGTGACTGGGTCTCTCAACTCGAGGATGGGATAGTTGTTGAAAGTCCAATCCTGTGTCCTTTTATCCTCTCCCCAGATCTTTTCACCCTCGATTCCAAAGATCTTCATTCCGATGCCCCGAGGAGCAGGCACGTTATCGGGAACAAGTTTCGGGGTGAGCGAAGAGTACCGCATGATAACATCATAGGAACCTGGTTTCTTGAACATCCCTTGTGCCAAGTGGGGCGGGAGGTCTTTGTGGACGATGAATTTGCCAATGACACACTGGCCCAGGGGTTAGCAAGAATGCTCTGCGAGTGGTCGGAAGATTTGACTTACTCCTTGTGTCTTCAAATGTGTACCTCTCAGGCAGTGGTGGTGTTCATTAAAGTTCATCATCTGAAATCGGTTAAACTGGTCCGACACAGCTTGAATCTTTTCCTTTTCGCCAGGCTGTTCAACCTCGACTCCTTTGGCATCCCTGTACCCGCGTAATTCACTATTAGCCTCCTGAGATCTTGGGCAGAGGGATATATGTAGGGCATACCATCTGATGTACTCCCCAGGCGCGGGCTTCCCTTCGCCGTTAGCTTTCACGGTCCCATTGGCCCTTTCACCATTGTGAACATTATGCTGTACGGGGCACGACATGTTGGGATCCAGAAATGCACGCGCAGTTTCGATATTCGCTGTAGAGGAAAGGATGGTCAATACCTGAAGAATGATAAGGTGCGCAGCAAAGAACAGCTACTATGTACTACTACTAAGGGGATCTCGACTAGTATATGAACCGCTCCATTGTCACCTCCACCACCAAAGACAACATGTACCCTGCGCCCGCAATGCCAGCCACACGGTCTAAAGGAGGTTTCTAACGGCGAGGGAAAGTTCACAGATACGTCACAGACATGACTGTGAGGGTCCAATCTTGAGAATCCTTCGCAGCTGCACGCCCCCTTCCAGAATGACCCAAACGAAGGTATGGACCCGGCGAGAGGATCTAGGGCTAACATAAGCTTACAAGGTAGCCCGAGTCTAAACCCAGAGATCAAAGGGGACGGAGTGCCCAACATCCAAAGGGAAAAAGCGCGAGGAGGCCGGGGGATCGCTGTTCGTTCTTGCGGGGAATTCCCGTAACTGATGATGCATTCGTGTGCAGATGTACCAACTATCAGCAGAGCGGCTGGTTACGAAAGGATCCCGAAGGATCTCAGAGCCTAGGCTAACGACGAGCAGGGGACAGAAGGACCAGCCTTTTCCACCGGGCTTCAATGTTGGTGGATGGAGGTATTGCTCTTTCCTACGGTTAATGCGGATTTTCACTAGCTCCTCTGGCAAGCCAGCAAACCACTTGGGAATGTCCCGTTTCTCGATGACAATGCAGTCCATCGCAGCCTTGTCGTGGCCTGTCTTGTCTTGACTTCGGATCTCACCTACTACATATCATTACAAACATACTTCGCGTGGGCTTGGCGCAAGAGCGATTCAGCCGCACCACCTGCCTTCGAGCATGGCTGCTTGGAGTTCGGCCGGCCATAGCAAGGGCATTGCGTCTTCCATACCGGTTTTGGTGGGAAGAGCTGCCCGCCAAGCTCTATAAAGACAACAATTTGACATAATGCTGGAGTGATCATGATGGAAGATCTTTCTGTGATCGTCTTCTTTGTTTTCAGCTTCTATTCTGCAGTCGATGCTCTCTAATGCCGCTAGTTTGTCTGCATCGACAGATGGTAAGCCGTAGGCTGATGGCGAGGACCAAAACCCCTCATCCCGGTACAGACGACACGTGACCGAAAGGGAAACATTTGTGCATGGGGATCCAAGTGAAGAAATGTCATGTGCAAATTGTTCAACGCTATATGCTTTTACATTGGATAGATGCAAAACAGAGGTCCTTCCCGGGAGCCGCCTATATCTGTTCATTGACGAAGAGACCAGCCATACCTTGTCCAGAGCCGATCTGCAGGCATGATTAGCTTCAACCCATTTACAAGAACGCAGCAATAAAGGAGTGTAACTTACACACATAGAAGTGACTAGGATCTTCTTCTTGGTCCTCCGAGCTTCGCTCAAGATCGTGCAGATCTGTCGCGCACCGGTTGCACCGAGGGGATGGCCGAGAGCGATGGCGCCACCACGGGGGTTGACCTTGGCGTGGTCGAGGCCAAGGACGTTCAAGCAATAGACGGCCATGGAGGCAAATGCCTCGTTGATCTCGAAGATGTCAATGTCCTCTTTCGTAAGCTGGAATTTGTGCAGGAGCTTGGGGATGGCGGCAGACGGGCCAATGCCCATGATGCGGGGAGGAACACCGGCAACGGTGGCACCGCAAAACTTGGCCAGGATGGGCTGGCCGAGCTCAATGGCTTTGGAACGCTTCATCAGCAGGACACCGGCGGCTAGAGTTTTGGTTGATTAGACAGGGTCAAATGCATTAGCAGAACACGGGCAAGATCTTACCTCCATCGGTCACCTGACTGGCATTGCCACCAGTGGTTTTGTCGCCAAATTGTGGCATTGCCGGTCTGATCTTCAATAGAGACTCGAGAGTAGTTCCGTAGCGAGGACCTTCGTCTCTGGTAAGCGTGACAGTCTTCTCCTCCCCGGTCTTAGGATCCTTGACCTTGGTGGTGATGGGGACGATCTCGTCATCAAACCAACCAGCTTTCTGAGCGACCTCGGCTCTCCGGAAGCTCTCGACGGCATATTCATCCTGTTGTCTTCTTGAGATGTTGAAGTCATTTCCAACGTTTTCCGAGGTCTGGATCATAGGCTGCTTGCAGTCGGCGGCTTCTTGATTGGCTTCGACCTCGGGAGAGAATGAGGCACTGCCACCCCTGCTCTTGGTCATGCTCTCTCCACCGAGAGCAATACCGATGTCGATGCTGCCGTTCGAGATCTGATTGGCAATGTCTTGCACGGCCTTCAGACCACTGGAGCAGAATCTGTTGACACTGCTTGCACCAGAGGTGTGAGGGAAGCCGGCTGCGAGCATGGCGGCTCGGACTTTATACGCAGCTCCAACATCACCGACATTTCCTAGACAGATATCCTCGACCAGTGAAGGGTCGATCTTGCTCTTCGCGACGAATTCTTTCAACAAAGCATAAACGATGTAGTCGAGTTCTGTGTCTTTAAAACCGCCCTTGTTGCCTTTGGCGAGTGGGGTTCTGAGAGCAAGTGTGATGACAATGTCGTCAGGATTCTTTTGTGTGCTGGAAGAAACGGAATGGTGTTAGCATCTGGCCAGACGGTTACAAAGACCTCAAACCCACTTACATGGCAGAGATGCCGGTCTTGGTGGGGGAGAGGTGGGAGATGATCGATCCGAGTCTTTGAGTGGCCATTTTGACTGTGTTAGAGGAATGAGATGTAGGTGGAACTAGAGCAGAGTTCAGAGAGAAAGGAGGCAAGATAGGGATGGAGAAGAGAGATGGAGATGGAGGAGAAGTTGTGATGATCACAGTCTTACTATTTCAGTGCCAGTGAAGCCGCAAGGTAATCGCCGCTTCTGCTCCTTGTGGAAGTTGAACCTCGGCATCTTTTGGAGGGAGAAAAGAATAAACCTAAACTACAACAATGGCTCCGGTGGAAGCGAGGTGCGTTTCAGATGCGTAATGTTGCTCCGTATTTATGGCGCCACCCAGCACCGTCGGGCCGAATGGATGGCCTGGCTCTCTTGGTGGAGGCAAGCAGTAAGATTTTTTGATATAGTCTCCTCGCGTCTGGCGGTTTGATATTGTAGCGACTTCGAGTACACGATGAATTCGTAGCCTCAAAGTAGGGGCGAGAAGGGTAATTCAATGTCCAGTATCATCTACTCTATCACCCCCGGCGTCCTTCACCCGTTGCGGATTTCCATTCGAAAAATCTATGGTTGGGCATCCCATCTGCCTAATGGCACTCTTCAGTTAAGCAGTGTATTGTGGTTCGTCAAGCGACTTCGTCATTTTGAATCTGAGGCGAGAGACTGGAATCAGGCTGTAAGTACGGCGAAGCTGGGGCGCTAGAAACGCTATCGCACTCTCCCGCTGGCAAGCCACGGCCCAAATACGGACACCCGTATCCCATATCCCATTCTCCCGCCGCTTTAGACATTCTCCAGCCCTTCCCGGCTCGGATCCGATCACCAAATGGAGGACTGCTTGCATTCTTTGATGGGAGGGCGACCTACTGTACGAGGACCCGAGGACTATCTCGTATTCTTTACATGATTACTCCGTAGTACTAATCTTCCGCCAGTCAGATCATCCCTGCCTAGGTACGAGGTACACTAAGGAACAGGCTGGGGCCTTGCCAGGCTAACATTTCCGGAGGTCAATTTTGGACCTTGAATCGGGAACTGCGGCTATAAGTCGGCAAAAACACAAGACTAGAGAACACTCAGGAGCTGATTTGTCTCTCCCGTTCTGACCGTTGTAGATGTTTTGTGTATCATTTTGTGTCAATCGCAGCTAGTCTATTTGATTCATTCGCTCGATCTAGCCAGGGTGGAAAGTAGACCCTCAAGCCAATCGGGTGAAAGAGATCAGATCCTTACTCGTACGCTCCTCTAGACGAAGCTTTGCCTCCTTCGACGCCGATAACTGTCCCATCGCTATGCATGACATTCCGATACTCGAGACTCTCCATGGCTCGTTGACGGTTGGCATTCATGTATCGTTGTTTTTTCAATCCAATTCGTATCTCGTGTGTGATCCAGAGTGGTTTACTTTTCCTCAACGCTGTCAGGTTTGATGGTCTCGCCTTCAGCATCCTTCATCTCAGTATCCTCTGGCTGGGCTGCCTTCTTTGCTTCCTCTTCCGCCTTCTTCTTGGCTTCAATTTCTGCTCTCTTCTTGGCTGCTGCTTCCTCTTCTGCTTTTCGAACAGCAGCACGCTCAGCCTCCACCTTGTCAAGGTAGCGTTGAACAACGGGGCCAGCAACAAAGCGGATCTCGTCCATCTTTGCAATGTACTGGGCTTTTGAGGCATCATCGCCGTCATCATACAGCCAATCCTATCCACACATTAGTTTATGGTAGTCTTTGGGGAAAAAAAAGTTACGGCTGCTTACCTCTGTTGTTTCCAGTTTACTTCTGATTTTCTCTTTCTCCTCGTCATTTGCAAACTCTGCATACAGGTCGTCGATCTTTCCGCGCAATTCGTAAATATATGCCTCGAGTTCGTTCTTCTTATCTTCTGTATCAGTCACCAATTTGTCCTCCATGAACATTTGGTTCTCGAGTTCTGCCAGTCCAGACTTGGCAGATTCGTCCAACGACGAGGTACCAGCCACAAGCTGAAGGTCGCCCTTGCGCACTTGCTTCTTGACTTTGCGAAGCTTGGGTTTGGCCTCAGCAGAACCATTGGCTTGATCGGTTTCCATGGCGTCGCCATCCTTCTTTGGCTCCGGTTCTGGTTCCTCGACCTCAACGTCTTCGACGTAGTAGCCGCTCTCAACATTGAGGATGCCATGCAGGTTAAGACGCGCTTTTAGTTTACATACCATGAAGTCGTCCTTGTCATCAGCCTTGACGCCCTTGACTGAGAATCGGCCGATCCATGGATTCACCTTTCCAGGAAGCAATTCTGGTTTGGCATATCTCGCCTCGAGGTCGAAGGGCTGCTTCCGGTAGAAAGTGAGAATCTTGGTAGATGGCATCACATTGCCCTTGTTAAAGACAGTGAGGCTGGTGTCTTCGTCAGGAATATCGGGAGACTGTTCCCACACGAATTCAATAGGATAGGTGACGATGTCGTGGACAGAGAAGTCCCGGACACGGAAAACGGGGGAGAGAATTGCGCAAGAGAAAGCACAGCCGCGGGCAATGGCCTCATCTTGGTTGAGGGTGTATGACAGAGGCTTGCCGAAGAACTTGCCGATTCGCTCTTTGATTGCTGGTACACGGGTGGTACCACCAACCATCTCAATGGCATCGATGTCCTCTACCTTTAATTTGGCATCTGCCAATGCTTGTTCGAGAGGCGCAGTGACGCGTTCGAGGAGAGGTTTGATGAGCTCTTCGAAATCTTCACGCTTCAACATTGCTCGCACGTCTTTGTCGTCCATCAAAGACTCGATGCTCAGTGGAGCCTGAGCATTTGCCGACAGAATTTTCTTGAGCTTCTCTGCGGCTGTTGCAACGCGGGTGGACGCTTTAGCGTTTGTAGTGATGTCTAGTTTGAACTTCTCCTTGAACTCGGCAGCGAAGTGATCGACGAGTGCTTTGTCAAAGTTGCGACCTCCAAAATGTCTATCGAAGGCTGAGGACTTGACGGAAAGCTCGCCTTTCCGGAACTCGACGACGGAGGCGGTGTAATCACTGTAACCAATGTCGACAAAGACAACACGGCGGGGTTTGGCATCAGCTTCTGGGAGGTCGGATTTGGTAATGCCATATCCAAGGGCGATGGCTGTGTTGTCGTTGATTAGGCGCAGGAGCTTCAAGTTTGCAACTTCTGCAGCATCCAACATGGCACGTCGTTGGGCGTCTGTGAACCATGGGGGGCACCCGATGACAACGTCGGAAACGGGTAGCTTCAATTCTTTGCTCGCAGTGTCTCTGATCTTGCCCAAGTACATGCCGATAAGCTGAACAGCGGAGAGCTTAACCTTCTCGCCCCGGTATGTGACTTCAGCACCGACTTGGCCATTGACATCAACCAGTGGTGCTGTGATGAATTGTTGCTCGATGGCGACTTCAGGGTCATCGATGGATCGGCCAGCGAGGCGCTTCAGAGAGCTGACGGTGTTCTTGAGATTCGAGATTTCTTGAGTTTTCGCAGACTCTCCCAGATATCTGCTCTTAGGGCCGAATCCAACGAATGAGCTGTGATGAAAGGGTTAGCCGAAACTGGACTTCTGGTATAGATAGGACAAGGCTGCACGAGGCAGGCAGGAGACTTACGGTGTCTGACGATTGGACGTTTCATTTGTGATCTGTGAGTGAGAGATAAGTCAGTAAGTAGAGGGGCGGCTGACCAGGGATGTCCACTTACAATGTCTATGCCTTTGTTTCTTGCGACACCGATCTTTGTGCTCTGGGCACCAAAATCTATGCCAACAACGCTCATGGTTGCGGTGGAAGGCGGGTTTCAGAGAGAGGTGATGAAAAGTGCTGGGGCTTGGATTGCTCCAAGGGCAAAGGACGAGCAGAGATAGTGCGCGCGATCAGGTGGCTGATAGCAGCAGAAGGATGAACGAATCGAGCCTTTTTGGCAGTCACTGCAACAGAAGGGCAGACGCTGAGTCTAGATGAAGAAACAAGCCAGGACCAGAAAATACCATGACCCAAAAAAATTGTGCCTGGTCTTAGGTACGCTGGGGGGAAGTGGGCAGTGGCAGTGGCAGTGGCAGTGGCAGTAGTACCTTCCTCCAACTTCTCGAAGGTTCAACACTCACGGCCGGTCTTGGCGGGGCGGCTGCCTCAAATTTTTACTTGAATTTATGGCATTATGTTATCACTGACGAGTATGGCAGGAGTGGCACTTGATAGGGCTCCTCGGCGTGCACCTGCCCACTGCCCCCTGCCCGCCGCCCACCGCCTATAACTAGATAATTAGGGCTACGTACGTCAACGGTCGGCTGGCTCTATCTGCATGGTTTTTCTGGCGGAACTGAAATTGAGGAGCGGTCCCACGTCACACGTCACTCACTCATTCCTCGCCCCTTCAGTCCCCATCATTGTTCAAATCATCCCTCACCACGAAGCCTGGTGAGAGGTTTCCGTAGTGAAGAAGTCGGGCTGGTTCAGGTACATGCCCATCCTGCCCATGTTCAGGCAACGCCTGATGCGTGCCGGATTCCTAACGTACCGTCCAGACGTGCTCACAAATACAATAGTCTTAGAAGCTAGCCCAACTTGGGCCGTTGAATGCCCTTGTCCATCCACACTGATCCATTCTTACAGTAGGCTGACTTGGGGCAAAGGGCACTAACGGTTAACCCCCAAACAAGTCTATTAAATATTACCTGCTGTCTGAGATGAGGATGCCATATGTGATTTAACAAATGGAATGTTAACAATACCCAACTGACGTCCTCCCTGCAATTTCTGACTCTAAACCATGCTCGACGGACTCAGGCTTCGTCTTGGCCGTCTGCTTGGCCGCTTGGCCGCCTTGCGCCCACTTCCTTCAGCCTCATTGTTGACTTCTTGCCCTGGTGATCCCTGTTCTTGATGTAGACTTAGATAGTCGTCCTCAAACCCCACTGCTGTCAGTGGATTGATCCTTCCCAATGGGCTTCTGTGCTCGCTGGGTACTGTGCTGTCTCCAATGCTTTGTCGGGCAGCTATTTCATTCAATTGCCTCGATAGCTCTTGGGCATCCGCCAATCCCAGAGATGATGACCGTGTTCTGCGTCCACTGCGGCCAACCAAGTCTCGTGACTGAGGGTAAGCCGACGGGGGGTAAGAGCCATTCCCCGTGACAGTGCTTCGCCTGTTGATGCGGCCTTCGCGGCTGGTGATTTGAGACCAGCTAGAACTAAAATCTGCTCGCTCATGCTCATTCATCCCATCGGTTTGCGTGCTCAATCCATAGTCTTCGCCTGAGATGCTCGTTACTCGCCGAGGCGTGTGCACTGAGATACCTTCAGTATCACTCATATCAAGAGAATTATGCTCCCACCTGCGTAAGTGCGCGCTCATCTCACTCTCTGAAGCTGCTGTGGAAGGTAGGTCTTTTTGCCAATGCTCACTCGGACCTGGCTCTGCAGGAGCAAACCGTCCTTCAATGCTTGAAGACGGCTGCAAGGCTGATGGACGCACTCGTCGCCTCCGAACTTCCATGGCGGGCTTGAAGGTCTCTGGCTTGACATTAAGATCGTCTCCAGTTTCAATGGCATGCTCAATGGCTTGTTGAGGGGTGACCTCGGCATCAGCGGCGCCTGCGTCTACTCTCGGTCCCCCCCACGTTCGCTGCCCGGCTGTGAATATTCCATACACCATGAATATCCAGTTCATGAAAGGGTTGATTGCGAACATCAAAGGGTAAAGCACTGATTTCCACCGATGAAGTCGCACGGCAAAATAAAACATGAGGATCCAGTTCAGTCCACATGAAATGCACATAAACTCCCACGGTAAGCGTTGTAAAGTACCCGAGGTCGAGCTTACCGACACCACAGTGATGAGAAGTAACATAGAAGTCGTCCGAATGTTGATTGTCATAAATCTGAGCAAACACAGCATTGGATACTTCCGCCACAATCGGCCATCTGTCAACATGCACACCTCATTGGTGATGAATCCCAAAAACCATCGCCGTCTTTGTTTTAAGAGGGATCGGAAAGTCTGGACAGCCTCCGTCTTGCAGAATGCACTCGTGCTCAGCTGAATCTGATACGCTTCTTTGGCTCCCAACATAAACAAATGAGTTAGCCAGCGATCCTCTCCTAGATGAGTCTTGGCATAATCAAACAAGTCTTCACACGTCTCAGCTCGATCAGAAAAATAGAACTTGGCCATGTTTCGAAAAGCCGAGAATCGAAGAAGGTTGAGCGCTCCAGGGAGGCAGGTCACCGCTCCGCAGCCCGATTCAACCGATCTTTCAAACATTTGCCCATGAAGATACTCCATATCCTGCATGAGTGTCAAGAATGAGTGCTTGTCGGTCCGGGTGGTGATGATACCAGTCATTGCCAACATATTGTGCTTGCCCCGTGGCTTCAGTTGCATGTCATACATCAAGTTCTGAATACACACCGAGTCTAAAATACAATCTGAGTCGATGAATAAGATGAAGAGATCATCTTTCTGACGTAAGTATCTTTTGTAGATCTTGTCAATAAGCAGGAACGTGGCTTTCTGGCAATGTCGCTTGCCACCATGAGGAAATCTGGAAACTGTGACGCGAGCCCCCCGGTACGCAACGTCTATTGACTTGGGAAACTCCTCCAGTGTGACCGGTATGCCCAGGCGATCTATGGTCTTCAGATAGAGCTCGTCTATGCTGTCCCCATCAAATGAGACAAAGAGGTGTATGCAAGCCGAAGGGTAATCAGACGCAACAACAGAGTTGAGCGCAGTCCAGAGAGACTCTGGAGGTTCCTTGTAGACAGGCATGACGACAACGACTTTTGGCGAAGACTGCTCGTTGAGCGTATACTTTATCCTCTTCTTTCGCCCAAGAGGAACAACGACGATCCGATAAACGCAAAAGAGCCAAGGAATAGTGAGCATGCAGGCGAAAGTGTAGAAGGCAAACTTCTGAAGGATATCGACCAGTAGCGAAGGAAAGTACTGCGTGATTCGACCTGGGACAGGCAGCGTTACCAGCATGACAGGGATAAAGATTCCCCTGCAATAGGACAATCAGTTACGCTCGAGAATCCTTGATAGGGTTCAAACCTTAGGGTACAGAAGAGGATAGTCAGGATGACTGAGAGCACTTTTTGGGACCAGTGATTTGCTTTCTTGTATGCTTTCCCAAGACAGTAACAAAAAGCAGCCACCCAAAGAAAGGACTCGAGGAATGCAGCGGCTAATAAAGGGCCAACAAGAGAAATACAGATGATCTTGTGGACTGTTAGCTTGTCCAGCATATGTCATAGGGACAAATCAGGGAAATCTCACGTCTGCGCGGCTCCACGGCCCCGTTTGAATGGGTCGATCGGCCATCTTCGTTTTCGTACCGCTCCTATCGGAGAGTAGAGTCAAAGTCGTTGTACTCGCAAACTGCCTGGCTAGCGGCCAGAGCGACCCTGCTACCTTGGAAGCTCGCAAAGAATCAACTCGGTCATGAGCTTCTTGACTCCTGCAGCTTTGGGCCTGAGACACTTGCTCACGAGGCTACCAATAGGGCTGAGAGGAAGAACATACGATCAATCTGCAGTGTGTCTTTCGTTTGGAGGAGCGGTGGAAGGACAGAGCGTCAGAAGTAGAGAAGGCAACAGTCAGAGAGCGGCGAATGATAAGGACTTGGTGGATATAATCAAATGGCGGGCTGTGGTGTTAGTCTGATGGTAGACAATGATCGCGGTGAAACTTGAATGCACGGGAGGCCGGTATGAACTGACGACGATGTGAGAGAGGCAGGAGCTGACGCATTTTAGCGTCTGAGTGTGGAAGGAAGGTGCAAAGGTTGAATTCAAAGCAGGCAGACAGATGCCAGCATGCAGCCATCGCTGCAAATGCCTTCCTTCAGTGTTGCATTTAGAGAAAAGAGGTTATGAACGCCAAGGACAAGTCGAGTGAGCCAGTTTTCCTGATGGCGTGTACCAAAACAGCTTCAAGGAAAGGAGTTCTGTGAGATGATGTTCGTGGAGTTATGCCTGCTCTAAATTGAGCCCAGCTGGGACAGTTTTGAACCTGTGATACCTACCAGCATTCGGCTGCCTAAGAGTAAGGACCCAAACATCAAGAAAGTAATGGAGATAAACTTGCTTGCCACTCTAGACTCCCAAAAGAAGAGCATTCAGAGCGCCAAGGACGATCCGTATCATTTCAATCCATGCTCATGTGCGCCACCAGTCTTCCACGCAACCATTGATACTGGTCGTACTCTTAGATGCCGTTCGCAAAATCACGCATTTCACGTACAAATGTAGCCAACCGTAGCCAAATGTAATGATTGCCACTGGATGAACGTCTGCATCTAACAACAGAGTGAAGCGATTTTCATGAAGCGGTCCCGCAAACCCCTATGTGCATACCGACTCTGTGTGTCTTGGTATCCTGGTTAAGGAAGTTGGCAACGGGGGCTCGCATCTTCCAGAGCCTACCATGTCCAAGCTGGCTACATGGCAGCAGAGAACAACTTCACAGGTCACCACTGATCGCGCTGTCCACTTCAGTCCAGACACTTCCAGGAGTGCGAATGCCGTCAACGTCTTCGCTTAGCATATCGTCCGATGTGTCTCCCGCATCACTTGCGTGTATATCACTTATACTTCCAGAGAGGCTAGGGGTATGTGGTGTAGACTCATTCGCCAAACCTTGGAGAGGGCGACTCAAATGGTTATCTTGCAAGGAATGATTAGATTCATGAAACAATGAGCCACCTTCGGATAATGTGCGTGTCGAGTTCGCCATAGCAGCCGAAAAATAATCCGATCTCTCCACTGGTTGGCGGAGAAACTCTGCGGAGGGAACAGAAAAATCGGGATCGGGAGCGTCGGTTGTCGGTGTAAGTGCAATGAGGCTCTCAGAAGCATGACTAGAGGGAATTTCGATGCTCCTGTCGGAGAGAGGGATGTTCCAAGCCTCGCGCATCTCTTGCTCGTATCTGGATTCAAAGGGTTGGTGCTGTTCGTGCGGTTCGTGTCGACAACCGCCAGTCGTGATCAGTGGCGTCACAGAAATGGAGGCATCGGCTGGTTGCTGTGTCTCTGTGGGGCCAGGTTCTGACTGGCGTCTTGAGGTTTGAGCTCCGTATCTGGACCGCATGCTTGTCTTATGCCCCATCGTTTCGATGGCTGACGTAGCCGCCTGGCCTCTGGAGTCCTGTAGAGGCTTTTCTCGCAGACGGCCGTCGTTATCGACCAGAGTGTCAAAACTTGGAGACTGAGGGCTCGCATCTCCTGATGCTGACCTCCTCCTCTTTCGTCGTTCCTCAAGAAGACGGCCCCTTTCCATGATCTCGGCCACCGCACGCTGTCTGCGTGCCTCTGCCATCTCGCCTTTCTCTTCATGCATAGACACATCTGTGGACCGCCGTTGTGGTCGTGGCCGTGGATTTGGATGAACTCCATCGCCGAGGGAATGTAGTCCCATGGCAACCTTGTGTCTCGTGCGATCAATCCATGCCCGCACTTGGGGGTTTTCGTAGGCTGCGAGGCTTGCTGCCACTAGTACAGTGACAGTGATGATAATGCCTACCGGATGGACCATAGTTAGTATAGGCGATTAAGCAAGAAGTGTCTGCAATCTCGCAGGACGAGAGGAGAGCATCCGCCAAACATTACTCTCATGATATGATGTAAGGAGCATCTTCGTTGAAGCGGGAGAGCACAGACCTCGAGCAATTGGAACCGGCATTCTGATAAGTCTTGGTGACAGAAGTCGACAACCTTAGTCTTCTTGAATTTATGGGCTGTCGAGCATGATCTAGAAAGAAAACTGGAGTTCAAGAGGTGTTATCTGGTTGGAAATGCGTCAGCCTGGTAGCGGGTTGGCTCAGCGGTCGGACTTGTAGTTCACCAAGAGACGAGGCGCTGATGCACCGCCACTTGAGCCCCGCAGATCGGCGGCCTCGGCATCCATTGTTCCGCCTCCAATGTGACGTGACTGCCCACATAGAGAACTGCCAACCACACAAGCCAGTACGCGTGTTATACCATTGTACTACTCGTAGACCACTTCGACGCGTCAAGGGTATCAACACAAACCGATGCAGTATCTTTTGGGAGGGTCGCAACTCACCTCTGCAAGAAGAAATCAAACATGTCAAGGGGCATACCTGCTGCCCCCCAGTCTAGGGCCCTGACTCTCACCGAGGAACTGGAGAAATTGGAACAATCCATAACTCTCACCCTGCAAGGTCTCAACACCTTCTACTCTAAAACTGATGGCAAATAACTGATCAATCGCACAGAAATTGATCATAACTTTAGTCGTGCGCATCGAATCGTCACATCGAGCATCCTGCCTATTGTCGAACAATATACTGCTCACTCCAAAGATGTCTGGGAGGGATCAAAGGTATGAGCCATGCGTCGATCTTAATCTGATGGAATAACTATTAACCCCGTTAAGTTCTGGAAACAATTCTTTGAGTCGAGCGCCAATGTGTCTCTATCGGGTTACGAGGAACCACCTTCCCAGTACGATAGTGTCGATCTAACAACTACCGAGGACTCGAATGTTACAACCCACACAACTTTGGAGACCTCGGAATCTTATGAGACACCCTCAGCCCAACATATTTCGACTGACTCAATACAAGATATTGATCTGTCTAACTTGAGCATATCGCCATCGCACAGCACCCCCAGACCAACAGCGAAGTCGAAAACCCAACACGCTGCGTTTGCTGACTACCCATCTCCTTACGAAACCTTACGCCAGGAAATCAACAACACCACTATCGATGCGACTTCTCTATCGCAAGCCACCGCACCAGAGACACCAGGCAAACCCACGTTTACGATGAACGATATTGCCGGTACTCCCCAATTCTCTCCATATCTTCTACCCCCGACTTCTATACCAAGGCCCACAACCGCACGAAAACAAACCGACCCTCTGATGCATCGAATACTGGATCGCAACTACAGAGTACAAGCGACGCCTCTAACTGCCACGCGCTTTGCAAATATTCATTCCAAAAGCGCCGCCACTCCTGCAACCACAAGATGTGGTCAGAATGCTAACTTTGATTCCACTTTGTCTTCAAGCCCTGAGGTTGCGCCCCCTGAGCTCCACCCTGAGATATTCACCTCCCCCGAGCGCAAACAGCGTACACCGGGGGTTAGTGTCCTTACCCCGTCTCGTGCAAAGCCGCTTGCATCAACAGCACCAACACGTACGCCGGGAGTATGGGATAGCGACGAGGATGATCTCGATGATGACTTGGATTTTGCTCAGAGCCCGCCCAAGACTATGCAATTCCATGTCCCACAGAACCGTCTCCTTAAGACACCAGGTAAGTAAAACTCTAAAAGCACTGGGTGGTCCGCCTACATCTATCACTGACCCACGGAAATCTGTAGCCAAGGAAGCCTCGAAACGAATTGTGGACGACATTTTGACAACAGCAGGTCTAGACTATGATGATGATGAAGAGATTGACTTCTCTCAAGAGTTGGAGACCCGGGAATTTGACATTGATGAGAATAGTCCCAGTGTTGTGCGCAAGGCTACTAACATCGAGGATGAGACCTTTTAAGGAGAAAATACCCTAGAGATAGTGACATGTCTGAACCACCCAAAATCCGACTGATCGAGAGGTTAGTACGAGGCCAAACAACAGACTCTGGCATTTTTGCGGCGTAAGGGGTGGCGCAAAACAATCATTGGACCTGATAGGTCAAAATCACCCCCATCCGACTTCCAGCCATTCCTACTACTCCAGCTCTTTAGTGCAGTCTGAAAGATTCCCCGCGATCACAACACAAACCTATTTTGCATTACGCCTCCATACACATATACTTCGTGGCAGTAAGGCTAAGCCAGAGTCGAGTCTCCTTATCGTCACAACTTGACAAATGCACTTATTCTCAGTCAGTCTCATATCTGGCCAAGGCCACCGCAGTTGTATAGATCCTAGCCTCATTGCAGTTGGTTTGCCCCAAGATCATTGACAACCTTAGGCAACACTCCGGGAGTCTTACAGGGCGGGAAGAATAAGGCTTAAGACTTACGCACAATAGTAAGGTTCTTAAAGCCATATATCATCCCGCAAGGAATATGCTCGCACAATCATCTTACCAACTAGTCATCGCTGTCAAAGCGACAGCCTTATCGCGCGGCCAGTATCGAAAAGGGAATTGTAGCTAGAACGGAAGTACTGGAAAATCCCTGAACATTACCTGTTGATTTTCTAACAGCGGTGATAGTAATGCTATTCAATTTCAATGCTTTTCGATGGTTGAAGACAATCCTTTCAATTGGAGCGAGGTTTCTTTGGCAATCCTCCGCTTGACATCCGACTTGTTGGTGTTGTTCGGGGAGTCTCTGATTACGGAGACGGCCTTAAAAAAACAAAATTTGCCAACCCTATGCAGCCTTAACGGCGGTTGCTTATGCCAAGGGAATACTCTCTACGAAATTTTCCTGCAAGTAATCCCATAAATGGCCTTCCTACCACCCAGAGCCTACCATTGGACCAGCTGAATCCGAACAACGAGGTACGCGGAACTTCTTTTACATTGCATTGTGGGTCAGCGCAAGAAAACGATAGATACAGAGTGCTTGAGATCGCTTAGCTTTTCTAACCTCAGTGATCGTCAAAACGACATAGTCCCCGCGCAGCAAGATATATGCTATTGGTTATTTGAGGCCCGTGAATTTAATTAGCGGGAAAATCGCTTTAATGTTGTGAGCCATAATGGAGTATTCTGGATCAAGGGCAAGCCAGGATCTGGAAAATCTCCATTAATGAAGCAAACGCTAGAACATTGTCAGAAGTCCATGGGTGAGTACATTACAGCAGCCTTTTGCTTCAACGCACGAAGGGATGAGCTTGAGAAGACACCATTGGGCTCGCTCCGCTCATTGTTTTCCTGGTAGATCAATTGCCACCTCTACGCAGACGTTTCCATTATCTGTTTGAAGATAAGCGGGAAAAACACGGGACTCTGTGGGAATGGCATATTGGCGAGCTGAAAAACTTTCTGCTTTCAGAGATGAAAGTATAGCAAGGGCAACCTATTCTCATCCTCATTGATGCACTCGATGAATGCAATAAGAAAGACGTCCGAGATATTGTGACCTTTATTGAACGACCAAGTCAAGCTGCCTGCGACACTGGAAATACTGTGAGTGTTTATTCGTCCAGTCGACGTTACCCAAACATCAGCATATCGAAGAGCCTCACAATGGAGTTAGAGATACCAAGCGATCGTGACCACGACATATCCAAGTACGTTCTGCACAACTTGAAGACGTCTGACCCAAATCGATAGTGTTGTTCAGAAAGTGGCCCACATTTTTATGTGGGTCATTGGCTCGTTCTTGTTGTTGAACTACTTAACATAGCATTTGATGGAGGGAGGGAGAGAGCCAAGTGGAAAAGGCTTCAAGAAGTGCCAAGCGATCTAGAGGAGGTATACAGCACTCTTTTAGAAAAGCATAATACAAATAAGCAGGGAACTTTGCTACTGCTCCAATGGGTATTATTCTCGAAAAGATCACTGACACCGGAAATGTTATATTTTGCAGTGCTCACAGCAACAGCTCCAGGGGAATTGAGACCTTTGGGTTTATCACAAGACTGCCGTGACGCTATCAGGAGATACATTACCAGCACTTCCAGAGGCCTTGTCGAGGTTAAACACACCATGGTGCCCCCGTTATCTTATCGTCCTTCATAACCATCCATCCCCTTAAGGGACGTCTGCAAGGTATCAGTTGGTTCACGGAACCAGAGCTAGACGTTTCTTGAGAATGATAGCGGATTTGAAAGCACTTCCACTCCAGATAAATTGGGCAAAATGGTAAATCGTAATCCCAAGATTGTCCCATTCATCCATTTCCCGGTGAATGACTTTCTTCTTCGAAACAGTCGGCTTTCAAGACTGGATCCTGCGCTTGAAGGGGAAACAGTGGTAAATGTCATGACCGACTCACAGTGTGTTGCATGGGATATGTCGCACGATAGTCTCTTGGATATGGTATCCAAAGACCTTCACTTGGAAGATCCCGCGGGTGGTTCGAAATGCCCCTTCCTAAGCTATGCTTTGACTTACATTCTCTACCACGCCGAGAATGCCCAAATTAATCATGCCCATCAAGATTCTCTCTTGGATTGGCTGCAACAGCCCCGTGGAGGCATCCACTTGCTGCTAAGACTTAGACATGCCGCTGAGGGTCGATCATATGACCATCTATACATGACCAAGCTTCTATACCATCTGTCAATGTATGTATTAGAGGCACTTACTAGCTATTGTCTACAAAGAGGTGCAGATATCAACATTCAGGTAGGATTTCATGGCAATGCTCTCCATGCGGCGTCAGCGGAAGGCCACCTAGGGATGGTACAACTTCTCATCGACAGAGGCGCAGACAGAGATGCTCAAGGAGGCCACCCTGGCACTCCTCTCCAAGTCGCACTGGCAGGGTCTCACTTGGAAGTTATGGAGCTCATACTCGACAGGGGTGCAGACGTGAATGCTCAGTGTGAAAATACGGGCTCTCCTCTCCAGATCGTATCCAGAGAAAGGGATACCCACCTTGTTCAACTCCTCATAGATAGGGCTGCGAACGTGAATTCTGACGGGCCATATTATGGCAATGCTCTCCAGGCCGTCTCAGCGGAAGGTCAGTTGAGAACTGTACGCCTCTTAGTGGACAGTGGGGCGCATTTGAATTCACAGGGAGGCTACTATGGCACTGCACTTCAGGCTGCGTCGGCAAAAGGCCACATGGGAGCGATGGTGCTGCTGGTAGCAAGTGGTGCAGATCCAAATGCCCAAGGGGGGCAACATGGTGATGCTCTCCAAGCTGCGTCAATAACAGGGCACCTAGATATTGTGGAGTTCTTGGTGCGAAATGGAGCTGATGTAAATGCTCAAAGGAGACAGTATGGATGTGCGCTCCGCGTGGCGGAAGTCTGGAACAACAGCGAGATTATGGAAATCTTATTTGAGGCAGATGCAAGACCTGAAAGGAGGGAATAGGACGAGGAAGATAGTCGGTAGTACTACGAGTAACGGAGCAGTGCCCTGGTTCAGTGCTTGACTCGCGCGTCTGACAGACCACCGAAGGAGCATGACTCGCACCCCTCTCGAGGGAGCTCCAATTGGAAATAATGCCCCACTTTATTTGTGCCCACTTTCACCGCATTTCAATCCCACTTGTTCCTGGCGTTGGAGAAATTTATTTTCTCCCAAACCTTGAATTCGCTCGGTGGATGAATATGCCTGCACGTTAGGGATGATCTCACCTCCACTCCAGCACTTTTTCAGATCGCTTAGAAGTCACTGCTAGCAGCGACGGCCTCCTTGACACTCTCCTCCTCCTCCTTCGGGCCTAGAAACTGCAACTAAATTACACACCACCAAACTGCCACTATGAAGGGGAAAAAGAACGCAGTCAAGACAACACCGTCTCCGCAAGCCCTCGCGTTGATTGCCCAGTTCCTCACGGAAAATGGCATGCAATCAACTCAAAAAACATTTACCAAAGAAATGAAACGATTGCAAGATTCTTCCGGCTGGGCTGCACCGCTTGCGTTGTCAAAGGGTGTTAAACTAGAAGACCTGGTTGAGTCATGGAATGACAGCGGCTATGCCACTGCAGGAAGTCAAGAAACTCACAAAAAGGCCTCTGTCAAGATTGATGCGTCAAAAAAATCAAAGACGTCTACCAGCTCAAGCAGCAGTGAGAGCAACACTGACGACTCGTCCGATCCAGAGCAAGCAGATAGGAAGAAGCCCAAAAAGAAAGTGAAGACCAAGCGTGCCGCAAAGCGTGCTCGCTCGTCCTCTTCATCGTCGTCATCATCATCTTCGTCTTCCTCGTCCTCGTCCTCGTCCTCATCCTCATCCTCATCCTCATCCTCATCCTCATCCTCATCCTCATCCTCATCCTCATCCTCATCCTCATCCTCATCTTCGTCTTCCTCTTCGTCCTCTGACAGCGACGCAGATGATGAGAGCGATATCAGTTCCAAATTGGCAGATCCAACACCCACCTTTGTGAAACCTAAACTCCAAACTGCTGCAACCAGAAACCTTAAGCGAAAGGCCGAAAGCAGTCCGTCTGAGTCATCAGAGTCGAGTTCAGACTCTTCTGATGATGACCGCCCAAAGAAGAAGACCAAAATGTCTAGCACACCCAAGAAAGATGAGGAGTCTTCGTCCAGCTCTGAAGATTCAGATCGGGAATCTGATTCAGCAGTGAAGCTACCCGACTCTGATGAGACCAGTGCATCAGCCAGCAGTGATGAGTCTAGTGATTCTGATGTATCTTCATCGGATGAGGAAGAAACTCCCCACGCTGGTGGACTTAAGGTCAAGGGGAAGCTCCCTGCTGCCGGTGAGGATGCATCTGACTCCTCAGGCACAGTTATGGGGGATGCAGCCACAGACGAGACCCCACCTGAAGGTGACGATGGCTCCTCTACCATCCCACCGATGTCATCTGCGCAAGCGGCACCTGTGAAAAGAAAGCATTCCGGAGCAAAGCCAACGCCGTTGGCGGAATTATCTGCCCAGGCAACCGCAGATAGCCACATCAGCAATGCGTACGTTAGCTACGACTATGCGGAAAGGGCGTACAAAGATCTCTCCGTCACTAGAGGAAAGGGATTCACCAAGGAGAAGAACAAGAAGAAGCGAGGAAGCTATCGTGGTGGACCCATCGACATTAGTGGCGGGAAGGGTTTCAAATTCGAGGACTGAGTGTTTGCTACGCTTACTACATCACCGGGCAAGCATGATAGGCAAAAAACAGAAGGAAACGGCCTGCAGGCCGGGTTGGTCAGTGAAGGATGGGTTGGAAGTTGGAACATAGCAACCAACGAGCTTTCCATGGAGCGGGACAGGTAGACCTTCGCTGTGAAGACTTCGCAAGATGGGTCAATACGGCCTCGAATTATAGTCCGCAGCCCAATCGCATGATGAAGCGCGCGAATTCCATTGGCGAGCCAATGGAGCAGGCCTCGGCGACTGTGCCGTAGATGCAAGAAGACAAAGCACTAGTGATCAGGGCTTACTCCATGCGCTCCCTATATTATGCATGTTATGTTATCGAGTTGCAGTATTTCCTTGTGGCTACGCTACAGCCAGTTGCAGGGTAATAAAAGGCTGGATGAAGAGGGACGCAGCTCACAAGAGCCGAGAAGTAAGCATCCTTGGCTTCTGGATGGCGCTTTCATATCCCGAAGGCTGTCCCCACCACACCTTGTTTACAATCAGCACCAATCATCTCAGGGGGTTCAACCACGTTCATCTATCTTTTGACCTTGACATTTCAACGGTTCCTGCATGATCGCGCGCCGCGTCAACAAGCTCATGGGCTAGGAGCTTCAAGGAAGCTTGATGAGCTTGTAGTCCCGGTCTCGATGATGTCTAACGACTCCGAACACCAAAAGAATACTGAAAATGGTGCATACGATCTTGCCGCAAACAGGATGCACAGCAGCGGCTGACAGGTATTACAGCAATCGGTGAGAGTGAACACCTGCACAATCGCTTCGTGTCTGGGCAGCCTCCTCCCCACGTGCAGCTTGAGCTTCGATAGCTACAGGTTATCCAAACAAGAAAAGATTTTGGAGGAGCCGATCAATGGAGCTACAAATACTACCTTGTTACCCTCTCGTGCTGTGTGCTTTCCATTGACGTAAGTTGAGGAACAAACCCCCTCCTCTCTCTTCCCAACTCCCACCCATCTTCTTCACTTTCGAGAGAGAGTTGTTGCGAAGATGTTGTCTGTAGCGAACCTGCTTCTTGCTTGTGCTCCTCTGGCTGCGGCCGGAGTAGTCGACATCAGGCAGGCGCCAGCTGCAACGGTGCTGGACTACTTCCAAACCAGTCCGCAGATATTTGCGGGCCCGACAGCAACAGGTTTGATCGCGCCTTTTCTTGCGCAGACCAATCCCGCACCGTTTGGCCAGGAAGCATCGTTCGTTGCGAATGCACCGCTGGAGACGAACGTTCCCATTACCGGAAACACGAACAGATCCAGTATATTTCAATTGCACGGCCAGTTGAGCTCATACTTCCCCAACCCTGTTGGATTCGGAGCGAACGAATACCCACTGCCTCCAGGCTCGAATTTGAGCCAGGTTCATCTGGTCCATCGCCACGGCTCTCGCTATCCGACTGGAGATTCATCGGTCGCCAACTTCGGACGCAAGCTTGACAACCTGACAGCCAATGGAACAGCCAAGTGGACGGGTGAACTGAGTTTCCTGAATACATGGAAGTACCAGCTTGGAGCGGAGATCCTGGTGGCTAGAGGTCGGCAAGAGTTGTTCGATAGCGGAGTCCTCTTCTACTACAATTATGGTGAGCATAGCAAAGGCCAAGAGTTAGCGCCGACATACTTACTCTTTTGTTCGTGCTCAGGCGCCCTCTACAATACCTCGACCAAGATCACTGCTCGGACTACCTCGCAAGATCGGATGCTAAAGTCCGCCGAAAACTTCATGGCAGGTTTTTTTGGCCTTGAGTGGACGCACAATGCAACCCTAGCCGTGATCCTTGAACAGAATGGGTTCAACAATTCTCTCGCTGGATACTTCCAGTGCAACAACAGCAATAGTTACCAAGCAACAGGAGGTAGCAATGCGTCTCTGATATGGGAGAAGACTTACCTTGCCGACGCCGCGAAGAGACTGACTGCGGCTTCTGGGGGTTACAACTGGACAATTGCAGATACATACGTGTGTTCATACCCCATTCCAGCATCAGCTGCTATCTCTGGGTCTTCCCCTCGATCACGGTTGAGTTTGGCTGACACACGTTGCACGTTAGAATGCCCAAACATTATGTCCCTATGAAGAAGTGGCATATGTGAGTGTCCCATTCAGCTTGTTCCGCAGCTGTCGAACCATACTTACTGTCTGCAGGGCTACTCTCAGTGGTGTGAGCTTTTTACTTACGAGGAGTGGCAAGGATTTGAATATAGTATTGACCTCCAGTTCAATGGCAATAATGGATTTGGTAGCCCAACCGGTCGCGCTGTTGGTAAGTGGATCGCTTCCAAACGTTGCCTGCGCGTGCAGGACAATGTATTGAGGTGGAAGTATAGGTATCGGCTACGTCGAAGAAATCTATGCTCGTCTCCAGGGCCATTTATACAACCTCGCCCCGGGTGCAACAAACGCAAATGCGACCCTGGATGATATGCCATCGACCTTCCCACTGAACCAGTCGCTTTATTTTGACTTCTCACACGACACCAATATTATGGCTATCATCACCGCATTCGGGCTGAAGCAGTTTGCACAACCATTGCCATCCACTGGCCCGCCAGAAAACCAGCAGTTAATAGTGTCGCACGTGACACCCTTTGGTGCACGAATGGTGAGGAAGTCCAGATTGAATGCCTGTTGGAGTGACCAATGAAACTGAATTGCAAAACAGGTTTGGGAGGTCATCGATGCACCAAGTCCACTGCAAGCCTTGCGACCAAGCAATGCCAATGCAACATCATCCGACTATTACGAACAAGGCAATCCGACGACCTACATCCACTTGGTTATCAACCAGCGGACAGTTCCTCTACACAAGAGTTACCCGGAGTGTGAACAAAGAGATGATGGCTGGTGTGAATTGTCGACGGTTCTCAAGGTCTTCGGTGGTCTGCTCGACACAGCGCGATACGAGTATAGCTGTTTTGGCAAGTACGCTCCCGTTCCATATGGAAATGTGACGGATGGAGTGCCTACCGTGCGACGTCGAACCCTGGACGGCGCTTTCGGCACTGGGCTGGAGATTCACGAGAGCAGTGATAGATGGTTGGAGTAGCTAGTCTGTTGACTAGTCCCTCCACCTTTGACGAGCACAAAGAACAGCAGGGAAGAGGAGAGCATACCAGAGATAATTCCGTCGTAATAATGATAACACGCTGTCCTTTGTTTACTCCAGGACAGACTGGGTGATGTGTAAGAATCCACCTATTTACTGGACGGCACATCGATGAATTGATTCGTTCGGGTACGAGGCAGTCGGGACTCGGTAGCTCGTCGTTCCTTTGTTGCCTAGAAAGATGCATAGACGAGATTGAACCGTATCTCGTATTTGGGAGCTCGCAGAACTGGGGCCCGTGAGATTTGCCTCGGTAGGTTTGGGCCATGGCTGGTCCGCCCAACGCACTCGGATGGACCAGACGAAGAGGCCACAGCCCGTTTGGACCATCGTCCCACGTCACTAATAGCTCATCACTACCGAACTGGTCCGCATTGAGTCTGGTGGGCGAAAGGCTCACACCAGACGCGATCCGAAACATCCATTCCGGTGCGAAGCGGATTCCACCCACCAAAGTTTCAACTCCCTTCTGGTGTGGACGGTGGACAAAGCCAACCAGAGGTCAGAGGCTTGGGCCTTGCATTTGTCCATGGGCCCGTCATCTCAATTCTGGGGTAAGGTTCCCAACAATTTTCTCCGACAAAGGCACACCAACAAATAGCCCATCGTCCATGAGACAGGCAGCATATTTGTGGTCAGGAGGTCCTTGTTTTTCCAAGATGACTCTCGTCACCGACTTGTTTGCTCCCCAGGTTCTCCCGCTTTCTCCAGACTCCTCACCAATCGCTGCGCCACGGAATCAACTGGAACATCATCAACACCCTTCCGGCTCGTCACACGGCCTTTAGTGTCCTCGTGAAGCTAGAAAGCGCGTTCAGGACCCCTGCCCCCCACCGGGCCATCAGGCGAACAACTACTACTAGGATCGCGTGAAACGCCAGTCGACATAAGTCCCCAACGATCCGCCACATCCGCATCTCATCACACTTTTTCTTCAATATCTCTTGCTGGCTCGCTGGCCTGGTCTTGGTCTGGGGAAGTTCGTGAATCCCTTTTTCGGTTTTGATCCTCACGTTCTTTTACCATCGCCACCTAATTCCAGCGCACCGCTCGAGTAGCGTTGGTCGCGTCTCTGTTCTTAAATTGGCGTCAGACGAACCTGGATTTGGTCCCCACGACTGGAGCTTCCTTTTGCCTTGTCGCGCATTCTGTGACGGTCTCGGCCAACCAGTTCTCTAATTATATGAGCCGCATGATCATCCTAGCGGGTGCTCCAGAGCCTGCAAAGCTCGACTGGAGTGAGAAGTCCCTCTTGCCCGAGTCAATGCATTTGGAGGGAATCGCTTCGCCCACTTCCCCGACATCCAAAGCCTTTGGGGCCCAATGGCGACAAATCACGACCCAGAGGCTACAGATGCGCCCGATCCTACCCAAACTCAACATCGACCCGCGCCCATTGCCAAGCGAGCTCGATCGAACCCCTGCTGAATTCTTCAGTGCCGATGAATTCATTGACCCTCAAACACCTGGCAGCGACATCAGTGCAAGTGAATCGCAGCCTTCGGCGTCAGGAGGCTCGGCAGACTCGACCTCAGAAGCGCTTTCGGACTACTTCGACCACTCCTTCACCATCCACGAAGCAATCCCTTCGTCCCAATTGAGCGGCTTCTCAGAATACACGCCGGGGACGCCGACCTACGAAAGTAATGAGGAGATGTTTCCGCAAACCCCGATCAATGGCGGAGGGATTATTCGGACACCGTCACAGCGACGACTAAGTCAAGCGCCGCGGCCTAAGCATCTCAGCGACTTGGAAGACATACCCAATGCACAATACCTGTCCTCTATAGAGCCACAGACTATGACGGTGAACCTGATCGTTGGCATCATCTCCATCTCGCCTCCTCGCACGGTGAATACGGGCCTCAAGTACGGGAAATCAAGACCGACAGAGCTGGTGGAGATGATCGTGGGCGACGATACCAAGACTGGGTTCAGCATCACGATGTGGCTACCGCGCGAAATGCGGGTGAACTGGAAAGACGGACAGCACGCCGCACCCGAAGGATCGAGGAGCGCGTTGCGACGAAGCCTGCGCTTCATGCGGGCGCGCGACGTGGTGTTGCTGCAGAACGTTGCTCTGAGCTCCTTCCGGGGCAAAGTGCACGGGCAGAGCCTCAAGGGCGACGTAACCAAGATCGACCTCCTATTCCGCAAGAAAGCGGACGACGATGACCTCAGCGGGATCTACTCGGTGTCGAATCTACGCACTGCGACGGGGAAAGATCCCCAGGTGTTGAAGGTTAAGAAGGTCCGTGACTGGATGACTGAATTTGTCGGTGAGAGGGGAAGCCCTCCCTTACACGCCGCGAAGGCTAGACGAAGGAGAGGCCTCGATGGAAGACTGGGCTATGCCGGATTCCTCCCTGACGACACCCAGTGAAAGAAACCTCTCTCTCAAACCGCCCCTAATAATAGTACTGGGAAGACTTGGATTTACAACGCAAGCGAGCACCACGCGATTTCATTTTGATTTTCACAAAGCGAAGCAGGAACGCGCACTTGGAGAAAGAGAAGCACGCACGGGACCGCAACGCAGAGGACGCAAATCCCCGAATGTGTGCAAGGATGTAATGATACCATTGTTGTTGAGTTGGAAGAGCCGGGACCAGACGGGACTCGGAAGACGAGTTGGGATGAGATGGGATGAGTATACCCAGGGCAGGGCAGGGCAGCGGTGCAATCGCCGGAGTCGATTGGGGACTCTGGAGATCTGCACACCGCCCCTTTGTATTGTAGAATAGCTAACCGATCCGACGTCACGAGATAATGATAGCCACTAACTAGCGAGCGAAGCCCAGCATCTTGCGAATGGGAATTGGAGTTGGGCAATTCGAATTGAATAATAATAATTGTGCCATCAATCGACATCTGCATTTCCCAAGGCTGCTGTGACTTCTTGACGGGCTTGCTTCTTTGATTGTCCTAGGAACATGACAGAAACATGACACCGTGGTGACGTGTTTGGACGACGTGAGTCGCGGGTGTGATTTGCCCAGGCGCGGAAGGATTACAGGAAAGGGTGATCTTGCCGGTGATAGGACAGCCTGGCAGGAAAAGGGGGAGCATGGAATGTGGCTGTGAAGAGAGGACGGGGTACCTCCGCAGTAACTCGTGACCATCAGAAAAATACAAACCCTTGCTGATCTCGCCTGAATCACCGACTCAGATCCAGGCCGGCGGATCGGACTTTAAGAGTCTTGGGAATTCAAAACAGAGGCTTGCGAGGCCTGTACATGTAGACGTCTCAACATGGCACCACTTAGTCAGGCTTTTTCTCCGAGTCGCTGCGTGGACATCCCACAAATTGTTTGCTACAGGTAACCACCACGCGGGCTGTGGAGTGAGGAAGTGTGCACGGCTCAGAATAAGGGTAGCATCGGGGAAGTGTAATGGTCGCGACGGACGCGGCTGGAAGAGAAAGGGGGTGCTACGCTTGGGTTTCTGGTAGCACCTGAGACCTCGTCCCTGGACCTATTCAACGGTCAGGTAGCGATGCCGATACAACCTCGAAGGAGAAGGTGAAGACGGATAACGGTGACTGCTGGTGTGCGACGATCGGAATCATGACAGCCACGCTGAGATTGCAAGGGAAATGAGAATGCCGTTACAGACGGGCCAATGGATTTACGGTGGCTGGCTGCGTGTGCAGGAGGCTGCTCGAGGATGGGTAAAGCTACAAGCCACGAGGAGCTCGTACGCGTACGGGAGCACCAAACAAAGAAAGGGGACGGCGGCGACGAGGATTGAGCATTTCTGGCGACGAAAAAGTCCCATGGGAAATTTCCCTGAAGGGCCTGGAGGACCGAAAGAGGTCAAGGTGCGGCCCTGGCTATCGATAGAGACAAATTAAGCTATGCGTGTGCCACGGCCCACGGGAGCCCTCCGTAGGGTGAGAAAGAAAATCAATGCGCGCCCGGGCCAGGGCCGAGGGGGCCAGACTCGTGGCTTTGCCGCCCGGGGATTCAGGGCAGAAATCGAACAAGGGCTCACAAGTCACGAGTCACGAGTCACGAGCACGCTTCACGACGAGTTCAAGAACCGAAGAAGCGCAAGAACAGCGTGGCTTGACCGACAATTGCCATTGTTGAAACTTGGCCATTTCGGGCAATACCGTCGAGATTCTCAGTTCCACTTCCACACGGTCGCCCCTGCCGAACGCAAGCCCTCCTGCACTGCACCTGCGCCTGCACCTTCTTACCCTTGCTCCGCGGTGACAGTCCCTCGAGTTCTTTTTCAAGTTTGCTTAAAGTTCCCCCCTTTGCCCTCGAGCTGATCATCGTCTGGTCTTTTTGCTCTTTTTGCTCTTTGACCTTCTTGATCTTGACTGGTAGATCATCTCTCTCCCTGGAGTCTCTGTACTACCTTGCACTCGTTTGCTTTCGTTGTTAAGATCCCTTTCTTGGGCAGACTCACGACCAGAACAACACACACCGCCCGACAAACTAATTTCCGTATACTACGCTTCCACGACTATCCAAGATGAAAGGTAAGACCACCGTCGTGCAGGCACAGTGAGTTTCATATCAATCCTAATGACTCGACAGCCCTCATTCTCGTTGGTGGCTTCGGCACCAGACTGCGACCTTTGACTCTCTCCAAACCCAAACCCCTCGTTGAATTCGCCAACAGACCCATGATTCAGCATCAAGTCGAGGCCTTGACCGCCGCTGGCGTCACAGATATCGTACTCGCAGTCAACTACCGCCCAGAGATCATGGAAGGAGCCCTGAAAGAGTACTCGGAACAATACAAGGTCAACATCACATTCTCCGTCGAACAGGAGCCTCTCGGCACTGCCGGTCCATTGAAACTCGCCGAGAATGTGCTCGGAAAGGATGACACCCCTTTCTTCGTCCTGAACTCCGATGTCATTTGCAACTATCCTTTCCAAGAATTGGCCAAGTTCCACGCTTCCCACGGTGATGAAGGTACCATCATTGTCACCAAGGTTGAAGAGCCCAGCAAATACGGCGTCGTGGTTCACCGAGAAAACCACCCCTCTCGTATTGACCGCTTTGTTGAAAAGCCGGTCGAGTTCGTCGGAAATCGTATCAATGCTGGCATCTACATCTTCAACACTTCCGTTTTGGATCGAATCGAGCTTCGACCTACCTCCATCGAACAGGAGACCTTCCCTGCCATCTGCAAAGATGGTCAATTGCATTCCATGGACTTGGATGGTTTCTGGATGGATGTCGGACAACCCAAGGATTTCCTGAGCGGCACATGCCTCTATCTTTCATCCCTGACCAAGAAGCACTCCAAGGACCTTGTCCCAGTCTCGGAGCCTTTCGTCTATGGCGGAAATGTTCTGATCCACCCCACAGCCAAGGTCGGTAAGAACTGCCGCATTGGCCCTAATGTCACCATTGGACCTGGTTGCGTTGTCGGTGATGGTGTCAGATTGCAGAGATGCGTTCTGTTGAAGGATAGCAAAGTCAAGGATCATGCTTGGGTCAAGTCTACCATCGTTGGTGGGTAAACCTGTGCAAGAAATTGCTCCCCCTTTGCTAACAAGTTATTCAGGCTGGGGATCGTCAGTTGGCCGGTGGGCTCGACTGGAGAATGTCACTGTCCTCGGTGAAGACGTCACGATTGGTGATGAGATTTACGTCAATGGTGGAAGTGTTTTGCCTCACAAGAGCATCAAAGCCAACGTCGAGGGTAAGTTTGGCGCCTCCCGTCTCGCTTAGAACTCTGTCTAACATGTTGCTTTAGTGCCTTCCATCATCATGTAAAGTGTCAGCGTTGGCCATTTACATGAACCTACTTGATGAGTGTTACTCTTACTCTTCACTCAACGTTTCATTTGACATTCGACAAATGTTTTTATTATGCATGGCGATTGACACGGGCGTGGTATCAGCTAAAACCCGGCGTTTTCAACTTGGTGAGCGACAGGATGATTGCAAATCTTTCGAATTGCTCTTCAAGCTTCTACGAGGGTTAGAATTCTTTAGACAGGAGAATCCTTGGGAACAGATGTGTTCCTCTAAAGCGCGGTTCTTGAGATAACAAGGTTAGACAGGTGGCATGAAGGTTCCAATAGTGGAGCGGGTAGAGCAGATCGGAGTCTACAAGTGCAGCGAGGTTTGTCACAATCCAAAACTTTACGAGTACTCTGCGGGCACTCTTGCTACGGTAATATGGCAATTCTATCAATTGTAATATTATGAAGATTAGAGAGCATTCCTCAACGTCAACCAAATGATTGATGCTGCGGAACAATTCATGAATCACTATTCGTATATATAGATACACTTCTCCAGAGTATATGGAAGGGATAGCTACACAGCCGCCCTTTGGACAATCCTTCTCGACTTCGTTCGTTTCCAACACCTCGGCATTGGAGAGTCGACAATATCGAATGCTGACTACATTCTTATTAATGTCACGTGGTGAATGCTGACAAAAGCCTGACAGTCCACAACTACTAAAATCGCATGAAGTTGCAATTCGCGTTGACCACTCAAACATGGACCGATGTACGCTTGGCATGATATCACGTGGTAGTCCTCTCCCAACCTGATCTTTCAGCCTCACCGGCTGGGCCCACCCAGCCCACCAACACCTTGTGGCCCTCAAAGCACAATCCCAGCCTGGAAGAGTCCCACCAGACACGTCTTGCGCAGTTTCCTGTGAGGCCAAACTTGAGACTGTTGAGTCTTTTTGGTGTCACTGCATCTGGACTCGGGAATGCGCGTGGTTGCAAGACCTGATTGGGCGAAGGCGACACGCTGACTGAATGATATTCATTCAGAACTCACGCTGCTCCTGCCCAGTCCAATCTGGATGGGATTAAAGTCTCCATAGCCAAGCAATGCCAAGACAACGAACCTCCCTTTTAGCGAGGCGGGCCAACACGAAAGACAGCGGGGTGGTGAAGCAGCACAACATCCTAGTCGCACCGCAGCTTGTGCACTTCCACAGCCCACCACCCGCGCTCTCTGGCTATTTCATCCCCCTTCTGGCTTCTCTATCACTAAATAATGCTTCCGCAAGCCCAAAGTCTAAGGCCACCGCCCCTCCGCGTTCCCACCTCTCATGCAGGTTCCACTGGCTAGATCGAGCCAGTCTGTCTTGGCAATCAGGCTTGCAGACTTTTCAGCCTGATCATGAGATACTCAACATTCTCAAAGCGCGATTCTCTGCCTGGAATACCGACAGATGAAGGTGCTGCCGTCGAGAGATGGATTGTCAGGAGTGCATTCCACCCTCCTCCACGAGCAGATCCCTCATCTGGGAGCACAGCATTATCGCCGAGCTTTCGGCAAGAGTTGGGGGCCAGTATTGATGTGCTAGGATTGAACGCCATCGTACCGCTCCAGCAGATTAGGCATGGTCGCCTCGTGCTAGGGCGAATGGGCTCGCTTTGTGCAAGGCTCGCCCGTGTTCCCAAGCAAAGCCGCCCGACACCGTCATAACTGGTCCTCGTCAAGTAGACCTCCCTTGACAAAAGTATGCATGGCCGAGTACGAGTTTACAAGCACCGCTTCTTAGTCGGTCTTTCTTAGCCCCCTCCACTGACAAGCATGCTCTGCAATTGCATCTGCATCTGCAATCCGAACCGCGAAGAGGGAAAAGGCACACCCGGCAATCGCTGGGCAGTGGGTTCCCATCTCTTTGGGTTTTGTCGCTCAGCCGCAACGATGTTCTTGACTTCTTTGTCCTTCTAAATCAGGGCGTGTCCTGATCTTTCGAGGTTTCAGCCTTCTTTCCTTTTTTTCCCACCTCTCCAGTGACGAAGTCCGTTGCCAAAGAATCACCCTCCAGTGTTGGGTGAGCGGTCGATATATATCCAACCAGCGATCGTAGTCAATGCCGCTACCTTGACAGTTTCGGTGCATTGTACTCCCCAAGCCCCAGGCTCCGCAGAAACAGAAACTGTCCATTATGTCCATCTCCGAGATATGTGCGAATACCGCAGACCCATTGTTCATGTGGGTTACGAACAACTATGTCAATCGAGCCGAAAATACTGCCCCAGCTTGGGGTGCCTCCATCTATCTCGGAGAACCACCTCAACCCTTCTCCATTCGCCCAGCTATCGATGACTTCACCATGGTCGCTTTGGCGGGCAATTGCCAAGGGACGCAAGACTACGATTGCATTGCAAGACGAGGAGGTGTCTATGATCCCGGCTACTCAACGACAATTCACAACTCGAGCGACGTTGAGGGATGGAACGGCACAATCGGGGCCTACGACGCCAGCATTTTTGACTTTCACAACGATGTTCTCACCTTCGGGTGGAATGACACTACAGTATATGGCTGGCCTTTTGTTACAGACGACCAGGACTACTGGGGTAGGCTGCTCCCTCCAGCTAACCAATTTCCTTGACATCCAGCTAACGAAAGTCAGCAACTCGAAACTGGCTGGGAATCGGTCTCAACTCTACCTTTCTAACCGCAGCTGTCGAAAGTGGTGCTGCTCCTGCGAAGTCTTGGGGCATGTGGACTGGAAGTCGATCCATAACGAACCCCCAGGACGGTCTGCTCATTCTGGGTGGCTTCGACAATGCTCGCAAAGGTGAGGATTGGACGGTCTTCCCAGGTGCTGAAAACTGCCCAACATGCATCCAGATCAGTAATATAGAATGGGTGAGCGACACCAACAATGCAACGTCACTGTTCAACACCTCAGTCGAAGCAATCCAGGTCTCACTGGATCCATGGTACGACAACATCCGCCTACCGCAAGCCGTCTGGGAAAATTTCGGCTCAGCCACTCAAGGCAAGTACGACGACAGCATCGGTTACTTCACCTGGCCAGCGGGAACGACGCCCCCGGGCAAACTTCGCGTCACGCTACAAGGTGGCTACGAGAGCGAGATCCCAGCGGAAGAGATCTTCACCATGCCCAGATCCTACGACAGCACCGGAAACTACACCGTCTACGACAACACCACCGAATACGCACTGATCTACAACTACACCAACACTGGCAGCGTCAGCAACGCTGTAGGATCATGGGGCCTCCCCTTCCTGACGATGAACTACTTGGTGGTGGACGCACCCAAGAGGGAATTCTGGCTGACGCCTGCTGTGCGTCAAAACTTCGGGAACGAAGGCGGCGTCTTTCCATTGCCTCTGTGCACGGGACTCGCAGCGCCAACATCAACACCCTCCTCCAGTCCCACAACCACCACTCCCGCCCCGACAGAATCCACTTCCGACGTAGTGGTAGCTGGCGGCGGCACACCCGTAGGCCCGATCGTGGGCGGAGTTGTCGGCGGCGTAGGCGGTATCGCACTGATCGCTCTGCTCGCCTTCATGCTCCTCCGACGCCGCAGCCGCTCTAACAAAGAAACCGAAATCGCCAACTCCTCGGCGTACCCGCCCGCACCACCACCAACCCAACAAATCATGAATTCACCACACCAGCACCACTCCTACACAGGCGGCGCCCCGCCTCCAGGCGTGTACTCGCCAACGCACAGCTACCCGAGCCCGCCGTTCGGCAACTCCGGGCACAACTCGATGGGCTACGCCGGCGTCCCGATGAGTGGCTTCGGCGGGCCGCAGAGCGACTACTCGAACGACATGCAACAACACCACACCGGCCCGCAATTCTACTCCCCGTCGCCGTCCGTCAAGCCCGAGCACGCGTCCATGGTGTACAGTGACACGGCGACCGCCGTGCCGGAGCTGGCGTCCCCGGGCCAGCATGACCCGGAGTGGCGTGCGGAGAGGGATGCTTCTGCTGCTGTAACGCTGCCCCTTCTTCCCAAATGAGGAGACAAGAGTCCTGTTTGTACTAATCAACGTCCGTGTAGAAAGACATGAGCGCCACCGTCTCCCGTCCGTTCGACAGCTCGTGGTCCGAAGGCCCGCATCAACGATGAGAGAAAGAGGACTGCTAGACACGGGGAGAAATGATCACCTGATGAGCCAGTCTCCAGACTCCGAAAGCCTCACCCCTTCTCGGGCTCGCCCTCTCGCCTCGCCTCGCCTCGCCTCCGTTCGTGATGATTTAAACCGAAAACGAAACCAACGTAGAGAATGAAAGAATGAAGAAGCGGACAGCGAAGTGAAGCGTGCAAGTGGTAGTTTCCGTCGTTGGATGGATGAATAGATGGATTGACTGCTTGATCGATTGGCCGGGAGCCGTCTGTGTCGTGCGCCGGTTCGCTCTATATTTTTTCTGGCTGTAATGTATTTTAACATCATCTATCTGTACAGCTGCAGTATGCATTGCGTGTGCGCGGTCTACTTTAATTGAATAATTGATGAAGCCACCGGCTGTTTTTCGTGCAGCGTACTCCGTACCAGGGAGCAGCACGAGTTAAACCAAACTTTGATTGAGACCGAGCCTTGTACGGCTCGGGCTATCGTGTCTCGCTAGGAACTCTATTGCTGTACAGTACCCCTTTCACGATTGGTGTTACAGATAGATAGATCTACATGTTTTTGATCAGCTAACAAACTTTGGATCAGCTGCAAGGTGGTGTACTCGGTACATTTGGCGTTGCTGCGAAACAGGAACGGTGGTTCGCCACCACTCTTATTGCTCCACTTTGATGCTCGGATCGTGCTCAGACTCGGGCTCGGGCTCATTCTTCAGCGCCGGCGGTATACCGTCCATGTCATGTCCCTCAAAGGCAGCCTCAAATTGATCCTGCACCTTGACCACCGCAGCCCTCTTTGTCGGAGATGGCTTCCAACCGCGGATTTCGGCCTTGCACAAGCCAGACCCGGCCAAGTCGCAGTCGCCGCATCTCCTCCCTATGGGCAGGCAGACCGTCTGACCGAGCCCGACCAGCATCTTATTGATCTGATGCCACCGATCCTTGGGCAGCCAGGCCTGCAGCGCGAGTCGGGTCTCCTCGGGAGTTCGAGTCTTGTGCCATCCCCACATGTTCGTGATGCGGTGGACGTGCACATCGACGCCGATGCCGTGGTCGATGCCCCATGCCGCAGACAGACACAAGTATCCCATCTTCGGGCCCACACCGGGCAATGATACGAGACCCTCGATCGTGTCCGGGATGTCCGAGTCGTATTGCTCTTGTAGAATAGCGGCCGTCTGCTTGATATATTTGGTCTTGTTGTTGTGGAAGCCGACCTTGCCGATGAGGTTGTCCAGGTGCGCTGCTTCACAGTTGATGACGTTCTCAACTGTCAGCATCGACTGGTAGTCTGGCTCGTCCGCGCTACCGAATGGGGCTTTTGAGTCCGCTGTCGCTCCTGCTGACTGCTGCGACCCAGGGACGAGTTCCTTGTGCAGGCGCTGCATGGCCACTGCCGTGACTGTGTCCTTGGTCTGGCTGGACAGCATTAGTGCTGTGAGCGTGTGGTACCGCTTTTCCTTCGGAGGTGCTGCCCGCCAGTAGAGGTCCTCACAGCCCATGGTGTCGACGGGTGCGGTCGGGTTCCGCTCGCGCATGGCTTTGATGATGTCGTAGATCTCGGACCAGTTCGACGGAGGCTCAACGGTGACCGTCCCGCTAGGTGAAGTGTGCTTGCGCGCTGGCTTTTTGGGTTTGGCTTTTGCTTTATTCTTTAGCGGCGTGGTCTTTTCCTCCTCGTCTTCCTGCTTTTGTTCCACCTTAATATTTCGACGTGAGATCCTCACAGCTTCTTGCTTGATGGCGGCCGTCGTTGATGATACCGCCGTAGATGGATCGGCACCGAGCTTTCGTTTCCTGCTTGCACGCACAATTGGACTCGTCGCTGAACTCGTGGTGGTGGTGGTGGTGGTGGTTGACAGAAAGACATCCTCGATGTCTGGCGTGGCACTTAGATCAGAGGTACCGTCCAGTGACGACGGACCCTTGAATCCGCGCTCCGTTACCCCCTCCTTTTCCTCGTTGCCCTGCGCCTCTCCATTATATCCTAAAGCGAAAGAAGCGAGTCTTTTCGCACTCCTCGTGGTGGGGCCTGAGACGAGAGTGTTGGGAGAAATGGAGTTGAAGATACGAGTCGTGTCTTGTGATATCTTCGAGGTGCGCATTGTTGGAGGAAGGAGTTCTCGGGCAGCAGTTTCAACAAAATCTACAAGACATTCAACTGTGGTGAACCATCACTTCTGAGACATGTCTACATGGTCAGCTCATTAGAATCATGGCTCCTGAGATTGGTCCGCAGGGAAAGGGCGTGCCCCTAGAGATTAAGTTGCGGGTCGCGCCTCCAGTAAATAGCTATAGGCACGCGGCACGCGCCTAAAAGCTGTAAGGTGGTGCCTAACCTACTTTAGGCACTTTCTCTTCTTTAGCTTCTATGTATTAAGAAAATTACGTCTAGGTATAATTCTGACTTACTAAGTTGTTCAAGTTAAATCTACGAGTTCGAAATTACTCATAGTAGAGTCACTGTAGGAGTGGGCAATCATTTGATTGTAGTAATACTATTACTATATAGTTATAGGCTGATTAAATAATAAGGCGGCTAAGCATTCACTAATTTTTATTAAAAGTTAAGATTAACTATCTATTAGCTCGTATACTTACGAGTAGTTATTAAAGTATTAACAGCCTTGACTAATACTATATTCTAACAATCTCTACTAGATTCTATTACTTATGTATTGTGTAATTTATTATGTTAGATAGTGAGCGGGAAGAGAGGAGCCGAGACTCGACAAGCACTGGTGGACCGTGGTGTTCCGTGCATTGTGTATACTAGGGGAAATGTTGCGCCCAGGTCGCCCATACACGTTGACTAGCGCCTATTGTCTGACTGGCCTGCTGAGCGTCTCTCGACATTTCGACGAGGCTATTGGTCCTTTTGAAGACGCAGTCGAAGGATATGGACGGGTTCTTGGCCTGGATATTCAAAGATATCCCGAACCAATATTCACGAAGAGCAAGTCGAAGCTCCTGTCCGCTATTGAGCTGCTGCCGGAGCCTAACAGAAGGTTGAACTGCTGCCACAATCAGGATTCAAATACGGACACGTGCACGTTTTACACCCTTCACGAATTTGCCAAAGTATGAGCGTTAGTGCTAGGAAAGACTTACACCAACGACGACCATGTTATCACAGTGAGAACAGCATCCTACATAGTAGTACATACGATAGACGACTTGGTTGATAACCTTTTGTAATTACTATCCACCAAATGATGCGCCACGGTCTCTATTGTAAGATGAGCGACTACCTCCCCTCTCTTCCTGAAGTAACAGACCAACACATCAAACCCATCCCATACTCGACCCGGGTTTTTGGTCCACAGCATCTCTGCATGCTGCATGAACCTCAAAGAGCAGGATACCCGTCCAACAGATAGCATCAGATAATTACAGTCATTCCAAGGCAGAAATATCCTTTGTGGAATGATTGACCCAGGCTTCTCTCCTCAAGCGCACACCCTCGATCTTGCTAAAATGCACATATTCAAAAATGACTTTGCATGGATAACTCTGATGCAGCACATGCCTAGAAGTGAGGAGTGTTGAGCGCCATAACGCAGAGCAAGCCAGAGATCAGGCCTGCGGAGGGCAGGGTGAGTACCCATCCGCAAAAGATAAAAAGTAGCTGCCTCCAGTTCACTGCGCCAAAATCGTAGTTCATCAGAGCGACACCCATCGTAGCGCCGACCAGACATTGCGTCGTGCTGACCGGAAGACCGAGACGGGAGGCCAATAGAACAGTGATGGCAGCACCAAGTTCGACGGAAAATCCACGGGTGGGTGACATCTGGGTGATCTTGTTGCCAAGAGCACGGATGATATGGTAGCCATAGAACCAGAATCCTGCACCGAGAAGAAAGCCTGCGACCACCAACATCCAGACAGGAGTAGGGGAGCGAGTGTTGACCTCACCACTCTGATATGTGGCGTAGGTTGCTGCCCAGGGGCCCACAGCGTTCGCCACATCATTAGAACCGTGGGCAATAGACATCATAATGGCGGAGGCAACCTGGCAATAAGTCCAAAGATGCTCAACTCTAACATCGTACTTGCTAGCGCGTGCATGGATCTCGCGGAGTTTGGCGGAGTCGTGGGAGACACAATCACGAGTAACGCCTTGGAGTAAGGCGAACTTTAGATAGCCTAGAAGGCGCTGCGGGTGCAGTACTGAGAGATGTGCATTCGGCTGTAAGAACCGCTCTTCTGGGGTTAATGCGCGCTTACGGAGAACAGGTCTCGACTCATTCGCTGGTGTAATATCACCCTTTTCGAGCACAGACGTATCAGTTGTGGAAGGCTCTTGTGGTATATCTCCGTTATCACCTTGCTTGAGTTGGATATCTCGTTTCTCTGCCGCGATCGAATCAGTTGAAGATGTGCCGTAAGAGTCTTCGTAATAGTCGATGACAAATTTCTCGCTGTGTTTTGCCGGGAAGTATAGGGGCGGTCCCTGTCTGCGGAGGAGTGGTCCTAGTGGGATGTGATAGAACTTCACTGTGTTGTCCTCGCGTATAAGGCGTCGTTCAAAGTAAGGTACAAAGAAGATATAGCTAACGAGCAGCATTCCAGCCCAGACACCGAGAATGATACCGACTGCTTTGCCTGCTCCAAATTCTTCGAGGGATGGAGCGGTGGGCGCTTCAACGACAATGAAGAGGGCAAGGATTGAGCACGTAGTGGCGATGTAAAATGGAATCAAGCGCATGGCCCACTTAAATGAGTCCTTCCTCTCCAGAACAGTGTACTTGACGATCCCGAAAATTAGCGCGGCGAATGCGGCAGCGATGGCAGGTGCGATACCCCACGAGGCTGCAACCTGCGATACAGATCCAGACGTCCATTCCCATTTGATCGAAGCTTGCGAGGCAAATCCAGAACCTATCAACGCGCCGACCACTGTTTGCGTGGTAGAAACTGGAAATCCGAGGTAGGTTGCCAACATGAGCCAAGTAGCACTTCCAACTTCACTGCAGCCCATGATAAGCATTAAAGTACCGGGGTTTTCAGCATTCGTGAATCGACTAATACCGATGATATTGTTCTTGATGGTGCCGGTTACACGTGAACCCAGGGCGACGGCGCCGACAAATTCGGTGATTACGGAAAGGAAGCCGACTTGGGGCATCGTGAGAGTTCTTGCTGCAACCGAGGTGGCGTACGAATTGGCGACATCGTTGGCTCCATTACCAAACGAACTAAAAATGAAAGCAATAGTCGTTATGGCAAGAATCCAGTCGTATCGAGCAGTGATGGCTGGAGCCCTGCGGACAACGGCCGCCGCTACACCTGGAGCCGCCCTGAGCCCCGGGGAGAGAATCGATGGCATGTCTAAGTCCTAAAACGGATCGACGTCGTGAAGCTTAGAAAGAAGTTTGAGTCTTAAGCACTTTGACTGTCGTGAGGTTAGGTGATTTGCAGACCATATTATATGTTTTGGTGGTCGCGTCCCCCGAGATTTGTGCTCTTGTCTCAATGGCCCAAATGTGCAGCAAGGCCGGCAAAAATCGCCTAGTAGCGTGGAGATCGATCCTTTGCGACAAAAAGTAAGATCCATTTTACGAACAAAAGCAACGCGACACCTCGCCGGCCGTGCCGCTCGACAACGCGTGCTAGAATGATTGCACCAGAAGCATTGAGAAAGGTCCATGACCACCCATCTGCCAAGTGCCAAGTCCACTCCGCCATTGCCAAGACACAGCTGGAAGGAAGGTCATCAACGATACGCATTCATCCGTTGATGCTTGGCTGTCCTACAAGCCAATCAGAGGGTAATATCATGCACGTGGTTCTCGACCTTATGCTCGATCGAATGGCAAATTCGTACTTGGCATAAGGCACTACAGCCTTGGCGAGTAGATTATAGATGTAACGTTCCGCTGGTGGAAAATTTGCTTTATGTGGAACTGGCTGATCGCTGCTGTTCTCACAATCGAGTGGTGATCATCATACACGTGTTCACCTTGGCCAAGATGTGAGGCAAGGGTTTGCAGCCCTGGACTCTATCTCCAACCTTTGCTTCTTCCGCCCGGTGGGGCTCACCTCCGAACCGATATAACAGAAGGCACACAGTTAGAAATATTTTCCTCGCTGGGAGCCAGTTGCCTCCCAGCAGAGCACTTAGCTTAGCTTCAAAAGAGGTTTGGTTCAAATAGCACGCACAGGGACATAATGTGTAGAATCGGACTTCATAAAAAAGGGAGGCTTCGCCCATACTCCATGCCATCTTGGAAAGTGTTATGAACTAAAGTTTAGGGGCGTACAGCGCAACTAACGACGTAATGGTATACCAGTCTTGTCTTTCGGAGCCTTGAAGCCTGGACATACAAGAAGTTAATTCCAGTCCAGGGTCTCATGAAGAGCTCGGCACGTATCAAGTATCAATAATATTCGACGTATCCCACGGCACACCAGCGCTCCAGAGAACCAGATCCATGAGCCGAAAGCCACCGACCATTCGTCCACTACCGCGAATTCCACAAACAGGTAGGCTACTTGTGTTGCTATCCACGTCTTCGCCTCGCTGCTTCAGTGCGAAACTTGCGAAAATCACATAGAAGGGATCAGGACTTTACTCACAACGAATGTCACATAAGGCAGCGGAGAAGCGCCGTAGAGACCGACTTACAATGGCGTTGCTGACGCTTGAAACGCTTTTCCCAGCTCCCAGTCTGCCTCAGCGAAGCCACGATCATTGAGGCTGCTGTCCAGTACATCCAGGGTTTACAGAAGGAAAACAATTCTCTAAGGGCAAAGCCTTTCTGGGAAAGAGTCATACCAGCAACGCAAGGTAACGATCGGAGTAATAATTTGTGAAACTCAGACGAGTTTGCGAGTGTCGCAGAGGGCTCGCAGAATGACGCGATGGCCCCAATCTCTTCGGTACTGGGCCCAGGGTATCTCGGAGCTAAGAATGGAAATCCGGGATACCATGTCCTAGCAGCGGCCGGTTCATCATGGGCATATAGGTAGTTGAAGTCCATTTGGGGTACTAACCATCGGCAATGCGAACTTCTAGTTACAATTGCCTTCTGCGATGGCTCGCGCTCACTCACCCCATTCGTGATAAGTGTCTGATGAAAACCGTCGTAATTCCAGGAATAAAGTGTGACTCCCTTTTGAAGGTATCGGACAAGAGTCGAATAGACAAACTCGGGAAGTAGAGATGTTCGTCCACAGATGGCGCAGTGCACTGCAAAATGCCGCTTACAAAGTATTCAGCTCCACGATCAAATGATAATGAATACAGTATCGTCTGCCCCAGATGTTGCCTTGACTGATCACTTCTCGCCAACTTGGCAGGGATGTTGTCAATGCTTCCATAATTACGGAGGATACTACTGCGGTTTTACTCCTGGGAATGACAATGTCGCTATCGATAGTATAGTGTAATTTCACATGGCATCGGGACAGCTGATGCCAAGAGGATCGGTTTTAGACCTCGCTTTTCCTATGCCTGACCCTTCTAAGCCTGCCAATCGGAAAGAATCACTAGGTTATGGTGCAAAGCTTATTCCAAGTTCTCTTTTCCACGCAAGGTCTAGATCGACGTGCGATATGGTAAAATCGAATTAGGTGAAGGCGTCTTTCAAGAAGTTCTAATAAGGAACTTGGCTTTAAATTCTCGGCTAATTTTCATGACCTTCCTATAATAACTAATAGTGGCGCTGTATGAACACTAGCATAGCTTACCGAAGCTAGTAGTTATTGTACAATATCATTCTCTCGCTAAATTACCGCACACCTTTAAGGTTAATCTTAACCAAAAGCAGTAAATCTTAGCTAAAAAGCTACTAGACTACACAGTCCTTTTAAGATGGTGACGCTGATTCTATATGTTACCATATAGGAGAGGCCTATAGCACATTGCCCGTGCCTACTACTATTAGGTGTAGTTTAATAGCATTCCTTCACCGAACCTGGTGTTGTGCATGTCTTGTCCCTAGGACATCTTCTCTTAAGAAAGCAGCCAGTCAAGACGGGGTTTGTACAGATAGAGTCGCCAGCTATTTTTCCGCATAGCACCTAATGCATACCATGCAGCGGTGTGGGCAAATATCCAGGCATCCTAGCTTGAGTCCACTATTAATTCCTGGTCCCACCGCCTTGATACTATCCCTCGAGGAGACTCACTCTTTTTCGAAGGTCTCATCATACCTGGCTAGTCGGTTCTTCCAAGATGGTCGAGCCTCAGGAACCTGTAACATGATTCGTTGAAATGGCGCATGGCAATGGAGCATCGCGAGATTCTTCTAGTTGAAGATCCTGTTCGCAGACACCCTCGTAAGGACCTTGATCATGGTGTTCGGCTTCTGACTATGGCCAGTGTCTCCTTTTGATGCCCTGTTTATTCCACATCACTTTGCAGGATCCCCATAGCATCATTGATCAGTAGGCCCAGAGTCAGTCGGCTGTTTTGAATGAAGACCTCAACGCGCAGAACCAAGACAAGAAAGGTGTACCTCCGTTACAGCAAGATCGCATTGGGGAAGTTGGGTTTTGGGTTTTGTTAGAGTGTGTTGGGGGGGGGGGGGGGGTTGAACGAGGAGAGACCCACAAGGCAACTCGTATTCTGGCATTAGTAAATGATACAGCTTTCAACAACAATGACACCAGACACCAGCCTTCAAAACCCCAACAGCCGGACGGACACAATGTTCAGCAACAACAAACGCTCGGATGCTTGTCCATGCGATTGATATCTCCCCATCTGGGTCTGCAATTTTAGCGTACGTTGGCAACGTGAACACTCTTTGGGGATTTGCATAAATTCCAGGAACGAGTAGTGAGGCCGAGGGCGGTAGTCGCAGACAGATTCTACCGAGAACGATGGAGTTGCTCTTCACCTTGAATGTTTAGGTAATGCTTCCCCAAGAGGAACCAATATCGTAGTCATATCGTAGCCTACGAGATCGGCCACTGGCTCAATATTTGTCACATACGGAGTAATAAAATAACGGCGGCATGTTCAGCCGCCGACTTCGGAAGCGATAACCCAGTGTAGGGAGTGTACAACTTAAGAGTTTCGATGATCTAACAGCGGCGGACGCTATAGGCATGTTTTCTGACGTGGATAAGCAAGAAAAGCACCCTCGCACCCATGTTAGAATGTTGAGAGGTCAGAAAATAGTGAATCTTGCCATTGCGCAGTGGGTCCTTTAAGTTCTCACGTCTGACCCCGTTACTGACATGTGTTTATGAAAAGATGGCCGTCTGCAGATGGGTTCCATTGGTGAGGACCGGACCCCCCTCACCACGGCATAGGATTGATCGATCGGCGTCCCCATGCGACAATAGTCTAGAGTACTGAGGTTACATGTCGCCTCATACTATCAATCTCCTCCGCGAGCCGCTATCGATCATAAGCCCGGACGATATCGTCAAGGTATTGCGGATCTGCGTGCAAAAGCCAACGTCAGCATTGTAACTTGCCTGTGGCATAAGACACATCTGATTTGTACTTGCCAGTCTTCTCCTCCACAATAAATTTCTGCGTCTTGGATATCTGACTAGTCAATTCACTCGTAACCTCATGCAAATGCAGCCTGACAATCTCGTTGCGTTTTGCCGCGCCCTTGATTGCATTGATTGCAACGTGATACCTACTCGTCTCATTCAAAAGCATCATATTGAATGGTGTCGTTGTAGAACCTTCTTCCTTATAGCTCGCGATAGTCACACGATGCATATTGGGTCTACCGAACAGCAGTCCCTTCAGCTCGTTCGCATACCCGTGGTAGTTGAAGTGGATGGGGACTTGGGAGGTGAAAATTGCGTCAAAAGATTCATCCGTCAAAGCGTGTGGGTGGCTGCTAGACGCTCCCAGGATCATCAGGTCCGAAACGTTGACAACGCGCACACGGAGGTCGGGTGTCATTTTCCGGAGCAAATCCGCGGCGGCGATGACTTCGAAGGTCAGCTCCGCGCCGATGCCGACGAGAACAACATCCGGATCGAGTCCCTCGTCTGTTGATACGAATTTCCAAACGGACGCGCCCGAGCGGCAGTGATTCTCGGCTTCCTCGGCAGAGAGAAACACGGCCGAAGGCTGTTTGGACCCAACCATTAGGTTGACATAGTTTTTTGATTGCAAACAATGCGCCATTGTTGAGAGGAAGGTGTTGGCGTCAGGAGGCAGGTAAACCCTCGCAGCGTCTGGTTTGAGGTTCAGTACTGCTCCGATAAAGCTTGGGTTTTGATGGGAGAACCCATTATGCTCTTGCCTAGTCCAGGTTGATGTTTCGAGGTAGTTGACACTTGCAATATTCTTGCGCCAACTCATCTCGCGCGCCATCTTGCCGAACTTCGCATATTGAACCATCATTGTGTGTATGATTCCCAGGAAGGATTCATAACTGGGGAATAGGGCTGTGCGACCGGTGAGGGTATAGCCTTGCATCCAGCCTTGACATTGGTGCTCAGAGAGTGTCTCGATGAGTCGTCCGCCACGCGCGTTACTAAATTGATCCCATTGAAAATTTCGGTTTGTGGAGTTGAGCACAGAGTTGAGTTTGTTAGACTCAAATTCATCCGGGGAGAATATGCGGAAGGTATTGGGGTTCTCTTTCACCACCTGCTCGAGAAGCTTGCCCACAGTCTTCATACTGCTTTCTAAGGTGCCCTTTTTGACGGCAAATTTGCCCCAGTCTATCGGCCTCAGACCTTTGTAGACATCGTAACAGTGCTTTTTCTGACCAAGGCGCCGTTCAGGATTTTTAGGAATGATTGATTTGATTTCATCGATAATGTCTCCATCGTCTTTGAAGAGCTCCCTGGGTTTGTAAGACTCAAGCCATGCTTGAAGAATTTTGAGCTCTTCAAGATCGGTCTTGGCTGCCATTAACGGCACTTGATGGGCCCTGTAGGAGCCTTCAACAACCTGACCGTGGACCTTCTTCGGCCCAGACCAGCCTTTCGGAGTTCGCAAGATCAAAACTGGCCAACGCGGTTTCATGATGGGATTTCCAGATCTTGCAGCCGTTTGAATATTCTTTATCTCTGAAAGAGCCCATTCCATTGAATTTGAGAGATCGGCGTCGATATCGTCGAGGTCGTCTACCACTCTTGGTTGGTAGCCATAGCCGGTGAACAGGGCAGCCATTTCCTTGTCGTCCATACATCCATAAATTGTTCTCTCGCTGATTTTGAAACCATTTACATGAACAATTGGTAACACTGCACCTGATTCTGCTGGATCTATGTATTTGTACCCATGCCAAGCGGCAGATGTTGGCCCAGTTTCGCACTCACCATCCCCAACGATACACGTCACGATCAGATCGGGTTGGTCCATGACAGCACCAAAACTGACCGCTAGGGCATAACCAAGTTCACCACCTTCATGAATAGACCCAGGGGTTTCAGCATTGATGTGGCTGGGAAATCCTCCAGTTGTGCTGAAGCTGGATACCAGATTGTGGAGGCCCCTGGCGTCTCGCGAGTAATGAGGGTAGAATTTAGCAAGGGAGCCTTCCAGCCAGAGATTGGCCAGGATCGATGGTGCTCCATGTCCAGGACCAACAACATAAATCATATCCAAGTCGTACTTCTCGATGAGGAGGTTGAGATGTGAATAGACCAGCGTTAGCCCAGGACATGTTCCCCAGTGGCCTAGCAACCTGGGCTTGATGTCGTCAAATCTTAGACCTCGTTGGAGAAGGACATTGTCTTGCAGAAATATCATGGCCGCAGCAATGTAATTAGCTACCCGCCTATATTTGAGCATTGCCTCATTGGTGCTATCGTCCAGATCGCCCTTTTCAAGTTTAACCAGCAAATCATAGACATGTTCAGGGACATTAGACGGCGCGGGCTCAGGATTAGGGTGACAGATTGCTTCGCCTGGCATAATACAAGGAGATATAAAGCGGTTCCAATCGACTATGATTCTGCGCGATGACAAAGGACGCAAGAAACAAGTTATATTGGGTATCTGGGTAGCTTGCACAGTCAATAAGGCAGGAAGGATACCTAAGGAAAACAGCAAAAAGTGAAAAGTGCAAAGCAATAGTTAACATTGCCACACCATTACCTCATCCAAACTTCGGGATGACAGTCCTGATGCAATGACACTGAAGCCCTGTGCTATTAGTTTGTCCAGTGTCCTTTCAAATCAAGGCTCAACAAGCAAATACGTCAGAGGGAACAGGGGTGGTGGGACACAGTAGTTGACAGCACGTGTACCGGTTGTGTGATGTCAGTCCTTCTTGAATACAAAGCCGCAACATCCCTCCAATGCCCTATCTACCCTGAGGATTGATATTTATTCCACAGCTTTAGACCATGGCCATTATCATTCTTTTCGATCAATGCGGGGCAGCTCGTCCCTGAAACCGCCACTCTCCTTCGGCGTCTTGCTAGCGCGGAAATTTCGGGGTGTTGATCGCATCTGGGAGGCCACTCTCGAGTCATTTTCATACGGTTTCGATAATAAGGAATATCTATACTCCCTTCCTTTATCCTTCCTATAATATAAACTTTAGTACACTGCTTTTCTAACGATCGGTCTAGTATTTGGGTTCGTCTAACTTGCATGAAGCCGAAATCCAATTAGAATTATCCTTGAAAATTTAATTATAGATACCTAGGTCGTCTTATCTAGATATATTAGACGAGATTCAATCAATCATATAGAGATTTATATAGTAGTGGTTTATGTGAATCGGATGAATCGGATCTAAATCGCGCCCTCACGGCTAATGAAAAGTTCGTCGCTATTCTTCGACTGCTGTCAGGCTTCGTTTCACTCCAGTCTATCACTTCTTGAGCCATTATGCTCTTTTGACCTAATCTACAGGTAACATATACCTTCAGACTTGTTTCACGCGTTTCCTGTCATGACTAATATCACCGCTCGAGGCTGGCTTATTCTTCGCCCGCCGAGCCGCAATTGTATAGAAAATGCTACCGTCGTAGATCCGGCGAATATCCTCTTTTCTCATCAGTCCATCCTCTGGCCACAGCATAATATAGGTAGCCAACCCTAAGAGATGTCAGTAACGCCGGACTCTGCCGTATTTATGTCGTACAATAAAACGTACATTCGAAGAAAGCGCCTCCCCAGCCTATGGGATCCGCTATCAGTCTCTGACCCTTCAGGAGCTTCAAGACATTCCAGATACTGAGACCATCTTCTCCATCAGCGTATTTAGAGAATATATCTTCAAACCTCTGAGGGACAAATCTTCCTTCTGTATCGTAGCTACCGCTATCGCTACCATGTTTTGCTTTATGGATATTGACAACGTAGATGCGAAAAAAGGGGTCTGGAATCCAGGCGGGCAATGTTGGGTACGAAAAGTTCGCGTGGATAATGAAGACTGCTAATAGAGATAGGAGGATCCCAAAACCAAGTTTATGGAACCCTACAAATGTGTCACGAGGCCATATGATTCCATCTCGATCCACGTCGAAGAAGTCGCAGTGTTGTTGCAAAACCTGAGTCGGTAAATTAGGTTTGAACGCCTAGATAGAGGGGTGTTAATATCCGCTTACAGTTTGATGCTGATGACGGGCAGCCCATTCGTCATCCACTGTACCGCTTGGTTCTTCTAGAGAGGGAGCGATATTGGCGCGAGGCGTCCCTTAAGAGAGGTGTAAGCATCCATCCCGAGGAAGCTGGGGCAGTATACAAACCAGGAGAGAGCAACGTCCCGTCATCCTTTTGCTGCATAAAAGGCTGTCTCTCAATGGTGACGGGCACCGAAGTTATCGATGTCACCACCCCTCTTTTATTGTCATTGAAGGCGCCGCATCCTTCTGTTCCATTTGTCTCATTAACGAACCTTTGAGAAAGAGCCTTTGATCCCATAGTTTTGTTAAATCTGGTATTGGAAACTCTCAAGTTTTTTTGGTTTTTTTTGGTGAGGATGTTGAACAGCATTTTTTGAAACCCACAGGTTACATCACTTTGACATCATTCTGTCGTACAAGTCCCAGAAACCTGAATTGCGTGACATCAACTTTCAGCAGAGAGATCTTTTGTACTTTCCCTCTGGCGACTAACAAACAAGCATGAAGAATAACAAGCACGCAAGATATAGAGAGGCGAGAGGCGAGAGGCTTCCTTCAGTGGAAGTCTTGTCCATCCAAAAAGACGAGGGCCAAAAAGACTAGGGCAGTTGAGATGCTTGGCGAGCACCCGGGATACAATTTCGCAGAGCTGTACTCATAACCATGTCTGAGAAAGTGTTGGCAAGTCAAATAGAAACCGCCAGCCAAAATCCACGGCTTTCCACTTCGAGCAGTGATACTGGAGTATATTTGAGCAAGGACGTAACGTATAAGTAGCTCTGCTAAATCCGAGCCTTGGGTGCGCCGTCGAGGTCTCCGATGCAAAGAGAACAACATCTCTTTTACAGCGCTCAGACCGGCAAACATAACGACACAATTGAGGACGGCATGTCTATCCAAGGATTTTCCGTCTCATTTGCCATTCTCTAGCTCCGTGAGCGCGATGTCATTCCTCATGAAGTGAAAGTCCAGGTGAAGGGCTGGTCGTACAGTGACGGAGCTCGCCAGCTGAGGAGTGAAGTTGTCCCCTGACGAAGATACGGATATAGATCAGAAGACCAGTCTATTTTCGACATGCACGACAAACTGAAGTCACACTATGAAGTAGCTACCGTATCAAGAACTTTGTATGGGATTTTGGCAGCGTTTTTACTGGTTGTCCATCTATGGTTGCAGAAAAGTACAACACTGCGAATGTGTGGACTGCGGATGTGTGCAACCCAATCAGTGCAGCTGAGCATGGTGTGAACAGCGCTAGCTTGTCAATTAGGGTATCCTTCGCCATTGGGGCGTGGTGGTGTCGGATAGGGCATGGTCAGTGTACGATGAGAGCCCTCTAAGATGCTTTTATGACTTATGGGTATTGTTTCGGGCTGCAGCTGAGGCTTATCTTGGTAGCTTGTGAGTTAGGTACTTGGTGTCCTGCTGTAGCTCTTGGCTTACCGCAAGACCTCGATATTCGTGCTTATTTCCTGGCCGGTCGACTTCAAGCCTTATACCTGCACAACGGCCAACTTGCTCCGCACAGGGACGTTGTGTTTTCTTTGGCCTGGACTAGGAAAGCCTTCAACTTGGACACCCTTCCCAAACAACAAACAATGTGTGCTACCGCCAAAGTGAAACATGCCCAGCTGGTCACCCTTCTTCAAATGCTGGCCCTGTCTGACTGTCGTATCGCATGTTGAGACTTCTGCCATACCGATCCCGAGAAAGCACATCAGTCCAATAGCCGGGTTGTCTGCCTCAATGAAGATAATAGATCGTGTTGCAACTGCAGTCAAATACCCCTGGGAAATTGTCTCGCCTTCCATCGATGCGCCTTTGTTTTCCGTGAAGTCTTCGAACATGGGCTCAGAAAAGTACGTCCCCTGTACAGTGTAGGATTTAACCACCTTACCGCTCACTGGTGAGTGCCAGCGGTGATAGCTAAGCGCGGAGAGAAAGGCTTGGTAGACAGTACCACCAACAAACTGCTCCGCCAGTTCATCTTGAGCAAGCATATCGTAAAGGGAGTAAGGCTGTCCTTTTAGCCAGAACTTGTCGCGGAATCTGACGTCACTCGCTACCTTGAACGGAAGGGACTCACAGCAGTTGGCAATAATATTGTCATCTTCTGGACTAGCGACGGGCCGGATACCTTCGCGAAAGGTGCGGGTGAAGAATTCGTCCCATGACTTGAATCCAAAGCGCGGCTTGGATGGATCACAATCAAACATGTCTTCGAACCTGTGAGATGATTCACCAGCATTTCCAACAGAAGTAAGGCTTTTCACACCATCTTCTCCAAACCAGCCGTAGTCCGCGTTATCCAACACGTAGGCTGATTCTTCGGATGTGAGGAATTGGCCCCAGACGTCGAGGACTTTCTTGAGCATCTGGTTCACGTCGGGGTCGAGGAAGACTGCAAAGCCGGATGTTGTGCCCATCGGCCAATCGAAGATGGCGTTGATAGGTAAGCCAACTAGGCCAACACGATGGGACTTGTCGTTCCAACTCGGAGCTGTAGTTAGAATATAATTGAGGACTTTCAGCATATGATCGTGGTCCCTGATTTGGTGGTGGCCGGTTGGATCATTGATATATGGCTTCTTTTTGGGAATCTGACTGAACATCTCAGAAAAAAGCAAGAAAATACGTGTGTTGTTTTCAATCATATGCTTGAACTCCTTCAAAACAGGAACCAACTCCCGCGGTTCGTTGTAAACGTGGTCAATAATGCCGTCGAGCCATTCCTTGTGAACGCGATGGTCTTTGGGCATCCACTGCCCCACTCTATATGGTCTCAGTCAGATACCTTTTGGAGATGAGTAGACTCACCTATGCACTCGATATTCTTCTGGCACGTTCATAGGGCTGGCGTCTGCAAGCATCATGATTATCACAGGTAAATGGGTTTACCGTCGTGAATCGGACTCAGCAGGATGTACTGAAATACAGCATGTTTAAAAGTCGAGATTTAAAGAATAAAGTTCTGTGAAGACGTCACAAGCAAGAGATGTGGTTTCCACGTCACAGCCATTTTCCGGCGAGCCCGGGTATACGCTTCTCTTTATCTAGGCCTGACTTGCCAGCAGCTCGCCTCCAGAAATACCTAGCTTGCCCATGTTAGCCGTTCATCGTCGTAAGAAACCTAAGCCGTACTCATCCTATGATTCAAGCCTCATTCTTCAGTTCCTCATCTCTGTCAGTTGATCTGTTCAATTGTCTACAGCCTTTTTGGACTTGAGCCGTGACATAGACGTATGTGAAAGGGAAGTGCCTGGTTGAACATGCTGTACTCCTCCGAAGCAACTACCATGAACTTATCAGAGACCAGAGAGTCCAACGACTCTCCTGGGGCAGTAGGCTAGTATAGGGGTTCGCCTAAAAGCTGCGAGGGTGTGCCTAAACTATGAGTACTTGGGGAGCTTCCATTTATTATAAACATAACTATAGCTGAAGTATCTAGTGGCGTCCTTTAGGCGCGCCCAGAGCCTACTGCTCGTCGCGACGGGTGCCTTCCCCGCATCATTCTGTCAAAGGTGCAGGCACGACTCGCCTGAAGATTCGGGGCGCTCTTGGTCTTGCTCCTTAAGGGTTGCTTAGGTCAGCACTCACCATTTCCGGCCGAGGCTGAAGGGACCTGGGAAGAGGCTGGCGAGGCCAGGGAAAACAAACAAGTGAACAATTGCACCTCCAACTTCAGCTTCAGCTACAGTCACGGTTTGACGACAATCTCCCTTCGCTTCACCTCAACATACAGGCAAACAAAGAACACATGTCTCCACTTCCTTGCTGAGCTTGCATTGATGCCATTCCTACCCAACGCCAAACCCTCGCCATCCACCAAATCCCGCTCTCGCGCCGACTCGCAACCCAAGCAGCCCTCCTCGTCACCACCCCCTCCCTCAATCAAGATGTCCTCGTCAGAGAAATCCTCACGGAGCGGCAAGAACGCGCTGAAGCGTCTCACACACGAGATCCAAGACCTTCAGACCTCACCGCCAGACAGCGTGCTACACTTGGGCCCAGCCAGCGACGAAGACCTTTTCCAATGGGAGGCAGTGCTGCGAGGACCACGCGACTCTGCATCGCCCTACCACGGCGGCCTGTGGCTTCTCTCCATCTCTGTGCCACCCAACTATCCCCTTGCCCCGCCGAAAGTCTCATTCATCACGCCGATATGCCACCCCAATGTGCACTTCTCGACAGGCGAGATCTGCTTGACGCTGCTGTCTGGCGAGCACTGGACTGCCGCTTATAACCTCAGCACTACCGTTAGCGCTATCCAGCAGCTGTTGACCTCTCCTGGCTTGGACAGTCCGCTGAACGTCGACATTGCGAATCTGTATAGAGAGGGAGATGCGATCGGTGCAGAAGGTCTCGTGAGGTTCTGGACTGCTGAGAAAAGGTGGGCTGGCGAGGGAAAGGCTGGATGGATCAGTGAGCGGCGCCCTGGTACAGGTGGTAAGCTAGGAGAGCAGTATTGAGGGTATTACCCAAGGAAATAAAGGGGAATCTTAAAGAGTGGATGGGAGGAAGGCCAAGCAAGCAGGCAGAGGCCTTGTTGCTTCTACTTGTGTGTTGGTATGAGGCTGATACGCGTTATAATGCACAGCGGGCCGGTGTTTCGCGTTGAACTACAGTATTTATCATGAGGAACGATCCGACCAGAAATTCATCTTCTGCGATATCTGAAACATTCTTGTTGGAAGCACGTCTGTTTACAATCCGGTTCTTGGCATTGTGGTTGTCAACGTACATGTTAAGAGAAACACTTTTGAAGTCATCGTGATCTGATACTCCAGGGCACCTTCTGTCTGTCACAGGAGCGGAATCTTCTCAACGAAGCATTTACGATCCCAATCGTGCCCATAGACGACCAAACCCACCGGAGTATCAAGGTCCAGAAGTTTCAATTTCGAGACATCTTCGGCCACGGCAGGCTGAGCGAAAGAGACTGTGCGACCGCGTGCCCACTCATCTGCCAGCTGTGCAATGATTCGTTTCGCCAGGTGCGTGGGATAGTGGGAGTGTTCGTAGCCTCGGCCACGGGCCTCTATGCGAGGCCAGATAACATCCAGGACATAGTGGAAGATAGATTCGGACTGAAACGAGTAGACCAGCTGGAGCAATACTTCCACAACGCTGAGAGTGTACACGTCGGAAGTGTTGGAGATGGTGTGATCTATCCCTTCCACGATTTGACAAAAGTTGTGCGCCAAATTTGCAGTGGTATCGGACGGTGGCTGACGTGGCTGACGTGGCTGCTGGGCCTCTTTGATCTCTTGGATCATGATTACGCAGAGAAGGTAATACAAAGCGTTCATAGCATCTCGATGGCTTAAGTTCCTGGCATTCTCAAAGTCAAAGGCCTGCGGTGGCGTGTCCTCACCAGGGGCGTTGAAGAAGAGCGAGTTGGCCGGCAGATGCAGCGATGCTATCCTCGACTTCCATACTTTCAACCTCTCGGTCTGAGTTTCCAAAAGCCCATGCAGATGAGAACCCTTGACGAATCCCGCCTGGGATTCATCATGCTCGCCCGGCTCGCCAGATCTCCCGGTCAGTTTATTCAGCAAAGCGTGAGCGAGACCGCCTAGCTCACTTGATCCCTCGGAGATATTGAAGACACCGGCGGTGCAGCGAAAGACCACGATCCGCGAGCGAATCTCAATTGTTCGAATCAAGATGTCATAGACGAGATCATCTGTGCTGATCCCTATTCTGCAGCTCAGGTATAAATCGCCGGTGATATTTGGAAGGTCTAAATTGGGTCCAAATATGCTCGGCCCTTCGCCTTCCAGTGGCATTGAGGGTGGCTTTGCGGGTCGATGGGAGGTGCATAGGCGGTGCCACAGTTGCACTGCTTCCTGGCCTCCTTGCCACTGCTGAATTCTAGTCGCATTCTGCGAGACAAATCCAACCGTTTCCCATACCGCTTTCCGAAATTCAAGGTGATTTGTTGACGCGTGGTGATAGTATGCTAGGAGGATTCTCGCTACAAGCAGCGATGGGCCTTCATGCTGAGTATCGTATGACTCCGCGAGTTGGCAATGCTCAGAGGCGAGTCGATAATATCTTTGCGCAAGGTTATGGTGCGCCCGATTCACCACCGGGCTGTAGACCGATCTTCTTCTGTCCTTCGAAAGGTAGCGATGCTGCACACGGCTATCTAGCATTGAAAGATTTGACGCCGATAGACAAAGCACTGCAAATCGCAAACATGAATTGTTGCTAACGCCGTTGGCAAAATTCAGAAAAGGGGCTGGAAGGATGTCGCGCATATGTCTCTCAAAGTGCTGGAAATACACGAGATCCAGATCATCAATGGTGGGGACAGCTTTAGGCAGCCTGGAAGTGGCCGAGTCCAGCGCCTTGAGAGTACGAGCACGAGTACGAAGTTGAGTGCGGGTTGGAATGTCAACTCGTGGCGGGCTCGACGGGGCAGAGAGCTCTGAACCCCTGGTCAGACAAGGCTGCGTAGAGTTCTTGCTTGCGACTCTTCTGGCTTGACACCCGTTGACGTTACGAAAAGTAAAGTCGACTCCGTACACGCATTCAAGTGACAGACGGGTACATGCGTGACAGATTGGCTTCGTCTCATCGCACTATTAAAGTCAGAAGTTGTAAGGAACCCGGCCCAGAAGCCCATCTAGGTAGGATACTAACTCTCTTACTGCGTCTGCGACACGGCTTGCAGCCCGAGTGGCTACGACGTATTTGCCGCGTCATGGGGTGCTGCTGAAGGAATAATCACCGAGCACTCAAGGGACTAAGCATCGCAAGGGATTATCTTGTCGAAATAGTCATCATCTGGAGGACATTAAGGAACGCCGATGCTCGGAACTGGTGGTTGAACTTTTGGAAACCAAGTTTGAGGGATGTGTCGATGGGATTACATCGGATTCAGTCAAATTATACGCTCGTATCGAGTTTGTCTGACGAAACTGTTTGACAAGGCTGAGCACGGGTATAGTGTAACCGTTCTGGTAGAGCCATGGATAATGTATGAAATGACATGGTTCAAGGCTGGTTATGGGGTTTTCTAAAAACCTTATTGATGGAGGATGCAGCAATCAATGTCACCTTTTTGCAAGGAGATACTGCTCACTGAACCAGAAGCTATTCTGGACGGGCCCGCCTCTGGAGATCGTTCATACATCTTTCATTAGGTCCACTATCTGACCCTCATTTCTCCGTACACTTCAGTCAGTCCTTGGTGTTGCAGGCTTTTGAAGAAGGTACCGGTTCACCATCGTCTCGTTCAAGCAGTGTAATGACTCGACCAACCGTGGTCCGACTCAGCAGCTTGCGAATTCATGGAACTGGCGTCCTACTTATAAGGGAAAAATCGTCGAGTGCGGGCATCATTGCCGGTATCTAGTCCTCCTTGTGGCTGCGAGCCTTTCCTACCAAATCGTTTCATTAATTGAGATTGAGAATTCTGTGAACCTGGCCCTGGACCTAAGGGTTGTGACTGCGATTGCTCAGACTGTGGTGGCTGCTGAGGCTGTTGTTGAAGGGGTGTTGCTCCAGTGGTCGGTCGTGTAGGTCCAAACCCCGAGCCTGGTCCTGGTCCTCCAGAATTCCCTTGCGTAGATTGAGCGTCTGCAGAATTCTGTCTAGCACCGGTGCTCGCATAAAGAGCAAAGTTTGGCCAAGCTTGATGGAAGAGGGAATTGACCATCGATCGAAGAGGGTTATAAGGCCTCTCCCTGAAGACGGAGGGAACCAGAGGACGGCCCCTTAATTCGAAAGGGGTTCGTTGCGACTGAAAAGCGCGTATGTATTGGTTTTCGGCGACATAGGCCGTGTCGACCTGGCCAACCACGGTGTTGGGATTGGTTCTAGCAAGCATCAGATACGACACTAGAAGGATACCCGGCTCTGCTTCCAGTACTGGACGACACACTGAAAGGAATCCGGCAGGAAAATTACGCCTCGTGTCGACGACCAAGGTTCTCTGACTGTCCTGGTTAAGGATAGTCCCGAGCTGGCTTATATCGTGGTTTTGGATGAGGGGATCGACTCCAAGACGACTTATCAAATACGTCACGAATTCATTGTTGTAAGGTAGGTCGAAGAGATGGATTTCGGGCAATGAATGTAGGGAGCCTAAATACTACGTTAGCGAGAACAAGGCGCTGAACACTGCATGTAGGAGACACACCGAAAATTGATATCAAGTCGCTAAACAGGAAGACCTGGCAAAGGAAAGCGGCAGGGGTAAGCGATCTGTCTTCTGTCGGCAGTAGGCCAGGTCCAATGAAGATAGCATGCCAGATCCGAAGCCCATTTTGGTGTCGTACGTTGATTACGGTTGTTAATTGTTCAATTAGCTGCTGTCGGACGGGTGATGTTGTCCACATGTTTCTAAGTTCTTGCCATACAGTATTGGCTGCCTCTTGACTCAGAAGCCAGGTATGAGCTTGACCGCTAGTGGCCATCGTTTATACGCAGAATGTGAACAGAGTTGAACGAGCTCTGAATTCGAGAAGAGGGCTTGTATCAAGATAATGCCAGATTGAAGCCAGTCAACTGAAGAGGAAATGCAAGCTGAGTTACATGGAGTAAGTTATAGAGGAAGTCTAAGGGTGGAGCCTAAGATATCTGGAGGAGAGAATATATACATGGCCATCTATTGCTTCTACAAAGGACAGTCAACCATTAAAGAAAGTTTACAGATAATCGATTGTCCAAGCGTCGTATCCTTGTATAGGAAGAGGCTGTAGAATACTATGCTGTGACGGGCGATGTAGTTTATACTAAGAGGTTGGGGTCTAAGACATAGTAGCTCGCCCGTTTATAGATGCACGACGCTCGCTTAACATTTCGCCCTCGAGCGTTAGCAATCTGGGCCGAATTACGGAAGCGGAGGCAGGCACGTGGACTACTGATCTTTGGACAAGAGGGTGATAAAATTCTGCGGTTGGAAGCTATCTGCTTTAGCAGTCGTACATTTCTAAATATATCCGTTCGCCCTTCCTGCAGCAGCATGTCTTTCCAACAAAAGCACCCGTTGATATCCCGTCCATGATGTTGAGTCTGAGGCTAGCGCGGCATTCTCGGCGGTAGTAGCAGCCTGGCAGAATGCTTTCGAGCTCCATTCTTATGCGTCAACAATAATTTCCTTCCGCCTATGGCGACTCAAGGTCTCAAACCTATCAGATAGATCAAATGCATTCGTCTGCCTCCTTCCCTCATAGAGAAATAGTTGGGAGCGAAAGAACTATACCTCACAACGGCATGTGCGCTAGCTTCTCGTACGGATGCAACAGTGTGTCCTGCTGGATAGTATGTACAACATTGTTGCCCTTCCATATGCTCTCCTCCCCGCACACCCTGTCAAAAGATGCCCTCGTCGATCGTCAAAATGATAAATGGTTGTTTTTGTGAGAATTAGAGCTGCAACAGCCACAGATCGTCCAGCCTATCATTTGACGCTGATAGACCCCCTTGGATCAGAATATTCGATTCATCGAGAACATCGGCCGCAAACCAACCTCTCGGCGATGGCTTGTCGGGACCTTGAACGAGAACCTCCCGCCACGCTTGGGACGAAATGTCAAAAAGCCAAATGTCTCCGAGCATCTTTCCGGCACCTTGATGGCCTAAGTTACTGGGGTCGCTTTCTCCCAACATAGTCAAGAGACACTTCCTTCCACGGACGGTCAATGGAAGCAAACAGCTCACACTGCGAGGTGCAGGCCCTTCTCGACCGTTGGCAGGAAAGGCAATCGAGCTCCAAGAATTGGCAGTAGGATCGAAAACGTCAAGTTTGCCCCCCTGCTCCTTTGTCCCATCAAATCCATTCATCCGCCACAATTTGCCGTTTGTAAATGCAATTGATGCTCCGCCCCTGGCTGGTGCAGGGGCTGAAGGAAGCTCCTGCCACTCTCGATGCGTGACAGTAAACACCCATAAGTCGGCCAATCTACCTTTCTCGGGGCAACCTGAGTGAAGATAAATTTTATCATCTCCGTCATTTGCAAGAGCATGATAGCTGCGGCCAGTCGGAAATGGTGACTGAGAATTCTTGGGCACTATGGTATGCCAGGCTTGATCTTTGGGATCAAAGCTCCACCATGATCCATTCTCTTCAATTGGTGCCATAGCTATCCCGCCACGGCCCGAGAAAACATAAAGTCGCCCATTGAAAGCCGTTGACGCCGAGCCCACCCTAGGTTGTGGTGAGGACGTTGGACTTATGCGAGAGACAGATCCTCCCTGGTCAATTTGATCTATCCAAATCTTCAGTACTGCCTGCAGACCTTGCAAACCCACTCGGAGTTCAAATTGAGATAAATTTACCTTGACTCAGCGTAAATTGGTACACGTCTGAATCGACCGGCTCACGCGGACGCAGTTCTCCCCCATAGATGTAGGCTGTCTTTCCAATTACACACAGCGTCTGAGACGACCGCCGAAGTGAGGAGCTCGCGGCAAGTTTGGTCCAGGTTGTGCTCGCCATTGTGGCGATGGCCGCGACTGAAGGCTAATTACAGAAGTGGTCGAGACTGTAAAAGGCGCTTTGTCGAGGCTTGACTCTCGATGCAACAATATATAGTCATCAGTCCTATGCCAGATTATGGGGCATTTCAGGTAGATTTGGCGTGTTGGCCAACCGGGGAGATCCAGGTAATTTGTCCGCGGCTTCATGACGTTGTAAACCTGCCGTGTATCGTCGGCGTATAATATAGCCCAATCGAGCATAGTTCACACCAATCAACTGGTGTAGCCTTTAAGCTTCTTGGGCTTGCTTTTGCCCCTTGATGGATTTTGAGTCCATTCAGTTCATGCTAGGAACTTGCTCAGGGAGAAGTTTGTCATGCTAGAAGCTAGAGGTTCAAGACCCGCTCTGTGACTTCTAGAGATCACATGTTATTCAAGGTGGCCCTTGCTTTTCGAAGCCTCAATTTAGCGATGAGCAAACGAGGCTTAGCGGCGCCAACAAAGCCGATTCAACAATACCTGGCAATTCCTCGCTTGGGGCCTCTCAACAACGGTCCGTTCGAGAATGCCCTGACAGAACATTTACCAGCCCATCTTCTCGGCCATTTACAGAACCTAGAAAGAGGAAACCGGTGTGATCGGGATATGCAGACAGCCACAGCATCACCACCATGGGGTGGCATTTGCATTTCCAGACGCCGAAGTTTTACGTATTTGGGTCCCTGCAGGAATCGTCCTCCCTGCCGAATGGATGAAATCGACTGAGGCAGGACCTGATATGCTTCTCCCCGCATCTACCATGCATCCAGCTGCCTGGCAAAGTGCTGGACTACATGTATGAACATGTGTTGTGACCTGGAAACAGCCAGTAGCCACAAGCCACGTCCAAAGGCATGCATGACGCGGGGCTCTCAGCCTTAATCTGCGAAAGGGCAATGATCAAGCTTAGCACACCGAGATTACACTCCATCGAGATCACCGGTCAAGATGAGGTTCGACGCAGTATATATTCCAGGATGGCCGAGAAGGTTTGGAGCCGCATCACTTCCTACGACATCCACAAGGTCCACAAAGTCTTCCAACTTGACAATGGCAGTCGAAACGACCGACTATTACGATAAATCTGATCAGCTACCGTTGCAAGTCATGCAGCTCCAGTCCAAGGACCACGAAGAAATCCTCAACGTCATAGATCAGCTGAGGTCGGAAGGCATTGGCAGATATATCAATTTACCGCAACTGATCGTATGCGGGGACCAGTCTTCTGGCAAGAGCTCTGTGCTGGAGGCTATTTCAGGACTAGGGTTCCCAATCAAAGACAACCTTTGCACGCGGTTTGCTACCGAACTCATTCTAAGAAGGTCCCCAAACTTGAGCGTCATCGCGTCAATCCATCCAGACGAAGATCGGCCAGTTGCAGAGAAAGCGCGCATCCGACAATTCAAATCGTCAACGGTTGATCTCAGGCAATTTGCAGCTATCGTCAATGAAGCTGAAAAACATATTGGCGTAGGTCAAGACGGTCATGCTTTTTCAAAGGACATTCTTCGAGTGGAGGTCTCAGGTCCCACACAGCCTCACCTCACCTTGGTCGATCTCCCAGGTCTCTACCATGCCCATGACGAATTCCAAAGTGCTGAAGGAGTTGATTTTGTGGAGTCTTTAGTGCTGTCCTATATACAGAATGAACGAAGTGTTATTCTGGCAGTCATCTCCGCTAAGAGCGATATAGCACTGCAAAAAGTCACCGCCTTCACCCGTAAGGTCGATCCAAAAGGCAATCGAACGATGGGCATCATTACCAAGCCAGATACCCTCCCTGAAGACTCTGACATGGAAAGATCTTTCCTCCAGCTGGCCATGAATAAGCGTGTACCTTTCCGGCTCGGTTGGCATGCGCTTAGAAATCGAGACCACAAAGAACGTCACTTCTCACTCGACCAGCGACGTGAGAAAGAGCTCGAGTATTTCGCAAGCGGTATATGGGCGTCGTTGCGACGTTCTTCAGTCGGCATTGATTCACTGACACCGAGATTAAGTACTGTTTTGAGAGATCATATCCTTTCTGAACTTCCAGGACTTATTGCCGAAACCCAACAGTCCATACGCGAAACTGCCACCAACCTAGAAAGACTAGGAGAATCTCGGCAAACAATAGCCGACCAACGGCGTTATCTCCTACATAGTAGTGAGAAATTCACTACTCTAATGGCTGATTCTATTAACGGGTTCTACATTGACTCTTTTTTTGGCGATGCGATGGAGGTTGAGGGTTATCAGAGAAGGCTTCGAGCCATATTCCAAAATCGTCTCTCCGATTTCAGTGAAACATTGGAAAGGCAGGGGATGCAAAGAACAATTGTAGAGGACGAAGAAGAAGACAAACCACCTAACATTAGCAGCTCCTGGATTCTCCGCTCCTCATTTGTTAGCGAGGTTATTGAGCGTATGCGACGAAGTCGTGGGCGGGAACTTCCTGGTACCTTCAACCCCCTGATCGTCGGCGATCTGTTCTACCTACAATCCCGGCCGTGGGAGTCCATTACGAGAGTGTGTATTGATCAGTTGCTTGGAGATGTGCAGCGAGCTATCTTGCCAATGTTACGGTACGTCCTGGATGAAGTTACCCTCACTGGGCTTCGAGACCACGTCCTTAACCCAGCTCTCGATGAAATTGAGAAAGCTATGAGACGAAAGTCCGAGGAACTTCTTAAACCTCAGCAAGCAGGACACCCCATTACGTATAATCACTACTTCACTGATAACGTACAAAAAGCTCGAGCGGACCACCTTCGTAAATCCATGACAGAAAGACTGAAGAAATTCTTTGATAGTCAAAACCCTTATGAAGAATCTGCGCATCGGCAATGGTGGTTTCGAATGGACCATTTAATTGATGCTTTAACAGTGAAAAGTAACGCCGATATGGAACACTTTGCCGCTTCCGAAGCCGTGGACTGTATGCAAGCATACTACAAGGTATGGGTTTAGACTTGGCCTTGCTTTTGGGTACCAATACTGACGTGCTCAACCCGCTAAACTGGACAGGTCGCGAGAAAAAAATTCGTAGATGATTTCAGTATCCTCGCTGTCGAGAAATGTCTTCTGGAGCCTTTAGCAGTCATATTCTCGCCACACGTTGCAGACAGACTGGCAGATGACGTTATCGGACTGATTGCATCAGAAGATACAAGCACGAAAAATGAGCGTGGACACCTTCAGGAGAAACTGACCAGGATGCAGGACTGTATGAATAAGCTTCGTCGACTGGACCGATACAACCTATCTGGTAAGATTTGGGTGTACCTGAAATGGAACAAAGTCTGGAGCTGATGAAATGCGATAGCTTCGAGAATCATTAGCGGAGTTCTGGATCACGATTCTGCCGATTTGGCTTCTGGTGGCCACGACCACGACAACGTCGAAGTGGAGAATCAAGGAGAAGAGCCTGATGATCTAATAGTGGGTGCGGAAACGGATTGTAATCGGAGCGAGAAGGCCGAGGAAATACCATTTGACTCGACCTCCATAGGTCCGCGGCCGAGTTTGGTAAGGGACTTGATATCATCTTTCAAAGGCGAGGTTGAAGAGCCGCCTTCGTCAGCCTCCCGGACGAGGAAAAAGAAAGCCCAACAGCAGAAATCATTGTGGGAAGATGTCTAAAAGCGCTTGTCGACAGAACAAGTCCTATTTATAATATAATCCTCTCCACCCGAGGTCAAACTTTTTCAGCACTTCCTTCAGCAACCGCATCAACCTCAAAGCCTACCTTTCTCTGTAGATCCAGCGTTGGTAGGCACAGCCTTGCGCCAGTCAGACATGCCAAGGCAAGGCTTGCGTCAGATATCGGAAGTTAGTTAATCCGATTCTGTGAATCCTTACGAGTAATCAATGTGGGCGCCAGATTGTCCCATGTTTCCATCGCAATCCCAAAACGCATGCTGGAGTGAACGTTAGATGCGTTGAATAAGTCACAGAAGCAGCGACTCTCTCGACTCGCTCGTCCCTCTCACGTGCAACTAGACGCCGCTGAAAATCCGCCGAAAATTCCTCTCCGTGCGGGGAGATTTGAACGGCACCATCAAATCAATCCTCAGGTTGAGATCTGAAAAGTGAAGCTGCGGGAGTGACCAGAATTCTCGACCAAAAAGAAGATGGGTAAATGAGTCTTGGAAATGATTCCAAGCGAGCATATTTACCTTAGCTGTTGGGTGGTGTTGGACTGATTCGACCGCTCTTTCTCTCTATCTCTCTCTACACGTCACCACACCACGGCCACGGGAGAGACGGACTTGATCTTTACCCGTTCTCAGACAAGCAGACTCAGAAAGAAGGGCAAACACATTAACGCCTGTTGTACCCGGGCAAAACCGAGAGAGAGAGCGCGAGAGAGAGAGGGGCGGTGAGGAAACCCGAAACCCGATATATCCATTCCCACTACTGCGCATCAAGACGAATAAATGGCCCCTCCAGCCACCCTCCCACCGGCGGCATTCTTCACGACCCTCGCGCACCTCCTGTCACTCGAGCAAGCCAGTGAAGTCGCCGAGAACACGCTGCTCCTCTCCGCGGCTCCACCAACGGCACTCGCGCGCGCCGGTCTCGCGATCCTCTCGCTGACAGTATCATCACTAAAGACAGGCCTTGGCGGGCGCTCGGTAGTCGAGCTCGCGCTTGACTCGGCCGTCATCGCGAGGGATTCGAGAGGTGAGCTGCCGGAGCATGGGATCCGGACGGGCGATATCGTAAGGGTGGGCGAGATGCCGAAGGGGACGGCGAAGAAGAAAGAGGTTACGGACCTCAAGGGGAAGGGTGTCGAGGGCGTGGTCACGCGGGTCGGCGAGAGGGCCGTTTGGGTTGCGCTTGGGAAGGACGGTGCTGGGAGCGGTGGCGACGAGGTCGAAGGCGTTCCTGACGGGAAACTATGGATCGTCAAGCTCGCCAACGACGTCACCTACAAACGGATGCATCAGACCCTGACCAGGCTCGTCAAAGCCCCCGAAGCATCATACACCCCCTTACAAAACGTTCTCCTGGGTCTCTCATCGCCCGGAAACGCCGACGTCACCTCCGTAAAAGAGATCGCATTTCACGACCCAACCCTCAACGCATCGCAGCGCGACGCCGTCGTCTTCGCCCTCTCATCTCCCGAAATCGCCCTCATCCACGGCCCGCCCGGCACCGGCAAGACATACACGCTGATCGAACTGATTTTGCAGTTCCTGGCACGGAACCTGCGCGTGCTGGTGTGCGGACCGAGTAACATCAGCGTGGACAACATCGTGGAGCGGCTGGCGGCGGCGTCACCGTCGACGCCGATCGTACGGCTGGGACATCCCGCGAGGTTGCTGCCGGGTGTGCTGAACCATTCTCTTGAGTTGCTGACGCGGACGAGCGAGGCCGCGGGGATTGTGAACGACGTGCGTAGGGAGATGGACGAGAAGCAGGCGTCGATCCGCAAGACGCGGAATGCGCGTGAGCGAAGGGCGGTGTATGCGGATTTGAAGATGTTGCGGAAGGAGTACCGTGAGCGGGAGGGGAAGTGTGTTGACGGCCTGGTTCGAGGGAGCAAGGTCGTGCTCTCGACCTTGCACGGTGCGGGTGGCTACCAGGTCCGGGATCAAGACTTTGACGTCGTGGTTATCGACGAGGCTAGTCAGGCCCTGGAGCCACAGTGCTGGATCCCGCTTGTCTTCGGTGGGCGTAATGTGCGAAAGCTGGTTCTGGCTGGAGATCACCTCCAACTACCGCCCACGATCAAGAGCGCCGACGACAAAGAGAACAAGGAGGACAGGAAAAAGGCTTTAAAGGGGCTGGAGGACGAGTTGGCGAAATTGACAGTCACGGAACAGCAGCTTAAAACAGCCAAAGCCTGGTCTCTGGAGACGACATTGTTCGATCGGCTGTTGTCTATGCACGGACCTGGGATCAAGAGGTTACTGAATACGCAGTATCGCATGCACGAGAAAATCATGCGGTTTCCTAGCGATGAATTATACGACGGGAAGCTGATTGCAGCAGATGCAGTCAAGGCGCGACTACTGAAAGACCTCCCCTACGAATTACGAAAGACCGAGGATACAATTGAACCTTTGGTCTTCTTTGATACTCAAGGCGGGGATTTTCCTGAGAAAACTGAAGATGATTCGAACGGTGGTCCTGTCAAGAAGTCAGTCCTGCTGGGCGACAGCAAGAGTAATGAACTGGAAGCAACGGTAGTGTCGATGCATGTCAAGAATCTCGTTGCGGCAGGGGTCAGAGATGAAGATATTGCCGTTGTGACTCCATATAATGCACAATTGGCGATATTGAGCTCGATGCTGAGGGAGAAGTATCCTGCGATCGAGCTGGGAAGCGTTGACGGGTTCCAGGGGCGGGAGAAAGAGGCTGTGATTGTCAGTCTGGTGAGAAGCAACGCTGAGAAGGAGGTGGGATTCCTGGGTGAGAAGAGGAGATTGAACGGTGAGTCTCGCAAGCGCGATTTCAATATTGGGTTGTCGGTTTTCCTCCTCAGGGAGTGCCTTCGCTATCCTGCCCGCGCGTTGTGTGTTTAATTTCATGCAGTCCAGAAGGAAAGGCTGACATTGGATTGATTCCAGTTGCAATGACAAGACCCAGACGACATCTATGCGTCATCGGAGATTCCGAGACGGTCTCGAGGGGCAGTGCGTTCCTGAAGAGATGGATGAAATTTCTGGAGGATAATGCCGATCTCAGATATCCAAGTTTGGACGAGCTAGCGTAGAGCTGAGCCGAGAGTCTGCGAGTTTGGAGGTCAGGCCATGCGCAAGCAGAAGTTCTTCCGTTATGCATGCATGTGTTGGCCTTCGGCCCCCCTACCTAACTCGAGGATGATTACGACTCCATTCACAAAGTAAGTTCAGTGGCGCGGTAGAATCAGTGAACGGATCTTATCAGTGGTACTGGTTCGTATCGGCATGGCGGGAAATGAGGACATTTTCCATCCACACGCCCAGATCCCTAGACGGGTTTCATGACCGAGAGAACGATCGGAGCTGTGTAACCTGATTGGAGGGGTCCATTTTGATGATCAGGTATAGGCTGCAGTACCAAAGATAATGGGAGCTGAGACAGGCCTAGGGGCACGACAGTGGTACTTTTGAATGGATGGACCAATAGAAACAAAGACCAATACCACTTTCTCGTGCTGCTCACCATCCAATCTTCCTAGCCCTTTAGAGATCGCTCTCTCTAGAGGTAATTAGTTAGAGTCGAGTCTCGGGAATGGTATTTCCGGTTCGGCGTAAGCGAGGATTGCACCATGTGATTAGCTTCCAAGCGGCGCAAAAGCTCGGATAAGAAAAGTCAGATGATGGAAGCAGACTAGAATGTCAGAGCGATGGGTGTAAAGAGTTTTGGTCTCGTTGATCCCAATGTTCGCTGATTCCATGTTGATGGTTCGTCGCCAGAAACTCAATCCTTTACGTGACAGCCAATTGGGGAGAGAAACACGGATCTGCCGGTTCGTGGGCAGAAGGGGTCGCGGATGGTGTGGACCGAGTCAGTAGGCACAGTTGGTCTGGATCAGGGAGAGCTGGAATACGATTGAACGGTGAGGGCCGAATAGCCGTGGACCAGTGGCGAAGCTTGCGCATCTCGGGGCTTGCTTGGTGGGTGGGTGGGTTGGCGGTTCGGACAAGTTCATCAGTCGGACCCTGACGGTCTGCACGCGGCTGCGTTGGCGATCATCAATGGACGACCATGGCTGAAGACCCGAACCAAGAGATGAATGAGCCTGACAAGAAAGGATGACGAACTCGACTGCGTAGCCCTACGAAGAATCCCCGTCTGCTTGCATCGGGGATTTGTCTGGCTCGGAAGATACTGACTGCATGCGCAGTAGCACCAGCATGTCAGACTCACCATGTATTTGATTGACAAGCGAGCGACGGAGGATTAGGATTACGAGTCCCTTAGCCGTCCTCCGTCTTCCGTACCTTGGAGTCGCATGGTAGGCAGCATCCTGTCTCTCGTCGAAACCACCATGCCAAGGGGATCTGGGGCGACTCGAAACTAGGAGTGACGGATTGTGCTCGCAAAGCAGCACACAAGGTGAAGTTAACGGCCGCTACGCAGGCTCAAAATGACTTGCAGAATAATGGATGCATGGCGCAGGGGTAGACCAGTGGGATGCCTTCTCAGGGACCTACCTCCTTGGAGTTGGTGGGACGGTGGACCGAGGACGAGTAGATTAGAAGGACGGAGTAGAGTACGGAGACTTGTAGATGGCCAACCCGGAGGATGCAACGCCGCGTTGGGAGGAGTGCTCCATACGGAGTGGGAGTACGGAGTGCTGTCCTTATAGGCATAGGATTCGTATCACTGGCAGCTGCATCCACATTGCCAGGGCTTTGTCTTGATTCTTCGGGACGCGGACGATGCTGTCGTATTTTAGAGACGATGGGCGGTCTCACAGAACAAAGTCGTCCAGCTGGCTCTTCCGGAAGCCTGCAGGCGCTGCCAGTCAGGTACCCATCTGGCGTGCCTTTAGGGTTGATACCGACGCAGTCCTTGGCGTGACGCCCTTAACCAGAAGGGTGCTGGTGGCCGTGGTCCTTGGCCTCGGTTAGACCAAGACAGCCGGGAAGATGGCTAAAGGACAACCCCTAAGCCCAGTGCGAAGTACGGAGAACGGAGAACGGAGAATCGCCATGATTGCTAAGAGGAAAAGAGGAAAAGAGGAAACTTTGGCTGGGATGAGACCCGTTACAGTTAAACTATTAGGTGGGCGGACCCCTGGATGGGGGTGGTAGCTGAATGGCCCACCACGGCCAGCCTTGACACCCACTTTTTCCTCTTTTGGTCGCCCTGGGGGTCACCTGGGTGCACCTGGGCTCACTTTGGCGCACACCCTCCCACGCCCATCCATGCTGGTTTGGGGTCATGAAACGCCAGCAGCAACCGGGGACGACGAGATCCCAAGACAGGATCCTCTTGCCGTTCTGCTTTAACTTCGACTTGGGCTTTTGACTTGTGCGCTGTCAGTCAATTCTGTCAATTCTGTCAATCTGAGCTGCCACACCACCATCATCCGCACGAGGCCCTACTGGGGTAGTGGTACAAGTCCTCGTAGTGAGAGGTTGTTAGTAGTGGATGGGCTGTACGGAGTATGTACGATTTCGACTCGGACTACCATCCTCGCACCACAACAAGCGGACAGCCACACCCTCACCCTCACCCTCACCCTCACCACTGCCACTGCCACTGCCACTGCCACTGCCACTACTCTGTATAGACTCCCACTACCACTACCACTACCGCGCCTGTCCATCCACTCTTTTAGTGGCTGTTTGAACCACGAGTCCACGACACTTTCTGCAATGCAGCGGGTCGAAGCGACGCCAGAGTCGATCCTCTCTTCAGACCAGCTGTTCGCCCAATAACTCCTTGCTGCTGCTGCTACAGCTGCTACTGGCGAGAACAACCTTTCCTTCGCTCTCTCCCTTGCCACCACTTCTTACTGGTACTTCTCACTGCTGTCTGGCATCTGGCAGTTGCTCCATATCGCGAACCACGGTTTTCTTCCTGGAATCCGCTCTCACCACGGCCACCACTCCAGATTCCAGGAGGATCTCTTGCTCACTCAGATTCCTCCTTCTTCTTCCGCCCCTCGCCTGGCTCCCTAGTCTTCATCCAGTCTCACTGACTCTTCCTTGGCCACCGGTTGTCCTCGCGTCACCTGTCACTTCTTCTACCCAATTACTGTCATCAGCTTCCAGGTCATCCCATTCAAAGTCTGCCTCAGCAACAAACTACTTTGTTGTTGTATCTCGCCTTGAGAAGCATTCCTCTTGCGACCTATTAATATTAATTTGCGGCATCTCAATCAGGGACACTATCCGCAACCTTGTTCACCAACTCTCCACCAGAGCACGAAACTCTTTCTTCCGACTTTGTTGTTGTAGTTGTTGTTGTCAACCAGCCACGCCGTTGATCAATCAACAAAATCCGCTTGTCCTGCTTCTTCCCTGCTGATTGAATTTCGAAATCAATGCAATCGGACCCGGGCTCGATCAACAGGATGTTGATGTCGATCACACGCGTGGTATTTTGCTGATTCTTAGGCATCGCCATTGGCCCCTCTTCCAGGTATACTATAATTACCATGCCGTCCCCAAACCATCGCACACGAGCCTCCTTGGGCACACCGAGCACAAGCGCGGCCTTGCGACGTGGTGAAGTCAAGATCTCCGATCCCATTCCTTTCGACACAACTGACTACTATACCGCCTACAACACAGCCACTCCATCCAAGTACCCTTCTGGTCTGCGCGTAGATGACTCCACTTGGCCGCGCAAGAGCAGCCCCGGCACTGAGTTTCATTATCGACATGCTTCGACTGGCAATGTCCCCAGTCACACTGCTAGAGCTTCTGCGGGACCATCGCTGATGCCAAGCAGCATGTCGTCCATTCCGTCCAAAGCCTCTCTCAGCCAGAAGAAGCAGAGCGGCTTTCGAGCCGCTCTGAAACGTATGTTCTCGAGCAAGAAACATCGATCTGTTCCTGCCGATGTCTCTGACCCACGCTATTTCCGAAGCGAGACGGCTTATCTCAATCCTGTCATGGAACAGCGTACTGTCACTCGAGCTGAATCCATCCCCGCTTTACGATCACATGCGCATTCGACTGCTTTTGGACCAACCCATACCCACCAATACTCCGACACGGCTGGTGAGCACACCATAGAACCTCCTCCACGGCGCGGGCGCCGTAACACCTTACCCAGCTTGGTATTTAGTGACCGAGAGTCAGGACTCGTCCCTGCCATCAGTGAGTGGTCCGCTGGCGATTCTCAGCCGGACAAGAAATGGGTCAAGGAAGACTATGTCTCTGATGGTCAATTGAAACGTCGGTCTAGAAGTGCTGATGCTCTCAGTGAGCTATTACGACAGGGAGGAGTCGACCCGACTTCCAAAAGAGACCGCGCCAGCGAAATCGCGTATTGGCGAAACAGTGCCATCCAGAATCCGGTCCCAGTCTTTAGTGGTCAAACGATCAGTGTCGATCCTGTCCACGTACCACAAACCGTGGCTTCTATAGATGACTCTGAGCCCGCTTCATCAGTGGTCAACCCACTACAGACCTTTGATTTTGGTCTTGATGGCAGTGACAAGTACGAGACAACCATCGAGCAGCGAGTCAATACCCTGGAGATCAAGCTCTTTGATTTCGAATACGCCATAGCGAAACTGCAGGGCAACGAGTTACAAAAACCCATGCTCAATTCGAGATTTCAACGTGGCTCCATCCATAACATTTTCCCTGACGATACCACGCACCCCACATTAACGACAACCTCTTCTCAAGAATTCAACTTTTTGTCATCTCCTGCTACGACCACACATGATGTGACTTTTCTATCATCCCCTGGGGAGTCCCCGCCAGTCTCACCAGAGAATGATGAATTATTCAGACCGCAAAGAGCAAGTAAGGCAACAACCGCAACGATCAGGCCATATACAGCTCGAAGGCGGTCACCACGTTCCCCCTCCATTCATCTCTCGTCCGAACGATTCGAGACCATGATGGAATTGATTAGAGAAGAGCAGGCAGCGCGGCAAAGGCTAGAAGAGCAAATGATGGAATTACGCAGGGAAGTCGAAAGCCTTCGCACTCCGGTATTTGCCACTATCCATGACGCCTACCCCACTCCCAGTCCTGAATCTTCTCATACCACAGCACCACGATCGCTTCATCGGGCACCTGCATTCCAAAACACTGCGTCCAAAGAAATCTCCCGGTTCAGCGGTTCCGAGGTAGACTCAGATCCGGGAGAAATCGAAGGCTTTGAAGATGTGTATGAAACGCCTCTTGTTGAAAGCAGGAAAACATTCGAAACAGCTCGAGGGTCCCCAGGGCAGGTAACAGTATGAATGGATTGCGTTTTTCTTTGAAAGCTTTGATAGCCTTCATATGCGCCAAGTTTTGCATGTGAGCATGATGGTGCTTTTATGCCCGTTCGGTTTTGATTCGAATTCACACATCAAGAGTTCGACTCGTTGAAGGATTGACATTTTCTGGAGGTTCGCCAGAGCAGCATTGTAGCGTTCTGTCGGCTACCTCTGACCGTGCAATCGTTTTGCGTTGCATGTTTATTACCATTCTAAACAGCGTGGATGAGAGAGATACCCATATGAGGAGTGATGAAGAAGCTCTAGTAATCAGAGCCTGCCTGGGAGGCTATTTGTACAATACACGCTATACGGAGCCCTATATTGTTTGGAGAGACCGAGAAAAGACAACAATCGGAACCATGATCTACACGACGCTCTCGCGTGTTGTTTGACCAACCTCGTACGCGTAGTAAGATCTACAAGTAAGTATGTTACGTGTTACAGTGAATTGTAAACCCGATTTTCTCGCGAGCAATACTGTCCTCTTCTTGGAAGACTAAAGTAGAGACAAGTCAGGCACCCCAGAAATAACCCACCCTATTAATGAATGACCCACACGTCCTTCTTGGCTACTCCTTTCTTCTACACCCAACCTAAATTCGTGTAAACTATTTAGCGTACTATAGATATAAGGTGTCTTGAAAAGTATTATATCTAAAGAGCGAGCGATTAGGGAGCTTCTCAGGCATTATTAGTCCTTTCTTCTTGGTAAAGATAGGGTAGTGTGCTAGCCGCAGATCCTTCTCACCCAAGAACTTCTAATATTAACGTAACGCATCTATCGTTCAAGCCTTGCCCTATGCCTAACTAGATTTAAGTCATTTTCGATTGGTGGAAAGTTTATTGTAAAAGCTAGTTCATTAAGACCTATCGTCCTAGCGACATCGGAGTTGTAGAACTTGCTATATAAGGTATATATATAGGTGGTAGCAAAAGACTCGAATATAAAAAAGAAAAGAGAGGGGAAAAATGAATGCCTCCAACAAGAATTGAACTTGTGATCTTCGCATTGATGTAATGTGGAAGGAATAGCAAATTCTACCAATGGTACAAGTGCGACGCTGCGCGAAATTAGCCTAGAATGAGAAAAGACACCGTCCAACTTACCGTTACCACTACGCCATAGAGGCAAACTATACTCCGACAACTTGCATCGGGGTTGATGGGAGAATGTTGGTGGAAGTCCGGGATTCCAAATTCTGATGATAATTTTTGGAATTTGAAACTTCAACCACGCACGTGACTCCACTGCTACTGTCACTGACTTAGCTATCACGAGATTCCAAGACCCTGATCTGTATATATCCATGCCGATCAGTCCTTATCTCCTAACTACTAACTACAGGAAGCATACAAGGAGAGTGCTTCTCTCCTTTCTTCCCGACAGTCTTGGAAGTCTCTATGGTATCTACTGTAAAGGACGGCCTAACTGCCATCTATTAAAGTATCCTTAGTATAGACTGCACTTATCTATCAGTTCCACCCTAAGGCCCTTTGACACACCCACTCCTCCGCGAAAGGGATAGGGGCGACGGCCATAAATTCCAGCAAAGTATTTATTCCGCGGCTCTAGGACCGCCCTTGTAGCCGGAGATGACTCTGGAAGGGCCCGCAGAATCGCCGCAGATAGTCTCCACAAAATTAGAGATGAGCGAATACAGATAATCTGTTCAAGGAGGACATAACCGTGCTCTGCCAATTGCACCTCCACCGCCGTGGCTTTCTCCTTGACCTCCGCCTCGACGTTAAGTTGGTGTTTGATCTGCTCTGTGGCCGCCCGAGCTTCGTTTAAGGAGTCGTGGAGCCTGGGCAGGCAGATCTCTGACTGTTTCCGCCAGCCTTGTGAATATATGTGTCGACTCTCGATTGTGCTTCGGATCTCCAGGGACCATTCCCCGGTGGTCCAATGCCGGGGTAAATTACAGCTGGCGGCTGGCTTGGCTCTGGCTGCGGCCGGACGTGTGGACGGTGTTCTCGAGGGGAGGGGTCTGCTCTGCTGATTCTGGCGTCCATGATGTCGTGTAGTTGATCTTGTGAAAGGATCAGCTGCCTCGGCGGTTACACGATGGCGCAAGGAAGGAGGGGAGGAGTCATAGGTCTGAAATTCTCCCACGTCAATCAAGCGTGGGATTTCTTCTCGGTGGTGCGGCATGTTCTCACTGGCCGAGGTGGCTTACCGTCGTGAAGAGTTGCCGTTGACACGCGACGGAACAGTTCTTTTAGGCTGGGAGGATTGAATGGGATATCATCCATAGAATCGGTGGGGGGTCAGGCATCACCAATACTCGCATGAAGCTGAGCTGGGGTCGGGGTTCGATAGAGGTTCGGGTTTAATTGCCTCTGGATCGAGCTGGAGTATAGCTTCTTTGCCGTGATGCCTTGGTCGAGACTGTCATTATGAGACATCCTGTTGGGTCAAGTAAAGATAGGGCTCTCAAACATGTGGGAAAAGTTGTTTCTCAACAGAGGAAGGAGCGCCTAGTAAAATTCGATCGCTCCGTAGTTGGCAATAGATGACCCTACACTACCTGCCCTTGAGTGATTAGGGACGCGGTGCGCGGTCTGGTGCATCTTGCTCGACGACAGATTCAGGCCGGTCTATGTTATAGGCCAGCAAGGCACGCCGAAGCCGTCGATAAAGGCCAATTATGAGGGGCATTTTCGAATCTAAACATTATCAAGTACACGTTTTTCTTTGCTAAGCTTGCCCCGAATATGGTCGGCGTTACTTCTTGCAGTCCACTGGTCACGTGGCTATACAAATAGTACTTCACAGTCTCTCTATTTTGGTCTCTCAGAGAGAAAGACCAATCCGCGGACCTTGGACCATGCTCCATTCCTCCTCTATGCTGTGCTGTCACACTAAGTCTTATCACATCTATCAATTTGTGAATTTAGCATGAATACCCCTCGTGTCCCTTGCTACTGGCCTGGCTGCCAAAAATCGATGGTGCTGAATTACCTTGGAAGACATCTTGAACGGGAGCACAATATTATTGGCGGATTTGGCTGCCATCACTGTGGTTTCAAGGCAACTAGTGAAGAAGTTGTCCGTGTTCACATAATCCAACACCATGGATTACAGGAAGAGCCACGTCGAGCCGAGCGTGCGTTAGCCCTGTACTACCGAGAACGATTTCGACAAGATGATCCCTCTGTGCGAGACCTTCCTCTCAGCGCCTTTTGGAATCGTGGGCGTGAATCCTTTTCCAAAACTGACGGTCGCTGTCGCAGCTGCAACGATATCATCGAACCCTACACGAAGGCTTATCTCATGCGCCACATGGGCACGAAACATACTATTATCGTCGACTTGGACTTCACAAGAGTATGTAGCAGCCGTGCCGTTGATGAGCTTCCAACCGATATCGACAACCTTGTGTGGAATGATAATGAGTCTGAATTATCTGATTATAATGAACAAGAAGACTTCGGCCGCTTCTTTGACGAAGACGATGAGGATGGAAAGGAAAAAGGAACATGGAAAGACTCCCAGGAATCGATTGAAAATGGACAACATGAGGGGCCCGTTTCGTGCGGAGATCATAAAGGGACCCCCAAAGCCACATTGTCATCTACTCCAATGCGCGATCATGACGCAGAGCGCCTCCAATCGACCTTTATAAGCTGCATTCGAGATGAATCAGTCAAATATTTCGAGGAATCTTTTAAGGTGTACGAGACTAGAGCTTTCGCAGACAAGACATACCGCGTCAACAAAAATTTGCCTCCTAGGACGAAACTTGATTGCAAGGACATCGTTTCCGCCGTACTCATAGACGGTAACTGGAATTGCGAAGTCCCTCAGTGTGGTGCAGTCCTTGACGAAACGTTCGAGATTGACGTACATCTTCAAGCGCACAGTGCGATCTTTTGGACGAAGTGGTATTGCGGCGACATTAGCTGTTATACTGGCACTGAGAGAATCTTTGATGATTGTGGGAGCTTTGACTCGCACGTCGTTTCTGAGCATATGAGCTCGAACTATAGCGTCGCAGCCGGACGTCGTGTTCCTAAGCGCGAAGTCTTAGTAACCAGTCTCCTGAAGCATTTGAAACTTATCCGGATATTCAGCGATCGATCAAAGGACGAAGACAAGACCATGACAGTACCGATAACTTTCGTTGTTGACCAAGAACAAGAAAATACCAATTCGGAACCCAAAAACTATGGCCCATCACAAGCTGTCGAACAGGAATACCGTGCATGGTCCAAATTCGCTCTGCAGTTTGGAATGGACGAAGACCCTGGGTCGGATGATGAAATTCCGTTCCTCGAGCCCCATTACGACCGCCCGATATATTTTCTTCCCGAGGCGTCAAGAGATGCTCACCGTTCAATATACTTGGTTCAAACGTTAACATTTTGCACGAAAATGTATGAGGAAGACGCTTGGAATTTCATCAAGCTCTATCACAAACTATGCAGCCAATGTGAGACCAACAATGTGAGCGTACTCCGCAAAGCCCTCGGCTTGCCTCAGTATGATGTTTTACTGGATCCCGGTCAACCAAAATCCAAGGACCGGATTCTGTGGTGGCCTGGACAAGACGGCACTCAGGACGGCAACTGTAGCCTTGTCCATGTTTGGAGGTGCCCATGGCCAACGTGTGGGCACACGACCGCCTGGGAATACTACTTAGTTGTCCATTTCTTATCAACTCATCTAAATTGCCGCTGGAAATGCCCTGAACGAGGTTGCGAACATTGTTGTTATCGCAATCCTCATCAACTCGAGCAACACCGAATGAACTGCCATGTTGGAAGCCCACTTCAATGTGGCCACCAGGACTGCAGCGGAGTATTTGTCCGGGACTCCTGGAGAAGTAGAGGCTATATGAATTATGATAGTCTCCGGGCGCATTTGGAAATATACTTCAACCGGAACCTTGAGAACTCTCGAAATCCAGCTTCAGACTCAGGCTTGGGTTTAAATACGTCTGGTCAAGAGCATAAGCCTCAAAAAGCTCTTCCTACAAAAGCCGTCTATATGGGAAGCTATGCCAGGGGCAGTGCTTCTTACTTAAACAAGAGTCGTCGCATGTACCGTCGCGAACAGAATTTCACTATATTAACGAGATACAAAGTTCGACACGACAATATCGAAGTTCGAGGCAGCAAAGTTTGCACAGGTTTCTCTTTTGGTCATCGTCATTTCGCGTGCATCGACTCGGTTTCCTTGTCACTTGACACGGCGATGTTGATTTATGTTCCGTCACGTTTGCTGTTCACAGTAGCGCCTACATGCGATTACTGTATTCACCTCATGTCTTTAATCTCACGAGACCTTGCAAACCCGCCGCAACCATTTGTTTCACACCCAAAGACGGCAAACATGCGCACAAGCGAATAGGAATTGGGGCATCTATTAATGACCACATCTCGTTCCGACGAATTATTGAGAAATCTCGTCTGCAAATACCGCCTATGGCGAAGAAGTACGCAGAACTCAAGCAGTCGTGCCATGAGAAGATTTTCGTTGTCGATTTCGAGACAGTGCGGCGTTCAGTGAGGAATCTACCTTTAATTCCACTCGAGATCACTGCTCGTGATGGGAAAGGCCAAATCATTATTAGCTGTCTAATTAATGATGAAGGGGTTACAAATGCTCAATTTATGACTTAAGCTCGAGAAATTAGGGTATGATCGGAAGAGTATTCTAGCAGTTCGGAAATTTCGAGGTTGGTTTGGAGATGACTGCCCACCGAACGCAAAAACACCGAAGGAGATTGTGAGCAAACTACTCCAAGCAGGACTAAATCCCGATTGCCTATGGGTTGAATACTCGGCTATGCATTTTGATCGTAGATGCATGGAAATCTTAATTCGAGAAGCCGGCATGTCAGTTGAATCGACACTACCGCGTCTGGTAGACTGTTGGACAGTGTATCAAGACTTTGTACGCACTTTACCTGGTAAGTACGGAGGGATGCCACGTTATGCCACTCCTAATTCTAACAAAAAGCTACAGGACTTGAGTCATATCAGCTTGGCCGGATTCTTAGGTTGATGAACCCTGACAACCCGCATTTGAGAAACATCCATTTCTCGGTTGCGGACACTGCGATTCTCTACGACCTTTTGGAGCATTGGATTTTTGTATATGGACGAGCGGAGGAACTGGTCACTATCTCTGGAAAGCTTCGGCGTGGATAGGTTTTTCCTGACCGGAAGGAAGAACAGCAAAGGCCATGTGTGAGCAGGGGTGCAAGGAACGACAATGTGCCGGAATGCTGGGGAATTTCGTTAAAGTTGTCCTTGGAGAAGCTTAGTGACGGCTTAGGAAGCAAGTCGGGGTGGACACAGGTGGGCCGGGAGGGATTTAGGAGAAATAACGGAGCTGACTGACGAGAAAGGCCGTGACGCCAACGGTTCTGGGTGTCTTCTTGCCATGTTTCCTATGGTACACATCTTCTGCAACAACTGTACGTTGCCAACAGCCTAATACCTCCTTACGTGTGACCTCCCACAAGCAGATATGGTGATCTTCATAGTATTCTCGGGTTTTGTTGTAGGGGTCAAGGACATCATAGCATTTCATCTCATCACTGAGGGGTAGGACGGGTAGGCCGTTTCGAATTCGATTATTGGGATCGACAACGATTAGAGTGTGGGGTCCTCGATGCATTTGGCCTCTTAACTTGGCGAGGTCTTCAACTTTGGAAGGCGAGGTTGTGCAAGAGATGTAAGGTGTTTGATTCCAGACTATGTGATCAATGTGAACAGTCAACGATTCCTTCCGGGATTCGAACGCATAAGGTTGTTCACGCTTCGCTCTTGACCTCATACAACCGTCCTCACCAGGTTGGCTTCCTGAATTATGGTCCCAAAGCCTGAACAGCGGCTTATCAAAGATCTGGACCTTATGCGGCCACCATGGATGCTGCTGCTTTTCTGATTTGAATATGTTTGCTGATATAGGTTTGAGTAGGCCTCCAACCGGTGTCATGTTTGAGAAAGCCCTCGTCATCCATAGCTAGGACGGCATTTGACGGTGATCTCCAATCAGTGTATGGATCTTGACTGCGATGGCGATGGAGGTGGACACCCCCTCCGGAGAGGTGGGAAGAGGAACGTGGGGGCCGACGAATGCGGGTTATTGTACATGATCAGAGGATGCTCCAGGTTGGGCAGCGCTTGAAAAAAAGTGTTCGAGAACTCATTTACTAGGATCACTTCTTCAATTGTGCTCGTTCACCCTTTGACTTGCATATCTATCCTTAATTTGCAATGAACACAGTCTTCGCGACCAATGGCTACGGCGGTCCAGGTATTTATCTGCCAGTGTTATCCTGACTGCTATACAAGTCCTACTTCGCCGTCGTCGCTAGCGCAGGCACCTTCGAACATTGCTTTACGTTGATCATCTAGGAGTAGCGCCGATACAATTCTCCACATCAACCAAAATTGTTCCGGAGGCTTTTCTACTCGCCCACTTGGGACCGAAAAGACGACGCTTGTCTCAATAGGCCAGACCTCGAACCTTCAAGCGAAATTCTCGCTTATTATGTCCTAAAGCAAGGAAAGAAGCTGTTATAAGGAAAGCGGTTTGACAATTCACTGTATCCTGGAGCAAATATGAGCTTTGTTGCCGGTCTTGCTGTGGTTGGAGACTGACCTGCATGAGGCTCCAAACTTCCGCAAGGCTGAAACACAGGGGTTGCCAACCAGAAACTCTCCAAACTTGCCAAGAAATATAACGTCTCTGGAAATTGGAGAACTACTTCGTCAAGTTCCATGGAGGTGGCTTCGAGTTTCAATTTGCGGTTGACGTCCGCATTCATATCCATATCCACGCAATCAATGAAAAGCAGTCCAATGATGAGACTATCATAATCACGAGCTCACAGTATTATTGCTTTGTCCTTCTCAGATTTCTCCTCTGATAACGCCAACCTCCCCCACAAGATGTCTTCCTCTCTCACACGCCTGATCCCACCAACGCAAAGCCAAAGCAGTGCGGAGGCACTCCTGCTCACGCCGACGACACAACCCGTCCCGCTCCTGAGCTCGGCACGTGCGAAGCAATACAGCTACATCCATACCGCGCTGATACCCACATACTACTACCTCCGCGCGTCCGAGCTGGTAGAGGATCCTCTGCCCACACTGATCCAAGATCTCGTCTTCGTCGTGCTCGCGCAGGCGCTCTTTTGCGCCGTCTCGCTCCCCAGCGCGGGGAGCTGGGACAGCGGTACAAATGGGGGGAAGATCATCGAGGGCACCGCCACGATTAAAAATCCTAAGAGCTCCAAGAGTGCAGGTGCGAGCTCGGCGGCGGGGAATTTGAGGAAGAGGACGGCTCCTGTCGGAACTAAGGGTTCCGTCAAGACGAGTGCTTCTGCTACTGCGGGTGAGAGTCTCGGCGAGAGAGTCATGGTGAGTTTGCCTTTTTCTTCTTTGGATGCTCTGTCTCGCCTGTGGTCTTATTGGCAGACACCCTGTTCCTATCTCCATGTAGGGAAAACAGAAGAGCGCTAATGTGTTTCTCTCTAACCGAAATCCAGCCTACGTTATTTTCCTCAATCCTATCGCTTATCGTCCCAACAATCCCGCTCACCATTATCGCACTCGTCCTCGGAGCACCTCTGTACCCGACTTCTCTGCTCCCTCACACCCTCCTCCTCTCCCTACACGTCTCCGTGCTAGCCTTCCTGCCCATCTTCTACACGCACGGCGTCTCCTCGGCAGCTTGGTGTGACGTGGCTGCGGCATGGCTGCCATTCGACGAAGCAGGCGTGTGGGCTGCAACAGTTGGGGCCATGGTCGGCGGGTGGTTCGGAGCGGTCCCCATCGCCCTGGATTGGGACCGTGAATGGCAAAAGTGGCCGTGTACCGTCGTCTGGGGTATTGTGCTGGGCTGGACCCTTGGCAGACTGCTTACCACCGTTGCAGGCGTTGGCGTGGGGAACAGAATCAATCTGAGCGAGAAAGAAGAAGAATCCCGCCAGCGATTGAGACCGGAGTTTGTCCTTACAGGGAAAAGTCGCTGACGGAAAGGGCTGACCTTTAAAACCAGTAGACTGGGCTGGGGTTATCCTCTCGCCCGTCGCTTAGAACATAATTAACGACCAATCCAAACTTGGACAAAACCAGGCCTTCCCCTGGTTTCCGCTCTTCCCCCAAAGGCAAACAGAATGAGCCTAGACTCGTTTTTCAACACCCAGCGTGAGTCGAGTAGAGTCGAGACCGCTCACAAATCAAGACGAGACGAGATGGCCGGGCAAGCATCTCGGAAATCTTTCAATCTCGTTCGCCGTCAATCTATGATACTCCTAGGCCTGGCACTTAATCATGACCGCTAATTACCTTCCAAAGGTTGGCGCTTTACTCAGGTACACGTATCATGTAACCTGACTCAACTTCGGCTCAGCCTCACGCTCAGCCCATTTTCACACTGCTCAGGCTGACCTTCCCTCTACTCAATTCCTCATTCTTTCTCATTACCTAGACTCGGGCTTATCATTGATAACCATATCCGGATGATGGTTGAACGCGAGGCAAGTATGGTTTGGAAACAAGATAGATGAACAACTATGATGTGGACATGAATGTCGACTGAAAGCTATCAAACTAATGACACCAACGAGCTGGCCTTCACCGAATCGAGCAAGAGAGCCCCCCGACCGATCCTCGTCTGCTGACCAAAAAAGGACGAACTTGAGAAGCCAACTGAATAGCATTGAGCACTTGCTCCAGGGCTGCCAAGTACCATTGTACGAGTAATTTTCCTCAAATTGCCAGACATGGCCAGCACCGGCACCGGCACCGCGGACTCTCCGGGCTTCGGTATCGGCGCATCTAGCGGGGGTTGAACGCGTTATACTTCTTCCTCGATTCCAAACGACCTTGTTCTGTACCGACTTCTGACCGCCATTCGATGCTTACCCAACACTGTACCCATCCTTCCTTCCACAGTAGGCAAGCCTGGAGACGTCATGTCAAATGCTGGTGCGAAGACCACTAAATCGGGACTTCCGAACGGGAAAAAGGGCCGTCCGGTCTCATGCTATTTCTGCCGTCTGCGAAAACTCAGATGCAGTCGAGGGCTTCCTTGTTCGAATTGCGTCACTCGTGGTGTCAAGTGCTCTTTGTTGGACACTGACGACGAAAATTCCGCCCGGATTTCAGTATCCCCCGCGACGACGCAGTCATCCCCCTTCGTCGAGATCAGAAGTGCGGATGCCTCACTATTTTCACACATATTTAAACGTCTAAACAGACTAGAAAATTTGGTGTCTATCCAAACTGCTCTCTTACAGAATGCTGGACCCAGCCGTGTACATCGACACAATCGTGACATGCAACCAAACAGATCCCCTTCTCCTGCCAACCCTGTACCACAGCCGCAACCATCCAAAGACCATCATCTCACCGCAGACGTGAGGGAATTAGAGAAAGTCTCCACAAGTCATCCTTCAAATGTAAGTGCCTAACTCATCATCCCCCAGGTAAGAAACACAATGATTCACTAATTTGACATGACCAGCATTCCGGCTTAGTAAGGCACATTGTCTTTCGTGTCAGGACACTCCAACCCTGTAGCAGGGTAAAGGCTCTAGCAAACGGTCCCCATGATCCTGTCGGTCAGAACAGCGACCGACTTGTTTCGTACATTTGGCTACCTCCCCGAGGCGAAGCAGAATATCTCGTGGAGCGGTACCTCGATGGAGTCAGCTTTATTCACCATGTGGTCCACCCTCCCAGAATCCGCGAAGCAGTGGTAAAGCTGTACAGCGACCTGGATAGCGAGGGCCAAGCCGATCTCGGAACAGTAACCCTTCTTCTGAGTTTGCTTGCCAGTGTCACATATCTCTTGGGGCCTGAAGAATGTGACATTGATCAACCCCCGACTTTGGCCGGAGCAAGTGAGGAATCTCTGTCCTGGATTCGGATCACTTTGGACGTACTGGAATACTCACAACGTAGCAACCTTGGCTCAATTGAGAGTCTTCAGGCAATGATCATCGTGTCTTTTCTCATCGGCAACATTGAAGGAGCCTCCCAGCGCTTTAGATCCATGATAGCCGTGGCGTCGACTCTAGCTCGAGAACTAGGACTACATCGGATTGACCAGGGGAAGAACTATTGGACGACCGAGTCTCCAATTCGTGGTATGGTCGATGCGGAGGTTGGCCGCCGTCTATGGTGGTATCTTGCGGCGACTGACTGGTATGAAGACCCTCTGACAGTACGCGTCAAGACGGCTAAATTAGTTTATAGGCTCCTGACTCGATATTCGGGGCCAGCTGCGGGTGCTTATACTGTCCACGTCAGCCATATGGCAGTCAAGAAGCCCCAAAATATCGACGACCACGACCTGCTTGACGATCAGATAGTCAGGGATAAGCCAAGCTCGGTGCCCAGCGTTATGTCGTACTCCCTCCAACGTATTCGGTTGGCTGAAATATGTCGTAATGCTGTAGACCACGCCTCACTTTGGTCACCGGAGCTCCGTGGTGCAAATTACAGCAACATTGTCTTCATAGACACTGAGCTTACCGTCTTCAGCAATGCTCTGCCGTGGTTTTTCGCCATCGATGATGAGGGGTCGGGGAGGCTCTCTCAGCTAGACTTCCAGCAACAGACAACGATCAAAGTGCAGCGCTATCTCATCAACACCACTCTGCATACTCAGCGGTGTATACTGCATTTGCCATACTTTGCACAAAGTCTGGAAACAAATGTGTACGCATACTCCCGGGAAGTTTGCCTTGACGCAGCAAGGTCAGTCGTACAGGCTGAGTTACTCATCGAAAGAGACATGCTGCCCTTCACCAATCTGCGCCTGAAGCTATCCGCTTCGTTGTATGGGCTGTTTATCGCCAATATCATATTCTTCCTCGAAGCCTGCCTTCACAAGGCTTCAGGATGGCCTTGTGCTCTGCGCTCGACAGCGATAGAGGCCTTCCGTCTCTTGATGCAGGCCAGAGGTAGCTCTCCCATGGCAGCCAGGCTTTGGGAAACCATGACTCACATTTCGGAGAAGAACAAAGTCTCGCTGCCTCTCTCACAAGCTCCAAATTCATTGATGGAGTACGCATCGAATTTGGTGACTGACGACTCAGAAGATACGAGCCCTTCTCGTGGCGCTATTGGAGCTCAGCAACAAAATCAGCTTGTTTCCGACGATTGGGGCGATATTAATTTGTCATGCGATGGCCAGGACACATTTGATCCGCTGGGCTGGGCAGCATCCATTGGGTTAGTTGAAGAATAGCAGCACTTGTGAAAGAGAGTGCATTGTTGCCCTGGCCACGCCGCCTGCATGTACTAGCAGCCCCCTGGAGAAGTGCAAGCTCCTGGATTGACAGACAATTGTTTCTCGGCAATCCCGAAACGAAGCCTGTGCTTGCTATACTTTCAGGTCATACCTGACTACATGCTTCAATGCTTCAGCCGGCGGGCTGATATATCATTTGAGTGTGGTAGTTTCTGTCCACCCCGCTCTAGTACGCCATGGCTAACAGTAGCAGTGTTTCACTCGACGAGCTTGGAAGTTATGCAATACTGTCAGTTGTCCTTTCTCTCCATGGATCTTTCGTTTGAGGGTTGAATAATCGGCGAAATTATCCGCCGGTGTGGAGCAGATCATCTCTCGCCGCAGCTCCTGATGGATTGATGATGTTAAGGATATGCTCCTCGGAGAGACCATTGCTAGATGCTTGTCAAACGCACAGATATATCATAGACTGCGCCAACATCAACTCCTGGGGTTGCCTTTCATCTCATTGTTGCCGCTGTCTTGTCCAGGTTAGATAGCCTCACAACTTTCTACCATGTCAAACATATCTTGTCAAGTTTCGACGAAAGGTTGAGCCCTGCGATGCACTAGGAAGATAGCGTGAGCGTCGCTCCGACTGGAATAGCAGAAATAACACAGCGTCTGACTGCATCACAAGGGCTTCAAAGCAGCGACATACTGGAAAAGGTTGACGATGTCGGAGCGGTTGGGGGCTTCAGGTGATATCCATGCTGTTCATGGCACTGATGGCCACACCATCGTCGACTGGGAAGGACCACGAGTTTCAGAAAATCATTTGCATTGGCCCTATGACAGGAAAGTTTATCATCATTGGAAACATATCCTTTATAACATTTCTACCGTAATATATTTATCCGTGGAATTGCCATATCACTAGGCAGGTAGAGTGGATCTCTCTTGGCGTTCCACCTTACGCGTAAACAGCTCCCTCATGCCACTTCTGTCGATGCGGCGTGTGATGTACTGTCAGGGGTTACAATTCGCGGGACAACTCCAGAGCACGGGAAAGGTACAAACAGCCATGTTTTGGTCCTCATCTTGTGATTGGTTACATTGTATGTATGTAACGTATAAAGGAGTGAGGGTCAGTGGCCGTCATGGTCACTGTATAGAAAAGGAGATGAGGACAAAAACCCGAATTACATCCGAAGACCAGAAGTGAACACCCTACCGAGTCAAGAGCACAACTCTTATCCCAATACTACGTACGGCTCAGCACCGCTTGGTCCTCCGTCGCTGCTTCAGTCGTTGAGGCACTTTCAAGGGATGGCCAGGCCGGTGATGTCGTCCTTAGCGACCCTGCGAGCTTGAGCAACTGGAGTAACTACCTCGCCAGTTCTTGAAAACCCAGTTTGGGCGAACATGTGGGCCTCCGCCTGTGTATGTTGCTGGAGGGGCAGCGGAGCCGGTCGCGGTCGTTGGGCCGGGAGTTGGCACACTGCCAGTAGTCGAGGGGCTGGTGGTCCCAGAGCTTGACGTAGAGGATCGTGTACCAGTCGTGGGCGCAGAGCTGATGGTTATTGAAGACTGGGGCGGAGCAGTGGTAGTCGTTGCTGCCGTAGTCGTCGTCGTCGTCGTTGCTGGTAGTGGTGGCGCCGTCGTTGTTGTAGCTCCCCCGGAGCCGAGATCGATGGGTGCTCCATTCAAGGAGCACAAATCCATGATGATCCTGTATGCTTCTATGGTGCTCCGTTAGTTTATGTATCTGCAAGCGTCCCAGAGCGGCTTCTGGCACGGATGCGGATGCGTCTGCATCATTGAGAACCAGTGGAAATGCCTGGCCCTCCAGCGTATAGTATAACCTTACCCGTTGCGTCTGCAGCGCTGCAGCCAGCTGACACCTCGGAGGTAATAGTGTTGACGAATGCGCCAGCGGAGCAGAAGCATGCCACGTCTGTTGTAGTGCAACCGGTTGCAGCAACGGCGTTGGTGAGCGGAGTGAACTAGATACGCCGCAGTGTCAGCGCCTCCGTCTATCATCGCTTGATATGGGCTCAGGGCTCTGGGAGAGGGGACCACGGGTGACATACAGCGCAGCTAGGCATGCTCGTGAAATCAGGAGGGAACACCTGGCCATGGACCCCGAAGGCCAAACCCAGAGCAATAGTACCGATGGCGAGAGACTTCATCTTGGTCGATGTGGTGTTGACGTGGTAGATGTAGTGTTGAAACGAATGTCTGCGGAAGTATTGCTGTATGAAGTATCATAGATTCAGTCCTTCCTTTTTATACACTCTCCCAAGGTCGTCGACGCCGATGATCGGAAATTGACAATCAATGTCTTAACCAGTATTTCGCAAAGATTGCAGGAATGGCCTAATTGACTGTGGCTTCTCTCCGATCTCCATTGTCCCATTTTCGGCATGCACCTGCAATAGTCCCTGCACTGAACTGGCTTGGCCGAGTGGATTCTCTTTCATACCGACAAGGCTGGATGAGAGCACTTTATCAGGCAGATGATAGCCCCTTGGAGAAGATAGCCACATAATCATCATCATAGAGATGTTGCATCCCCCGTTATCCAAGTCACTCTTGAAAACACTTTCGAGATGGACGATACCCCCTTAGATCCATGATAGACCATTTTAGATCAGGACTGTTTTCTATCTCTAGTTGCAATACACATGAGCACAATAGATAGAGCCCTGCAATAAAATGGTACGTACTACGTCGTGCTGGAAGGTCATCGTACTGAGGGCAATCGCGTCTCCACTTTTCTTAACATCTTGAACTTCAACACTAGAAATCGGAATCAGAACCTCCGTGGAAATTCCGCCTTGGATTTATCTCAGCGTCCAACCACTGGCAATCTGAGAAGACCGTTGACCCGCTGCCTCTGTGAACGAGGCAGAATGGCTGCTTCTTTTGAGAGCGAGATCGGACGTCCTTGCCGTAGGACTGGTGACTGATCCCACCGCTGCCTCAGCACCTTGAGAGACGGCTATAACAAGGTCGGTTAGATTTGCAATCTGGCAAGGCATGCAAGCAATCTGTGATCCTGGATCACCTCTGCAACCGATTTCGGTCTCGAAATTTCTTTGGATATCTCGGTGACAGTTTCCGTAGCAATTAAAATGCGCACCCAGCTGGTCCGCATATACCCTAGCGAGGATGATGGTGATCACACCGGCTCTAAGTGTATAGAACAGATAAGCCGCCGTAGCATCCATCTCTTGCGCAAGGACAATCTGAACTTCGACGATGAATATCCTCGGTTTCTTCGAAGATTGCAGCTCGCATGGTCAGATAGCTGGAAGCCAACGCCTACCTCCAACTTCAACGGTGGCCTCTGTAACAGTATCCGATGTGACTGGAGAACCCGCTGAGGTGACAAGTGTGCAAGAAAATGGGAAGCAGTCACGGAACTTGGAACTTGATTCTGCGAATCAAGAGGACCGCAATAGGCCCCAACGTGGCGTTCAACTTGCCCAGGCAGCAACGCAAGTTTGGACAACGAAACAGCTGGTGCTGCTATACATTCTGTATGTCCCACCCTTCTTCCCTCACATTCCAGGAGATGGTTTACTGATCCATCAGTACAGTATTTGGCTCGTGCAATTTGTGGAACTCTTTGCGAATGGGGTTGTCTCGACTCTTAGTCCCTATGTTACAAGCAGCTTTGCATCTCACTCGTTGCTTGCGACCTCACAGATTGTCGCTTCACTCTGCTCTGGCCTAATTCAGCTCCCATATGCAAAGTTGATGGATATCTGGGGGCGTCCCAAGAGCCTTGTCCTGATGGTGGCGTGCCAGACAATCGGCTTTATAATGTTGGCAGGCTGTAACGACGTAAGGACTTACTGTGCTGCTCGCGTTTTCTTCCAGTGTGGATACAGAGGAATCATCTTAACAGTGCTCATTATCATTGCCGACACGTCCACTCTCCGACACCGAGCGCTCTGGATTGCTCTTTCATCCACTCCCACTCTTGCCACAAGCTGGTTATTTGGGCCTGCAACAGACTCAATCGGCAGGGGTATCGGATGGAGATGGGGCATGGGAGTCTTCGCCATTGTCGTCCCGGTGGTTTGTTGCCCACTGTCTGGCTTCCTCTATTACTACCAACGCAAAGCTCAGAAAATGCAACTCACTCCAACTCCGGAAAGCCACCGCTCCAGGACAGAGACCTTCCTCTTCTACGTGAGAGAGTTCGATCTTGTGGGTCTGTTCATCCTTGCCCTTGGCTTGGCGCTATTTCTGCTTAGCCTCAGCCTCTACAGCTTCCAGCCTCAGGGATGGCGATCGCCCGTGATCATCTGCTTTATCATCTTCGGTGGACTGCTAATCGTCGCCTTCGTACTTTACGAGAGGTTTTGGGCTAGCAGCACCTTCATGCCTTGGGCACTCATCAAGAATCGGACTGTTTTCTTCACCTACACCATGGACTGCCTCCTAGTCGCCGCCTTTTCCATCTGGGCGACGTATTTCTTGTCCATGCTTGTCTTGGTTTGGCAGCAGAGCATCACTCATTCAACGTACATTTTGAACATCCACGCCGTGGGCGCAACATTATCTGGGTTATTCGTCGGCATAGCGGTTCTTCTCGGTATGCGGCTCAAGTATCTAGCTGGGTTCATTGCAATCCCACTTCTCTTCCTCGGGGCTGGGCTTCTATATCGCTTCTGTCTCCCGTGGACCAGCATGGGAACTCTCATCATGACCCAAATCCTCCTTGCCGGGGGCATGGGATCGCTTATCATAACCGTGCAACTCACCGTGATGGCAGTCGCAGGTCAGGAACAGATTCCAGCGTTGATTGCTACGGAGACATTGATGGCTGACATCGGTGCCGCCTTTGGTTCTGCAGTTTCCGGGGCTATTTGGGCAGATGTTTTGCCCAGGAAGCTTGCCGAGTTTCTCCCTCCTGAAGACGTTCATTTGGTACCAGAGATCTTCGGCAGCTTATTCGTGCAGCTCTCATACGCCCCTGGAAGCGTCATCAGAGATGCCATCAATATGGCGTACAGCGCATCCTTGAGGTACATGCTCATCACAGCTCTCTGTTTGTATGCAGGTTGTGCGTTCTGCGTTCTTTGCTGGAAGAACGTCGAGCTGGGGAAAAGAGGAAGTGAGAAAGGCCGGCTGTAGCCAGTATTGAGCTGACAAGGTAAACCTCAAGGCTCATCCGTGCAGACAGGAACAAGATTCAGACTGGGCCTTGTCTGCTTAGTATCTTGCGGGTCTTGTGGGCCCGAAGAAGCTGGGTGTGGCAAATTGAGACATGTATCCTGATTAGCTTGATATTTTATTCCTCGTCACGGGTGGCGCCAGTCGATGAGGAGATTGGATCGGCATCCGGGAGACTGAATGGCATATATCGCCCGGGGTTACTTGAGGTCAATCTGGCACAGCTCTGTAATGCCAAAGATTTCTGCCACAATTTATGTCGAGGGCCAGGATATCATAGACTTACGCACGAGCTGCCGGCTAAACGGGATACATGTCCTTTCCTACAGGATGCAGTCATTCTGGTAATGTTAAGTGAGGACATCTGTGAAAGGAAGCCAATGCTCTAGAGTAGCTGTTACATTCTGATCTAGGTCAATCTCTATGGATTGTTTCACTGAGCGAAAACCCTTGGCATGTTTCTCGTCAGAACAACGCTGCTGACTTCTGAGATATCAGAATTGGGCTTGTTGAGGCCCCATCAAAGGTCGATATGTGGCCCGTATTACTCTCCTGTAGCTTCGCAACCCCCCCAAGACGGGACGAGACCGACGGTTGTCAATTTGATAACTCGAGATCAACGGAAGAGTGTTGGAGCCATTAGCTAGATCCACTGGATCGACATCACAGGATCGTTGATGCATCTGTCCCTTAGCATCGCTCTTCTGGGGTTTAAGGAGTACTGCAGTAGTTGGCTACAGAACGGATTTGCCATTGACTCGATGAGCCCGTTAAACGAGCTTGATGACAGACAAGTGAGGGCATTCAGGGACCGAACATCCACGGACGAACTTGTTGGATGAGCGACATCGGTGTAGAGTCCTTGGTCAAGGCTAAGTGACCACATCAGAGCCGGGGCGTAGAAAAGGTGCAGACGTGTACTCCGGCTCTAGAGGAAATCCCGCGGACAATCTGCCGAGGAACTCTTTCTATTTATGAGGCACTTTGCACATCCATGATGTTCCGTGGTTTGGCATCCAGGTAAGAGATTTCGAGCCACTCCCCCTTATGTTACGCTTCAGGGCCACCAAGCCTACCTCAGGGCTACGCAGCCACATCTCAATAAAATACTCAGGGTCAAATGGCGGGTACCAAGTCTGAAAACAAAAATGGACTTTGGAGAGGTCAAAATTTCACCGCCAAGTTAATCGGGATTGGAAGCGTTGTTTTCATATTTTTGGCATCTATGTATATCGAAAAGGGCACTCGCGATCTATCTGTCGGAGGCGATTTATTGGGAGCAAGCTGTGTACCTGGCACTCTCCTTTGTTTGGAAAGGAGAGTATTGGGTATCAAAAATGCTCATGTAGCAACACTTCCTCTTCTTCTTTCTCTTCCGGCTCTCCTTTGATCTTCTTTTAGCTCCACTGGCACCAGTCCAATAAGTCGTGGGCTTTCATCGAATCCAATGTTCTGCCTTTCATCTCTGTTCTCCTTCTCCGCCTCCTCTCCATTCGATCAAACAAAAGGCATGTGTATTCTTGTACACTTGGTTGCGAAACTAGATCAAGATAATATGAAAAAGATCGATTTTGGTCATGACATTGCAAGATCTAACCTGTCGAGATCAATTGCAGAAAAAAGAGGTACTTATTCATATCGACGACCGCTTATCCAAAGTCAGGTCGGATGATAAGTAGCAGCAAAAGGGGCTCGTTCTTTTGTGAGCCTGTGTCTTCAAGATTTGCTATTGCCCAAAACTCCGTCGCCATGCAGGAAAGTAAAAGCACTAGTCGAAAGGGGAAAAATGACATTGGCAAGGTAGAAACCAATATCTTAAGGCCCGTCATGGAGGCTGAAATGTGGTCGTCATCAATCACAATGGAATGTTGTTCATCAAGCACCTATGGTAATGCGGTGGTCTTCAACTCTTCTCTCAATTCTCGTGATCAGGCCGTTTCAATTCTGTGGATGTCATAATCCAATCGTGGACACTTCTCTCCTCGATCACCTATGCAGCTTGTACAGGGGTTCTACCCAACCGATAATTGCTTGCAGCAGAGTTGAAGATGCGATTCATCACCCCACCGAATCCAGTCTCTGACTTGACCTTCTTGGAAGGCTGTTGGCTTTCGCCGGAGAAGCTGGTCTGGTGGCCTTTCAGACTAGGTCGGCCACCGATTGCTGTGCCATAAGCGCTGTGGTAAGAAGCATCGGGACTCTGCGTCAAGTCAACCACCACGATACTGTCATCGATATTTGATGAAGCAGTGTAGGGGGTGCCGCGGGATGTGGGAGCCAGTGAGGAAGACCTAGATCTTAACGAAGGTGCCATTGATGAAGACCGTGAACTAGAATGGCTGTGCATGGTACCAGGCCTGCTGGAAACTAGAGGAGGAAGATCGCGAAGGGAAGGTGGTGACATTGATCGGTTGCTGATGTGGTGGCGGAAAGGTGATGGGAATCGCTTGTGGCTGGGAGCTGGAAGTGAGAGTGAACTGTTGTTGGATCGGTGGCGCGGATACCGTCCTCCAGCGAGCTCTTCATCAACGTAAGCGCTGGGGGAATCATAAACGCCCGCTGCTCTTGGAGGTGGAGTGGCCAGGACTGGTAGCTCATTGTCCCTGACTTGGCGAGATGGAGGTAGTGGAAGGCCAACCGCGGAGTCATATGACGTCTGATGGGAATGCCAGTGTCGGTGGCTGCTGATGAGCTCTGCTTCCTCGTGCTGTAGTTCGATTTGGAAGCGGATTGGAGCGAGGAAGGGCTCGAAATGCTCAAAGAGATCCTGCTCGGACACTCGGGTTTCAAACTCAAGCAGATACAGCAGTTGTCTCTCCATCAGGTTCACCTCAGCCAAGCCAAATCCGAAACCCTCGAAACCCTTGACGGTAGTATATCTGGCCCAGTGCTTGTTCTTGGGGCTGGAATCATTCAGGTTCTTGGCGGCGAGAATCAAAGCGGCGAGGAAGATCCGGTGAACGGTGCATCGCATGCCCTTGGCCACAGGAGGTAGCCTCGACCTTAGTCGTGCAAGGTAGACTAGAGAGGTCATGAGGGTAGGGACTTGGACGGAGGATCTGTTGACGAGGGAAGTGATGAATTGCTCCAGGGAGGGTAGGGGCGGTTGAGGTGTCTCCAAAGCATGTTGCGGAGGGGTCGAAGGGGGAGTAGGCAAGCTCTCTGCTGCTGAGTTGGACTCTTGGTCACATCGAATGACCAGTGATGCTTGCTTGGCCAGATGTTGGATCATATAATTCCTCACTGGTTGGCGGACAAACTCTTCTAGAGCTGCCCGGTTTTGGGCTGTTGTATAGCGGGCATTCATATTGACTTGCCTGGGGGCAGAAAGACAAGGACGGGATGCCTTGAGGGTGAGTATAAAGAGACGAGGAAGTGAGATCGGAACTGAGGCAGTTCCAGGAGTATAAGGACCTTTCCTGAGGCCTTGCCGAGTTCGTTGTAAGAGAGTGACAGGATACTGCGACAGATGTTGACAGGTGCAGGAGGCTGGTAGGGTAGATGGAGTATTAATTGAGCAAAGATCTGTGTCGAACCTGGCCTGCAGGGGAAAAGGTCAGAGCTCTCGAGGATATTGAATACTAGTCGCTCGGAGGAGGAGGTCGAGATGCTGGGGACGGATACTCGTAGCGAAGTCGAGTAGTGCTAGCACGGTCCAGGGTGTGTGCCTCCTGTGTTTGAGAGAGAGTCTTGAATACTCCTGAACAGTGCGCAAGAGTGATGTAGCAACTGCGGTGGGGTGGAGACGGGAGGATGCTAGTGGATAGGCGATCGATAAGCTCCAGGTACGGATGGCGGGATGGCTTGAGGTTTAACCGTTAGGGTTTCCTGTCGAACGCGACTGTTCTCGGAGCAGCGAGCTTCCTTGACTGGTGAGGGAGGCCAGGGGTTGGAGGCGAGACACTGTCTGTGAGACTGTGACTAGAGGGGCACCAAGAGCCTGGAAGGGACCGAAGGCACTGCGAGGGCAGCGCGACGTGGGAGGTGGGACGTGGGTAGGTTATAGTGGGGAGACCGGCCCCGGAAAGGGAAAAAGGACTGAACGGTGACAGGGGGCGTCGGGTGAAGGCTAAGCGGCTCCTTAGTGTGATGTCGGAGCTCGACTCTCAGACACAGACTGGAGAGTGAGGTGGTGCTCGTAGTAGTAGAGAGAACTGAGGGTGATGATGAGGAAGAAAGAAGATGGCCAGGCAGAAGTGAAGGAAGGAAGGGTGAATCAAATATGGATTTATGAATCTGGGTGCCGCATTGGATTGCCTTCTGCTCGGGCGCTTGTTTCTGGTGGATTGGATGATGTTGAATGAGAAGGGCGAGATATGTAGACCAGCAACTGGCCGTGGATGGCCGATGAGGGTTTTCAGGCAGATGCAACTTGCAGAAAGTGGGTGTCAAATGGCCTGTTTCGCGTGGTGTTGGCGGCTGGCAAAGAGGGTGTATCGATTGGGCAGCTGGACTGAGGGCGAGGGGGAATGGGGGATGGAATGGCATGGCATGGGCACATGGGCACGGGGGACAGGGGACGGAGTACGGAGTACCAAGGACAGTACAGCTTACGAGTGCTCGTACAAGTAGCTTCACCCTGCGCTTTGCATACCTTCAGCGGCCATTCCTCCCCTACAGGCTACCTAAAGGCTACCAGTGCCTACAGGCTACCAGATACAATGGTGCCCTTGCAGGCGGACAGATGCGCGCGTCGCGCTGAGTGGACACCATTCCCCCCCATTGCACCTGTCCACCTGTCCACCCGTCCACCCTGACCTTCACATGCAAGTCGTCGGTTCAGTTATGGGCACGGGAAGGGCGAGCAGCAGACAACGACCAGCTGCCATGGTCACCGGCGCGTCCTTCGTACAGGGTCTTCTCGCCCCTAACGTGACCAAGCTACACCTAATTGAACCCACCCTAGACCGAACTTGGCCGTTTACGACTCAGTCTTGGGCACTGAAGGCGTCGAGTCCTGGGAGGGTTAGTAACTACCTTGAACTAACGCTGGACCTCCCAGCTAAACGCCTCCCCCCAAGCCCCCAAAAGCCAAGGCGCCTGTCCTTTGGTGTGCATGTTCTTCCTCTCCTCTGGCTGTCGAGAGGCGAGACACACGCCCGACACGCCTGACACACGTCGGCGATATCTGAGGCACCAACTGACACTCGTTCTGACTGGGCTCCAGGGCCGCCGACGCGCTTCAGGGGTGTCAGACTGGCTGCCTCTCGCTTAATTCTTCTATTGGCCAGCACTGCTTGAATTCAAGGACTGGTGAAACACCTCCAGAATCAGGATCTTGACTCTACACAACCGAGCGAGACCCTCTCTCCCCTGCGACCTGGGTCCCGGCTCCTGAGTCCTGACGCGCCCTTTGCTCCTTGATGGCAAAAACTCAGTCGAAGCCACAGAAATGCTCTTTCAACACGCTCTTGTTTCAGTCGCGCCTCTTCATTCGGCTCCTTATCCAAGACCGGCCATTCCAACGGACTCTCCCAGGGCTATTACACAGCAATCACCCTGAAGGAATGCATACAAACCCACTAATTACTGGCTCCGTACGGAGTACCTGACTCTTAGCCCGAGTCCCCCTTCTACCAGGCTACCACAGATCGAGCCTCTCGACAAGCACAGCCACGGCTAGATCCATCCAACCATCTGGATCTTGTCTTCCCCACGAGTCGCTCGTGCTCCTTCTTGTTGCTTTTCTCGATTCTGGTCGTTGGTTCTGGCCAGTCTCCCCCTGGCCAGTCAAATGAATTCCGTCCTCCAGACTGGCACCATTCTCCTAATCTATCAGATCGTCCAATTGCCTGCCTCCACAAATTCAACTGGTCTGCTGCAAAGTATGTTCCATACCCATGGTTCATGCAAGGTCTTGAATCAACCATCATACTTCTCGAGCTTGGAGCGTTCACGTGCCTGTGCAAGCTCGTACCCCGTGCCTCGTAGTCAGGCCTCGAAGATATTTTGTGTGATCCCTGTCCAATGCCACATTCAACGGACATCATTTTCCTCTAGACCAGGTCCCGATGCACATCCCTCTACCTCGTACCCCGTCCGATCGGCACTACAGGATTCCAGTAGGGTTGGCATTATTTGACCAGAGATCTTTTCACATCCGACCTCAGGAAGTCTCCTCAGCTTCGATGGATTCACGGATCACGGACGCTCCGTGCTCGAAAATCAAGGCAATCATGACTTGCAGGTGAGGCGCCAGCTCGTTGGGTAGAACGGCCACCCAACCCAATAATTATGCTACCAATCATGGTGAAGGCACAGCCCAAGCCTTGACTGGATCGCTTTGTTCGCCCAGACTCGCCCTGTGCTGTGCAGCTGTGCACGGACAGCACGATGGTCGTGGCGGTGCGCCTTATTCATCATGTGGCTGGTCAGCCTCTGGGCGGCGTCCAATAACTCATGTGCCACCCAGCGGTCACTGGCCACTGGTGGGCTCAACTCTAGTTGGTACCCAGCCACACACGATTGCTGCCCGAGCCTCACCCGCTTGTTGTCCATGTGACAAGCCACCAGTTCAATCACTTGACATCAACGGGCTGATATCTCTGGTCATCTGGAAACCTGCATGCATCAGTTGTCTGCCTCGGAGGAGCCAGCCATCAGGCTCCAAAATCCAAAAGACCGCGCCTCGACACGAGCCCGTGCCAGCCCCAACATGATCATTTCTCATGCACACTGTCGAAGAGCCTACCAATTAGTCACGAACCGCAAACATGAGAAGCTGACCGAGAATGCCCGAAGCTGGTAAAAGCCTTGTGCGTTGTCATTGAAGTAAAATATCGGCATGAGACCTGGCCACCTGGCGTAGCAAGAATTAGCTTTTCCCAGGATTGTGGGATGGCGTTTTCATAGCGAACGACGATAATGACATATCCATCACGTAGTTAGAGACTCTTTCCACTTCAAGACTCAATACGACGCTTTGCGCGAGAGAAAGGGATTTCTCATCCCGGACCAGAGAGGAGAACCTTCCAAGCAGCGAATACTCAGCCTCGAGGTCACTCGCTGAGGGACAAGATGTTGTAGCTGATCATCGCAGTGGCAATGCTACTTGAGCGGCTTACTGCCTCTCTTACAGTTGACTGTTGAGAAAGGGGACCTTTACAGTTGGAAATCATAGACGTCCAACCCATTTATGGTTGGATGGATTCAATACAGATACCATTTCAGCCATATATACTTTAGAATGAACAACCACGGGCGACGACAGTCGGTCTCATACTTCCGACTTCTTCATCTGCGAGTTTCAAAGAAGGATTATACGCGAGCAGCAAACGGCCTGTGCGGTATCTTTCAATTATCACCGGCTTTGCTTGCAGTCAAGGTGGCTTGACATGATGGTGGTGGTGGTTGTGTGTAGGTAGCTTCGCTCTTAAATCCTAGGAAAATATATTCAACCAACCTCCATGTTCAACACTGTTTTGCATGCTTGAATTCCAACATTCATCGACTGAAGGCTTCTTTCTGGGAGAATACCGTAGCCATCTATTACCACGTCATTCAAGTCACAATTACATTCTAACCTCGGCCAATATCCTACCCGACCAAGAAGAAGTACACTCGACATGTCCTCACATGACAGCAACAGTTGAAGCCTACCCGGCGGAACCTCGGGTATACATTCCAAAAAGGCCTTGGCGGGAGTGATGGACCAATCAGAGGGCACCAAAACCAACGATGTCATGTAACATCACAGACAAAACCACCGAGCCTTCAGTCGCTTAGCTTCGACGATGCCCTTTTCTAGATTTAGAGGAAAGGTAATCTCTTCACAAACGCATGCATGCACTACCTATATACATGACAGCACGACCACAGAAACAAAGGCGAAATATTGCCCTTGTAGGGAAATAAATTCCCAATGGCCCCGGGCGACTACGCCTCGGTGGGGACGGGCAAGCTGAAGCTCAAGGGCGTCAAGGACAGCAAAGTGGACAAGAAGAAAAAGAAGAAGAAATCGAAGCTAGAGCCAGAACCTGAGCTTGAGTCTCCTTCCGCCGTTCAACGGGTTGTTGGAGACCATGGTGGCAGTGGCAACGTTGATGATGATAACGAGCGTTTTCAAGACCGCTCGGTCATGCTGCAGAACCTGAGGGCTGAAGATGCGTTGATCGCGAAGGAGAAGAGGAAAGGGAGGTTGGGAGATTGGAATGATGATGATGATGATGGTGGTGGTGGTGACGACGACGACGCTGCTGCTGGCCCTGGGCAGAAAGAAGGTCACGGTCACGGTCACCATCGAGACGACGAAGCGAGAGAAGCTGTCAAGACGGACGCCGAGAGGAGATATGAAGAACAGCGGCGGAAACGGGTACGTGTTTTCTTCCTCCTCATCAAGCTCTTTCTGCCTTCTTTTCTTGTTTCTACACCCCCCAACTGATTTGCAATATCGCTTTTAACCATTCACCATTTCTCGCCTGTTGTTGACCGCTTCCTAAACGAATAAACACACCTATGCTAACCTAGAGGCGAATCCTAGCTCGAGGAACGGCTGAAACGAGAAGGCGTCAAGACTCACAAGGAGCGTGTTGAGGAGTTGAACCGCTACCTCAGCAGTCTTAGCGAACATCACGATATGCCTAGGATTGGACCGGGATAACATGCGCTACAGGTTGCAAAGCAGGTCTTGGTGCTTTCTTTATTTTCTCAGCTTCGAGCATTCATGGTTATTGGAGGGCGGGAATCAGCCGTTCCTTGTCAAGGCAGAATGATGCCAAACATGTAAAAATCGGATGATGAATTTCTCGTGTTTAATGGACTCCCCCTGCAAAGCAAAGCTTCCTTTATGTACAGGCCAGGTTTGTAGCTGTTCACCCGCTTTGGCCAACTGATCGTCTATTCTTCGCCACCGCCGCCCTCTGCAGCCTCCGCCTCAAGTCGTCCAGGCTTGGAGTTGAGGTATTCGTTTCTGGTTGGTAAATCAGTAAATGGCTCTCTTTCTCTCTTCTCCCCCAACGAAACATACTTCTCAGTTGCCCATTCCATCAATACATAGCCCAGTACTAGAGGTGGAACCCAGTACAGGATCTGGTGATATGTTCGTCGGTAGATATTGAAGAATGCGTTGTAGTAGGCCCCGGCCATGGGGCTCTGTCGGTTGGGCGAGAGAGCATATGTAATTATACCCTTCTGTGGTGGCGAACCTGAAATAGAGAAGGGTGTCAGTGGGAAAGTGCTCGATCGTTACCGATGGCTTCGGGCCTCGGTTTAAAGGTATCTGGGAGTTCGGAAGAGCGGTACCTAGATTGCCCCAGCCACCCATGTATCTAGATTTCCAAAGAACCTATTAGCATGCTACCAACGTTGAAGAGATCGAAGACGCATACACTCCATTCTTCGGGTCGGGACCGTGACCGGCGCGCAGAGCCCGGGTGACTTGCATCCGTAAAGCTGGAGTGACACGCATCTTGAGGATGACAGGCAAATAGAGGTCTTGCCAGAAGGTGGTGGTGAGGAGGAAGGGTTCCAAGATTCAAGATTTAACTCAATGGGCGCAGGGACGGATAAAGATGAAGATGGAGGAAGGAAGCTTGAAGCTACCGCGCTTGCCGAATGCGGTTAGTGCGCATCCAAAATGTGCATTACACCTACAACGATTTGACGAACACCTACCGCAGGCATTCCGGATCTAGCCACGCCTCGCTTTTTGTGCCTGCTGCTGCTTCTTCCACGGCGATCAGGTCAAGCTCATCAATCGCTTCGTTCCGCACATCATGTCCGCTCCGAACGTCCTCAACGCCGTCTCCAAGTTCGCCATCCCTCTATTTGTCGCCTTCTCGTTCGGACAGGCCGCCATCTACGATGTCAAAGGTGGATCAAGAGCTGTGATCTTTGATCGTCTATCCGGTGTCCAGGAACAGGTTGTGAATGAGGGTACTCACTTTCTGATTCCATGGCTGCAGAAAGCCATCGTCTATGATGTGCGAACCAAGCCCAGAAACATCAGCACCACCACGGGCAGCAAAGACTTGCAGATGGTCAGTTTGACCTTGAGGGTGCTACACAGACCAGAGGTCACAAAACTACCCAAGATCTACCAGGTGAGCAGGATATACCACGACGCATTGCCCGATGCTAACCACTAGCTAGTCACTTGGCCAAGATTACGATGAAAGAGTACTGCCATCCATTGGCAACGAAGTTCTCAAGTCCATTGTCGCCCAATTCGATGCAGCCGAATTGATTACCCAAAGAGAAGCCGTGTCGCAGAGAATCCGAACTGATTTGCTGCGGAGAGCTCAAGAGTTCAATATCGCTCTGGAAGATGTCTCCATTACACACATGACCTTCGGCCGAGAATTCACCCGAGCCGTTGAGCAAAAGCAGATCGCACAGCAAGATGCGGAGAGAGCGCGATTCATCGTCGAAAAAGCCGAGCAAGAAAGACAAGCAAATGTCATCCGAGCAGAGGGAGAAGCGGAATCCGCCGACATCATCAGCAAGGCCGTGGCCAAGAACGGAGACGGTCTCATTCAAATCCGAAGAATCGAAGCCAGTAAAGACATTGCTCAAACATTAGCTGGCAATCCAAATGTCACCTACTTGCCAGGGGGAGGAGATTCAGAGGGCAAGGGAAAGAATACCAGCCTGTTATTGGGCTTGAGAGCCTAAATTTTCTAGAAAGTTGGGGCAAGTGGACACCCTGAGGGTTGATGCTGCAAAACATTCGGACCACTCAACCACTCAGCTTGTTGGGTTTTGAGTTCGAAACCTTCAGCTTCGAAAGGCAAGATAAGGTATCAGCCTGATGCTATTCTCGGTTTGTACACATAATGATCGGCCTCTACCATTAACATCTTTGTATCTCTGTAGCACTACATAGCGAGGCCCAGAAAAATTCCATGGAGATTCTCAACTTTCACTGCCTTCTGCGTTTCATTCTATCTGGACTGGCAGCCTTTTCACAGCTTGGTTCTGCAGTCTCATTTGTGGAACCTCGACACTTTTGTCACAGACTTCGTTTGTTTGTTTGTTGATCTGAGGGATTGTGGTTCTGTAATGCTGATCTTGGGCTCACGAACCAAACCAGAGATCTCATTATCAGACGTGTTGGGCTCTAGGGCCGGATTGTTCAAAGTCTATCCCTTCACTGCCCAAGCCCCGTACTCTTTTTCTCAAGCTCCCCAAATATAAGGTGCGTATTCCGCCTGTCTTTTCTCTTTCCTGTTAATGCTCCCGATCTACGGCCTGGGCTGGCGCGCAAACCACACTCTTTTTTTGCGCGACGCAATTTCTCCGCAACAAAGACATCATTGTACAGTCTGGTGATAACAGCTCTCGACAATGTCGTCAACGTCGTCGTTGGCAGACTTCAGCGGCAGGTGCCTTTGCCACTGTCATGCTGGACCTGATCGATCTGGGTGCACTTGCACCTGCCCTCCTGCCAGCTCTTCTTCAACGCCAGTGGTCCTTCCCCTTACTCTGAGAGCCCTCCTCGCTGCCGGCAGGCACTTGATACGCTGGCGCGCTCTGACCTTCTACTACGATTTCATCCCTGAAGAGAAGACAAAGACCATTACCAACGACATCCAGAACGCCGCCGCCGTCATCCGACTGCATTTGAATCACGTTGACGTCCTTGATACCTGGGCGCAGTACATCGCCGAGGTTACCCGCGCAGCCGCCTCTCCTCCATCGTCCAGCACTAACTCCTCCTCGGGCGAAGAGCACTTCAAAGGAAGAAAACGATCCTTCACCAGCTTCACGCGCAGGCTTGTGCGCAGACTGGCTTCAATCCCTACCTCACCTTCCTCAGAAACTCTCGATAGCACCCAAACCCGGGCGTCCTTGACTGCTATTCGGGACACCTCAGGAACCCCATCTTCGTCAGGTAATGATAGCAGCAGAAACAGTAGCACCAGCACCCCTTTGCTGCCGATGTTTGTCATGGTAGCGGAAAGACTGCAAGTGTCACGCAACCAACTGGAACTTGCGTTCAAATATTACGCAGCCTACGTGTCATCAGACCGTGTGAAGCGCATCACCGCCAAAGACCTCGTCCGTAGCCAGCGATACAGCGACCTTGGCGAGATCATTCTCCTTGACATGCAGGAACTCGGCATGTTTCCCCATGCCCCTGTCTGGGAGCGACACTACCAGCAGCAATACCCCTATTTGTATCTGAACGCGGAGGAGCCGTCCAGTGGATTTGACACTTCCGCCGAATCAACCGCGCTCCATTCGTCGTGTAAAGGAGAAGGATATGCCCAAGGGGACAAGGGACCTTCCCTGACGGCCCCCGTTACCATAGCCTCATTCGACCGCGCCAATGGCTTCCGCCGAGTACTTCTCGGCAAGAACCATGCTCCTGCTACGGAAGCCATCGCCAGCTGCACAGAACATTACTTCGTGTGCCTGCGCTATCAGCAACCCAGACCTTTCAATCCGATGCGGCTCTGGTTGTTGATCACAGAGCGCATCAGAGATAAGAAGAGGAAGGGAAGAGCGGTGACGACGGACGGCAACGGCGTTTACGACGCAGCGGGCATTGAAGCCATGCAACGCCACCACCAAAAGAATTACAGCGTCGTGTGGAAGATCAGAGCCTCGTCTATTGCCCCCGTATTCACGATGGAGGATTTGAATGGTTCCAAGAAATTCAACAAGAGGCGTGCCGGGGCTGATCTTTAGATTGAATCACGGCAGTACTTGGTATTATGCTGAGCAATCGATCCATGACATTCGAAAAGAAGGTGTTCGGAATGGGATGTGTGCTGCATTTGGGTTGGGAATGAGCGGGAAAAGGAGCAGTAATATGGCGTTCGAAGATACCCCAATGTTTTGTGCAGGACATGGCACATATGGCTGGCGAGCTTTTTTTCTGTTTTTGGGCGCATCGATGTTGCATCGAGTTTCAGGAAACCTCGGGGGCAAGTGTGTACCTCTCTCTACTTGTCGACGTACTTGACCACCACTTTGAGCTACTTACCATCGCGTTTAAATCTCCATTATGAAAATGGCCGAAAAATGGAATAGGCTTGGTCCTATCCTCATTCTGACTAGATCCATCGCTGTGACCTTGCACTACTAGATCATGTTTCAGCAGGGCATGTTTGTAGAACAGGACGTGAACGAAGTTCCCAATGATTACACCTTTAAAATTAAAATTCAGGATGTGACGAAAAATTGGCACGATTCAACTAGTAACCAGCGAGTAGTTCCAGAGATATAGGCCACGTAGTCGTACGTGTCCACTGGCCGCTTCCGCTCTCCTTTATTGGGCCCTGTCGGATTTGTAGCACATACTGAACATACAACTAGAGACTACTCAATTGTAAGCCGTGAGAGCAGGTTTCTTGGCATCAGTTTGCGACACTCCCAATCGCTCGATATCGGATGCGTCGGTGCGGCCCAGCGCGACAGGCTCGACAGGCTTCTCCGCCAGATCGGTCGCGGCGGCAAGAGCTTGCGCGGTGTCGACGTTCGCAACGCTGATGCCATCGACGAGGACGACGGCGCCGTGTTGGTGTTGTCTGGCGCCGTCCTCCAGGTCGTCTGCGTCGGCGGACTCGGCGCCCTTGACACCCTGGAAGGCGGCGATGCCCTTGCGGGCGGCGGCCTTGTCGTCGAAGGTGCCGTAGAAGTCGTACTCGTCGCGCTTGCCGGCGTTCTTGACCTTCCAGATCTGGCAGACGACCCAGTACAGGACGGAGGCGGAGGCCGCGCCGAAGAGGTAGTTGCCGCGGTAGTAGTCGATGGCGCCCTGCGAGACCTTGATGCTGGGGTTCAGCGTCGAGATCATGCCGGGCATCGCCGGCACGAAGCAGACCACCCACACGACGATCGCGCGCAGGTTGAACCCGTAGTAGAAGTAGTACGATCCCTCGGGCGAGCCGGTGTACAGTTGCGTCACCTCGATGTTTTGCTTGCGGATGAGGTAGTAGTCGACGAGCATGATCCCCGTCAAGGGACCGAGGAAGACAGAGAAGCTGGCCGCCGTTGCGACGAAGACGCTCGACGTGTTGTAGAACAGCCACGGCTGCACGGCCCACGAGAGGGCGGCGCCGATCATGGCGCCGCGCCGGATGTTGATGAACTTGGGGAACAGGCCCGCCAGGTCCATGCCTGCCGCGTAGCCGTTGCCCAGGATATTCTCGGCGAGCTGGGAGATCAAGAACCCGAGGCCGCAGAAGAAGGCGGCCGCGCGCGACGTGCCGCTCCAGTCGGTGAGCATCCACTGCGTGATCAGCGTGAGAGGGTTCCAGAACGGTTCCCCGCCGTAGATGGTGACGCTTGCCGAGGCGGCAAGAATGCCCATGAGCGGGACGGCCATGCCGGGGACGAAGAGCGAGAACACCATACCGGGGATCTGGACGCCTTGTCGCGTGGCGAAACGGGTGAAGTCTGACTGGTTCAGGATGCCGGCTGAGATGGCTCCCAGGGATGCCACGATGGCGTAGACCCATGCCCATGCTGGAGTGATGCCCTCGAGTGTCTGCGACGGTGTGGACCAGAGTGGACCAGGTCCTCCGGCTTTCGTCGTTGCCCAGATACAGATGCCTAGCATGACGAAGAAACTGACTGTGTTGGCGAATAGAACCGGCCATTTTGATTTCTCAGGACGGATCATCTGCCTTTGTTGTTAGCTTTGAGTTTCTTCTGGCTGAACGAGATCGAGCTGCGGCCCTCTTACATACCATCAATGGCACCGAGATGATGTGGAATATGAGAAATCCAATCAGATCTCGCGTCACCATGTGTGCACTCTCAGGCAATGTATTCTCCATGGTCAAGAACGAATAGCTCCAGCTGCTCAAGATGACGGTGACACAAAGCCCGCCAAGCCATGCTTGAGAACCATACCAAATGATGGACAGTAGAATTCGGATGAGGATGCCGATGTAAGAGCCATGGACTCCAAAGATCAATCTGGGATTCAGCGTCAGTTCTGGATTCTCATTGGTGGGCTGTCATGATGGTATCAGACCTCTGAGCAATTGTAAAACCAATGTGCCACTCAGCTCCCATCCAACCATTTGCCAGGATGAACGCGATGATGAGAATTCGAGCAACGATCATGACACCCACGATATGTGGAATGCTCAACCCGAGGATCAGAAGAGAGGCCCCGCCAGCCCAAACGCTGATACACAAGCTAGAGGATGTTGTATTAGTCGCTGCCAAAGGACGTACAGTCGCGCAGAAGGCGAATGACTTACTTGGCAATGGAACCGAAGCCGAGATATGCTAGATAACCCCATGTTCGACGGCTGGGCGGCAGTGGGACAATATCTGGATTGATCCATCTGTTTGTCAGAGCACCATTGTAGGTGTTGTCCTCAACGGCAACCCAATTGATGAAAGACTGAAATTTGCTTGAGCCAGCCATCATCGGGGAGTGAAATCAGGCTCGTGGATCAGATATTCGAGGGACCGGTGTTTCTGGGTTGAGAGTCGCTCAGACGACAGGCTGAGATGAGAATCAATTGGCATCTTATAGGGCCCACAGCCAAGTCCCATAACGGATTCCAGGTGCACAGGTGCGATATCAAACCACGTTGATACTAGGATCAATCCATAACCTATCTCGCTTTCCTGGGGTAAAGGTTCTTGGGGTGGTGCAAGGTCGAGCTTCGTTTAGGCACAGGCGATGGAGACACCAGTGACTTAGCTCAACCTTAAGCTTGTATGCCAACATCCAGGATAGGGCCGGCTAATACGCGAGATAATAAGCCAGAATATCAGAGGCCCGTTTGGTTGCCGTGGATTTGCCTAGGCATTGGTGGTTAGCGCCCTGAGAAGGTAGACGGCACGCCTTAGATAGCGTTCCGATAGCAAAGGGAATTCAAATTTCATGGAATATGTCTGCATTGGGAACTGGAGATGATGGTGCCCTTTTAAGCTTCTGCGTTCTCAAGTGCCTATCAGGCCTCGACCCAACTAGAAGATAGCGATAAGCTCGCTTTTCTCAGACAGGAAGTTTGAGGTACATGTTAGGTATACCGAGGTGAAGTACGTACTGATGTACTATCAATATGGCTGGGTTGTGGGTCACGTGAAAAGAAAAGTCAGCCTACTCCGTACTCGATAACGAGCTGCTTAGCGAGAAACGCGAACGGGTCGATGGGCGCGTACATAGACTGTGATAGCCTGCAGTCCAGTATTGACTCAGGGTACTCGGTGCAGGAGACCCTGATAGCAAGTCAGTCGTTTCGATGCACTGCATCGCAAATACCCCTTTTCCACCAATTTGAGGCTGATGAGCTCGTATCCGACAGCTTGGAAATTGCGGGGTGCAGATGCCAGACTCTGGCGCCCACGAGGTCTGTGTTCGAGTCGACCCGCTGCTGAAATTAGAAGTATCGATAGCCTAGATAGGTTTGGGCTGGTATGAGAACCTAGACATACCTCGAGGCTCACTTGTGAATTCATCAAAATCTGTCCCAAAATCGGACTCGAACGGTTATCCACGATCCAAACCCCCTGGGTAATGCTCGGCACCTGGGATGAAACGTATTATTCAGTCGACTAATCAGGCGTCGTGTTTCCCGTGCATTGCTAGTAGGATTGGGCCCTGTTATCAACCTCTTAGTCAGTCTCCAATTTTCACTGTGGTGACACCTGTGGTTTCTTGGGTCCAAAAATTCAATTCTAATGTAATACTTACCGCCTGTGAACCATGAGAATATAAATTCCAACGGTTATATGACCTTGCTTGACGACTGGGATCCGACATCTGTAATCCCAAGATTAGTTGCCCAAGCCCCCGGATCCCACACAAATAGCCGCGAGAATTGAAATCAAAATGCCGGCGGATCGCCCCCTCGTTGTTGGCGTTGATGTTGGAGGTAGGGACAACAGACCATGGGCATCGCCGCTCTCTTGGTGAGTAGACAGACTATTGACATTGTGGACAGGAACCAACACAGACTCGGTCCTCCTTGATGCCTCACAAGTTGGAAACAAGGCCGTGCTTGCCTCTTACAAAGCTGCTACAACTTCCAATGTAACGTTGAGTGTCCAGGAGACGCTGCGAGTTTTACTTGACCAGTCCACCGTCGATCGGGCTGATATCTCAGCTCTTGCTATCGGCACCACTCATTTCATCAACGCACTCATTGAAAGAGACTCTTCTCGTGTTGAAAAGGTGGCAGTCTTGCGGCTTGCCTCGTATAATTTCTCTTCTGGCACCCCACCCTTCGCCGACTGGCCGAGTGCATTGAAGCGGATAGTGAACGGCTACTCAGCAATCATTCCTGGCGGGTGCAATATCGATGGGAAGCTCATCGCGGACATCGACCCCGAGGTCGTCCGGGAACAGGCCGACATCATCAAAGGTAAAGGTATCAAGAACGTGGTAATTGTTGGCATTGGGTCCCCTACCGACCATAAATATCACCAGGAAGAACGTGTGCGTGACATTCTGAAGGCCAAACTGTCGGAAAATGTCAATTTGGTTCTGTCTCGAGATGTTGCGGGCAATGGACTTTTGGCCAGAGAGAATGCATCTATCCTAAATGCATCCATTCTTAACTTTGCCCGCCGAGCAATCCGTTCCTTTATGGCAGCCATGAAGCATATTGGCTTGCACTGCCCGCTTTATCTAACTTCGAACTCAGGCCACCTCCTTACATTTTCCGAGGCTATGCAATTTCCGATCAGAATATTTTCTTCAGGAGCGACAAATTCCATACGGGGCGCTGCATTTCTGGCTGGCTCTGAGGTGGGTCAGACTGGTTGCGTGGTAGTGGATATCGGAGGCACAACCACTGATGTTGGCTATCTCCTGAAGAATGGTTATCCTCGTCTCGCAAAGAGTTACACCGACATTGCTGGAGTAAAAGTCAATCTGGAAATGCCATCTGTCGAAAGCGTTGGACTTGGCGGAGGTTCAATCATACACTTTGGCGCTGAAGGAGAAGAAGTGACGGTAGGGCCAGACAGCGTTGGGCATGATCTCCTGACGAAGGCCTTGAGCTTCGGTGGATCTGTGGCAACTGCTACTGATGTTGTAGTGGCCTCCGGAGATGCAACTCTGGGAACTCATAAAGCTGGACTTCCAGATAACCTCATTCCAAAAGCGAAGCTCAAGATGAAAAAGCTTTTGGAGGCCTGTATCGATCGGTCAAAGAATTCACCCGATCCTTGTACCATCATTCTTGTTGGAGGTGGGTCGATATTATGCCCTCCGGAATTGGAAGGTGTTAGCAAAATTGTGCTACCCGAACACGCTGGAGTTGCGAATGCAATAGGAGCTGCTATGGCGAAGATATCGGGCTCGGCTGAGCTGATGGTCAATGGATCCGAGGTTGAAGCAGGAATTGCCCAGGTGAAGGCTCAAGCTATACAAAATGCGATCTCCAGAGGTGGTAACGCAAGCTCAGTCACGATTCTTCACCAAGAGGCTGTTGGAGTTCCGTACACTGACAATCAGACCGCAATAAAGGTTGAAGTGGCCCTACCGGCGGACCACGAGAGGGTTCGAAGGGAAATGCGGCAGCTTGAGGAGGATTCAGACATCGACTTGGATAAAGAATTGTTTGAGGAGACGAAAATCCATGACATTGCCGCAAATGGCGATGCATCAAGCGATGAAAAGATTGATTACAAGAGCTACCGCCCAACTGTATCTTCGGCTGGCATATGGAGTCTGTCCGAAGTCGATCTTCGGTTCTTGGCTCTCGGGTGTTATATCTTGGGAACTGGTGGCGGAGGCTCCCCATATGCAACATACCTTGCGCTGCGACAACTGCTCGCAGACGGGCACTCGATGACTCTTGTCAGTTGCGATAGTCTCAAAGATGACGACGCCATCCCGACCGTTGGCTCAATCGGTACACCAGCGGTAAGTATAGAAAGACCTGGTGGCGACGAGATCTTGCATGCTTTGGACATGATGTCTAAGGAGGTGAACGTTAAATTCACACATTTTCTTGCATCCGAGATAGGGGGCGGAAACGGGCTTTCAAGTCTGAATCCTGGGAGCTCCAAGCACTATGGGCTACCAACTGTGGACGGTGATCTCATGGGTAAGTTTTCCTACAATTCCGTCCTATCTTGTTTGAAGCTGATAGCTCTGCAGGTCGAGCATATCCCGCTTTCGAAATGATATCTAGATACGTCCACGCAGCCTCAATCAACGAGATTCTCCCCGTAACGCTCTGTAGTGGCACAGGCGACAATGTTCTTATTCCAGCCAATCAGACGGATAATGTATCCGCTGGAATACAAATAAGAGATGTCTGCGTCTCAATGGGGTGCGTAGCCCCTTCCAGATCTCCAAATTGATGACTGACAAAAGTCTAGTATGGCTTGTGGAGCCGCTGGTGTCCCTTTAACTGGCAAAGAGATGCGAGATTATGGTATTCCAAACACACATTCTTTGGCATGGAGGCTAGGCCGAGTTGTTTCGATAGCGCAGCAGTCGGCATCATTGTCCACACTTGCGGACGCCCTGATCGAGGAATGCGGCGGACCTGAAACCGCCCTACGGCTATTCACGGGAAAGATCCGAAGCGTCGAAAGTGGTCTAACAAAGACGGCTCACAGCGTTGGCAAGGTCACCATCGAAGCTCTTAGTGAAGACGAAACTGAAAGCGACGCTGACAAGAGTGGCAACTGGAGCGAGGTCCTTGTTCCATTCATGAACGAAAATTTAGCAGTACTCGGAAGAGACAAGCAAGGTCAGGAGACGGTAAGTGCTGTTTACCCTGGGAAGTACCATGTTTTGCTTTGCTTAACAGCGCCCCTCTAGATATTGGCGACAGTTCCGGACTTAATATTTCTCTTGGATGTATCAACGGGCGAAAACATCGGCGTTCAAGAATATAGGTGAGCCGCATAACGGTCCGAAAGCTAACTGACTTGTGGACTAACCGGTAATTCAAGATATGGGTTGAAAGTGACCGTCATGGTCATGGCACCACATCCCGTGTGGACATCAAAGCGTGGATTGGAACTTGGAGGTCCCAGCGCTTTCAACCTGCCATATGAATATAAGTCATCACTCAAATATGTGAAACCACGAAGCGTCATTGAAGAATTTAGAGAAACGCCTTGACCGGAACACTGCTGACGTTGACCAATGCGCCTGGTTGCTGGCCAGCAAGTCGGGCTGACGACTTCGGTCCGGCACGTAACCTCGATTTTTCAAGATCACAGATGAGCTCCAATGAGATTGGATGGCAAGATAGACAACGGGGAAAAGAATCAATGCGCGAGCTCTCGGATATTGAAGCATGAGCGCGTCAGATGCTCACAGGCGCAGAATCCTGCGTGTTATCTGGGGCTATGCTGCTCTCGGGGATTGTCCACAACAGAAGTTCTGAAATGTCCGATATGAAGACTTCTCAATAGATTTAGAAATTGATTGATCCGCTTTCGTCCGTGATTCCCACCCCTGTCATGTATGAGGCTCAGAAACTGGTAGGGTAGGTTGATGGGTAATTTGGTCACGTATTCCCTACGGACCAGCTTGTCCTGCATCAACTACTCTTTACCAAGTACTCGGTAGGGAGTTCTTGACTAACTAGGAATGGGAATTATGCGCCAGAACAGGGAGTGAATACGGAATAAGAAGACGAAAGGCCACCCAAACTTCAAAAGTACCCAGGGCCCTGTGGCCTTATCTGGGAACACATTACTCATTTCACGGAGACTCTGTCAACTGCTCAGAGCCTTCTTGGAGATTTGTTCAAGTTCCTCGAAAGGATCCCCAGCAAATAATGCAGAGATAGGCATTGCGAGCAATCAAGAAGCTGTCTTCCCTTATTCGCCCACCCCTTGAGCCAGTTGTGATAATCTGGGCGTTTTGGCAGCTCGACATGATATGCGGAAATGAAAAGCTTCATAATGCAGATCCTCGGTGCTCATAAGTTCGCGCTGGGGCACCCTTCTAGGTTATTAAGTAATGCCCTGGCCTCAGTTATCGTTGTAGGCATGACATAGGGTATGCTGGTCGTCAGTGACCTTGAAACTGTGGTGGTAGGCTCAAAATTTGAGGCCGCAGAGCCTTCGATAAGGAAATAATTGGTGGTGAGCAAACCATGGACCGGCCATAATCCAATTCGCGGCTGCTATCAACGTGTCCAGGGGAGTGATGCTTTGCAAAAGCCAGGATTCTTGGTATGCTTGGTATTGTTCAGCAGGAAATTGAACCGGCACTCTTCAAACGAGAGGATCCCAACGTTTCAATCTATTCATTTGGGAGCGTCGAAAATACCATTGTAGGGTGAAGACTTTGCTTGCTGGATGAAATTTCATGATTGAAGATCATGCTGGACCAATTGTCACATCTAGGATTTTATGCAAGGCTGTCGCTTATGCAAGGCTTCACAAGGCGAGCCACGTCGTTTCACGGAGAAGTGCTCCGCCGCAGCCTTGGCATCAAATGTTTCGCGCTCATGCCTTGCATTCATTTGAACAGAACCCATCTTCACCAATTCGGTGGTAACTCGATATATCCGGACAAGTCTCCCGCCCTTTTCAGAAGTCAAGATGCTCGTCGAAGGTCAAAGGTTTCTCCATGAGGATTTGGAGCGGCTCGAGCAAGGCATCACAGACAGAATCGCAGAAGATCCACGAAATGTCAGTTGAACAAAGCCCTCCCTAACACAAGACGGTCGCTAACATTTGCGCAGATCAAAGACAGATTGAATCGCGATCACCAAATAAACGGATTCCTCAATCGGATACAGGAGCAATCAAAAAGACTCTTGGATATCTACAAAGATGCGGACGGATCTCGGCTAAAGGAAATCCAAGGACTTTCAACCGGGGATCCCCTTGAGGAGTTTTACAAGCAATTGGAAGAAGTGAAAGACTTCCACCGACGATATCCTAACGAAAATGTCGAGAACCTTGAGCGGGCGTACAAACGCAGGCGGCCGGATGAGGGAGAACCAGTCGTTTCAGAGATTGACAATATGTTCACTGGAGAAGAGTCGAATGGGAGATTTCTTGACCTAATACCACTACACGAAGCCTACCTCAATCTACCGAATGTGAAGCGTCTCTCCTATCTCCAGTACCTAGACAATTTCGACGCCTTTGAGCCTCCTCGCTTGCCTATCAAGAGACAGAACAAAATTACCGATTCATATCTTAAATACGTGGCAGACCTTGCAAGCTATCTTGAAGGCTTTGTACGGAGAACGAGGCCGTTGGACGACCTACCAAAGGTTTTCCTCCGGTTAGACAGAGAATTTGAGAGTGCATGGGAGGCTGGCACGGTCCCAGGGTGGGCGAAAGAGGAGTCGGCGAGCGCAGCATCAGGCGGGCCTCAGACGGAAGGCACGGGATCAGGAATATGGTGTCCAGAATGTGAAAAAGAATTCGGCAACCCCAATGTCTACAAAGCGCATCTCACAGGCAAGAAACATCTTCGCAATGCGGAAAACAAGAAAGGCGCAAGCAATGGCACTGCCAAACCATTGTCCACCTCGCTCTCGGGCGCAGCCTTGAAGGAACGGGTGATTGCATCCCACGAATCACGCATCCGGGCCTTGGCAGACTTGCTCTCGAATGAGCGCAGCAACACACGAGTCAATGTGGAGCGCAAGCAAGGAATGACAGAGCGCGAACGACAAGCTGAGCTGGATGCGCTCTTCGCCGAAGACGACGCTGCAGTCGCAGCGTCAGAACGCCGCGGCGACCGCGGCGATGACTCAGGCTCGGACAGCGACGGCGAAGAGAAAATCTATAACCCACTCAAACTACCTCTGGCATGGGACGGCAAACCAATTCCCTATTGGTTGTACAAGCTGCACGGCCTTGGAGTGGAGTTTTCGTGCGAAATCTGCGGCAACTTTGTGTACATGGGCCGACGTGCGTTCGACAAGCACTTCAGTGAAGCAAGGCACATTTACGGCCTGAAGTGTCTGGGCATCACGGGCTCGGGGACGGGCGGGCTCACATTGTTCCGCGAGATCACTGGAATCCAGGACGCTTTGAACCTGTGGGGCAAGATCAGGCAGGAAAAGCGCGAGAAGGACACCAAGGAGGACAGTGTCGTGCAGATGGAGGACGGCGAGGGTAACGTCATGCCGGAGCGGATATACCTGGATTTACAGAAGCAGGGTATCTTGTAACATTATTGCTTGTACTGTCAACACTCCCTTGCGTCGGGGGCCATGCAGATAGCTCATCTCTTTGGTACTCCTTGCCACCGAAGCATTCGCACGATTTTTGGCGGAGTATTCACCAGTTATGGAATGCAAGCTGTGCTGGTTGTTCATTCATCACAAGTAGTGAATGACATGTATCTGAAGAGAATAGAATTGGCAATAATCCATTGAAGTTGAATGCTTCTCTGGGCGTGGATATGTACGTGCCTAGGGCCCAATCGGAGACTTTCTATTTGACCGTGTGGTGAATCGTGATGCCTTTGTTTTCTTTCTGACGTTCTCCTCATTCTCATCTTGTCGCTTTGTCACATCTCATTGCAATGGCACTGCCATCTTATCCCGATCTCTCTTCCTTTTCACTTGCTGGGAACGGGCATTGCCAACAAAGCAAAGGCCGCATACTACCACATCAGCCGATCAACCAGGTCTGAGCCCGTCATGGATTGAGCGACGTCCCCCGCGGAACTGTGAACCTCTCTTATCCGCAACCAACTTTGACCTGTTGCATGGCTCAGTTGCACCCATGTTGTACAATGGTAAGCTGCGCGCATCCCATGTCAGTAGTTGAAGGCACTCTGCTCATGTTCGCCGTGTTTTGCCAGGGCCGTTTCAGGGGCTGTGGCCCCGGGACCCGCGTCTTAAGTCGGGGTATATCAACACCTTATATGCGTATCTTCTCTGTACCTGCGCAAGGCTGACCATATTCCATATCTGCGACGATTGGAAACAGTAAGTTCTTTTCGCGTCCTTGCTTTCATGATGTGGTATGGCCGCACAAGCGAGGTTGACGGTTGGGCTGCGGTGTGGAGTGGAGTGTCTGTGGAGAAGAAACTTCGTAAGTACCTTGGTCCGATGGTAATATCGAGGACATCTGGCTGCTACGGCCACGAGGGACGATGTTCAGTCAGAGCGGGCTATCCCGCATTGACCTTCGAAATCGTGGTAAGACTCAAGCCAACGCCTGCCTAAGTCCGTACCGAGTGTTTCCTTGTGGGGAATAGAGAAATGCAAATCCATATGCCGCGATAAAGCAATTCTTCGGCTGCAGCAGTCGTGGCGAAGCGCCACGGAAAGTGGTATTCTTTGTCAACATAGCGTCTTGCACAACGATGGACTTGTTTGTCGATCGCGGTGAATGGCGGTTGTTTGGGCAAACAGGCGACACGAGGCAGTGAAGGTGGTGAAGGTGGTGAAGGCGCGCGCAACGCCAAGTCTCGACTTCCTTCGTTGCGCATAACATCAACACCAACCCTCGCACTCTCGCACTCTCACACTCTCACACTCTCGCCCTCTCGCCCTACCCTCACCCCTTCCTTCTCCTGTCCAGAACCCATCTCAGCACAGCCTCGCCCATCCCCTCTCCAAGCTCGTTCCCCTATTCTCCACCAGGCCTTCTAAGTCTGTTGCATCGTCTGCTGTACCGTCTATTGTCCTGCCTCCTGTTGTCAGTGATAAACAGTCCCCTTCCTTCAAAAACACATCCCGCCACAATGGCTCCGATGAGACGACCCGCAGCCTATGCCCCCCTTCCTGTTGGGTATGCCTGGGCGACAGACATAGCAGCTGAGACATCAGACTCAGAGTCATCAGTATCATCAAACCCGTCAAAGTCGGTTGCCAGAGATGTCCCTTCCCTCCGCCTCAATAGTTCTCTCGTCTTTCATATGGCGGAGCCACAGGCCTGGGTCCAGCTATCGCCGCAGGCTAAGCTACAAAAAAAGAGAGGTAATCACCCCACAAAGACTACTCAGGGATGAACTAACTCGCCAACAGAACACCTCTGTGCGCAATGGGGTGAGGAGAATTTCACCTTCTTCGAAGACGCCCCTGCTGTTCGCAAACACCGTGGAAGAATCCAAGTGAGGCGCTATGACTACTATGCCCATTTTGAAGTCTGGGATGCAGAGCACTTCAACGTCCAGTATCACAACAGTATGACGTTGCTACAAGACGGACTGAAGATGAACGATGATGACTTCAACAGACTTCAGAGCAGTTTAGGCATTGTTGATGCAGAGTTCCTCCACGCGTTCAATGACTGGAAATGTCATTGCGGATCTCTTGAGGTGCAAGCGGGAAAGCAACCTCCCAAAACTCGAGCAGTAGCTTTGGCGAAGCGGCCACCCACGCCTCCAGCACTGCCAAAGAGCCTCCTCAAGCAAAGGGCCAGACCTTGCGAGTCAGCTTTGGGAAATCGGCAGTCGCCCAATGCCACTCTTGGAGCTCCTCGCCCTCCTCAGCTGCCTCCCGACCCTCAACAGTACCATGGACCTAGCGCAGCCTTGAATTATCCCCAAGTCTTTCCTTCCAAGCGCCCTGCACCTCACGCACCTTCCAATAGTCCCCAAGCTGTTACTACAGCTCCCACATCCCACGCACCTGGTACACCTCAACAACCTCAAGAATCTCGCGCACCTCACGCGCCCCTCAATCGTCCTCAAGTTCACAGTGCAGCTCAGAGAGTTCAGAACCCAAATCCTCGCAACTCTGCCGATGCTGTCGTTAGCATTCACTTGGCTGATGTAACAAGCAGCCGCAGAAATCGACTTCTGGCCAATAACGCCCCAAAATCACAGTTGCAACCTACCGGTCTCTCAATGGCTTCTCCTACCCAAAGCAAACGGATAAAACGAGACTTTTCAGAAGTTGATGATTCAACGCAGCAATACAACTTGCACCAATACAATTATCAGCAACGGTCCTCCCTACCGCAAAATTTTCAATGGCCAAACAAACGGACCAGGACTGAGGTGCCCAGAAGAAAGAAAATCCCGCTGTTTCTGAGACGTGAGGCTTCTCGAACTGTCACACTGCCTGGATTCAGAGAGACACCACGAAGACTGTGTGACCCAGAAATGTATGGTCAAGGCCTGAAGGAGAACCAACATAAATTTGCGGATGAACACGAATCCTGGCTAGTTGAATTGGACACTGTGTTCACCCATGTCGAGACAAGTGCGGAGCCGCTTGCCAAAGACGAGGAAGAGGCAAACGTCATCGTGAGAAGAACGCTCGCTGAGTTGTTCAGGGTCATCAAAAACCGATTCTCATACGAGCAGGAGCTCAGAGAATTCGACGATGCATCTTCGATTCTCTTCTATGGGCACATATATAACTTGTGGAGTAAGGGCGTGGGTCTGGCAGATCCTTACGTGGTCTGGGCGATTGCCCAAACCTTCAAAGTGGGCGACCAAGCCATCAGCGAAAAGGAAACACAGGTGTTGAGGAACGAGATGTTGCAGTATGTTCACAACAACTATTTTGCTCAATGGTGGCAGATGGTTGTGTATGCAATCATTACTAGCCGAAAGGCTTGAATCAGAATTTGGAGCATGAAGGAAGACTGAAGTTGTGGGTTGAAGAAGGAACTGTTGGATCAAGCTTGGAACCCTTGGGCCGCAAATTCACTACACAGTCGAATGAATCGGGCAGGACATACCATACCGAGCCACAGATTATCCCTTGCCTTGCATGAAAAGTCATTGACTGGGATAGCTTCACGCTGATTGAGATACGGCGGATAGGTAGCCATTGGCCGCTCTGAATAGAATTATGAGAGCTCCATATTGTCTTGACTACCTGACGCGTGTGAAACTAGCCCAGCCCCTGTCATAAGTCCCGGCCTCCTATCGCGACAACTCTATGAAATCTAACTAAATCGCCCATTAAGCACTCGAAACTCTACTCTCCAGGCAATGCATAGGACACCGGCCTACTGGAGGCAACGAAGTCGTCAAAACAACGAGCCATCTCACGTGCCTCTCCTGGCTTGGCAGTGACACGAGGACTTCGCGCCTCACGTGCCTTCCAAGCTGCAACAGCGCTACATGTGTGCACCGGATGGCCGCCATACGCAAAACAAACTGGCTCTTGGGGCATCCTGCGTGTCTACGGACCACCTAGCTAGGTATACCTGAATATATCCTTTTCCGCCTTCCGTCTCTTGACATCCTTGAGCTTTCCCAATCTGATGGCCAGTCCTTCCGGGCCCTACGAGGCCACTTGCCAAAGTGGCACAGGGAATGTGGAGTCCGCCAAGGCGAGGCTCGCGGCCCCTGAACTTAAACCGAACCGTACCGAACCCTTCCACAGGTCCACCCTGAGGTTTCCCGTTACCTCGATGGAAACATCGCATGGCTTTCCTTTTCTAGCTCTTGGATTATCTGGTCTCTTGGATTCTTGCATTCATGTGCACGTGAAAGAATCGTCCGTGGAGGAAAAGGGGGAGTTCGTGGTCCCGCTGTGCCAATGGTCGAGGTAATGGCATGGAACGGAATAGGTCGTCGATCGAAGAGTGGTAGCGTAGGGTGCTGGATGGAGTTGTCTCTTTGCAATTATTTTGTGACTTTGATATGCACTTTCCTCTCGGAGGCTCAGGTGCAGTCCAGCAAGTTGTGCCCGATCATGTCGCAAGGAATCTGCATCTTTTCTCTCTCTTCTCTTTCCAGTCTATCTTGGAGCTTCAACAGTGACAGTCTCTGTGTGCGTTGATACTGGCCGGCAACCTGGATGTGCAATGTAGGGAAGGGGATGGGTATTGGGATGGGTATGCAGGGATAGGAATACTGAGCGGTTCCTCGTCTTGAAGACGCATTACAACGTAGGGTCTGTTCGATGAAAGCTCGTTCATGGGGAATACAGCCCGTACCATGCAGTGACTATTTCCATGTCTTGTGTCGCGTACCTAAATCCTTAAAAGTCAGCCCTGTTCAAAAGAGAGGAATTGTCGTCTCCGCCATCACGCACTCGATGACGCCGCGCTAGTCCGAAGGGAAAAGTAATTGCGAGGAGAGTTCGCGAACGCACAGCCTTGTACGAAATGGCTCCGCTTTTCATGGTTCGGACATAGAACCTCTGCATTGTGTGCTTTGTTCCACAAAAGTCTTATGGTGATTCTCGCTGAATAAAGAGTTGGCGTTACTTGAGGGCCTCGAGCGTTTCGGAAAGCTGCCTACATTGTTTCTCGAGACAATGACGCATTAAAGACCTATGTGTCGAGTTCAAAAGGAGTTCTAGAGTGGGACTTTCACTTGAAAGGCTGATTGGAAACTTGACTGCGCAGAAATAATGTTCAGCATACCCGGGGTGTGCAGACACAGTGGCACCTGGCTTTGAAGTTCGAGAGCGAGGAGTATCTCGGCGAAGAGCTGGTCAAGGTTCAGCGAAGAGCTGGTCAAGGTTCAGCGAAGAGCTGGTCAAGGTTCAGCGAAGAGCTGGTCAAGGTTCAGCGAAGAGCTTGCCTGTATGAGCTTCTAATACAGAACAGAGTATCCAGAGTTTGTCAGCCCGTTGCAGAGCTTGCGTAGAGACAGAGGCTGGAAGATAGTAGGAAAGCGCTTCTTATCTTGATAAGGCTGTGCAGGAGTCTGTCCGCACGTTCAGCACATACGCCCCGCGCCAGCAGCCCGGCCCCTATACAGGTGCAACGGCGTTTTACAGAAACATAACTTGAATCGTCGCGCACATTGTAGAGCAGCGCTTCTGCAGCTCCTTTCAAAGAGCTTTCCCTTCTCCGAGGCGTCCCAAATCTCTGTTGAGACATCTCTGTCTGAGCCACATCGAGATACACAAAGACCCATTTACAGCTTCTGATTCTACACACCTTTCCCTGATCTGAGACATCCAAAAGCTCAGTGCCATAAAGATGCTTACCTCTCTCTGATTCCAAACCGTCCCAAGATCATCATTCGACAACAACCTACCTTGAAAACACTCGGCAGATGACCCCCTCCTCTCCCCGCTCCCCTTTACCACTACCAACACCTAAATATAGACCTTTGAGCTTCAAAAACACTCGTATCTAGGGCCCAAAGTGTCTTGACAACGAAGGTATCCGGAAAAAACCGAATAGTGATCTACCATGAGCCGTGGTAACCCGGTTTTCTTGGAGTATGCCCGAAGATACATCGACGCGCTATACCCTGGTAATTCTCAGAGAGTCCTATTGTTTTGGCAAGGCTGACCGTTATCTTATAGCCAGTGCCGCTGAAGAAGTCGCCGCTTGTCGTAGGATGACTCGCCGCCCGCAACTTGAAGCTGAGTCACAGGCCATACAACCAACAGGCCGTAAGGTCTCCCATCAATTTTTATGCCTTGCTAACAATGCAACAACAGGGAACCCATCTGCGCGCAAACAGGCTCATTTCGGTGTCGACCAGCCCTCAAAAAAAGGTAGTCTCGCTCAGGAAAATCCTGTGGGCCTCCCAGTTCCCAGTATAAATACAAATCTAAATACTCGTCATAATTTGGGCCGGCCAACTCCATCACAGTCAGGTTTCGACATTCATACCCCTGTCCATGCTAGGTTTCCACATAACCAGTTGTTGGTACAACCAAGTTCCGCGACAAACCAGTTCGCCAGCCCTGCAGACAGTTTGTCGTTTCGCAACCAGGCTGTGCGTGCCCTTCGAGCCTCTGCTGCGATTCAAGCTTCAGACGATATCGTAGAAGAGGACGCAGGTGACAATGTAGGCGAGAGCGTCGCAGCTACTGTCATGCAGCGGAGTACGACCAGAAGACAGCGCCCCCGGCATGGACCTAGAACCAGCGGTCTTCTCAGCAATGGCGAGCGAGCTCAGTATCGCCAGCTTACAGATTACGCCTTGCAGATTGTCCGCTTCCTGCTGGAATATCTTGCTTGGACATCCTCAAGCGATATCCCAACCACTTCTATGACCATTACATGGAGGCTTTCATTCAGTACGTCTGGAGCGCCGAGCAGATTGTCGCCAGAACCCCAGATGTAATCAAGCAACTGTGGATCAACCAGGGCATACACAGTGCTATCAGTCGGCCTGGAAGCTTCATACGCAATCGCATTCGTACATGGAGAAACACTTGGGAGAAACCGGCGTTCGTCAACTGATTGGACAACCCAAGCATCGCCCAAGTGGTCTACCTGCTACCGAGGAATATGGCAAAAGCGACCCAATGACCCTGGGCTTGAATCCTCGCGCGGCCGCGAGAACCAGAGCTAGGGCGCCACGCATAATCATACGAGCAGGCTCAACTGCATCAAGGCAAGCCCCAGCCTTGCCACCGATCAGTACTGCCCCCCGGCCCCTGCCCCTGTCCCGATCCCTGGCTATGCATCTATCTATGGCTCTACCCCTATATCGACCTCATTTCTTGGCTTAGCCTCAGGGTCCAGCACTGCCGGTGCCTCTAGCGCAGATCAAGAAGCAATCATAAGCCAAGCTGAGTGGGAAGCACTGCTTGCCGGTAAGGAAGACGAGGGTGGAGAAGCTGCTGAGGAAGGGTCTGACGATGTTGATACCTCGGCCACCAATACTATCGTGCAGCCAAGAGAAGACCCTGCAGGGGCAACAGAGCCTGATCACGCTGAACAGGGTACACAGACCTTTGAAGAGTTACTGCACGGGGATACAGACATCTCTGAATACCCTGAGCTTTGATTGCGGAACGGCCGATCTGCCAGTGTGCAAGAAATGGAAAGAACACCATTGGGACTCATTGGAGATCAGAAATGGCGGTTGGAATCAATTCCGTCAATATCCTCAGTTGAGGAAATGGCGCCCTAGGTTTTTGGGCCATAGACTCGTCAGAAGACCATATTTTCAGGTAGAAATGAACAAAAATTGAAACGAGAAACAGGTTCCAGAAATACCCAGTATTAATTATTGAGCGCTAGAGCGCAGGAAACGGCTTGTAGACAGCTGTACGCAGCTCAAGAGTCTTGCTGCTTGCTGCAGTGTGCGAAACTGCAGGCTAATACATGCAATGTGTAGGTCAGGAGCTGCTGAGGATTTCACACCAATTCCTCCTCGTCAAGGCGAGATGATACAATTGGACTGGAGATCCTCGAACAGACTACAGCTTCTACTCAATAGCTTGCAATTGGAGTATCTCTGTCAGTAGCCTTGGCTCTGCAAGCGATCTGAAGCCGAAGACTCGGTCTGCGGCCTGTACCCCTCAATTCTCATGCCTTCTCGAGCCTCAATGGGCGCGAGTCAAAGAAAGTCGAGGAAATTCCTTTGTTCCAAGCTCGAGGACAAAGCCATTGCTCCTCCCAGCCATTGTAGCGCTTGTACAGCATAATGTAGATGAAAGAAATGCCTGTAGACAGTGGACGAGGCTCTGTAGGGCTCGATAAGGCTGTGGCATCGCACTGTCGTCTATGCAACAAAGGTAACAGCTGCCCGTCGAGCGCGCCAGAGGCAGTAGAATCTCGTCGCGTGCACAACTACATGAGTGAAGCAACTGATTTTGAACTTATAGCACCTCTGGTTTCTCATCTCCTCTTTCCCATCAACACTTGTACCTGAAGTTTCAACAGATCTTGTGCCTTTCACAAGCTTAGAGACACTGCAGTACTTTCCTTAGCTTCGATAGAGTCTCCCTTTCTCCCTGTGTTGGCGCAACAAGGCCCGATGGCCCCTCAACCACTCCTACCAGTCCTCCCCGATTTCGACCTAAATGACTATGATGACCTAGATTTCCTTCAGCGATCTTCTGTGCCTAACCAAGCAACTATGCCCAATGTTGAGCAGCCTATTGGCAGAGAAGAACGGATGGCTGGTATGAGGACCCGACCTCGGCCTGCCGACAACGCGTTTCTAGCTGCTGATGCCAATGACAGCGTAGACAATGACCCTGACCTTTCGTTCTGGAAACAAGCAATGGCTCATGAACATCAGATCACCCAGGCTCAAGGTAGCTACCCCCCTCTCTGGTATGAAGAACCAGACTCTGACAGGAAGAACCTTGCAGAGGGTGGAGAGTCTGTCTCTTATACAGCCGGTGAACACAATGATGCCACTGCTCCATTGGACCAATCTGATTTGTTCGAGGAAGGTTTGAATTCAGCCTTCGGACCCGCAAGGCCAAGCGCCAATACCACTGCTGAGGTCAACTCTCTTGAGGAGGGTCCTGTTACGATTTCTGTGACCGCCCGCAAGGCCGGTCGAGCCAAGATTCTCAAGAATCGCAAACGGAACAAGAACAAGGTGATGGATGTTGTCGATGAGTACGATACGTACGCGGAACTGCAAGGGTTTGAACCCAGCACGTATCTTCTTCCAAAAGAAGTGTCGCTGCAAAAGATTTGTGAACAATATCCCAACCACTTGGTTGGACCACATCTGGACGCGTTTATCCAGTATATGTGGACTGGCTTGGATATATATAACATACTCCCTCCACGCATTGTCAACGCCTTCATCGAAGCGGGTGTAATGAGTTCTGAACGCAAGAACCGAGCAAACTTTCTGACGAAGAGGCTCAATAAGAGAATTAACTTCCATACCCCGGAAAGCATGACAACCTTGATCGAAGCCCACGAAAAGCTTCGGCCATGCATGGATAACGGCAAGGTGCACTATGGCCGCTCAAAGCTTCAGGGAAAATACAGCAACAGTCGTGCCCAGGCTGTTCGACCTATGCCGCCCCGCAAATATAACGGAATGAGCTCGAAGAAGAGAAAGGCTGCTGCTGAGGAGGAAGTTGACGCAGACGAAGTCGACAATGATGGAGCTGAGCCAGGATCAGAACCCAGTGATCAGTTAAGAGATAGTGCCCAGTCCACCAACACTGCTCCACATTTTCCTTATGCCAGCTTCAATGATTTCGACGTCGCTTTGAATGAGATCGACAGCATGGGCCATCCTCAGTTTGTAACCACGGATCCTGAACCCTCTGCTCATCTGCTTGAAGGTCCCAACTTTGACGCCTACGACTCATGGGATCAATATGGATATACTGGATTTCCTGGTGGTCAGGACATATTCACCGCAGGAGAGCCAGGCCTTTGTCTCCAATGCGACGATGGAGAATTCGTCGATGACCAGTTTGCAGCCACCAACGCTGGCATGAGCAAGTTTCAGCCTATAGACATCAATGGCGGGATGTCCTATTTGCAAACTGTAGATTTCATTGGCGGAATGGTCAACTTTCAACCTGCCGACCTCACCGCTGATATAAGCAACTTTCCACCTGCAGACTTTAATGGAGGAACGGTCAACTTTCAACCGGTAGACCTCAATGGTGAACTGGAAAACTTGCGCCCTGCATTTTTCAATGGCGGAATGCAAGGCGTCGGGTTGGACGTCTCTGAGAACGTATATCATGCTCAGCGTGGCGAGGCTATTCCGCACGAAACGGTTGGCCATGAAGTGAATGGCGGTCAGTCGGCCTATCCAATCCCCCATACATTTTCCCAAGTCATGCCTCAATCTGTCGGCAGACTGGGCAAGCGTGCTGGAAAGGATGAGGCCGACGGCGAAGTTCTTGAGATTGCTGGTGGGCGAAACAAGCGCGTGCGATACGAAGAGGGCGCAGAAGCACCTCCAAAGGTTGGCCGGCCCAGTCGACGAAGCAAGTGCACTTAAGACAATGAGGTCGCAGGCACACCTCACAATCGCGCTTAGAGACTTGCGCCATGGGGTTTGTTATATTTTCCAGACCAAAGTCACTGATATATTTTCCTTTTCAAAAGCGGTGTTTATTCCAGATGTCTCACCAAGGAGGTTCACAATTGCCTTGAGACATGGTATGGCTTTCATTTGGTTTTCTTTTTGCACGCAATCGTGCTATCGGAGAGGAGAAATGGACGATGATGACTTATGATTTTCATGCTGATATCAGGCGGCAAGGTTGGAAATGATAATGGACCCACAGTACCAGGAGCGCAGCTTGGAGAGCAGGCTGTACTGGAACCATTGGAATGATATTGTTCGTTACGAAAGGTCGGCCTCAAAGGATGATGGCCAGACTTGAATGAAAGAGACAGATCTCGAGGATTGAACGCATCCCCATGCATATCGGACGTCAAGAGGCATGGCTCAGGGACCGGGAACCAGACCAATAAGACCTTCCGTCGTATCACGAGGATAGTGGGTGATAGTGTGTCCTCCAATAGATGACTAATCCATTATTGGCAAACACAACCACTTCTTTCATCCTGTCCCTAGAGTAGAATCGTAGAGTTTGCATGACGATGCCTCGTTGGCAGACTCTATCACATACATTTTCACCGTAGTTTGCCCTGTTGACAAGTTGGGCCCTCTAATCTTCAGTCACCAATCTGCGCTGACTAGAGACACGGCCGCAGGGATCTCTGTGTCAGGAGGAGGGGACATTGTATAGAACAGGACTGTTTGCTCTGCCTTGGGTTGGGCTGGAGATCTTGCCTCGTCATCTAGCCTGGAACGACTCACCCTTGTAGTATGACTTGATGGATCGTGAACCCCCTTTCAAACGGAGCCTCGCTGTTCATGAATCGGTTAAAAGCCCGTGTCATGCGTCTGTATGCCGTAAACTTTATGAGTGACTCTAGGAGGTGGTTTGATGATGAAAACATCAAGGAGATATAGACAACAGGCTGCGCCTAGCTTCTGTCGTTGGCTAGACTTGAGATCCTGGTCCGCATGGGCTACAGAAGGGTTTCCTCTGAGGCTTTGAGCGCCGTGTGCTGCTTCTTGCTGCGACTTCATGATCATAGGGCACCGTACCAACCCGTGCTAAGTAGCAATGGACGTCTCTTTGATCTGTCAGATGGTGATGCAGTTGTCCAACAGCCGCTGTTCGAGGGAAACACTGGGTGCTATTGACACATCCTCACCAGAGCAAACTGATCCGGCTTCTTTGCATAGCTTATAAATTAACCCGCTGATTTGCAGTTCTTCCTTCCTCTCCCCCCGCTGGCAAACTAAATATCTCAACCAATGAAGTACCCAATGCTGCCGTTACTTCTGAGTCGAGTTGAGGACATCGACCTTGATCTCTAGAACATCTTTCTGCCGATCTGAGCACGTGAACAGAGAAGCACGAGGTAGCTCTTCGAGGCAGCTCCTGGTCGTGAATTTGCTGCTTCAGTAACTCGCCTTCACGGTTTCGTGTCTTCCCTCAATAACAAACCGAGGGCCATTGTTGTCTGAACAAAGACCTTTGCGTTGTTTCATCCTGACAACATCTTTCCATATCTACCAAACACCATCGACAGAAGATTGAGCTTTTGAACTAGATCACACGGTCTGTGCCTCCTGAGGTGCTGCCTGTCGGTCGCTCTCACAGAATCTTCTGTATATATCCCTCCAAAGTTACCGATCTGACCTGCGAGCTTTTAAAAGGCTCAACACCACCTCTCGAACCTTCATCGAAAGTCTTTGAGACTTGTAATAGAGCATCCCTTGTCGTGATCACTGACTCTTGAAGAAAGAGCAGGATCATGGACAACAATCCACCTGAAGAAGGACCCTTTGGGCCAATTTCTGAATGGGACGACTTCGGAGCTCCTGCTACCACCGATGATCTGGGGGCCAACACAGCCTTTCAACCCAATATAAATAATATTTACATGGGTCGTCCTCAGGATCATCCCACCTATCCAGCCTATCCTTCTCGAGTCCATGTCAGCAATGATGGCTCGCCCGTCAGAGGCGGACAGCGGCAAGCCGGGATACCATCGCAAGGGCATACTTTTGGAGAGCAAGCACAAAGCAATACATACCCCCTTTCGAATTACACTTACCAGCAACAGTTGGGAGGTGTGTCTAACCAAGCCTTTTCTGGTGGCCATTTGGGCAGAGATGAGTCTCCTTTTGATGCCCCCAATTCTTATGGGTCAAACATGCTCTCCTCCGATCAACAAATGTTTCACCAGTGGGGCCAAAGACAGCTCGTGCCTGTTGGTATTGGTTCGGGCTACACCCAGTATCCGACAGTGCAGTCATCCATAGTGGCTCCAACTGGCAACTACAGTTTTGGCCAACAACCGTATTCGAACACACTAGGAGCTATGCGGCCTCCATCTGGAAACATGAATTTCAACAATCAAACACTTGGGACCGCAACAGAGTCTCTTATCTTGCCTCAATCTGGCGTAGGAGAGCCCAACCAAGCGCAGCAGATTATGGATATGTTGAATCGACCAGCTCGATTGGGTGCACGCAGACCATCGCCACCAGGATCTGGCACGCGAACAAGTACACCTTTGCGAGCCAATACCGCAAACACCACAGAGGCTCCACTCGGCGCAACACGCCGAAGCTCGCAGAATATACCAGACCTTACTGTTCCATCTCGTCAAACTCCTTCTAGGCCTGCTCGTTCATGTGCAACACCGACCGCAGAGGACGTGCGGAACAATGTGAAACTTACCGCTCCACGCTCAAACGCGTATGAGAGATTTCCTGCCAACCATCCGGTCTCCGCAGAAGTTGTCAAGATGCGAACAGGATGGCATTCCGGTCTCAATCACTTTGCAAAATATGGTGATGACGAGGAGCCTCGACTCAAGTATGCCATGAAACTTGGTCGTGGAAGAAGGCCAGGTGGTGGAAAAAAGGGGCCTGATGGAAAGCCAGAAGACGCGTATAGCTATGATCATCCGGTTCCGGCAGCAATCCTACCGGCTCGGTTGGGCTTGATGAGTTTCATGCGACACTGGCCGAACCATGCCTGGGGCCAGGGAATTCGTCTGCTCATGGCCGAGGGCGTTGAGCCTCACCAACTCTGGCACAACCTTCCCGTAGTTGCTCGCCATTCTAAGTACGCCCCCAGACCTTGGAATTATGTGCAGCACGTCTATTCCCGGGAAACTGCTAGGATGGCCTTTGAACAAACTGGAGTCAAACGCGTCCCCAAGGCGCGGGGGACAAAGAGAAACAAATCGTCAGATGGTGTCGAGCCTCAAGGGAGCGGAAAGAAGCTGAAGCCCAATCCTGAAAGGACAACTCCACCACCATCGACAGAGCCCAGAGTCGACCCAAGCTCACCATTGACTCCACTGAGAGAGACCAGAGACATACAACCACGTAAACGATACCTGTATGTCGCACCAGATTCGCTCACTCTGGAGGACTATCGTTACAAGCTGGGCCACAAGAAAGCTGTATTTCTAGAGACGGTGAGGCGTACCATGTCAGTGACAGATGAAGTCTTTGCCAGAGCCGATCCCGAGTTCCAGGTTACGCACCTTGAGAATGTTATGGACGCATATACTACGCGACATGCTCGGCATCTCCGCATTAGGAACAACCTGCCCAAGGCAGATGCACTCTGGAAAGATGATGACCAGGCTGACTGCATGATGAGGGCATTGAAACAGGATAGGGGCTATGCTCAAATGGTAGGCGAAAGCAATGAAGCCTACATTTACCGCTTGCGCATAGTGGTCATGAAGAACCTGCTCACCTGGATGGACAACAGAATCGAGGAAAAGCAGGAGGAGTTGAAGAAGCTGTTCCCGGCTGAGAACGACATGGAGGCTGAGGACGAAGGCGCAGACATCTATGGTGAGGAAGACCAAGAAGCAGATTGGGACGCAGAAATGGATCCAGCTGGAGAAGAGGAACAAGAGGAGCAACCAGCTCAGACCGAACAAGCTGCTGGCGACGACCAGGCGATTGAATAAGTAGTTGCCGCACGGAAATTTCGGCGATGATTATGAATTGATCAAGGGGATCGAACAATGAAACCCTGTGGCGGTGTTTCGAGGGACGGCCGGATATGGCAAAGGGAGTGGCAGCGACTAACTGCAAGCTTTGTCTGAGTATCGTCGCGTCTCCATAAAGAAGTGGAGCAAAGGTCCTCGAATTGGACCTCAATATCCTGCCTGATGAATGAGGACCTCGGTACTTCAAAATTTGCCCATAGGAAACCCATTAGCAACAGCCTCCCAAAAAAAGTTCGAGTAAACCCCAGGTCTCATAGGACCCAGACTTCAGGTACAGGCTTTTGCATGGCGCAACAGCTCACAACATTGCCGAAAGGCACGTCGATGGCCCTAGCTGTGAGATGAGATGAGATGAGATGAGATGAGATGAAAAGAGGTGAAAAGAGGACGCACTGCATGTGAGAGAAGTTGAACTGAAGTTCAAACAGAGTCCCCACATTTCTATCCGGGCCTAGCTCACGGAAAGTCGTTCTTCCCGCTCCGGCCATCGCCCAGACTTGTACATGTATACATACCAACGGTTTCTTCCCACGGTCCAGCAGCTCAAGGAATGGCTCAAGCAGACGGCTTCTCGTCGAGGAACTCAAGGGCGTGGAAGGCACGCATAAGCCTGAAAGTGGCGATATGCAAGACGAAGCTCCGGTCCGGGAAAACAGACACGTGTTTCCACGGAAGGTGGACGCGCTGGGCTTCAAAATGCATATTGGTGTGCGTTGTATCCGGGCCTGTTGGGCTGTTTTCGGGAGAGAGGGGCCCGGAGTAGTCTGTTGATTTCCCATCGCAGGCGGGTTTGCACGTCATCTTTTCAGCCCTTGAAGACCGCGGTTCTAGTGTACAGATACCAAGATCTCACGAGAATGTAGGTCGATGGAGGAAGTAGAAGATGTAAATGGTATTGCCACCATCAGCCTGCTCAAGCAAGGCTGGTATAGCTATGCGTAGAGACCAACAGAAATCATGTCCTCATCCATAATAACATTAATAAACGCAATTGCTGCTGCCTCTTCTTGATCTGGGCCCCGGGTTTCCAATTCTTCTTTCTCTACCCGTCCCCCAAGCCGAATCCGTGTCCGATCTTGTGCTGAAGGTCGACATCTTTTGACCAATTTTTCCTGATAAAACCACCAAAAGTTCTTCCAAATCTCAAGAACCCAATATATTATCCTACATGTTGGCCAATTCGCCATCAATAGCCTTGTCCAGGAAAGTTCTGCGTTCACCAGCAGGTACTTCACACTGGAGCCGTTGTTCTACCAGTGCTCTGACCTGCTTTTTGGTTACCTTATCCAGATCCACCTCAGCAAGGACTGTACGGATAGCTTCGACAATGTCCAAGTCAGTCGGTCTAGTCGAGGGGACCGTGCGGAAATCCATCACCGTGGACACTGGCCGTGAGTTCCCAATGCCCAGAAGACTGGGTCGGCTGACAGAATGCTGCATGCCACTTTGATATGGGCTCCGATCTTGATAAGGATTGGGAGACGGAGACTTAAGACGAGCCTGACTACCTAAACTCATCATGCTCATTTGACGACCGTGAACACTCTGTGGTTGGTCGTGGAACTGAGTTAGGCCGGTCATTGTGCTGGCTCGATTGGGCATGCCAAATGGTGCGGGAGAACGAGGAGGCGCCATGTACGGATGCTGTTGCTGGGGAAAGCCTGCCAAGATGGTACTGGCGGGTTTGACGGAAGAATAATTCGAGTGCATGTCGTCCATCTCCATCATCGCTGGATCATCGCGATAAGCCGTTTCAAAACCTTTCTCATGGTAACTGCCAGGGTTTCCTCGTCTGCCTGGAAGATTGTTAGTTGCTGCGTAGTCGTCCCAGCGCTGAAGTGGTATCGATCGTGGATCAAATCCTTCATCTTGAATTGCGACAACTTTCTTGTCTCCTTTTTCACCAATAACAATCCTGGTATTTCCCCAAGTAAAGTTATCCTGATTCCAGAAGGAATAGATTGGTAGAATGAAGCTGTAGACAGGGTAAGCAATAATGTAGATGATCATCCATCCCACATGTTGCCACTGTCTTTTGATGATGAAGATGATTGCTTGGAGACCATATACAGCTGCAAGAATAATCAGGGAGAACAATGGGAATTGACCGGTGCCAGAAGCGACTATATAGATGAGGTATCCGAAATAGGCACATGTTGCTGGAAGGATGAGGGTACCAAAGAGATCAATGAAGACGACAAATCTCATGGAGAAGCAGCAGAAACCACACAAGTCCTTCAAGAACATAAGTTCCGCGAGATTGTGGATTGTCGAGTTGATCCATCGCCGTCGTTGTGACAAAAGCACAGACCATGTCTCTGGTGCAGCAGTCAAGGCATAAGCGTCCGGTACGAACTTGAAGGACATGGATGGGAAGTGTTTGGTCATCAGAGTGGTAAGGTATCGATCTTCACCGAGAGACAATAGATTCTTCTTGTGAAGCGTATCAACGTCACAGTCGGCGTACTCTGTGATAACCTTATCAGAGATGATCAACGGTCGTCCTTTATCGGCTGTTCGAAGCCGGTACATGCAGAAACTATAACACGTTAGTCGGACCACGAGCAAAAAGGTAGCAGAACATACCATCCTGGCAGACAAGTAACACTGCCGAACAGTGATTCGAATGCTTTGGCGAGATGATGCGAGATGTAGTACTCGTAGACTTGGATCATTGTCCACCAACTCCTTTCCTCGTTTTCCAAGCTTGTCTCACCGCAAATGCCAGCAATTTTTGCGTCATTGGCACAAGCAGCGACCAGACGATTTAGTGAGTCCTCTTTGACCATGGTATCGGCATCAACCATGAGAAGGTACTCATAAAGCTCTGGATCCACACCAATGATGTTGTTTATTTGATGAAACATCTCTAATTCCAGGGGCGACATGGGAGATCGATGGTGGACTCTGTTCAGGAATTGCATGAGCAAAATCTGGGAGTCTCGTTTGCCACGATTGCCTGGTTTCGACTTAGACTGCTCTGACTCCTTGCCAACCTTGACAACAACCATGTACGGAACAACATTGCCTTCATACTCGTATAAACCAGAATATACCTTGCCGTAATTTAATTGTTCGTTGCCGTTGCCAACTGACCTGAAAGGAAGGGCGGGTGGGTCAATCTTGGGATCTACTCCCAGAATGTCAAGAACAATCTTCGGAGTAGGCCTGTCATTGCCACCACCAACAATCATACCATCACAGATGACACATATCAGCTTCCTCTTGTTATCGTACTGAAGCGCTGTCAGAGAATCTAACGATTTCCTGAGATGGTCTTCACCCTCAGTGTAAGCAGGAACTTGACAAATGACAAACTTGTCTTGTGGGGACGGTCGCCGTTTCGATCCTAGTTGCAAGGCAGCTAAAAACTTGACCAAAATGACTGTGCACAGCATGATAGTAAAAGCGAGGAGGATCCAGTTGTTCACTGTACACTTGGCCGACTGCCGAAAATCAACTTTGCCGACATAAAATGCTTGGTTCATGCAATTCAAACTGTTGGCATAAGCAGCATTGGTACCCCATTTATCTGTAATGTCTTCACCTGCGCTTTGTTGAATGAGATCGGAAACCTCACTCGGGAAAAACTTGTAAGTGCCGAAGCCGTTCTGGATATCCAAGGTGTAAAAGTAGTCGGTAAGATCATAAATGCTTTGGTCGATGATGACCCACACCCGTTGATCATTGTTGGCTTGGCTCTTAACACTGCTTCTGGTGACTACCAGATCACCCTTGTAATATTCCTTGATCTTGGGGAGGAACCTTTGTGAATACCAATCCCATTTATACAGCTCAGAGCTTTGTACAGGTTGGTAGCGGGGGCCGGATGTGTGGACAGCATTGGGATATTGAATGGCGTCGGTGTTGTTGTGCTGAAGATAGACACTCTCGTCCACATTAAGCCCTGGACATGCCCGGCTCAGTGGAGGAGGAAAATAAGCATCAAGATTGAGTCCAGCTAAAGGTAACATGTTCTCGGCGTTGGTTTTGATGTTAGTGTCTGAATGGTCCACGCGATAGAATTTAGTCATATCATAAACCTTTCCATGGATACTGACAAAGTAATCATTGGTGCCGGTGTGGTAGCCGACTTCTTTTGCATTAAAGGCCTTGTCGAGATTAGGGCAGAGGAGTCGGCCAAAGCCAACGATCCAGAAAACAATGGTGGCATTGATAAGGAAAATGAGTAAGCAGAGGACGATCTTCTCTCGCCATGCCATTCGAACGTCAGGACGCTTCATGCGACCAATAAATCTTAGGAATATTGAAGGCATCCAGAATGTCAAGGCCCAGACTAACGAGACCCATGCCTGTCGGCCTACTGTTGTCTTCTTGGATTCAATGTTTTTGGGATCGCCAAACTCGGGGTCCAGTTCGCCCGCATAACGTCCAAGGTCAGTGTCCCAATATTGATCTTTGAGATCATCTCCTTTAGGGCCCAGGCCATAATCACCACCTATTGTCTGCACTGTACGTGCTTGTGTAGGCGCAAGAGACTTGGCTCGATCACCAGCCGGCATGCCCATGAGGTTCTCCCGGCTGTCCTGCACGCTCATGTTGTCGCCCAGCGGTGGAAAGAAGCCGCTGCCGTTGTGGGGCGTATTTGCAGAATAGCCCGACAGGAATGGATTGGTCGGTTGCCCGTACGCGGGATCGCCCTCTATCGGTTTCATGTCCAACATGGATTCGGCTTCCCACCAGGCACTCTCACGCATCCATATGCGCTCTCGGCCAATAATGACTTCGCCATTGGTCCAGCCGCGCTCTAGAAGGAAGGTCTCGATGCCATCCTTGCCATCTCGACAGCCCAGTCTGGAGTATCTTGTCACGAACTCATCGACATCGAAGTCGGCTGTGAAGTCGAGTTGCCTGTTGCGGTAATTGGCCCACTCAGGAAGTCTCCAAGCACGGAGTTGGCGAGAGACTGTGCCTGCAGACCATGCGGAGGTCGCAGAAGAGAGAGAGGCGAGCGAACTCAAGGCCTCGTCGGTAGGGTGAAGGGAAAGCTGATACCAAACCCTGCTGCTCGCTAACGTTGCCCCCAGGTCGAAGCGGCCCTTTCGACCAAAGTTCAAGCCTTCTCCATCTACTGGGTAGAGTAGAGTTTGGAGAAAACCACCCTCATCAGCACCAGTGCCGATCTTCTCAAGAATGCCTTCTCTTCTGTCGCGGTCGTGGTCTCTTTCACGACTGAGAGGACCACCGGGGATACCTAAATCTGCCTCGACTTCAGATACTGCCGACTGCATCTCCTTGATTACGGAGTGTCCAGCAGTTTGGACTTCAACCCCATCCTCCTTCATCTCGAAATTGATGCCGACTGTGTCATTGAAAACATTCCGGAGCGCGACAGCCTTTGCCAGTGCCTCACTGGGAATTTCCACGACGCTCAGACTCACTTCATCAGCATTCTCACTGCCCGAGTCGGGAGTGAGTGCACCAGAGCGAAGTTCAGCAGAAATGGCCAGATTTGCTTTGGAGAGAACCCAGTCCACGAGGGCCTCATACATCCCTGCGATGAGGACTTCGCGGTCATCCGTACTGCATTTATTGCTGAGCACCTCGGGTTCAAGCCCAATAAGCCCGCCAACATCTTCACATATATCTTCGAGAACATCAGAATCTACCAGGAAACCTGTGGTCTCGCCGAGTTTCAACAAGCCAGCAAGAGAGGAAAGAAGCCCTCGAAAATCAGAGCCCTTGATGCCGATTGCTTTTAGTGCGTTTCGAAAGTCTTCGGCGGCAGCAGCATCATCTGCGCTTGGGAGGTATGAAGGAGGGTCGTAAGTCCCCGACTTATTAAGGAGAGTGTATTTTGAAGGATGTTGCAAGCCAAGAAACTCCCGCTCTGTAGGTGTGGAGGCAGCAGTCAAGAGGTAGTAGAAGACGTCAAAGGCTCGATTGCCACGCTCTGAGGGAACCCTCAGAAGACCACGATCAACATCGATGCCCGAGCCGGAAAGTGCTAAAGTGAATCCGGTAACAGTTCCGGCCAAAGTGACGGTATATCTAGCAGAGAGGGCTGAATGTCTAAGGGTGGTGGGATTTGTAGGTGTAACGCATGAGAGGAAGGGTCGTAGAGCGGTTAGGGCAGTATACGCAATCTGAGGTGTAGGCAAAGGCACAACCTGCAGAAATGCGTTGAAGAGTGGTGGAGTCGAGGGGTGAAGGGATCCAAGAATAATACATGCATCTTCTGCTCTCCGCCGCGCATGTTCCCAAGCCTTGAAAGCAATCTGGGAGTCGACCGTGCCTCCGATACGTCCTTGAGCATCGGGGTTGCTTGCCGTGACCCAGGTATTGACAGCAAGACTTGTACTGGCGTCTAGCTGGTAGGTCTGGCCAGAGGCATATACGGCATGAAGTGCATTGAGGAGAGTCGTGGTCGACACCTGCGCTGGCTGTTGAGCAGCTGAACGTGCACCGCCAACTTGAGAGGAATTATTGGAAAAGGTCGAGTATCGGTTGGCCATGTTGAGGCGAGAAGGCGCCCTTGTGAAGGAGACGTCCTGCCCAGAATATTCTTGACAAGGCCAAAGACCGAGACAGTATTATTAACGCTCTCCCCTTCTTTTATCACCAGCTGGAGGACCTCTCTACCATAGATACATATAACCGTGAGGACTTGGTAATGAGGTTAGAGTGTTGGGATCAGGGGCGGTTTCTTTTCTCGTGGTAATTCGTACAGGAGAGTGTAGGCAGAAGTGAGAGACGTTTAACGAAGGCAAGATTAAAAAGAACAAGGTCGTAAAATCAACGCTACAAAGATGAACGGTAGAGCGACAGTGGTGTGTAGTTGGTTATTGAGAAAAGGCAAAGAATGCTTTTGTGAAGGAGAGGGTGCATTCGACAGGTTGAGGCAAGAGTCCGACTCGAGTACTCCGTAGAATGGTTGCCCTTGAATACAGTGTAATTGACACTGCCATTACCAGGCGTGACCAGTGACAGGGGTCTCTGGCGAAGCACCCGGCGGGCTTCCTTTTGAGTGGTGGGCAAGGTTCAAGAATAGCATTGGACTTACAACGCCACCCTGTCGTGGCCACCAAGTGTGATCCCCGTTTAGGGCCTTCCAGGGGACCTTTAGGGGACTCGAGGCCCGGAATTGCAGACCCGCCAAGCTTCTTTAGGCATGGTCACCCGGCTTTCTGCAGGGGCCGCCGTGAGTTTAAAAGACAGCAAAACCTCCTTGGACGCCAATGATTTATTGTCGCGTCAAGCACGTCCCAGGGCAACGGGGATGCACAACAAAGCCAGATCTGGTCTAGTATGGGGGGTCGATCACACCAGTGCGGACCGTGAGCTGGACGGATGTTGTGTACTCCGTGCGAGGGCACTGGCCTAGAAAGTCGGAGGGGACGCGATTGGAATTTCCCATGACCACGACCTTCACGCCTGGAAAGATGACGCACGTGTAGGAGGCGGATCTGAAATAGAATAGGGTGAAATCAATTAAAGCAAGGTAGTTGATGAGACCATTTGGGGTTCTGCATGAAGCGACATTTGATGATCCATCAAAGTGTTCTCGAAGCACGAGCGGCGAAGAGGGAGGAGAGTGGATGTGCTTGGTGCAGCTAGTTTCACTCAAGCCTCCCCCCGGGTGCCACCCTTGAGACATCGAGTCACGTGGTCTCGCGTGATTGATCACAACCAACCTGCTGGATGCTGCTGGATGCTGCATGTCTCATCGGCCACCGACCTCGATGGGCCTGTAACCTGTCCAGCTGTCAGCCAGCTCCGATTCGACGCAGACATCACACAACATTCCAAGACACATAACTTGTCCGGCCTGCGTCAATTTTACGCACAAAGTACGTAATGTGGGTAGTTGAAAACTTGACTGTTGTGGGCGAGAGAAAAGGAGCAGAGTGTGCAATTTACCCAGTATTGTCGATATTACAACACGTCACTAGCAAGGATGTACTGGTTATGGGTACGCAACATACAGTACAGTATTTGTACAGCATCTGATTACCCTCGCCTGGTTTTCCCACTCCCTGTCTGTGGCTCCCTCAGGTACCAGTCGCTGTCTTGGCTGTATCTCCCCCACAACCCTTTCATCTTTCTTGTCTGCACGCCTTGCACTCTCCCCAAGGGAATTCCAGGGCCCACAGCCAACAGCAAGCAAGCGGACCACGCCATCAATGCCTCGCTTGTTAGCGACTAGCTCGCATTGCCACTGCTCATTCGGCCAGGAGGCTTCGTTGTTGTTAAAACAGAAAGACAATACTCCTTACGGAGTAATCAGTACCTCAAGGTACCTAGCCAAGATACCTGTAATATTCGTATAGAAGGGGTCCGCAGCCCTGATACAGGGTTGTAGAGTCAGCATTCTGAAAACATAGGGCAGCCATGTTCTATATCAAGTGGTTGTAACCGATCATTCGTATGGCATCGAGCAATGCTCGAGCTGGACTACCGATATTCGTCTGTGCTCAATACCCACTAAGCAGTGAGCAAGCAACCCAAAGGCCTGTAAGCAACTCGCGTGGCGCAGCAGATGGAGACTCGCCTGATTTACGGAGCACAGGAAGAAAGAGCCGCCTGGAGCCCTTGTCAAGTTGTCAACAAACTCTGGCTTTGCTATTACCTGTCATAACAAAAGTTGACCGCATCGAGGACCTCCCCACCCAAATCCCTTGCGTGTTCCCTTTGAGCAGAAAACACCCTTCACTTCAAGTCTCTCGCTGGCCACGTTCGACCAAGTATACTCCGTACACCTCATCGACATCTACTATTGCATCCTTGCACGATCTGACGACTTTTGTTATATACTCTCGCTTTGATATAATTGTTGCTTTTGCGTCGTTTCATCGTTTTCAAGCCCCCCCTTTTTACGGACTTGTCGTCGACTATACGCCTCTACGAACTTCGCTCCCTTTGAAATTGCCTTTGACAAGCTCGGCCTTCATTTCGCTCAACATTCGATGAATTGACCGGCAACTCTTCGCACGGCAAACTCGGCCGCTATAATACATCCTCGAATCCATCAATAGACGCGTCTGACCACTACTCTCGTTCAGCATGGCAGCTCGAGGAAATGTTCCTGCGCACCTGCAAGCCTCGCTACCTGCTCTGCCACCTCATCTACAGTCGGATACCCATTTGACAGCACACCTCGCGAGCCGGTTCCATGTGTCTCTGCCAACCGCAAAACTTTCTTCACAAGGTCTGATATGCCTCAACACCTATACATCCTCGACAAGAGGGCCAAATGGGGAAAAAGAAGGGAGCGCCATGGGCGAAGCCGAAGACCTCGCTCGTAGGGCCTGGATCAGGCTAGGAAGTAGAGCAGAGGATCAAGCCGTGGTTTTCTTGTAGGCCTCACCCCTTCTCTTCTCCATCTCGATCGACCTTTACTGACCGTTCCCCAGCGGTGAATCTGGCTCTGGCAAGACCACAGTCCGGTCACATTTGCTTACTTCAGTTCTCTCCTTTTCCTCCACGCCACTTTCCTCCAGATTATCTCTCGCAGCGTTTGTTTTCGATACCCTGACCACAACCAAAACCACAACCACCCAAACCGCATCGAAAGCCGGGCTGTTCTATGAGCTCCAGTATGACGCCTCCTCGTCCATTCCTACTCTCATCGGTGGCAAATTGCTGGACCACCGTCTAGAGAGGAGCCGTATATCTCATGTGCCTACCGGGGAAAGGAGCTTCCACGTCCTCTATTATCTCCTTGCCGGTACAAGCCAAGCCGAGAAAACACATCTGGGTCTGACTGGTGAGACCAACATCACCACCTCTGGCACAGGCCTTTCCCGCTCCGCCTCTGTCGCCCAGAAAAGATGGAGATATCTAGGCCACCCGACCCAAATGAAGGTTGGAATAAATGACACGGAAGGCTTCCAGCACTTCAAAACGGCACTGCGGAAGCTTGAGTTCCCCAGATCTGAAATTGCTGAAATTTGTCAAGTGCTTGCAGCCATTTTGCACATAGGCCAGCTGGAATTCGGTACCGGCCAGACCACTCTGACTGCTGCAGAGGAAAGTGGCGGTTACTCACATGAGGGTGGTGAGACTGTGACTGTAGTCAAGAACACAGAGACCTTGGCCACCGTTGCCGCATTCCTGGGACTGGGCGCACAGGAGCTGGAGGAGAGCCTACGATATAAAACGAAGACGTTGCACAGAGAGCGCGTCACGGTCATGCTAGATCCTAAAGGAGCCCGTGGAAATGCCGACGAACTGGCTACGACATTATACTCCCTCCTTGTCGCCTACATTATCGAGAGCATCAATCAAAGGATCTGCGCTTCGGAAGACGCTGTAGCCAACACTATCTCCATCGTCGATTTTCCTGGCTTCGCTGACCACACTTCTACCGGTTCGACCCTCGACCAACTGTTGAGCAATGCTGCAAACGAGTCTCTCTACAATACCTGTCTGCACAGTTTCTTCGAAAGGACCACTGAAGCTCTCGAGAGCGAAGAGGTCAGTGTTCCAGCAACTACCTATTTCGATAACACGGATACGGTCCGTGGCCTTCTCAAGCATGGAAACGGCTTGCTTGCGATTCTGGACGACCAGACCCGCCGGGGCCGCTCAGATATCCAGTTCCTCGAAAGTCTACGGAAACGGTTTGAGAACAAGAATAAAGCTATCACGGTTGCGAACGCAACTACAACTATGCCCGGCAGTAATTTCGTCACTCCGAACCTGTCGGCTTCTTTCACAGTTCGACATTATGCCGGTGAAGTGGATTACCCGGTCAATAGCTTGGTTGAAGAAAATGGCGATGTGGTCTCAGGCGATCTGATGAATCTTATGAAATCTACAAGGAGCGACTTTGTGGGATCTCTGTTTGGACAGGAGGCTCTGAACACCATCAGCCATCCTTCAGAGAAGACCGCCATCGTTCAAGCCCAGGTCAGTTCCAAACCGCTACGCATGCCCAGTGTATCGAGGAAGAAGCATGACCAATTGCGAAGAATGGCTAGCAGAAGAGCAGATAAAACGCCTGCTGTAGAAGAGACCGAAGAATCAGGTCTGCGGGTCGAGGAAGGAAGATCAAGGCGAATGAAGGCGACCGCGACCGGTCTCACTCAAGGCGCCGCCGCCCAATTTCTGTCAGCACTGGACAACATCACAAAGTCGCTGACTGCCCCGAATGTCAACAACTATTTCGTCTTCTGTCTCAAACCAAATGATAGGCGGATTGCGAACCAGTTTGACAGCAAATGCGTTCGACAGCAACTGCAAGTGCTCGGAATTGCAGAGATCAGTCAGCGGCTCCGCACAGCCGATTTCAACATCTTCTTGCCTTTCGGCGAGTTCCTTGGTCTCGCAGAGACCGATGTCGGTGTGGTTGGCAGCGAGGCGGAGAAAGCCCAGCTGGTGTTGGATGGCAGGCGATGGCCACCCAATGAAGCCAGAATTGGTAGTACTGGAGTCTTCATGAGTGAACGTTGTTGGGCAAGCATCTCCCTCTCAGCCTCACAATCTGCAGCATATTTTGGCGGAGAACAAGGCTCACTTTCCCGGCCCGACACACCTGGCCCAAATCCCTTCTTAGACCCGAAAGCACAGTTACTCTCCTCTGCTGATGGCACTCCCGGGTCCTTCTATGGGGATGAAACTAAGGGAGGGGGCTATTTTGGAAGCCGTGACCTCGACGCCAAATCCGACGCAGGCGCCTCAGCGTTTCACTCTGGTGACATGTTCAGAAACCTTGAAACCAAAGAAGAACTCGCTGAAAAGGCGAACAAGAAAAAAATGGAAGAGGTCGATGTTGTGGCGCTGTCGTCAAGCCGCAAACGGTGGCTAGCACTTGTTTATCTGCTTACATGGTACATCCCGGACTTCGGCATCAAATTGATAGGGAGAATGAAGCGTAAAGATGTGCGGACTGCCTGGAGAGAAAAGCTTGCGATCAATCTTCTTATCTGGCTCAGTTGTGCAAGCGCGGTCTTCTTCATCATCTTCTTCCCGACCCTGATTTGTCCAAGGCAATATGTCTACTCCGCAGCTGAGTTGTCCTCACATGATGGCAAAGGTAATCACGATTCGTTCATCGCCATCAGAGGAGTGGTATTTGACTTGGGCGCATTTTTGCCTAGCCATTACCCGAACATTATTCCTCAAAGCTCACTCAAGAAGTATGCCGGGGTGGATGCCACAGGCCTTTTCCCTGTCCAAGTCTCAGCTCTATGTCAGGGCAAAGGCAACGGAGTTGACCCAACTGTTCAGCTTGACTACACCACGACGAATATCACAGGGTCTGCGAGTGTGATCTCCTCCACCGACGCCAATAGACGTTATCATGACTTCAGATCCTTTAACCGGGATTCCAGACCTGACTGGTTCTTTGAGCAAATGATAATGCTTAAGGCAAACTACAAAAAGGGAAATATCGGCTACACCCCTCAGTATGTCAAGACTCTGGCGGGCAAGTCTCGCGCCATTGCAATACTGAACGACAAGGTTTACGATTTCACTACGTACAATCAGGGCGGTCGCAGTACCAGAGCCCCCGAGGGTGAAGAGGTACCCGCCGGCGTCGACACGAATTTCATGGACGACCTCGTGGTCTCTCTGTTCACACAACGGGCTGGACAAGACGTCACTAAATATTGGAATGCGCTTCAAATTGACGAGGGCCTAAGAAGTCGGATGCAGATATGTCTTGACAACCTATTCTTCGTGGGAGTGACTGACACACGTAACTCACCACAGTGTCTGTTCGCGCAGTACATCCTCCTGGTCATCTCAATTCTTATGTGCTCTGTTATTGCATTCAAATTCCTGGCAGCTCTTCAGTTTGGGGGCAGAAATGTGCCGGAGAACCTGGACAAGTTTGTCATTTGCCAAGTTCCCGCATATACCGAAGACGAGGACTCACTGAGGCGTGCCATCGACTCTGCGGCCCGCATGCGCTATGATGATAAACGCAAACTCCTGATTGTCGTCTGCGATGGTATGATCATAGGTCAAGGAAACGATCGGCCTACTCCAAGGATTGTCCTCGACATATTGGGTGTCTCTGAGACAGTGGATCCTGAGCCTTTGAGCTTTGAGTCCCTTGGCGAGGGTATGAAACAGCACAATATGGGCAAGGTATATGCTGGTCTCTACGAGGTCCAAGGCCATATTGTACCATTCATGGTTGTTGTGAAGATTGGCAAACCTTCAGAAGTCTCAAAGCCTGGAAACAGAGGCAAACGTGATTCACAAATGATCGTCATGCGTTTCCTAAACCGGGTTCATTACAATCTTCCGATGAGCCCACTCGAGCTTGAGATGCACCACCAAATTCGGAATATCATCGGCGTCAATCCTACCTTCTATGAATTTATGCTACAGATCGATGCCGATACAGTCGTTGCACCTGACTCCGCCACTCGAATGGTCGCAGCATTCCTCCGCGACACGCGATTGATAGGGTTGTGCGGAGAGACGTCGCTCACCAACGCCAAAGCCTCCTTCATTACCATGATGCAGGTCTACGAATACTATATCTCTCATAATCTCACCAAGGCTTTTGAGTCACTGTTTGGCTCCGTGACCTGTCTGCCAGGCTGTTTTACCATGTATCGTATCCGAGCTGCGGAAACGGGCAAACCTCTTTTTGTCAGTAAGGAGATCATTGAGGACTATTCCGAGATCCGGGTCGACACACTGCACATGAAGAACCTGCTTCACCTAGGTGAAGACAGATTCTTGACGACTTTGCTGCTCAAATACCACTCCAAGTACAAGACCAAGTATCTCTTCCATGCGCATGCTTGGACAATTGCTCCCGACAGTTGGACAGTGTTCATGTCTCAAAGGCGTCGCTGGATCAACAGTACGGTTCACAACTTGATCGAACTCATACCATTACAGCAGCTCTGCGGTTTTTGCTGTTTCAGTATGCGTTTTGTGGTGTTCATTGATCTTCTGTCCACCATCATAGCACCTGTGACTGTTGCATATATTGTTTATTTGATTGTCCTTGTATCTACTCGATCGACTGTTGTCCCGCTCATGGCATTTGTCCTTCTTGGTGTGGTTTATGGATTGCAAGCTTTTATTTTCATCCTCCGGCGAAAATGGGAAATGATTGGGTGGATGATTGTGTACATCCTCGCAATGCCCATATTTTCGTTTGGGCTGCCACTGTATTCATTCTGGCACATGGACGACTTCAGCTGGGGTAATACGCGTTTGGTTACTGGCGAGAAGGGTAAACAGATCCTTATCTCTGATGAGGGCAAATTCGACCCAGACTCCATTCCAAAGAAGAAGTGGGAAGAATATCAAGCAGAGTTGTGGGATGCTCAGACACAGCGCGATGATGCACGCTCCGAGATTTCCGGCTACAGCTATGGCACAAAATCGTACCATCCTGCTGGCTCTATCTACGGTGGTGGATATGACACTCAGCATCTCATGCCCACGTCTAGGTCTGCCTCGCAGCTTGACATGCATCCTCCAGTTTATGCAGGGGCCTACAATCAATCCAGAATGTCATTGGCACCATCGGATATGCTAGGTGGTGGCATGATGGCAAGTGGGCGGTCCATCGCCGATATGGAGATGTCCGATCTGACCGGCCTGCCAACTGATGACATGATCTTGAACGAGATCCGCGAAATCTTGAAGACGGCAGACCTAATGACAGTGACTAAGAAAGGAATCAAGCAAGAGCTCGAGCGGAGGTTTAACGCGAATCTTGATGTCAAGCGTGCATATATCGGCAGTGGTAAGCCTCTCAAACAGTCCTGGAATGCCTCTCACATACTAACTATATTATTCACAGCTACCGAAGCCATCCTATCTGGTCAACTATAGAGCTTTTTTCGCAATTAGATGATAGCGTTTGTTGGGACGATTATTTAGCACGAGGCACAGGCGTCTGAGGAGGAAGGCAAAATGGGTGGCGGCCGTTGCGCATATCATGAAAGAGGATGCTCTCTAATCGGCAAATGGCCACATGGCCGAGGACATATATGTAATAGGAATGTAAACTCAGGGGTAAGGCCAATTGTTTGATAAGGACAAAGTGGTCCTGTAATTCCTGTTGCACGAAACCACTCGTGACATGAATCTTGAGATTATACTCGTATGGTCGTACTCTCTCCGTGTGCACCCCGCTCATCGAATGGCGGCACATCGTGCACGGACAAGTACTAACGCAAGGACGCGTCACGTCGACTGCTAGGAATCCAGACTTCTGCGTTTTCTCACATTCTGCGCGCCAAGTTGGCCAAGCTCAAATTGCCGGTATACTAAAAGGCTTGTTTTGTGCCTGGCCAGGCAAATTGATCTTATGGGTGTCCACTCGGCACCGACCACTGACGTAGTTCTCAGCAGCGACAAGAGCTTTGCCAATGCAAAGCACGAATGGAAACCAAGAAACTTGGACATTCGGACCCTGACGTGCGTGGCCTTTTTCGCCTGACATCCAACCTCTCGCTTCTTTCAAGAGAAAATGTTCTTTTCAAGTGGTGGCCTTTTACTGCTCGAAGTCAAGGCATGGCGCCTAGCTTCCTTTTGAATCCTGGTGCATTGTTAATTGATCCTCCCACCAACGGGAAATCTTCCTAAGTTGCACCACAACGTCGCGTGAAACATATTTAATCAAAGTATAGCAATTAATAAGCTGTGTACATACTTCCAGAGCAATGATTCCAATTTCTGTCTACGAACTATGCCGTGGCGACCTATCGGTCAGTTCTGAGCTAGCCAGGAACGCGGCCTTATCTCCTCACGAGGCATGCGAAAAGCTCTTCGGTGTTGATACTGAGGACCGCAAAGCTACCAAAAAGATTGACACAAGCAAGGAAGCTGCAGATGACCTTGAGCAAGCATTTCAATGTGGAAAATGGGGTAAGACTCGACCCAGCGATTTGTTTCTGAGGGTATGGCCCAGTCACCATGGTCTAGGATGGGAAACGCGCTGATCCTTTGACCAGATATATCACGATGTCTTATGTACACTTGAAAAGAATCCCTTGGTAGGAGTATGCTCGCCTTCACTCCTCGGTAGCAATGGAGTCTGCCCGCTCACTATCATGGCAACGGTGCCTGACATTTGCCGCCATATCTCCAACGTGATCGCGCGAGCTGAGCATGAAGTCTTCCTCGCTACCAATTTCTGGTCTTATTCGGAGCCCACCAGGCTGATAACCAATGCGCTAAAAGAACTGTCGAAGAAGGCCGTGCAGACCAATCGCAGGGTGGTAGTTAAGATTATCTATGACCGGGGCAGCGCGAAACAGGTAATTGGAACACCGCGGCCCAGGCTTGCATTCTAACATTAACAGTTTATCAAAAACCACCTCCCGGTGAGTGTACAGGACTACGCAGATCCTCAAGGGAAAATCCGAATCCCTCATCCAGACGATCTTCCAAATGTTGATCTTGAGGTGGTGAATTACCACCAGCCTATCTTTGGCACGTTTCATGCCAAGTAAGCTCATCCCATACTCCCCATCTGCTCCCTCGCGGAGCGGATCTGAAGGCTCTCGACTGCTGATAGATCTGATGTGCTCAAGATACGTTGTGGTCGATCGCAGGATTGCCATTGTTCAGAGCAACAATATTCAGGATATTGACAATCTGGAGATGATGACACAATTCGAGGGTGACATCGTCGACTCATTTTATGATATCGCTCTCATCTCATGGCACAATCTAATGAAACCCACTCTTCCCTGTATCAACACCCCAAATTCTGGCCAGGCACTACCTACATTTGATGCCCAGACATATGCCACTCTTTTTGACGACGCCGGGAGGCTAGTTCCCGTCTACCACGCGTATGTATCCAGTGTCATGATCATGGTTCTGTGCCCTCTGACCCCTGTCAGGAATGATTCCGTGCCCGAAGGAGATGCTTCGCTGCGCGATCTCGCAGCTCACGGATCGCAACTAAATCTGCCTCAGCACACGTCTGAAGATCCACACTACGATGAGGATGTCAAATCGGAAGTATTACGTGCCATCGCAGTGTTGCATCCGATTCCAGGGGAAACGCGGATAAACGCCATCACTCGTTTGCTCAACACCAACATTCAACCAAATACCAAGGGAACTGCACCAGAAATTGAAGCAGCCGACACGATGACCCCACTAATCCCGATTCCAAGACACGAACCATTTCCGATAGCAATGGTCTGTCGGGAACCTTGGGGGGCACCAAACAAGCATCACCTTTACACACCGCAGAACGAAGCATGGATGTCTGCTTTGCGCCACGCCAAGACATCCGTCTTTATTCAGACCCCCGACCTAAATGCAGAAGCGTTGCTTCCCGAGATTCTGGCTGCTTGCCGCAGGGGAGTCGAATTGACATATTACTATTGCTTGGGATACAATGACGCTGGCGAATTGCTTCCTATGCAAGGTGGCCACAACGAAGGGATAGCGAATTACTTGTACCAGCAGCTAGAGGAGAAGCATCACGACCATCTCAACATCCATGTCTATGTGGCAAAGGATCAAACTCGGCCTATCCACAATAAGTTCAAGTCACGGTCGTGTCACATCAAGCTGATGGTTGTCGACGGCCACATCGGGATTCAAGGCAATGGGAACCAGGACACCCAAAGCTGGTACCACAGTCAAGAAGTGAATGTCATGATCGACAGCGAATTGGTTGTAAGCAAATGGATGGAAGGGATTCGACAGAACCAGAACACGCATAGGTTGGGAAAGGTGGGAAAGGAAGGTCCAGACGCTGGATGTTGGAAGGATCCTGAAACTGGGAAGCAAGCAGAAGGTGCAATTGGGGTTGATCCAGGAAAGTTTGCTTGGGCAAAAGGATTCGTGGGAGCTGTTCAAAGAGTCAGAGGCGCCGGGGGATTTTGACCTCACTGGCAATCTGTTCCAGTCGGAAGATGTTCCAGTCATGCCGGTTTCTTGTTGTACCTGAGATGTGGTAACATGTTATGGCATCACTTTTTGTTCGGAGCTTGAACCGAGGACTTAGGCTTGATAGATGCTCAAGAACAGGGATGGCACAATGGTAGAACCCTCAACCCGCCGACGATGAGCAACATTGGACGGGATATTGTTTCTCCGGATTCCGCGGCATCCAAGATACAAGCGCATATCTCCAGTTCCGCATCGACAGCGAACCATACCTCGTCAACCCCTGGCGCGAAACGAGTCGTGGCCCTTGGATCCCACCAGCTACTCAATTAGATCTCCTAAAAGTCATATATTTGTAATTGTGCTCCTCTGCTACCTCTGGAATAGTAGAGTGGCATGGAGTACGATTGCATCTGCTTGGCCGTCACTCGACCCGCCGGAAGAGTCGGGAGTTCCTTTCGGGAAATATTTGGTCCGCTTTCTATCATCACGGTGTGTAGAGCACGCTACTCCCCGCCAACAAGACTCCATACACCACTTGCTCGGATAACAGCCGCCGGTTCTGCCTATGGCGCCAACCAGAGAAGCAGTGATCGGTTATGGATGCTTCCCTAACCTTTGCCGGCCATGCCTTCTCAAATGTGTGTGCCAGTGAAGAGGGAAAACTGTCAATGGTCGTTCGACTCGCCGTCTGTGCCGAAGTCGGGGTTTCTTCCCCACATTTATCCGTCTCGCAGTTTGCCCTGAGGAAAGTGCGATCTCCAACACGGACCCGCGCCCAAGCGTTGCTTGGTTGCTCTTGCCTTGTTTGCCAATGCCATCATATGCTGTGGACGCGCCTCTTCCCCTCTTCCTCGCTCGCGTGAAAAGATATGTCGATCCGTCGAACATGGGGATGCCAAATGTTGGCAAATGCCGGACTGTTGCGCGCCCCAACTGAGTGGGACACCACCAGCGGGAGTGTACCGCTCGTTGTTTGTCTAAATTGCCAACATGATTCCTCGGCTGTCATTTTCGAAATAAAGACGGATTGACTTCCCATCCTTTTGTTGCTCTGGGACTGTTCTTCATCTGCATGGATCATTGTCACTGCTAGCGTCTTCATTTTGACCGTTTGACACCCTCAAAGTACTGAATACTAGCAGAGTCAGAGTGGTCCACCACAAGAGCAGCCTTGATAGCGTTCCCCGCGCTCGAGAGAAGATGGGTTCGATTGAGAAGAAGCCGTAGGAGGTCCACACTTGGTCGTCTAGGATTTACAGCTGACCTGCTTCATTAGCGTTTACACGGCGTCCTTTGCTTTCTTCGAGGCATTATGGGAGGTGAGCATGCAATTCAATCTTTGTTATCCCACGACTGACCGAATTGAAGGCCGGCATCACCCATATCTTCGTGAATCTCGGCTCCGACCACCCGTCCATTATGGAGGCTATGGCAAAGGGCAAGAAGGAGCTGGGCGACAAGTTCCCCAGAATTATCACCTGCCCCAACGAGGTATGTAGCGATATAAGCAGCGATGAGCCGCAGTCACTGACTGCTGAGTGCAGATGGTGGCCCTCTCGATGGCAGATGGCTTCGCCCGATTGACCAACAAGCCACAGTGCGTCATAGTCCACGTCGATGTCGGAACTCAGGGCCTGGGGGCCGCTGTACATAACGCCTCCTGCGGACGAGCACCAGTTCTCATCTTTGCCGGCCTGTCTCCATACACGATCGAGGGGGAGTATCGAGGGTCAAGAACAGAATACATCCATTGGATTCAAGATGTGCCCGATCAAAGACAGATTGTTTCACAGTACTGCAGATATACTGGCGAGATCAAGGGTGGGAGGAATGTCAAACAGTTAGTCAATCGAGCGCTTCAATTTGCGACAAGTGATCCGCAAGGTCCAGTCTATCTCTACGGCGCAAGAGAGGCCATGGAGGAAGATATCGAGCCATACCATTTGGATCAGACGCAGTGGGAGAGGGTCAGCCCCGCAGCCCTTCCACAAGCAGCAGTCAAACTCGTCGCGGAGAATCTAGTCGCAGCCAAGGATCCTTTGCTAATAGTAGGGTACACCGGCCGCAACTCAGAAGCTGTCTCTGCTGCTGTGGCTCTCGCGGATAAGATCCCGGCTCTCCGAGTCCTCGACACAGGTGGTTGCGATATGTGTTTCCCAGCAAACCACCCTGCAGCTTTGGGCCTCCGCTACGGTTCTGATCCAGCCATTACGACGGCTGACTTCATTCTTGTTGTCGACTGCGACGTTCCTTGGATTCCTACTCAGTGCAAACCTAGGGCCGATGCGAAAATTATTCATATTGATGTAGATGTCTTGAAACAACAAATGCCTGTTTTCTACATTCCAGCTTTTGCTCGATTCAAGGCTGACTCAACCACATCCTTCTCACAGATCAATGACTTCCTTGCACAAAATCCAGACCTTCCCGGGACACCCTCAGGCGAGGCACATCAAGCTGCAGCAAAGAAACGGGAGGATTCTTATAATGCACGCTGGGGTCCGGTTAAGGAACTTGCAAAGATTCCATCGGATTCGCAGAACGCATCAATTGACCCACATATTCTTGGAGGTCAGATAAGAGCCGCTGTACCGGAGGACGCGATCTTCGCGGTCGAAGCGGTAACACTGAGCCTTTATATTGCTGATCAGATTGCCCCAGTATTACCGAAGTCGTGGATTAACTGTGGTGGAGGTGGTCTTGGATGGTCTGGTGGCGGCGCCTTGGGCATCAAGCTCGCATCGGATTTCGAGCACAGAGATGTTGCTGCTGGTGACCTTGAAGGAACCAACAAGGGCAAGTTCGTTTGCCAAATCGTCGGGGATGGCACATACCTCTTCTCTGTTCCCGGTTCAGTCTACTGGATTGCACAGCGTTACAACATCCCCGTCTTGACCATCATCCTGAACAACCATGGCTGGAATGCGCCTCGTCGATCTATGCTCCTGGTCCATCCAGATGGTGAAGGAAGCAAAGTTGACAACAAAGCACTCAATATCAGCTTCGACCCCACGCCGAATTATGCTGGCATCGCGAAGGCTGCGACCGGTGATAAGGCGTTCGCGGCACAGGTCAGCAGTGTTGCCGAACTGCTAGAACAATTACCAAAGGCAGTCGAGGCTGTCAAGGGTGGTAGATGTGGTATTCTGGAAGTCAAGCTCGGCGCAGACCTGAAGAAACTGGCCGGCGATGCGAATGTTGATGTAGTGGCTACATCAAGTGGATAGGTTGATGGACGTGTTCAATTAGGTTAGAAGAAATATAAAGTTTTATACACTGAAGTGCCTCTGTTCCTGACATCTTCGTTGAACGATGGACACATCTGGATTTACTCAACAACACTCCCCACAAGACTTCAAATTGAGAATGAAGGATGATCAAGGCTTTCAATTCATGACGTGTTTTTCAGGGCTTAGCACCAAAGCCGAATTGCTAGGAGGCCGATGCTAAAGGACCACTTGGGCATACTCAGTAAAGGTAGAGAAATCGCTGATGTATATTAGGCTGATAGACATCTCGTGACAAGAAATTCAACATGGTTATTTGATTTATCTACTTATGGGACAAGGGCACCTGTTGTCAGTGCCAGCACCCGCCCAGAAGTCAAACAGAGGGTGTCGACCGAAACGCGCCAAGAACCACTTTACGCGCTCGACGCGTCCCACGCGTTTTCGGGCGATTTCCATTTTCAGGGATTGGGTGAGGTGAGGGCCTCTCGCCCTTGTTGAACGACTTCATCAACTCCTACGAGCACCGCCGCTAGACTTTTTTTCACAGTGCCAGGATGGCGCTCGATAGTCGTCAACTCCGCGATGAAGCGGTCCGTGACAGAATCAGACTCGCGACCGAGTTTCTCGATCCCACAAACCCACGGGCCCGGTCGTATCGCGGTGACATCGTTTTGATGCTCAACCGTGGATTGAGGCGACTCGTGGTCAGTATTGACGACATTCGATCTCATTCCCGAGAGCTCGCGGACGGCATTCTCTATCAGCCATTTGACTATTCCCTCGCCTTCGACGCGGCCTTGAAGACAATCATCAGCACAATCCCGAACCGGGCGGCCTTCGAGCAGGATGAAGAGACGTTATACTACGTTGCATACTCTGGGTCGTTCGGAGAGAATTCATGCAACCCGAGAACGCTTGGAAGCTCACTGTTGAATCGTATGGTCTGTCTCGAAGGCATTGTCACCAAATGCAGTCTCGTCCGACCCAAGATCGTGAAGAGCGTGCATTGGAATGAGAAGAAGGGAACATTCATGTTTCGAGAATACAGAGACCAAACGATGACTGCCAATGGCCCGGCCAGTTCAAGCGTGTATCCCCAAGAAGATGGCTTCGGTAATCCCGTATGTTTTCCATTCCTCCTTATTTGAATTCTGCATCCACTTACTTTGTCGCTAGTTGATCACAGAATACGGTCACTGCACGTACAGAGATCACCAGACGATCAGTATACAAGAAATGCCCGAACGAGCTCCTGCAGGCCAACTGCCTCGTGGCGTTGATGTGATCTTGGACGACGACATGGTCGACCGGGTGAAGCCCGGCGATCGAATCCAACTCGTGGGGATCTTCAGGTCGTTGGGAAACCGGAATGCAGGGTCTGGATCGGCAATCTTCAGGACACTCATTCTGGCTAACAACATTGTCTTGCTGTCTTCGAAATCTGGTGGTGGCATCGCACAGGCTACTATCACCGATCAGGATGTTCGAAACATCAACAAGATGTCCAAAAAGAGCAATGTTTTCGAGCTACTTGCACAGTCGCTAGCTCCCAGCATTTTCGGCCACGATCATATCAAGCAGGCCATCTTGCTTATGCTCCTAGGTGGTATGGAGAAGAACTTACCGAATGGCACTCATCTTAGAGGTGATATCAACGTCCTCATGGTGGGAGATCCGTCCACCGCAAAATCGCAGCTTCTGCGTTTTGTCCTCAACACCGCGCCTTTGGCTATTGCAACCACTGGTCGAGGCTCTTCCGGTGTTGGTCTTACCGCTGCAGTAACTTCTGATAAAGAAACCGGAGAACGGAGACTTGAGGCTGGTGCAATGGTTCTAGGGGATCGAGGCGTTGTGTGTATCGACGAATTTGACAAAATGAGTGATATTGATCGAGTCGCCATCCACGAAGTCATGGAACAGCAGACAGTCACCATTGCCAAAGCTGGAATTCATACGACTCTTAATGCACGCTGCAGTGTGATTGCGGCCGCAAATCCCATCTTCGGTCAATACGACAGCAACAAAGATCCGCATAAGAACATTGCACTGCCAGATTCTCTACTTTCACGTTTCGATTTACTCTTCGTGGTGACAGACGACATTAACGATGAAAGGGATCGTGAGATCTCAGAGCACGTTCTCAGAATGCATCAGTACAGGCAACCAGGCACAGAAGAAGGCGCTCCCCTCCGGGAACAATCAAATCAGATGCTCGGTATTGGTATCCAAGAGGATCAAAATGCCCCCCAAACAACGACAGAAGTGTTTGAGAGATTCAGCGTCGTCCTCCACTCGGGTATGACGATCACGAGTGGTCGTGGTAGGAATAAACAAATCACTCCTGTCAGCATGCCATTCATCAAGAAATACATCCAGTATGCGAAGAGCAGATGCAAACCTGTCTTGACCCAAAAAGCTAGTGACTATGTGGTTACTGCGTACTCGAATTTGAGAAACGATGAGATTGAAGGAAATCAGAGAAGAACAAGTCCGATGACTGCCAGAACTTTGGAGACTCTCATTCGTCTTTCAACTGCCCATGCAAAGGCAAGACTGTCAAGCCGTGTCGAAGAGAGCGACGCCATTGCTGCAGAAAGGATCCTGAAATTCGCTCTGTTCAGAGAACTTGCTATGAAGGAGGATGGCCGGAAGAAGAGACGTAAGACTCAGGATGCCAACGTCGAGAGCTCATCGGAAGACGACTCGGAAAGCGATGATGATGGTAGCGACGATGATACTCCGTACCGTGGAACTAAAGCAAATGGTAGGAGATCAGCCAAGCCTCAAACTAGAAGCCAAAGACCGACCCGTACCAACGGCGCGGGTTCTTCTCGTCCGAATAACGCCGCCGCCGCTGATGACGACGACGGGGGAGTTGATTCAGACAATGCACCTAGCGCATCCCAACGCCGGACCGGCGCCGAGTCTCAGCTCTCACGCATGTCGCTCGCCAGCTCGATCCCCAGCTCACAACTCCCACCCACCCAGACAGACTCGCAATCGCAATCGCGCAGAACCCAAACTCAGACAGACGCAGAAATCCCACAATCGCCCGAGTCGTCGCCCGAACCCGAGGCGAGAATCGCGCCACCTCGTCTGAAGACGTTCCGCGAGACACTAGGCGCCCTCACCCACACGTCTCTGTTCCAAAACGACATGGCCACAGTTGCGGACATCACCATCGCAGTCAACCATCGTCTAAGCGAGCGGAACAGCAGCGCCCAGGAGTTCTCAGGCCCGGAAACTACCGCTGCGCTCAAGGCCATGGGCGAGGCGAATCAGATCATGTTCTTGGAGGACAGTGGCGAGGTCTATACTCTTTAGATAACGCGTAAATGTGTTGCTGGCTGGCATTGATGTGTGTATTGTATGGTGTGTTCTGATTAACGGATGCAGTTCAGAGTGGCTACGTGCTGTACGATATCTATGCACAACCATGATGTGGTGGGTGATAGGGGTTCTGGGTGGGATATTAGGATTTATCGTTTATATAACAGTAGGGTGAACAATGCAATGCAATGTTTCTTTTCCAAACTGGTGACTTGTAAGAAAGCTCCAACCTGTTCGTAAACCAAGTCGCCTTGGGCAACCAAAGAATGAGAAAAAGGAAACGAAAGGAAACGAAACGAGATGCCCTGTGGTTGCTAATTCCCATTTCCCATTCGGCCGCGGCCTACCTACTAACTCGGCTGGGGTTGTTGCTCGCGTCGGAAGCGAATTGATTGAATGAGTGACTACGTCTACAATAGGCCATTTCTCACATGTGTCTGTCTGCGGCGTCGGAGTGGGTACGGGCGTGCGAGTGTGCTGCTTCTGGTGCGGATCTATGTGTTATAATCTGAACTACGAGCAGTATCTGACTAAAGTAGAGTCCATTGATAGAGTGAATGGGTAGAGAGATAAAGAGTGAGCTCTCGTGGACGAACTCAGGGGGTGCTGTTAGGGTATTTTTGTTTCTCGGTGTCTTGATGATGGCGTAAACACAGCCCTACGCCGAGAAAGGAAGATCATCCGAAGCTGGTGCGGACTTCCTAAAATTGGCTTAGTGCGTATCATGAACGTCAACGCGAGACAGTCAAACAGCAACACAAAGCATCAGTCTAATCTACTTTGATTCCGAGATTGCGCTGCATCTGCCACATAGTCCTACCAATTCACACAGGCTGCCTCTTCCTCGACGCCGCCTATTGGCCGCCCTCTATTCCTATATCATTACCCTGGTTTACCAATCCTTTCAGCACTACACTATGGCCGGAGAGTTACCTGCGTTCGATTCCCAATGGCTAGCAGTATGCTTTCCGCTCATGGCACATAAACACCTGTCTAAGAGTCATAGGCTGAGGAAATGATAGGCGGTCGCTTTGTCATGGATGCCGAACCAGTTCAACGAAGTCGAGAGCGATTCGTTGGCATCTTTGCTAGCCTTGCACCATTTCTCCCTCCCCCCACTAACGCTGTGCGGTCCGAAGATATACACATTACACCTACACAAAGAGTGAGGATTTTTACCCCTTCGGCTGAAACAGATCTATTACCGGTAGGATTATATATTCATTCTGGAGGATGGTTTACCGGCAGCATTGAGGGCGAAGACCTTTTGTGTCGAATTATCTCAGAGAAGTCTAAGATGATCCTCTTCTCCCCAGAATATCGCCTTGCGCCGGAATATCCCTATCCTGCTGGTCTCGAGGACGTCTGCGCGGTCTATGAATTCATGAATGCAACAGCCACAAAATATGGAGGAGATCCGAGGAGGAAATTCATTATGGGTGGATCTGCCGGGGGGAATCTAGCTGCCTGCGTTGCGCTAAAATATTCTTCGAATCAGGAGCTCAAACCCGCTGGATTGGTTGCTGCTTGTATGGCAAGCTGCGATCCTCGAGTGCTACCTGCGGAGTATATGAGTAGATATACTCCCGAGCTGTACTCGGATGCGCCAATGATTGGAAACGCGATGATGCGTCAAGCAAGAAGTAAGGGACACGCAGTGAAATACCAGAGCTAACCGAAAGCGCTTTTAGAATGGTACAATGCACCGCAACCTCAAGATCCCCTGTACTCGCCGTTATTGCACCCAGACATTAGACTACTGCCCAAGACTTACATTACAGCATGCACCAAAGATCCTACCCATCAAGAGACTGTCTTCTTCTACGAGGAATGTAAAAGGCAAGGGGTCGATGTTGAGTTAGTGGAATGGGTAGGTTGGCCACATTTCTTTTGGATGCTTTTAATGCTTCCTAAGTCTGTGGAATTTATGGATGTCTGGTGCGGAAAATTGAGAGCAATGATTGCAGACTTGTGAAGGGTTCTTGCAAACCCACGAATCTTGGTTCCAGCTCTCCAGTTTCTTGTCCCACCTATCCATACGGATGCAGTCTGTTTATAGTTTCTTTCCGTAAACAACGTAGCTAGCCATCAAAGTTAGTTGAGCAAGCTCAAGTGACTAAGATACTTTTCAACCTACAAGTCGTACTGTCCATGAAATTTCCTGTCCCTAAAATCCCGACGGATTTCTGCGAGGAAGACTTGGATTTCTTCATATGTCCATGGTTGTGGTGCATGAGGCAAGGTACCGAGGCAGATGGCTTCAACGGCAGCCTGCATTTGCAAGAGATTGTAAACACCAATTTCCTTCTTTGACCTCTCTTTCGGCCATGGTCCCAGTGGCAGGCATATCTTATGGGCTTGTATGTTTGAGAAGCCAGCATTTTCCATCCATCGTTCGAGCGATGCTCCTGGCTTCATGTCGAATCCCTGGGCTTCCCTTGCGCCGCCCGCCATAGCGTGGAATCTTGCAATTGCGGATTCTGGGAGTATGGATTTATCCTGGGAGTAGATGAAGGTGTTCCAATCCTGAAATTCGACCCAACCACCGGCTTTGGTACAATTAAAGACTTGTTGCATCAGGCGAGGCCAATCGGCAACAGCCCCAGCAAGAAATCGAGCATGAACAAAATCGAAAGGCTGCATTTCGTAGCCCCACTCAGCTTCGATATCATCGACGATGAACTTGAGGTTAGGGGGAACAGCCGTAGGCTGTGTTGGACTCAAATCATTACCAATCACCTCTGCCGAAGGGTGTTGATCTGCGAAGGCGATAGCCCAAATTCCTGTTCCAGTGGCCAGATCAATAACTCTTTGCAAAGTGGAATCAATGGGTGCATAGTACAGGCGGTTTCCCATGGCTTTAAGAATCATGGCATGGTGAATATCTAACCTCTCACTCTCTTGCTCATCATTTGGCAAAGTATATCTTCCTTGTTGGTAGGCGTGATAACGACGACCATAAATTTCCTGGTAATCAGTTATTGACGAGGTTATAGAGGCCGTGAATGTCGATATCTCATCTCCATATGCCGAATCGCTTTCGATTGTATCAACTTCGAGATTTGTAGGATGCGAGATGGAGCCGGCCGCAGCAGCAGCCATAGCTAGACCACTGGCACATACGTCCTGTCCTTCCAAAATTCGTCGACACCCTCTCCGTAGACTAGTAGTCACTATTCCACATTACGCTTCAGTTTTAACGAAAGGACTCAAGCCTGCCCGCCCGTGAAATAGCTCTGTCTGCGGGGTCGGGCGGGATGGACTTTGCCGAGAACTAATGCACTCATCCGATTCTGGACTTCCTGCTCCACACATATCCTTGTCACTAAAGATACAGTTGTGGATAACTAAGCTCTGGAGCGCGGCATTGGCCTAGCGGGAGCTTAAGGGAAGAGGAAAGATGACGGCCTTGATTGGAAAATTCGAGAGTTGGAGAGGTGGTCTGATGTGAACCCGTAACATCTCGTGTGTCGTGCTTCGTGTCAACGTTCAACATCATGTTTTCTTACATCACGGGCCAACCCCAGAATTACGCATGGTAATGAAAGTTAAGTGCGAAGGACTACAGTAGGCGGTCGATTCTGTTGCACGATAAGATCTGCACCTTCTCGGGGTGTTTGGTGTAGGTCACATCCACCCTGAAGACGCTTCATGATGCACCAAGAGGAGGAATCAAGCCCTATATTTCTTTCTGCCACGGGCCGCGCTTCGAGATGTAGGAAATAGAAGTGTTTTGATCAGGCTGAGATTTGGCTGGCGTAGGCAATTAGCTGGGTGTGGCTGAAACACCTCCCAGTGAACCCCTGCCCAAAGTTGGAGTGGGGGGGGGGCAAACCCTGGTAGTCCCTGGCAAGGCCTCAAGGCGAAGTGGGATGCTATGTAATTATCTGTTGGTTTTGGAGAAGAAGCAGGCAACCAGTGCGAGCAAACTTAGTGCAGGGCTACCAGCTGAGTACCCGGACTAGCATGAACGATGTCCACAATTTGCGTAATGAGGATCGGCCACAAGGGTTCGAATACGACAGCGTGTTTGACTGGACGATTCCGGAATCCAAGAGGCTGGAGCTTGGCACCAAAGTACCGCTCGCATCGAATGATGTAGGAGAGGAGGACACCACAAAGGTTTCGGATGCAGCTCAAGATAGGGCTAAGGAAACTTGTCGAAAGAGGAGTGGATGTCCTCCAGTATAGGGATGGAGGGATCATAGATAGGCCAATGAAGGCTACCATTCAATTTCGTACAGTATGCATCATAAGCGCTGGTGTTAAGTTCCCAGAATCTGCGCCTCATGCGAAGCTAGATGCTGACCGTTATCAACCATCGAGAGCGAACTACTTCTTAGACAGCAATACCAACAGGGATGCAGGAAGTGTCAGAGGTGTATCTAGGCTCTGGACGATACCTGGGGCGGCTGATCGTCACGGAGATTTAACGGCTGTACGAGGAATGGACGGACCTGACAGTGGCAGTCCAGGAGCTCGAGGCGCGGCGGCGCCAGGAAGGCCTCTCGCTGACGTGGTTGAATGAGCGCCTACGGCGGTAGGCAGACAGCTAGCGAGCTTCCTCTTGCCTTTAATTTCCTTCTAGAGACTATTTTCTCAACCACGTCGTCCTCCAATCTCTAGATAGCAACGCTAGAGAATTCAGGAAAGGGTCCATCTCATGGGCTTGTTGTCCAACCGACATAAGGATCATTGTCTCGAGCCAGCTTCGAGCTCTCCATGAATCTCTTCCGGATGTGAGCCGGAAGGTTGGTGCCAATTGCCAACAACCTCTGTTGGGACTCAAAGATGAGCTCCATGGCTTGCAGAAGCACAATCTGTGATGAATATCTAACGCCTGGAGTGTCCGCTCAACTAAACCGCCATAATCTGTGACTTGAATCGTTAAGGAAAGGAGAATAGAAAGCTAATATAAGGAGAGAGTAGGTTAGTGTAGTATAGGTTACGGTATAGTATCTACGTAGGAAGTAGAGAGTGTAAATCTCATCTAGCTATGTACATAGCTAATCAGCACGCTTGGCGCCAAGGCCCAACACCGCTTCGATCACCTTTGTCTCTCAGCAGTACACTTGGCCAGCTGAAATCCGAGCTCCTTCTTATTACTATTATAATATGATGTTTCCAGCTCTCGGTTTAGTGCACGTTACTACTCCTTAGCCACGCAATGCTATGAAATATGCCACTATTCTCCGTTGCTCCACCTCGCCCATCAAATGCACAAACAAACATCAGTGCTGCATGCCATAGCCGAGGTATTGAAGCAGGTTAAATGGACCAACCAAGTTTTCAACCTGTACGTCTGTCATTGAATGGAACCGTGGATGGTCGTCTCCCCAGCAGACTCCAGAGAGCTTTCAACATGTCCATATCCATATATTCATAGGAACATAGAACTAGATCGTGATGGCTCCGCGACTGCAGGCAAGGGAAGAAACAGAATGAGTTAGCAACACGCTCCGGGCCGTAGAAGGAAGATTGCGATTTAGACTATTCCAGGGGAGAACATGGGGAATCCCCCCCCCGGGGGGTTGGGGGGGAGGGGAAGGGTGCATGGTGCATGAGGGTTCCCAAAATCGCCGGAGAGACACAGTGGACACACGTACCAGTAAATACAGCGCACATTATCCTCGGACGAATGCGTCACCCACATATCAAAGCATTCGATGTGTGCTGAGTTGTGGCATGCTTCACACGTCCAGATATCATTGTTATCACCCTGGCCGCCACCGCGGTGACTCCTGCTTCCGCCGCTACTGGGCAGCGGCTCGAGGCAGACACCGCAATCGTCGAGGTCCCCGGAGGAGGAGGAGGAGGAGACGGAAGATGGAGCTGGCGTTGCTAATGATTCAGAGTCGGTCGAGCGGCGAGAAGAAGTGCGAGAAGGGCTCCGTCGCTGTTGTGTGCTTTGCTCGAAGGGAGCAGACAAGGCCAAGCGGGTCCGAGACGCTGGCACTGGCGATGATGACGAATTGGAACGACGTGAAGAAGAGTGAGAAGAGCGAGAAGGACTTCCGCGCTGCTGTGAGTGTTGCTCTGAGCGGGAGGAGGCAGAGCGGGAGGAAGAGGAGGGAGAAACTGGAGGTGATGCTCTGGCTGCTGTTGCTGATGAGGATGAGGAAGTAGTGGAGCGTCGTAAAGACGATTGAGAAGAGCGAGAAGAAGTTCCTCGCTGTGGCGAGTGTACCACTCGGTTGGAAGATGGTAGTGATCGAGCAACGTTGGAGCGGGATGCAGTGGATGCAGCCGATGCACGTGACGGTGTCGTTGAATCTTGCCAGTCAGATACATCTGAGCCTGAATCTGAGCCGAAGTCTGACTCTAAATCTGAATTGCGGTCGTCTTCCTCGTCGTCAGCGTAGATACGGGATCGTGATGAGGTGTGGCTTGGGGCCAAGGCCAGAAGAGGCAGTCTCAAGCGTTGCTCGTTGCGTTGGTACTGGTCCAGCATCGACTGCATCAACCGCATTGAGTTGAGAAGCTGGGCATTCTGCATCTGAATTACGAGAAGATCGCTTTCGCACTGAGAGAGCTCGCGAACAGGTTCTGCAGATCGGGAGGTTGGTCTTCTACTAGTTTGTCGACCTGACCCTCTTTCAACGGTCTGAGAGGATGTTTGGCGCTGCTGCCGCCGCCGGGTCTGCTGATGTCCCTCGTCGAATCCCTGAGCAGTGGAGTAGCGTAAGTTCCTTTCCCAATAGGGGAGTTTCCTTTCCCATTCCTGAGACATCGCTGGACCTTGGCCTTGATGCCATCGTTTACAATGCAGCAAGCAGGCAGCTGCATTCAAGTCGGAACTTAGATCCCTCACAGTGAGTCCATCCTCGATCCCATAGCAGATATCCTGGAGGATCGAAACCGCGGTCGAGCGAGAAGCTGCGGCCACAGCGTTTCCGCAGGTCGGTTTAGCTTTTCCATAGCCGATGCATGTGCTGTGCTTGTCAGGGTGCTTGATGCCGAGATCGCGGCAGAGTTGCTTGACTGTAAGCATTATTGCTTTCAGGAAACGAATAAGGAGGAAAGTGATAGGAAATTTAGAATGAGATGAAAATGAAACGGGTATCGCTACCACATCAACTTCGAGGCTGTTGGCTTACTGCTGGGGGAGTGGGAAGGAGACATGTAGCACTGGATTGACGCCTCGTTTTATGCTCAAGGACACCATCCGCGACGACCATACGGCTCATGCATAGCCCACGAATAACCATCCTGTTGAGCCATAATGCCACCGCCCTCCAGAGAGACTGACCACCTGTCTAGGATAACTGACCGTCGTGATAGCCTTGAGAGACTTGAGATACGTACACTGCCACGGTTTGACCTGGCTTCCACCGTTCGATTCAGGGAGAGGACTAGGGTAAGGAGGAACTAATGATGCACACTTCGCCTTCTGGAGTCGCTTGGAAGGTACGTAATTGGCGAAGAGCAGGGCTCTTTCGTCATTGTAGCCCCCAAATCCCTGGAATGCTCCTGTGGGTTGCTTTGGAAGGTCTGCTGAGCTCCATGGAGGCTTGGAAATGGGAATGCGTAATGTTGAAGGAGGGGTGCACCTGCCGGTCTTAGTCTGGGAAAGATGCATGGGTTTCCAGACCGAAAGTGTATGAAGATGAACGCACAGGCCCCTTCGCAGACCTGTGTTGCTTCAAAGGTACAAGTCCCTTTCTAGGTGTGTGCCAGCAACAACTAATTAAGAGGCGAGGGAGGTAATAAACGCCACAATGAAGTCATCTGCTGGCTGGACCTCATGAAAAAACTGTTGTTTGTTCCCTTTCGCCGGAGAGTATACAAAGCCTCCCTTATTGTTGGAATGGTCACAAGGCGAAGCACCAGGGTATCCCAAGGGGGCCGACCAGGGGAGTGGCCCATCCCTGCGCGTAGATAGCGGAGCGCGGACTTGCCTAGCACTGCGTCGGTGGCTGCGCTATTGCGGGCGCTTAGAGCGCGAGAAACTAGTTGGGTCGTATTCCAACAAGTTCGTCGCCTCGTCCACCTCCTCACTGTGTCAGTCAATCATGAAAAGGAAGATGGCCAGCTCTGGTCTGCTCGTGCCAGACATGATACCATTATTGTATGAAGTCGGGGCTCTTCAACACCGGACGAACTCCAGTTACTGCTTGCAGTTAGGCTGTCAACTAGCGCGCTCGGCCGCTCCGGACTTCGGATAAACCCGCGGAAGAACGTCGACCAGCCAGTCAGGTTCCTCGAATCATGGGGGCGGGTTCGCAGCGAATATCAACTCTTGGCACACGATTGCCACGACCCTGACCCAAGGGCAGAGTACTTGTATTTGAAGGTTGAACAGAGAAATTCTGTGATGGACAAACATACAAATTCAGACCTTCAGTCTCCCTTGGGGAGCTACCAAAGTGTGCTCCCACACCAAAAATGGCCCACCAGGACTTCTCTCATCTGCAGGATGTCATGGGCAGCCTACCCATGCTCAAGCGGTACATAGTCATATGCCTGGCCTTCACCTTGGACGAAGCCAATTCATCGAGATCTCAAGTCAAATGTTGTCTGCAACAAGCTCTAGACAGGTTTGCGAAGACATTCCCCTTTCTTGCGGGCCAGGTGGTTATGGAGGGACGAGGGGAGGCCCGCTCTGGACTGCCGAAAGTTATTCCTCTTCACGACCACATCCAACTGTACGTAAAGGACTTGAGAGAGGAAGCCGGATTCCCAAGCATGCAGCAAATGCGCGAAGCTCAATATCCATTTTCGATGCTGGATTGCGGGGTTCTTGCCCCCTCGATTGCGTCCCGCTGGTCCTCGGAGGGATTCGAGCGGGTCGCCCCTGTCCTTCTGCTGCAAGCGAACTTCATCAGAGGCGGACTTTTACTGACCTTCGCTGGGAACCACATGATGATGGACATGACAGGCTTAGGGTTGACGATCTCGCTGTTCTCCAAAGCTTGCCGCGCGGAACCGTTCACGCACGAGGAGATCCAGCAGGGCAACCAGCCGCGAGGAAATGCCGTCCCATTGCTCGGAGACAAGTACCAGCCGGGACCCGAACTCGAAGATTCCTTTGTGAAACCGCGCGCGATCGAGGAGAAGAATAACCCCTCCTCGCCATCGGATCACGCAACTACCTTACAACATCCACCATCTCCCCCCAGATGGGTATATTTCAACTTCACGGCTGCGAGGCTCGCCAAGCTCAAGCAGCAAGCCAGCCAGCAGACAGTGGCACCGTACGTATCTACCGACGACGCCGTGGGCGCCCTATGCTGGCAGAGCGTTTCGAGGGCCCGTGTTGCCCGACTCGGCACTGCCGTCCGAACTGTGTTCGCGCGACCGATAAGCGCGCGGAAATACCTAGGTCTGCAAGGCTACTACCTGGGCCACATGGTGGATATGGTTTACGAGGATGAAGAGGACGTGTGGAGCCATCCGCTTGGCGAAATCGCCGGCCGACTGCGCCGACTCCTGCTCCAGGACGATATGATCGCACACCACACGCGCGCGTTCGCAACCATGCTCTATCGACTCGCGGATAAGACCCAGCTGGTCAACGGCGCGAGACTTGATCTGGACCGCGACATCGTCTTTTCGTCGTACGCGAATATCCGCTGCTGTGAGCTTGAATTCGGCCCGACGCTCGGCGTGCCTAATGCCGCGAGGCGGCCGAGGATGGAGGCTTGGCCTTCCCTACTGTATATGATGCCGAAGTCGACAGCGGGGGATATCGCCGTGGCGTTCTGTGTGAGCGAAGATGATCTCGCGATGCTGCGCCAGGATGAGACTTTCATGTCTTACGCCGACTATATTGGCTAAGGTTCTTGTTCAGTTTCCTTTCCCGCTGACGTGTTGAAATTTAGGGCTTAGCTATGTAGATAAGCAGCTAGAGAAGAGGTAAAACTTGCTTTGGTGTTCTGAATATCACAGTGCTTCTGGACTATGGATAAGACAAACTCCAAGAACTCCGGCCCAGATCCTTTGATTTAATTCGTCGGGTATGGCACAGCAGTTGGAGACGACTTTCTAACGGGTCCACCCATCGAATATGGCGTTTCTGTTGTACTCGGCCTGCTGGGTGATGGTGAGGGTTTCCTGGTTGAACCTCCAGGGGGGTGAGATCTTAAGTCGACCACGGTTGGAGAAGGTTCAGATTTTACTTCAATACATTCGGTAGTGGCGCTATTGCTCCCTGAAACACCTGCCTTTGCTTTTCCTGCCGTGGCTCCTGCTAATACTGCCGCACCAACACTGGCATTAGCACTGGTGACAGGACCTGCACTCTTCAAAATGATTTCAGCTGTTGCTCGCCCTCGGGCGTCTGCAACAGATTTGGTGGCCCCTCGGGCAGCTGCGGCAGCCTTAGTAACACTGGCGCCGATACCCTTTATGATAGAGACCGGGCTGCGAGGTCCCTTGCTTCCGGTTGGTGAGGGATTGTTCCGCGCAACGCCCGGTCCCGTCGCCTGACTCTCAGGGGCGACAAGCCGTAGATTATCCAGATTGAGGCCTCTGGCCTGAGCATGGGAGGAGTTGGTAGCTTGGTGGTTCATGGTGGAGTGCCCAATACTCCATGCTGCAGCGCGCTGGTGTTCAGCAGTTGCAGATCCAGACTTAGAGCCAGAATCTTGTCCTATAGGAGGTGTGCCTTCCACATGCCTACTCTTGGGACGAACTCCTTCGTGAGATTCAGGTTTGGCCGGGTGATTCTGAACACCGTACTCCTCGTAATACCACTCTTCCCAATAAAATTCTTCGTGGCTCTGTCTTCCTGCATGCTGCTTATCTTGCCCTTTTGGTTGGTCGTGACTTCTGTCAGATTCACCGTGATTACCGGCTGCATGCTGTGAGCCTTCAGGGTGAGCATGTAGCTGGATGTGGACATGGACAGGTGCACTGTGATGTTCTTGAACCTCCTGACTGATAGAATGTGATTCTGTGTGGTCATGAGAAAACTCATCCCGACCATGTTGCAGGTGTGCGTCATGTTCTGATCGGCCAAGGTGGTGGTCCTCCTGGTCTAGCTCGTCTCGGCTGTGAGTTCCGTGCCGCGCAGAAGTGCCATCAGTGTGATCATCATGGCTATGGTCGGAATCCTGTAGGTGCCGTTGACTTTTAATATAGGAATATTTCTCGGTGTTGTCACAACATTCGTCCTCATGATGATATTCCCTATCATGCTCGTGGTGTTCCTCCTCATAATGATGGTCCTCAGCATCCAGGTGGCGATCCTCTTCATGTTGTTTCTCACGATGTTCTTCCTCATGCTCGTCGTCGTCGTCGTCGTCGTCATCCTCCTCCTCGTGATTCTCTTGCTGATGTTCCTCTTCAGAGTATTCCACGCCATGACAGTCCTCGTCACGGTGTTGATGTTCGTGATCATGGTGCTCCTCCCCATGTTCCTCTTCATCATGTTCGTCCTCATGTTGTTCCTCCTCCTCCTCTTCCTCACAATGATGCCCGTCCTCCTCCTCCTCCTCCTCCTCCTCCTCCTCATCATAATGCTGCTCATCATGCTCATCATAATGATCTGAATCATCGCAGACCTCAACTACCAACATCATATTGGAAGCCTATTCAAATCTGATTTGATTTTGTCGACAATGAGCGCGCCCAGCCGAAACGGATTGAAAGGCACTGGAGAGCGAAGACAAGAGTATCACTTGCAAAGATAGCCGGCCATATAGGCTCTCTCTAGATTTGACACGCGGAGACAGAATTCGAGCACGGGCCGAGATATACTTACATATCGGGGTAACCGTATCACTCGCAGTAAGACGTGTAAATATAGTTTCAGGCCGTAGACCTTGCCGCTTAGGCTTCCCTAGTTCGTAAAGCCAGACCAAGCCGACACAAGGACCATGACACCCTGGGAACGGGAGACAGCCAGAAAGGGAATTGTCAGCCTACCTAGGTAAGTCAGTATTTATATGGATATATCCGCTGCCAGAAGAAAAGGGCTACTGTCAGCGTAGTCAGCGTACGAATATATCTTGCACGCGAGAATGTCTACTATATGTGGGTGGGCAAGGTAAACATCACCACGCCGAATCGGAGGTTTTCCGTTTGGCAGGCTGGCTATTGGCCCGATATCGAGGATGAGCTCAGCCAGTGGACAGTCATGCTGATGCCTCACCTCACACGGTAGTGCTTAGCATACCCCTAGCATCCCTAGGGGCGTTGAAACGTTAGGGCAAGGTACCACGAGCATCGGCGTCGATACGACAAGCCGCATTTACAGTCTTAGCTCGGCCTCAAATGGCCACACAGTTGTATCACTGAGCATACTTAGGTGCAGATACAAGAGGCCCCCGAGGCAGAGCATTATTAGCGGTTGATGCACACAGACCGAGAGAATAGATCGCCTTTTCCAACGTTCTAAGGAAGCCTTGAGAAACTAGCACCACGAGGGGGACATGCCAGCAGGCAAGACTAAACCCTCCGGTAAGGGATCGATGTTTATTTAAAAGTCGATCTGACGGGCCAAGATGAGATAGAAGGAAGGAGCAGCGCTAATTTAGATTTGGAAAGGCCCTAAAGGTCACGTGCTCTCGGACATCTAGATTTATTCATAGTCACGTGCCGTGTTCGAGATCATTACTAAGCTGGATCAGATCCCCTGAATCGTTTCACATCGGCCTTGCAAGCTGTTCTCGGAGCCATCACGCGGTGACTCTCGTCCCTGGGGATCTCTAGCCCTACTATGCTCTAACCTACCATGCAAAAGCCTCTTCAATCAACTGCACCTCAAAGCCCTGCCCAACAGCATCAACTACGCTTCTCCTCACATCGTCGGCCATGCCGCCAGGAGCGCACACGAGGACGACCACACGGCGGGACGGCTCCAGGACGGATTCGAGGACCGATGGAATGACCATGCGCGAGCCTGTTGTGAGTGAGGTAATGTTGTTGCTCTGAACCTGGGCGGTAGCCGAGGCAGAGCGCGAAGAGGGCGACGGAGCCGTCGTCATTGTGATCTCCTCACCCTTGTCGCCCGCTCTACCAACGGAAGATAGCTCTACCTTGGGTTGCCCCAGGGACGCATTGCCGTTACCCACAGCTTCGTCGGTATGCCAGATATTGACCTCGACATTTGCGTTCATGGCTACAGTGGAAGGAATCATATGTTCCGTGACATGTCTAATCAGGCCCTCCTCTCTGGCGGACCAGGCGAAGACGAATCTACTCGTGTTTGCCATCAGCGCCTTGCTCTTTGAACCGTCATTCTTCGTAGACGACTTCGGATCTTGCAGATCCATGTATTGTTTCAAAATGCTCAGCGAATAAGTAACGCCGATACCCCCAGTAATACACAGAATCGTGTCTGCGTAGCGTAGGGGATGGAGCGTCTGAGTGTGGCCTGCGTAAGGCCCTTCCGTCAGGATGCGAAGGTGGCTTATCTGGGAATGCGACGGGGAGTGAGTGAGTTTGTGAAGGAGTGAGCGAGTACTTCCTGTATGCGGGCGAAGGAGGAACCGGATGAAGAACTCGCTTTCGCCGTCAGACTGGTGACTGTCAACAGCCGTTTCTCGCACTGTTGTGTCTGCCGATTTTTCTGGTGTCTTTTCAGACAATGAGACATTGCTCGAGGATTCCCCGGAGCTTGTTCCTGAGGAGTGGGCGAGTCCTCTATAAGAATTAATATCGAGGGTGCCCCAGTCAGCGATTGTGAAGGGATGACTCTCCCAAAATTTCCCAGGAAAGGCCAGGAATGTGTGCTTGCCAGGCCCCATGGAATTGACCCATCTCTTTCCGGGAAATACGGTGATTTGCAAAAAGCTAGACCCTGGGATCTGCTCGACGATGCTTGGAGTCACTCCATTCCACTCGTTGAACCAAGCCACCCGCACAAATCTCACGAGGCGGTCAAAGCCCCAGAACGCCATAGCGAGATAAACCCAGACTTCGTAGCCCCATCTCCTCTTGAAGCGTAATTCGACATGATACCAGCAGCCAGCGATTGCGAATATAGCGAGGACGATATGAGTGATGAGAAAGAACTCATATGCTCGGAGGCGAATCGGCAGCACAGATACAGCGATTGCAACACTCATCGCTACTGTTGCAATGATGCCCCACCAGTAGTATGCCTTTGCAGCTTCGGCGTAGTATGCAGCTGCGCCTCCTGACCAGAAGTACGTGAGGGTGTAGATGATAGAATGCAAAATGGCCTGCACGGTCGCAACGCGGGACACCCAGCGGTGGATAGTCAGGAATGTCGTCTGTGACCATCCAGTGATTGCATACAGCACACTGTTCCTTCCTGAGAACACGATTGCAAGCCCCAAGTTCGCATAGCTAAGCACTCCTGCACGGTTACTGATGTAGGCGACAAGCTGGTCTCGGTCCTCGGAGAACCAGGTGTTGGGTGATTTGACATTGTATGAGACACAGCAGAAGATGATATTTAGTGCGACATAGATGAAGATAAAGAGAGAAAGAACGCGGCTGGGCACATAGCCGATGTTGTAAGGCAAGGGTTCCAGCTGGCGTGAGCCAAAAAGAGATGGCATGAAGAGGTGCTGGTTGAGCTTCCTCGCGAGACTGCTGCTGGCCTTGGGCTTGATGCTGGCGAGGTAAAAGGTGTATGCTCCGACCATCAATATTGAACCGGTAGTAACAAGCCACACAACCAGACTACATCAATTCATAAGCATAATTGATAGCAATCGAATAATCTGGACCACAGCTCACCTGTATCTCGTATGCCTCTCCTCCGACTTGGCGAACTCATCCAGAGTCCTTCTATTATCAGCATACATGGCTTCGTTCACAAGATGAGTGGTATTGAGCCACTCATCATCATCCGCAAGCTCGACCGTTGGCGCTTGACTAGGAATCGATGACTGAAGGCTCTGCACAGGTGTCAAGCCAGCAGCGACTGTCTGAAAACACTGGGCTTGGTGGGCTTCAGATGCACCCTCTTCCGTACAACGACTGGAGATACAGTATGCCAGCGTCTGCAACCATATCTGATCAGCGGCGCGGCACTCGTTGCTCGTGTCGGCCATTGCTTCTCCACCCATATCCATCCGTTTCTTCAATTTCATGTCCATGCCTGAATGGTGGTCGTCTGAGAAAGTGGTGCAGTTGAGATATAACGAGGACAGGGAGTCGTGACAGGCATAGCAGCACACGGGCTTGTACATGGGGATCCCGAGGCCAATGACTCCATGCTTCGTCTCCTGCAGCTTGAGTGCTGCCGAGACAGACGAAGTGAAGCTCAAGAAAAGGCAGGATAGGAGCACAGCGATGTGCATGCTTCGCTGATGCATGACTGCTTCGTCTCCAGGACGAACAAACAATTTGGACAGTAAGAGTGCAAAGGAAAATAACCTGGTAGAAGGCGGCGGGAACAAAGCAGCAAAGCCATACTTATCTTGCAAATTCTTTCACGCATCGCGAATTCAAAACCGCATCCCACGTTTTACCACAAGTTGCAAGCCAAGCCAAACGCCCACATGGCATGAGCACATTTCTCAGTCTAGATCTCGCTGTGAAGCGTTCTAGCAGCGATCCATCGGGTCTCGACTCTGGAACGGCCATCAAAACACCTTGATTTTCATTACCTCGTTCTTGAAAGGTCGACATTCAAGTGGAATGCGCCGAGAGGGAGTTGCATAAGGGTGTTGCTTAGCTTTAGGAGCCCTCAAAGACTTGATATAGTGGGCTGTACTTTAGTATGCAGTAAACATCCACCAAAGGATTTGGCACATAGATAGTGGTAAAGTATGCCTCACGTATGAGCAGGTTTCCAAAGGTTGGAGTTGAGCTTGTAGCGTGTGAGCAGGTTTTGGCATCAAGGCCAAGACGTCGATTGTTGGCCAATCAACGCGCTCCGAAAGCGCCCACCCACTATCAATTCGTACAACGCACGGGCATGAGGTACGCACGTGGTAAAGGGGAGATACATCGCAAAGGCCAACAATGAAGCGATCCGGTGATTCATAGCATATCAGGATGAATTGTGGCTGAGAATTTCAACTCTATGCTATTATGGATGAAATCTAATGAAGAAAATTCTCTGTTTGCGTTTCGAGATGCTTCCCTTTCGTCGGTCACTGAGCCAGCGTCTTCTGAGGCCAGTGACATTTGCAATCGCATCCTTCCATCTTCCGGTGAGCCTGCCAGCGAACGGCCTCAGCTAATCCGGTCCAGTCCTATTCTTATGGACACAAGTGTAACAACTGGGGTATCAAATGTAAATTCAGTCTCAAAAGGTCTGATGCCTGAGCCTAGTAGAAAGCGAGTGTTTCTTTTCCTCCCATATGTAGAACATAGTCTCCAAAATGCAGATCCATTAGAAGAACCAAAATCCCTCCCAGCTCGCTCAAGCGGAGCAAAATTCAAAGTTCTTTTGAAGGGGTATCAATATAAAACAAAGGAAATGGTGCTCGTGTCAGATGGCCTCCATCAGCCACTGGCCATCAAAATGCAACACCAACACCGGGACTTCGCAAGGGTCCACCGATTTCCTTGATCATCATATCATCGTCGACGTGGCTGATGACATCTGCGTAGCAAGGTGGTACGTCAGGCACACCACTCAAGATTGGCCTCAGCCCGTGCGAAACACTCTTGATCGTCCCGCTGCGGCTTTGCAGGTCCGGCGCTGTCGTGATGCTGCTATCTGTCTGACTTTGAACCTCAAAAGATAAGATATCGGTGTCAACGGTACTTGCTACGGTCGACTCGGTCATTGTTCTTTGATGCTGACGTGGCCAAAGGCTGAGTGGCTTGGGTGGAGCAGCAGAAAGTTGATAGAATTGAGATCGTTTCCGGCGATGCTCTGCAAAAGATGCTGTAGTGGAGGATGTCTTTGTGGTAGCAACCGTACTGACCGAAGCAGAATGCCCACGGTGTGAAAGCCATTGAGAAATCCGCTTTTGCGTTTGGTAATTTGGATGGAAGTACGCTGGTGGGTTTGCCTCTTCTCTGGGTGCGGAGAGTTTGGAGAAGTTTCTTGCAATACCCGAAGGAACGAGTGGCGCTGGCGCCGATTCCTCTTCAGACAATCTACTGGGGTGAACGGGGGACATTGGGGCTCCTCTGCCAACCTGGGGAAAATTTAGCTCCACTCCATCTACCGTAATTGAGGTTGTCGGTAAAGGACTGAATTCCTCTTGCATTGGCGTAAGGACGGCAACCGAGGGCTCAGAGCGGCCTGTCATGTAGGCTGCAGGGGGCAATGCAGGAGGAGATGCCCATGAGACTGGATGAGAGTGAAGAGCATCGTACTCAGAGGGAGGTCTTGATACTGAAATTACAGTTGAGGAAACATCAGGACGGAAGTGCGACAGTCGACGCTGCTCGATCATAGAGGCAGGCTTTGGCGGTGTAGGGAACGTGGAGATCTTGTGTGAAATAAACTCTTCTGACTTTGTCCTGACCAAAGCTCGAGAAGGGAGTTTTATTTCTCCAACGTCAGTAAAACTCAGTCGATCAAATTCGGGCAATTCCGAGAGCCGATTACTAGGCATATAGATGCTCAATTCTAGGGGGCGATACTTCTGTGTCGGTCGCCGGAACGGGAGATCTTGACCGGCTGGTAAAGGTGGTTGAGGCTCTGAGATTGATGGCCGTGGCCTCCGGATGGACAAGCTTGATCTCAGCGATGCTTTGCCATGGGACACCAATTTTGACAGTTGCGAAGGGGGAGGCGGAGTAGGAGTTGCCGGCATGGCATCAAAAACGGTGAGCTTCATCGGTGGCACTAGGTGAGGCTGTTGGTACATGATGCGCATCTCACGCTCAACCCCTGCAAGGCTCATCAACAATAAATTCTTGGAAGTCTGTGACTCCTTCCGGTAGCACTCACCCTCAGGCCGTGAAGCCTTTCGGCGCATCTCGTCCTCATGACTTGATGATGGAGAAAAGCAGTCGAAAAAGGAAATCGTGCAAGTTGGCTCAAGCGAGTCCTCCGGTGGCGATCTGAGTTTCATATTTGGCGATGGATTCGGTTACCGGCCCCTTGGACACGTTCTTTTGGTGGCCAGTGCACGATTAAACAACAGCATTCGAGTTCAACACGGTGATGCCAGCATCGGTTGTATAAACTGGAATTAATGGAGTGGTATGCCACAAGTTGAGGTGGAATGTACGGGTACAATTGATGGCTCGACTGCGACTGCAGCCTTGACATAGACTGACAATGATGAAAGCGGTGGAAGAGCCCTGGATGTCGGGCCATTAAGAGTGAGAAGACCAACCTGAAACAAATCTCTGGCAGCCCCGGCAGGTAATTCCTGAACAAGTCTGAACAGTGGTTCTCAAGCTCTATCGCTTGTGGCGTGTAGAAAACAATGTTACAGCGGAGCCTCAAACCCTTCAATCACAATGTAGTCGGCGCTTGTTTTGGTGGTGGAAGTTGGACAGGCATGAGGGTTGTGCATTGTCAACGTGATGGTTGGACAAGAGCTTGCCAACAATTCGGGTCACCCCAGGGCCATTCATCAATCCGAGAGGCCCAAGGTCACCAAGCGCCGAAGTCAGATGAAGCCATGGAATGGCGCATTTCATGTTGATCAACGGTGTGAACTGCTATTCGTGCCACTCGAGTGTTGACAAGTGTGAAGAGAGATGAGGGTGGGCGCCTTCTCGCCCAATCACGGGGCGCAGACGGCCTCTGACCAGAAGGACTTCGGAGATATTCCACGTTGGACAATCTGAGATGCACGTTGGAATTTGAAACCAAGGAATCAACTCCTTCTAGGCTCAAGATCGTGTTTCATCATTCTGAACTTGCCTGATAATGGCTAGTCAGCCTATGTATCGAGTAGGGCAGTCATTGAGCAATGAGCACTGTGCAGCCTTACGGCCAGGCCAGCTGGCTCGGCCACTACCGGCTCAATTTGGTACTCGTACACACACCCACACACGCAGAGAGACACGTGGCACGCGGTCCACCAGCAATTACTACAGGTCCTCGTACTCTCACCCAGCTGTCCCAATCCCAGGTAATCTTACGCTAATCTCAATACCTCTCCACCACTCTTTGCCTCCCATCCATTGCTCCATCCATTGTGATGACCTCTCTTCCCTGGGCATCAAAGTAACGCTTCTCGGGCTCCACTGCGCGGTATCGAGGCTGCTCGGCGGGAAGATACTCCTGCCGAAGCCTTGACCTATCGTCAACGAACACGCTCCCTTCCCGGACTGCAGGGCGCACACTTTGACCTCGCGAAAACATCTCCACTGGATGCGACTCCTCGTATCTGCCTGCTGTGGGTCGAACGCTGGCCATGCGCATTGGCTCGCGAAACTCGGTCCGTTCATCCGCGTAAACGGGTTGTCGAGAGGCGTGATCCAAGACTTGGACGCTGGAAGGCCTGGACATTTGCGCGGGATCCAGATATTCTCTTGTGGCGGACCCAGGAATGGCTGAACTGCGAGTCGGTTCTCCGAGACGTCGGTAAGTGACCTGTGGCGGTGGCATTTCTGACGCGTAAGATCGATCCGGGACCGAGTCCACAAAGACCGAACCTGCCCGCGGTGAACGGTAATTCTCGTAGAGTGGCTCCCCATTGTCTCTTCGAACCGACATAGCTCTTGGAATCATAGGGGCACGCTCGGATGGAATAATCTCGCGGAATCTCCGGCCGTACTCGTCAATCATAATTCTCTGCGTGGGTGGCGGAGGAGGAGGCATCGGCTCCACAGCGTATCGAAATCCGCCCTCGGCATCCTCATACACCTCGCGATAGACCGGAGCGGGCGTCCGTACCACTCTTCTTTCTTGTGGTGGCTGGTCATACTCAACGGGGATATCTCGAGGTTGCTGTGGTGACTCCATCAGTGCAGGGCTTCCTAATCTCGCGTAAGATGTAGCTCGTATCCGAGTAGGAGTTTCGTAATATGGGTCACCATAGTCCCGGCCCGGCTCAGATCGCATGTTGTGCAAGCTGGCCACACGACGCAAGTCCTGGTCATCTCGGACAGGCCGCATGCTAGCTCTAGACAATACTCGAGGCTCACTCAAGGGCATCAATTGTTCAACTTGCCGTGGGAGCGGCCGTGACGGAGAGTCCACATATCGTGTTGGCTGTTGCATGTATCGAACGTCTTGGGCAGGTTCGTCGTCCTGGATGACAATAGGTCTGTCAGATGCGACAGGGCGCAATCTGCCGGACCCAAGGGGTTGTACGTCGTGGAATGGCGGAGGCGAGACGTTTTCTTCCTTAATGAAAGCATCTGGCGAGAAGCCACCGTTTCGTCGATTCTTTCTCTGCTTCTCGAGCTTTCGCTTCTTCCGGGCAGGTAGTGTATTTGAGTCATCGGGGCTTGGTGGAGAGCCTGGTCGAGGGACTCGACGGGGCCGCAACTGACGACCGTTCTGTGAAAAAGGTTGGTCCTTAGCTACAGCAAGAGGAGACACACGAGATGGTCGAGGGGCAATGGGAGAGGTGATATGATTTCTTACAATACGCATATTGGCCTCATTAGGAGAAAGGGCTCTCCTCCCATTGTCACCTACATCCGAGTATCTGCGCAGGGGGCGACTCCGTGGGTCTCGACTGGCTTGCATAGCTTGATAATTGAGGTTGCCCTGAACGGGATACTGTTCGGTTGCTTCTGGCGGCGAGTATTCTCCTTCCTCCTCTTCATCATCATCCAGATCCATGATGGCAGGGTCAGCAGGGAGGGTACGTTGGACAGGTGCTGAAATTTGAGATTGATGGTCTTGCAGGTTAGTTGAGGCGTCACCGTCACCCTCCACATGGAGAGGTGAGCCCATGACGGCGCTCACACGCGGACCTGAAGTCTGGTCAGCTTCACCCTCTTCTTCTCCTGAAGAAGACTGTCCATCTTGAATGGAATCTGGAGCTCTGCTAGAGTAAAAGGAGTTTTCATCAACAGATTCTGTGGCAGAGCCATCATCTTTGGGCGAGAAGTCTTTGACGATATCGGAGGCTTTGGCGAGGATGGCTTGCAAGTCGAAGTCTGGTTTGGCCTCGGCGGGAGCAGGCTTCTTACGGGCATCAAATCGCTTCTGCTCAAATTGGTCTCTCAGGCCTTTCTCAAGGCGCTGCCGTTTCAGTTGGATTTCAGCCCGGACTAGGTCATCTGATTTGGTCAAAAGGACAGGGTCAAACTCAGAAACATTACTGGTAGGTTGAGTGGAAGGGGTGAATCCTCCATTTGGTTGTGTCTGAGATCTTGCAGCATCCTCTTCACGCGTAGGCTGGTTGTTCGCAGAACGGCTTTGCGAAGCACTGGAAGGGTATGTGGGAGGAATGGTCAAGTGAGATTGGGATTGGGACAAAGACTGAGACTGAGACTGAGCAGAAGGAGGCTGAACAGCATGCGCAGGCACTGAGAGTCGAGGGTGACTACCAGCGAAGATCTCATCGCGTAACTTCAGAATCTTCTCGTACTCGAGCACCTCGTGCTCATGTAAGTGATGTACTACTGGCATAGTGCCGTTGAGTAATGGACCAACGGTGGCCGACATGGTTGCTGGCGCGTTGTTCGGTGCGCGCCTTTTAGGAGAGCAATGTCAATTTACCTGCAAGACAACATGGCGAAAAGAAGCTCATGCAGTGAGAAGGTAGAATCCTCCCAGCCTAATCAGCCAGGGTGAGACAGATGAACAAAAACCGCGTTGCCGATGTTGAAGGAAAATAGAGGGCGATGTGAAAGGGGATGCCGATGAAATGTGGTGATCCAAAAAAGTCAGTCGCAGACTCGCAGAATCGCAGCTGCGGAAAGAGGCAGCAGAAAGAAGAAGGGCAGGTGCCCCCCAGCCCCATGCCAATTCACGTGACCGTGGACTCGACGGCTGTTTTTAGTATAGTACGAGTAGCATCAGCCACACTGCAGCATTTTCGTCTAGCGAGTAGCAACCCTTGGGAACCTAGGTAGGTATGCCAGTCTATGATGTCGTAGTAGTACTCGTGGTGCAATCGAAATTGACTCACCATCTAAAATTTGACAATGTGATCCCAAAGCACAACAACACTCCTTCTAAGATATAGAGACTCCAGTCGATCCTGCTGGTGGCTTGCGCTACAGTCGCTCCAACTTCACCGCATGCCTTTCTAGCCGCCAAACAAGAATTCGCAACAAAATTTGACCATGGCAATTCCCGAGCAACGAGGTCAAGACGACCGTCCGCTTTTCTTCTTTGATATAGACAACTGCTTGTATCCCAAGAGCAACAATGTGCACGACCACATGGCAATCTTGATTAACAAGTACTTCATCAAACACCTCGACGTCTCGACTGATGAGGCCACACGACTACATCAGCAATATTACAAGGACTACGGCCTCGCCATAGAGGGGCTCTCTCGCTTCCACAAAATCGATCCCCTGGACTTCAACCGGGAAGTGGACGATGCACTCCCCTTGGATGAATTGCTGTCACCGGACCCGGAGACAAGGAAAATCCTGGAAGCCTTTGACAGGTCGAAAGTCAAGCTGTGGCTCTTCACCAACGCGCACATCACCCACGGCCGACGGGTGGTCGAGCTACTCGGAATCGAGCATTTCTTTGAAGGAATCACCTACTGCGACTACACGGAGAAGCCACTGGTCCCGAAACCTCTGCCGCAAATGTTCGCCAAAGCCGAACGCGAAGCGGCCGTCCCGCCGGGCGCTCAGATCTACTTTGTCGACGATTCGTTCTTGAACTGCGAAGCAGCGTATGCCCGGGGATGGACCAATACGGTCCACTTGGTAGAACCTTCCGTACCGGACCCGCCAACGAAAGCAAGTAAATACCAAATCAGCCATCTGAGAGAGCTGCTGGGTTTGTTCCCAGAATTATTGAAACAGTAAGAGGCCTTGTTCTCTCCATCAAATGGTATAGATTTGGACGATGTGAGAAATGAGACTATAGTACAAGAACTACTTAGTATGTGTTCATATGTTAGATGATACCCAGACGATACCCCCTGGAAAGAATTTAAACCGCTCAGAATCATTCTCGCTAGGAATAGGGCGGAGAGTTTTGCTTGAACGCTAGACAGTGACAGAAGAGAAAATTGAACACAAGAAAAAGAAAAGAACAGAACGCAGAAAGGGAATATCCTCCGAAAATTTTCGTCATCGTCGTCATCGTCGTCATGGTTAGAACTTTTCTCTCCTTCAGGAGCTTTCATTCAGGCCCTGATCATTTGCCTCCTGTGGCCGTGAAGGTCCGAAGGGCAGAATTTCCACGCCCCGGCATGCCTCCTTGCATGCCAATTTCGCACGACGGTTTCCAAGATCCAAGGCGCACCGGGGAATGTGCCCTTGACGCCGTCGATGAAAAAAGATTTGTCCTGGCAACCAAGTGTCCAAGGGGCATCGGAGTACAGGTCGGTGTCCTTGACCGCGATGCGCTCTGCATGTTTCCAAATCTTCATTAGCTCGGCGGAATCCAGAACGTGGAGAGCCATCAGACTGACAATCTCGTCGTGCAGGTGTTGGATGAGTTCAGGCGCGAATGACTCGATGATATGTCGGAAGGTCGTGCCGTTGAACTCATCTGATGAAGTGACGAAAACGTACTTTTGGAAAATGGCCAGGCCTTCTGCGAATGATTGATGGCCTTTGACATTTTCCTCCATCGCACCGGACCGACCGAGCAACTTCTCGAGGGCCGGAAACATGTAATCATCCTCCACCTTGTGGTGGTGGTCAAGAGTGGTAAAAAGCTGTTGGTTGAATAGAAGGAAATCTGCTGCTTCTTGGGTGGAAGGCTTCACGCTCGGAGCGTGGTTCCACGCAGAGTTCAGCGCGCGAATGATGGTGTTGTGCATCTGTGCCATCTGGCGTCCGCAAAAGAATACCGAGTGGTCCCGGGAGACTGAAGCCGGGACGTTCTCGGGGTGGATGGTAGTAATGAGTGGATAGTGATCATCTGCCCAACGGGGCGCCTGCATACTTATCCTTGAGGTACTGTGTGTGGAAGCTGATGACTGCGAATGGGCAGTGGATCTGGCCGATCGATTCGATCGGATAGAACGTGATGAAGATGAAGAGGACCGTTGCATGTTGGCTGTGTAGACCTCTCGCTCTGCTTCAGACAGGTACAAGAGATGCGAATATCTAGCCTGTGTAGGTGACTTGGACCCTGATAGGCCATCTGAAGACATGCTTCGAGGAGTCGGCTCTCTGATAATTGGCACCTCCAACATGACTGCTGGCTGATGTCAATGTATTGCAGAGGAATGTGTACCTTGTTGAAGTTCGTGTAGAAGGTAGGTAGTCCAGTAAGAGAGTGAGACTGAAGATCAATAAGGCCGCACTGCAAGAAGTGAAGTTTTTGTTTGTTTGGGAGTTGATGACAAGTCAGCAATATGCATGCAAGACGGGATCCACGCCGTTTATGTATCTGAGAACGCTTTGAGCGGGCCTTGTTCTATATACGCATGTGCCAGCGGTATCCTTGTCGTTTGAAAGTACAGGGGGCCAGCATGTGGGTTGAGCATTTTGGATTTTGTCTTCATCTGACAACTCACATGGTTACACCTGGATCAGGGAAACTGTCAAAAAGATGACCAGTCTAGCGAAAGCCGAAGAACGTAGCAAAGAGGCTAAGGAGCAAGCCACGGGCAAGACCAGATCAGGTGGTACCACCCTCCCAACGCCTTGATGATTGGAAAACTGTCAAGCCACCAAGGGATCCATTGTGTTGCAAACGGACGAAGGGCGGGCAGCAAAGTTGGTCGGCGAGGTGAGTGGCCTCTTGAAGTTCTGACTCTGGCCCCTTGCATTTGGTGGCCGGATATTAGCGTCAGGTACGGTTGCAAGGGCCAACATGGATACGAAGGCCCTCCCGCAGCCCAAGTCCCAAGAGAAAGGGTTCTATTCCCGAATGTGACATCTTGAACGCTCATGGAGCTGAGGAGTTGCAGGGATGGTCAGCTTGCACCGGTTGCACAGACCAAGAGAACCTCGTCGTCCACGTGGAAGTCCCAAGATGACTGGGATAATTGGACTCGGATAGCTGCAGATGCGCAGGCACCGTCCGCCCACCAATTCTTCCGTGGGCCATGGTAATCAAAAGGCGCAGGGGAGGAGCCTGTTTTCCGCAACGGATGTTCGCCAACTATTGGAAATTTGTGTCCTTGACGTCAAGATCTTCCCGCTCAGCATCTCAGATTCCTAAGAACACAGTGATTGTTTACCGAACTTGAACTTGACGAGGCTCAACCCTGGCCCAGGTTGGCAATTTCAGAGAGGAATTCAGAGTATCCTCGCTCCCTTGAGGATTGGCAAGGGACTGAACAGTGAAGACAAGTTCCTGGGACACGCCTCGACTAATTATTCCAAAAGGGTACAAGTGTCGTCCAGGGTTGAGGATTTGCTGTCATAAGTTTCGCTTGAAGATCCCTCCACTTGACGTGAGTGATCCCCAACCCTTGACTCCACGGAGAAGGTACCAGCAATTAGAAGTGGATAGCAATCATTAACGAAGCCGGAAAGGAGCTGTCAGTGACGCTCAGGCACTGCTTGACGAGTGGGCATGCACGAGGCACCGCCAGATGAGCCGAACAATTGATACGCATACTCAGCCAATACTACTGGTTAATCGAAATCGATAACCTTGTCTGTGTTTGGCCTCCGGAGAGCGCGATTCAATGCTTTCCCTGGCAGAATGGACAGTTTTGCATCCAGGTGTGAGGCTGTTAGCCGCAAAGCCTTAGGGGTCCATATTGATGATTAGGTGGTCATTCGTCACCGGGTTGGCCGAGTGCCCTCTGCCTTCTTAGGCTGTTCAGTGGATGGTGTCGGGTAAGGCTGGTTTAGGGAGAAACTATGTGGAAATGGCTGGCTGTATCTGCTGCACCATTGCGAAAGGATCTCGATCTAGACGGCATCCCCTCAGCTGGACCGCTGGACCGACTTCCACGGTTGGCAGCAATCGGACAGGCTCCTTTGGCAATATCCAGTACCTTGTCCTGCATGTTGGTCTACAATCGAAGCAGACTATTGAATTCGATCTGCGACGCTGGTCGATTTGCACCCTGAAATGGCCTGGCCTCAGCTTACTGGAGTCCTTCCGAACGTGAAACAAGTAGCTAAGACGGTGCACCGAGTCAAACATGGGCGAGATGGCGATTATTCCCTTGATTCTTGCCGCAGTTCACCGCATGGATTAGGCATGAATTAGGCACGGACGTCTCCAAAACTCGGCGAGCTCGCGTACCTGCATGCAGGCGTGCGAGAAGAGGGGGCGGGGGGCGGCCATGACCAAACGAGCAGTTAAAGGACGCTTAAATGGCACTTGAACACACACTAATGCTGGTTAAAGTTTAGGCCAGGCACAACAGCTCAGACTCCCCAAAGATGAGGCAAACGGAAATGGCGTGCGTGGGCGTTGGGGGGCATCGTTGGCCGCCCAGGGATGCAAAGCAGGTACCAGGCGGGGCCATCTACACGTCACAACAGAGACACTATCACCCTCCACACTCGCAATTCCCCTGATCTATCTACACCTCCCAAGGACGAAGCAGGTGTCCAGACGGCAACAGGCTTTTACCCCGCGAACGCCAACCTCGTCCAATATGCCCATCCGGAGTACACCATCCTAATCCATCGATCCGTGCCTCTCCCTAGTGCCTTTCTCCATCGTTTTATGGAGCACGAGGCACTCGATACAAGAGATGAAGCCATCCAAAAGGTCATTAGCCTGAGGGGATGTTCCTGACTAACGAAGCCAGAATGAACTGCCACGAGAATCTCATTGATCGATCTGGATTGTGGTGCACACCACCCTTCTTGAAATCGTAGATCTCATGACACGTTCCCATTTGGTTCCTGACGTATTTGATCCTTGAGTGGCGCAAGCGACTGGGCCTGAACAACGGACTCGGCTGAGAGGGAAGGGTGTCATTCTCGTGATCGCTCGGCAACGAGCAGGTGTGTGAGACTAAGACCGAAACAAGTCATTGTAGCTTTTCGATCATGAGCGCATGACCTTTGAAACTCCTTCCATGCGAGCCTATGCTCTTTTCTGTTTGCCTCTGCTTTGTTTAGCATCAGAGGTAGAGCGCCTTGTCGATAGGGGTGGTTGGGCTGCCCTCCAAGCTGACTGATGCGCTGAGGCTCTCCGTCATAATTTCCCTGCTTCTATTATTAACAGGCGCTATGTGCTCCGTACTTGATACGAATACAGCCCTGTGGATAAGGTGTCAACTGTGAAAGCAACCAGAAAACTTCATAGTCACAACGACCTACCTGGATGGGTAGGCATAACCTCTTCTGTTGAACGATAAGGGGCGACAAAGGCGAAAGCCACAGGGTTGCATACCAAGATCATGCACGATTCGATTGGCCGAATAGAGGGTCTTGCCCACGAACTGCCCTCCACGGTTAAGGTCCCCCGAGTGCCCAAGCTACGGGTACGTACGGGGCATCCATGTGCCCTGAATCAGCGCATCTAGGCAAGAAGTCGAGAGCGATGAGAGTCCCCCAGGCCCTCAGCCGTGGCCTTATGGCGGGTGAGCGAGCAGCCAGACTAAATAACCAATTGACTCTACACAGGTACTCGGTAGCTCATAATGTAGCTGATGCACAGCCCTTGGTAGGTCCTCAGCACATGCAAGCAAGGTACCTACCTACCCAAGTACCGAGGCTTGAGACCCTCGCTGCTACTCGTGAGCACACCTGGAGTTTTCATCGCAAACAGGTTGCATGCCATAGCGTCATGAATGCCGTTGCGAGGCTCTATGCCTATCAATATTATCTCTTCGCACCAAATTCCATCGAATTGAGCCGCGGCCGAAAAGAACTCTCTGGAACCTTGGAGTTCTAGAGTCAACTGGATCTCCTTGATGGAGCCATCCGAAGGTATGAAGACAATCGGATCTCAATGTCAAAGCTGTCTTATTCTTCATCTCGTCGGAATGGCATATGCGGAAGCAACGCAGACAATTTCATCTACCTCGTATACAATCGCCCTCAGGGGCATTCCCGTCATCTATGTACGAACGCAAGTACCATGTTCTGGATGCATCTATCGTGTCCGTCGCGTCGCATGGCCTCGACAACGGAGCTCCCAATTGAATCCGCAACGTTGTGTTTCCTGTCTTCTTCGTGTCTAATCCTTGGGCCTGTCATTGACCGGCAATCAAACTTCAGGCGTGCATCTCCATATGGTTGGCAGGCCCATTCCCCTTTGCATCTGTCAATCAATCAGTGTCCCAGCCTCACCTAGGACTCTGCAGTGTCTTTTAAGCACGGATAGTAGTGATTTCCAACCACCCATGGGCCATGACAAAAGGTCCTGGGCGAATGTCAATCACCACGTGTTATCGTCTCTCATTTGCTGTGGCGTCCTTTGTTGCAAATCGTATTATATGGCCTGGCACGCACGCAGAGAAACTGCGAAAACTCTACTCTGTGCCTTGCGCTTCTGCAGGCGTGAAACAAGGTGACACATGCAATGCTTAGTAAACCTGGTGCCTACACTTTGGAAGCATGTCAGGGTCAGAGGCCTTCTTGTCAGTTAAGCCATTCTCAGATGAGCATCTCGTAGGCTCGAATTACTACAAGTCTTGTTGCCCACCTGAGCAGTTCCCTGGGGGGAAATCCAACTGCTATCGGGACCTCGGGATGGATAGTCGCCCTATCTGATAGCATATTACTTGTGTAGTGCCGGCTAATACCTACATTGGAATTTTATAGTCAACCCACACCTCGAATCAGATCGAATGAGTTGCGCTCCTCCCCAGCATCCAGGGTCTCGACTGGCGTGATCTTTTCTCGCTACCGATTATGGAGAATCGCTGGACTCCACTGAGATCATCATTTCACGATGCTCTTGTGTCGCATATCCTTCCGTGTCCAGCTCTGGACCGCGGTTGCTTGCTGGGCTGGTGAAGACACCGCCACGACAATGGTGTCTGCGTTGTAGCAACTTCCAAATAAGTTAAATGCCATACTACAATCCAAGTCCTATCAAGCGAAATCTCATTGTGCTTACGAACCGGCTCACTCAAGATATACGATGGCAACAAATAAAGACGCCTCGATTGCAATAATCGGAGGCGGTGCCTGGGGCCTCTCGACGGCATATCATCTCGTGAGAGCAGGGCACACCAACATCATCGTCTTCGAGCGTGGTCGGGAAATTCCTTCTCCGTACTCCGCAGCAAATGATCTGAACAAGATCGTTCGCGCACAATACGACACCGATTTCTACACGGATCTTGGCTTGGTAAGTCTTCGAAGGCTGCTTATTTCCATTACTGTCTTCAATTCAGACGACACACATCACTGGTAATCACTGTAATAACTTCTCCCCAGGAGGCAATTGAAGGCTGGAAAACTCCTGACTTTGCCCCATACTACCACCAAACCGGACATTTAGTGACAGTCTCGGGACAAGCGCCGCGAAAGGCAGTCCAGCACCACGACGAGGCCTTCGCGTACGTATCGCGACACCCAGTTCTTAGCGCCGGAGTCAAGCCTATCAACACCAGGGCGGAGTTCAAAGACTGCGCTTGGCAGCTCACCGGCCCATTGAACGGTTTCAAAGGCTACTTCAACAGGCTTGAAGGATATGCGCACTCGAGCAATGCCCTCAGAGGCATTTTCACCCTGCTTGTCGGCCAAGGAGTGAAATTCCTACTCGGACCCGACGAAGGACAGGTGGTAGAATTGCTCAACGATGCCTCTGCTGGCAAAGAAGGAACCTCGCGTAGGTGCACTGGTGTCCGCACGAGAGGCGGAAAGCTACACACCGCGCAAGTCACGATATGCGCGCTGGGAGCATACGGGGCATCTCTCGTCCCGCAGCTCGGTACCTTCAACGTCGCGCGCTGCTGGTCCGTGGCACACATCCAACTGACCAATTCTGAATGTGATATCCTGCGTGGTTTGCCGATCGTCAACATCCGGGACCTAGGGTTCTACTTCGAGCCCGACCCAGCGACGCGCCTGCTAAAGCTGTGCCATCTGGGAGCTGGCTTCAGCAACACCGACCGCAGCACCGGGATTTCTCTACCCCCGTTAAATGACCATGACTCCTCCTCCGCACAGACCTATATCCCGCTCGAAGACGAGCGGCAACTGCGCACCATGCTGCGCGAGACGCTCCCCTGGCTCGCCAACCGGCCCTTCGTGGATACCAAGCTGTGCTGGTTTAGCGACACGAGAGACTCCGATTACTGCATTGACTTTGTCCCCGACACGGAGAAGTCGCTTGTGGTCTTGTCTGGCGACTCCGGCCACGGGTTCAAGATGATGCCTGTCTTTGGGAAGTGGGTGAAGGACCTCTTGGCGAAAGGAGAACAGTCACTGTTGAGGTGGCAGTGGAAAGTGGTTGAAGATGGTGCTTCTGGTGACTGGGGCAATGATGTCAGTTGGCGCTTTGGAGAGGCGAAAGAGTTGCATCAGATTGTCGAGGAGAGGAGTCGGATGATCAAGGCTAGACTTTCGTAAAAAGGTTACTCAACGCTAAAAGGAGCTACAACGTACGAAGTAGTCACATCTAGATTTCTAGATGTCCTCCATGTTCATGTGAGAGCAAAAGTCTATGTGTCTTTATCTTTCAAGGCCTCCCTCTATGATGCATCCGATTGATCCTAGGATGACCATTGAATAAGCCAAGTATCAAGCTTGAGAATAGCCAACCACGTCCATGGCCCATTTCACCAGAGCTGGACATAAGTCCCAAACCGTCTCCACTTCGGCATAGCGTAATAATCATCAAGGTACTTGATCTCCTGCGCAGTCAAGATTCTCCGGCCAGTCGTCAAATCTGCCGTCTTTGGATCGCGCCAAGGCGTGCGCATGATCAACTTATACGCCAGCGTGAAGCCTACAATGATTAAAAGTCCAATGATGTACTGGAAAAAGGTGTAGGCGGTAAACCCGCCTCCGCCTAGGGGGTTTACACCGGCCGTGATGCAGCAGGCGACGAGAAGGATGGAGATCACCATCATCCAAATTGGCATCAGAGGCCAGGAGATAGATTTCCAGGCGTAGACTTGCTGGAACAGCGGGTCGTTCTGGGCACGGAGAGCCTGGTGGAATCGCCAGGAGGTGAAGGAGATGATTATCCAGTTGATGAAGTAGGCTGAGCTTGATATGTTGACAAGCCAGATGAATAGCTCATATCCGCCCGCTACGCAAATATGTTAGCAACTCTGGTGTACGGGGTAACGCAGGCTTTTTGGGACAACTCTCACAGCTCAGGCTCAGGTAGCTCAAGAAGACTGCCACCCCGCACGTAATGACCAGTGCCCATCGAGGGCGACCTTGACTGTCAACCCTGGCGATGACCTCTGGGATCAGGCGCTTGTGTGCCATTTCTCGCACGATTCGAGAGGAAAGATAGACTGATTCGGCTGCAATTGCGAGGATACCAGTGATCATGGCCGCGTTTATTAGGTCTGGGACACCTGGGATGTTGGCGTCGGCAATTGAAATTACAAATGGAGAAGCAGTGACGCTGGATCCTCCCAGAAGACGCTCGTCGTCAGATCTTACTAAGAGTGTGATGAAAACCACACTCGTCATGTAGACAAAATTGACTCGGAATGGCACGAGTTTAGTGGCATGAGCCATACTAAAGCGTGGAGATGCTGCCTCGCCACCCATAATTCCGATCTACAGTCGAATCAGCAAGGCTTCAAAAGCCATCAGACAGAGATGGCGCCTCCTAGGGGCTTTTATGGACAAGCCTAGAAAGAACTGACTTACAAAGACTTGGTCGCCAACGCCCGCAACGGCCAACAGCGCACAATTTGCGAATCCCTAAGCATGATCAGCAGACCCATCACCAAAAATCTTGATAGACAAAGGGGCCCTACCGTAAACCCGTTCTTGAACGCAGGTAAATCTCGCCAATACGCTCCGTCATGCACATAGCCCCCAGGACCAGCGCCACAGACGATTGCAAGTGACAAGACAATGATCAAAAGAAAGAGGAAGATCTTGATTACTGACGTGACGTACTCGAACCAAGCGAAAGCCTTGTTCGGAAGCAGGAATATCACTAGGACAATCACAAGAAATATCGTGACTTTGAAAGGACGTTGGTCAGTAATCAAGCTCGAGTGAACGAAATTTCCACTCACTTGACGCCGGCATTGGCAGAGCTCCTTGAGCCCAATACTGCACGAAGATATCAAAGAATATTGCTTCGAGGGCAACAACGGCAACCCAGCCTGGCCATGTCGTCAGTCCTGCTATACCATAGTGGCCGCAACGCAGCGCAACGTACCCAACCATTCAGCAAAGCCAGCGCCAAAAGCCAGGGCAGGGTCAACCCAGCGGTCCGCATAGTCGATGTAGTTGCCGCTGGTCGGAAAGGCAATGGTCATCTCTCCGAGAGTCTGTAACACGGCCCAGATGCACGAGCAGACCAAAAAATATGCGATGACCATGAAGCCAGGACCTCCGTTTGCTAAGGCTTTACCCGTGCCCAGGAAGACGCCGCTGCCGATGTTGGACCCCAGAGAGATTATCTGGGACGAGCAAGAGTTAGCTTCATAGCCTTGTGGAATCACAGAAGAGACATCCACCGGGCCATGCAAAGCTTACGTGAATCTGCCGGGGAGTGAAGGAGCGATGGAATTTTCCATTCCTGCTGTCGTCCAACTCGGCCAGCGACACCTGCTCGATACTGGTAATGGATTGCAAGCCATTTCCAGACTCGAACTCACTCGTTTTATCCACTTCTCCGAAATCTTTTTGGTCATCAATATTGAGAGGCATTATGTCTTTTGGTGTCTAGAAACAGCGCCTCGATTGTGTGACCTGTTTGCGCGACAATCTTGCCACCCATTGCCTGAGCAGTGAGGCAGAGACTTATGTTGAATTTGGGTTCATAATGTCGCCCGCCCGAGGCTGGGTTGCCCAACTTCGATCGTCATGCCCTAGTTGGTAAGAGAGAAATTCCCCGCTCGTTTTTGCTATCTTAACACCAGTGGGATAGAGTTGGGGATAGATAAGCTATCACGGAACTGCATTTTGACTCCAACACTGTATCGTGGATGTGGATGAAGATGTGGGGATGGAGCGAATGTGTTCATCAAAAGGGAGGTAGACACGCTAAGGGCAAGGCACAAAGTTAAGCATGCCGCTTTGCCGAAGTACAAACGCCCACATATCTCTTCTATCCTCTGGACTCGGTATTGATGAGTACCTACACGCCTATCTACGGTGTGGGACATCCCCGATAGCTAAAACAGGTTGAGATTGGGCGCCGTAGCAAGAGATCCCAACCTGGAGAGTCAGTAGGGCCCCCCAATCTGGAGCCTGGGAAACCCGAGGTCCTCGCCGTCAAATCCGCCTGGGCGCTCCATGGTTAGAGGGTTGAGCAGTACTAACTAAATGGACCTGAATAATAAACAGGAAATTCTTCGCCATTCAGACTACCCGTGGTCTTTTTTGTCGTTCATGTTCTCACATGCTAGATCACTGGCATACCCATCAGCGCTCTATATACCAAGCCAAATCATTCTCCGGATTCAATTCCATCTCCGTAAATCCGTTTCCCATGAATTTGAACATATTAGGACTTCGATAATCAATCTCAAAATCCTCAGTCCGAAGTTCGCCACTGATAATACGTTTATACAACATCCCACTACCACCGAACAGAGCTGTCACTCTCCCGTTGACTTGATTCCGCTTATACCAACTCTTGCAGGGCGCTGTCCACACCAGAGACTTGTGAATCTCGTCCGCATACTTGACGAATTGATCAATCACAGCAGTCTTCGGACAGAATGATTTGATATCCTCTTCCGCCATCTTTTTGATCCACCGGATGAAATAGTCGCCGTTCCAGTTCATAGCCTCGAGAAGGGACCCGTGGCCGGCGACCGCGTTTGGCCCCAAGACGGTAAAATAGTTTGGCATCCTATCTGCCGCAACAGAAAAGTAGCCCTCTGGCTCTTCAGTCCATTTCTGTTTGAGGTCGACGCCATCTCGACCGATTGTGGGATACTGGGGCCGGAACGAGACGTCGAATCCTGTTGCACAGACCACTAATATTGAACAGTCAGCCAAAACATCTCGACACAAGCTTGCCTCGCTGTTCGACTTACAGACATCCACCTCGTGAATTTTGCCATCTGCTGTGTGAATGGCATTCTCTGTAATGCGTTCAATAGGGCTTTGAGTGATGTCACAGTTTGGTAAGAGAAAGGACTCTAAATAGCCCTCTCCAGGGGTGATACGCCGACACCCCAAGGACCATTCCGGGATCAGCGTCTTACATAGTCGAGGATCATGTCCCAGTCGTTCTGCCATTTGTTTCTGGGCGGCGATCATGGCTTCTTTATTCGCTTCTGAGTCTTTGACAAACTAGAGATGTCGTCAGTTAGATAAATATAGTCAATCTCGTAGATGAGAAAAGGTATCAGCAAGACTGACCATCCTGAAAGCACGATTAGTTCGACCGATCATAGCTTTTCGATGCTCTTTCATAGCATCTGGATGCTCGCGAAACTTCTTCTTGTCCTCTTCAGAGTACTCTGGGTTATTTCCTGATTTCCCGGATTTGCCTAGATGCTGTGATGGAGGAACACGATAATAGATCCACGAGGGACCGCGAGCGAAATTTGTGACGGCCGTCCCTGGGAGTTTGGCCATTTGAGGCACAATCTGAACTCCTGACGAGCCATTGCCGATCACAGCGATCCTCTTGTGGGAGTAGTCATAGCTCTGATCCCAGTGCGCCGAATGAACTCGATGGCCCTTGAACCCTTCAATGCCAGCAATCTCCGGCCATTTATAGATGCTACGGGCAAAAGTCAGCTGATCGCTCTGAGCAAGGACATAATCATCATGGTGTGTCTTACTCCAGTACGCCTTGCCCGGATATCAAGACATCCGCCCATTCGTCTCGACTTTGACCATTATGTTTGACGGTTACTTTCCATTGACCTTTAGACTCTTCCCAGGCAGCCTTAGTGACCTCAGTGTTGAGCTGCACGTCTCGATCGAGGTTCCATTTCTTCACTGTATCGACGATATACTGGTGAATCTCGGCGCCACTTGAGTAGAAACGCGACCACTCAGGGTTGGGATCAAAGGGGAATGCCTATGTAGAGCGTGGTGTCAGCAGCCTCGTCAATCTATTCAGAAGTAGCGCTCTCGTGCGGATAGGACATACATAAATATGCGATGGGACATCACATTGAACTCCAGGATACGTGTTCACAAGCCAAGTCCCCCCAAAATCTCCTCGTTTCTCGAAGATGGTGTGGTCAACAATTTTGTCCATTTCGGGAAAGCGATGCTGAAACTTGTGAGCCATGAGCAGGCCAGAGAATCCAGCCCCAACGGTGATAACCCGAAGCCTGCGAGCAGTGAAGGCGAGTTCGTCGTTCATAGGGATCGAGTATTTACTCTTGTCCGGTTGCTGTGGTTCCTTAGTTGCAATGCCATTCGAGAGCGCTGTTGGTAGCCCGATATGACTGTTGAGAAGATGTTTTCTCTTCCCTTCTGCCGAATGCTCTGGCGATTGTTGATCAAAATCTTCTTTTCTTGTTAGATGTTGTGCGTGTGAGCCTAAGGACACGCGCGGTGCCAGCGCTTCTTCGGTCAAAGCCATCCTTCAAATCCAAAGAGAGTAGATTTCAGCTTCCGATGCAACCGATGACAATCACGGCGCGCAATTACACGATGCAACAAAGCAAATGCTTAAATGAAAATACTCAGCTCTGGGCCGTTGGTGACCTGCATAATGGGCTTCTCAGTATATAGCTCGACCAGTTGTATGTCACGCGATGGCAAGCTACCGAGCAAAGCCTGGGACGGAATATGTCCACCTCAAGCCTGGCGATAGAATCGTCGAATAGGAAGTCGCTGGAGGCCTCATAGCCGTGCCGAATGTCATAATGTCAAGGATCACGTACTTAATCTGATGGCAAGTGTGTGGTGCAGAGAGACTGGAGTTCCAGACAACGGTGCTCAATGCTGGCTCACTCGTGGCACTTGAGGCCCAATCGGCTGGAAGCTCTCGCGCCTATTGGCAAAATTCCTGCCAAATTGCCGAACGAGCCATCTCCCGCTTCTTGGGCTTCGGGCGCACCAGTTCAATTGTGAGTGGCTGGATCAGTGCCGAGCGCTTTGACAAAGTTGATCTGTGGGGAGATCAGCCCTCCATTGAGTCAAACTTGGTAAGCCACTGGAGACTGGCAGATTGCGCGCCGTTTCCCAGCCAAGCCAACTAGCATTTCTAGATCTGGACGGAATAAATACTGTCATCCAAGGGCGGGCATGTTAACCACTATCTTAATTGAAATCTTGACGGAATTTGCACACTTGTAGGACATTCAGAACGGCAGAAGCAATTCTGATCGCGTTGAAAAAGAAGACAACTGCGGGCGGAGATCGAGTCCAATTAGCCAGTCATGTCTCCTCAACCTTACAATTATACGGGACCCGTGGACTGCAGCATCGCCGCGGACAAGACGCAATGCAAAGGAAAAAGCGTCATTGTAACTGGAGGTTTGTGCAGCGCCAGCAGTGTTTCATCCATTGATTTCTCACTGTCTGAATGTGGCTTCCTACTGAAAAGCATCAGCACTGTACTGACCGCTGCCGTTTCAGGGGCTAATGGACTGGGGGAGGCATATGTTCGAGCATTTGTGGAAGCAGGGTAAGTTCTTCCATTCAAAGCGATAGCTGGATAGACTCTCAGTCTTCCTTCTCTAGGGCATTTGTGACTTTTTGTGACATAAATGAGGGGAAAGGACAAGCAGTCGAGGCCGAATTGACACCGTAAGTCCTGGATGGCGATGCTAGTTTCTGTCCTTGCTATGCATTGTCAGACCCTGTTGACAGAAGTACAAAGCCAAAATGTTTGCTTTGTCAAGTGTGACACCCGATCTTGGGATGATCAAGTACAAATGTTCGAGTCAGCCGTGGCCAAATCCCCCAGCAAAAGTGTGGATATCGTCATTGCAAATGCTGGAGTTGGTAGAGGATCTGGAGATCCGATGATGCAATTGGAAGGTTAGTCTATACTGTCATCCACTGGAGAATGAGGAGAGTGAGATATTTACACGACGATCAAGATCCTTTCACAACACCCACAAAGCCAAGTACGCACATCATCGACATCAACCTAATCGGCGCTTTGTACACATTTAAATTAGCAGTCCACTATTTCCGCCGAAGTCCACCAGGTGCTGACAGAGACCGGTGCTTTATCTTCATCGGTAGTGTTGCTGGCTTTGTAGACAATCTGGTGAGTGTCTCCACTAAATTCTCGATAACATCCGTGGTTTTCCAGTTTAAAAATGATGCTGACGTCCTGCTTAGGGAAGTTGGGAATATTCCGCTGCCAAATTTGGTCTTCGGGGTTTCATGAGGGCGGTGCGGTGGCATTCATACCACCAAAGTATTCGAGTGGCTTATGTTGCCCCTTAGTAAGTTTCGGGCCCTGTCCTCCGGACTAGACAGTCAGTCTAATGAGACCAACTATCAGTTACGTCAGGACTGTCATTCAATCTGCGGAGACCTATCAAGGCATGAAAGACAAAGGTGTTGAATTCGCAACAGTTGATAGCTGCGTCGCGGCAATCATGAAAATTTCTTGTGACAAAGAAATCAATGGTGAGGATTCCCAGCCAGCCGAGTCACCTCTGCTATTAAGGCGCCTGGACTTAGGCTGAACTCCAATCTAGGACATTCATTCGTTATCGTCCCCTACTCTGTAGCAAGCGAAGGATTCAAGGATGCCGGGGAGGACGACTGGACTGATGAGAACTACTGGCTGCAGAAAATGCAGAGAACTGTCGTCAAGGCAAGAGGGGATGCATGGAGTTGAGATATCATCAAATATGGCGAGTAGGGGGAGAGCACAGCTTCGATTACTAGTACTTCCCCTTGTCTGGGAGCTCTTATTCGACTAGCTGACACTTTCCTCACTATTACTCTAACAGGTTTGTGCTTTCTGCCCTTGAGGTACTGCTCATCATAGATAACGAGATTATGTAATTGAAATACGCACTGGAGCCAAATGCCCAAAGCTCATTCATCTGGCTCAAGATGATTCATAAGTACTATGTAAGCCTCTGCTCCACTGTTTCGCTCTCTTGCAATTTTCTTCAATACTCTGCTCAGCTAAAGAGGTGGTATTGCATCGGTTCTCTACGATAACGCTGGTTGATAGAGCAGGCGGCTCACAGGGCCAAGGGGCCAATGTGTGAAAAGAGCAGCGTGATGAAGTCCTGTAATCTGTCAGATATACAGTCTGACTAAAGAAAGCGCCTCTGAAAATCAAAAAACGACTGAACAATCAATCCGGCCGAGAGAGCCCAGAGTATGTCCACACTCCACTCAATCATCATTGCAAAGGGCGACCCATTAGAGCGCAATCAAGACCTTCAAGTGTGGAATAGTAGAGCTTGGCGTCTAAGGCAGCGTCTGTCATTGAGAGCCTCGGGATTGCACAAATGGACTGCGCTCCTGCATCCAAGTTCGAAAGTCCATTAATTGGGGATAGGTCTTTCTGCACTGCGCGACGTCCCCACCATACCCATTTTCTTCGAACCACCGAAACATATCCCCAACTGTATCTTTCTTAAAAAATTTCACTGCGGAACCAACGGGGCAAGGCGCCATGGGCATCCTGGAGCCGACTACGTCCTGGAAAATGATGTTGGCTTCTGGCTGTGTAAGCTCGTCCCCAGCCAACGTTATTGCCACATTGCGATTATCCTCTGGATGGAGGAACGCCTGTGCGGCAAAGAAGCCAATATCCGTTGTAGAGATGAATTGTAGTGGTCTCTTTGAGCCAATCTGCTCCCACATCCGGGCGAAACCCTTTCCATGAACGTCGGTCGTCAAATTCTCGTAAAAAGTGACCGGTCTCAGAATCGCGTAGGTCATGCCTTGCGAACTAGTAGCTGCGAGCTTCTGCAAGTGTTTCTCAATGTTGAACTTCGCCGCAAAGTTCTTGACAGAAGTGGGATCTGTTTCTGATCTCTCCGGTCCACCACGATCTCCAGATGAGTAGACGAAGTACTGGACACCACGCGCGACGGAGACCGTCACCAAGGCTTTACCTTGCTTTTCTTCCTCCGCGGAGTTAATCTGGACTCCAAAAACACCCCAGACAGAATTTCCATTTGTGGTGGCCAAGTCAAAAATCGCTTCCGGGTCGGCTAGGTCGCCTTCGAGAACGGATACATTGGGTCTTTGCGCTAGGGCCAGTGCGCCATGGGAATTGCGGTCACGTGTAACGGCTAGGATGTTCAACGAAGCCCCATCAGTATGCTTGTCTGCCCTAAGGAGGGCATCAATAACAGCGGACCCCTGTTTGCCGGTTGCGCCAAAGATAAGGATTGTCTTTGCGGTGGATGTGGTCATTTTATTGTACGCCTGTAGGCTCCTAGTAAGACCAAGGGGCTGTGTCGCCGACTGTGTCGCCGACTGTGGTGAGATGAATGATTCTCAGACGCCAAAGGCGACAATTGAGCTAGATATGAGAATCCAAGCGAAGTAGGAAATGTGGAAGAGGACCGAATGAATGTGTGAACAGATTCTTATTTGTAGGAAATAGCAGTTAATGTAATTAGATATATTTAATTACATGGTCCTTTGTTGGCCGATGGTTCCCCTTGACGGGTTTCAAGTTAGGCCGCTGAACATAGGGAACTCGGCCGTATTTATTGGGGAAGATCGAATGAATTGCTTACCTCCTCCTAAAGGACAGGGAAGATGGTGCCTACATACACCTAAACTACGGGGCTGGCAATGCCTAGAGAATCTACTGTCAGACAGTATTCGGGGGCCGGGTGGTTTAGTTCGTTCTGGGGAAATTTGACTCGGCCGTACTCCTTAGCGTTGGCAACCAATGTTTCAGGCGTCATGGAAACTTCAGCAGCAACCTTCTAGCCTTGAATGTATGTATATCGTACAAATAGATGAGAAATAGCTCCTTTACACGCCTGCCGCGTTCCATGCATCATACGATCTAGTTCTACCTAGGTAGCCTCTGGGGCTGTCCATTTTCTCAGCCCCTCATTCCACAGTTAGAAACTGTTCGTACAACCCGCTAGTCCGGCGCTCGGGGTCGACCAAATCGATCTCGAGAATCCAATACCTCTAAGACCACCAATCCTAGCCTCCTTCTGGAGCCACTTCACTTGCAATATCATATAGTTCGCAGTCCGTCATATCTGGATACTCCTTGTAACGAGACTTTACAATCTTCCAAACCTCTTCAAGGGCATCGCGGCGCTTGATTTGACATGATCGTTTCCGAGGACGAAAGTACGTCTAAAGTCGGCTTCCCAAGCCTCGAGCATTGGGCCCAGGTCAACAACGAGGATATCATCTGGCTATATAATACAATCCTCCGGGTTCTCAGTCTATGGCATCAAAGTATGAGATCCGCTTCTGACTACGCGTTTGTGCCAGTGGGTTCGAACATTGAATGAGTTTGCTCTAAGCTTGTGAATTTCGTTGCTCAGGGTTTTATTGCTCACTCTGGTAGAGATCAAAGTCGGTAGTACCCACTTTTATAGTAAAGTTCGACAACCATTGCCTGTGTCTCGAGCAGAGAACCTACTAAGTCTGGGCACCACGTAATGACCCGCCCCTGTGATGACCCACGCGTCGAGACGCGTGCGTTTTAACCACTACTTCTCTTCTACACTTAATTACACTCTTGAGCGCTCTCCTCGTTCGATAAAATAGCATCTAATCGAGAGGCTAGGATGTAGTAAGCTATTTTAGACTATGAAACTAATCGATGTCTAATTATTCGCTCTACTGTCACGGCGAATAATTTAGGAGTACGTCCTCGGGCGGACATCTGCGTACGTGTGTTAACTTGCATTCATTCGCTCCTGGCTTTGCAAGTCGTCTTCGACAGAACGTGCTACAAGAACCTGCCCTTATTTCACGCTTCTGGAAGCCTACGGAGAAGATTTGATACTGGAGTCGGCGGCTGCTAGCCAAGATGTCTTTCTTGGGCATGCACACCGGTCTATGGACGGCAAGTATCTCATCCATAGTAGGGAGAGCTTTGATGTTGCGGTAGTCTGCGTGATCACTGTCATGTTTCCAATATAATCGCGAGCCTCCTTAGATAATAAGCTGCATCAAGGACTAGCAAGGCTCCCTGAATGGCTTTGACAACCTTCAAGATCAACCAGATTGATCGCTTCTCTACCTAAGATGCTCTCTAGGAACTAAGGCGCCTAGCTTAACAACATCATGTTCCGGTCCCAAGGACCAGTGGACCTTGAGCAGACGATGGCCACCTTTCAATGAAATTTCTCCTTGACCAGACCTTCTAATAGGTTCCATAATCGTTCTGCATTGGTAATCGAACGAGCCCGGGAGTTGGCCTCGTCACTGATATTACAGTCGGCCAAATAGGCTCCGTAATTCTCCCTACCATTTTTCGAAGTTGGCAAGCCCAACTGAGGGTCCGTTGCGGCTACAAGAGTTGTGGAGGCTCCAGCACCTAGTTTTTTGATATGGATCTTGCCACACTTTCCCCAACTTTGTATAGTGGCCACGACTTCGGGAGGGCTGCTCCGATTCAATTCGGCGGCGATGACACCAGGATTCACTGCTAGGCTTAAGAAACCGTATTTATGATAGAACTTTTGGTTCAGAGCAATACTGAACAAGGCGTTCGCCACTTTACTCTGGTTGTATCCTTCACGTGGAATGTATGTTTTCTCCTCGGGTTTAGCTGTGCCCCAGGCCTTGAGTGCATCATATACCGGCTGTTCATCTTGCGGCAGGGTTTTGTTTATCTTGTCGAAATTAATATCACTCCACCGAGCCCCAGCCGACAGAGGAGATGACGAGCTCAAGTTGATCACACGTACTATTCCTTTTGGCTTGTTCTTAGCCGCTTCGATCAACTTAGAGAGTATCAAGTTCGTGAATAGGAAATGTCCAATGTGGTTGGTAGCGAAGTGAATCTCGATGCCGTCCTCGCTCAGTGTGCGCTCAGGGATCAGCATCACACCCGCACTATTGACTAAGATGTCGATAGCTAGAACGTCGTTCCATGAAAGGACTTGGGCGGCAGCCTCGCGAACGCCTTTTTGATTTGAGAGGTCAAGTTTCAAAGCTCGATACTTCACATTGGGATAGGCACTTTTCAAAGCTTCAATACTTTGTTGTAGTTTCGACGGAGTGCGACCTGCAATAATGAGATGTGCGGGAGATTGTGATGCCTGCGCGACAAGAGACGAGTCAATTCGTCTCAGTGGTCATACAAAGAGAATGGGCGTCTCGGGTGCTACTTACAAACGCTTCCGACGTTGCAAATCCGATTCCTTCTCGATTGACTCCAGTAACTAGGATGGTTCTGCCTCGGATGGACTCTGGAAATGCCTTTGCGACCTCTAGAGCCTCGGTATCGGCATGGTACTCCGGATGTGTCGTTCGAGTCATTGTTCTCTTGGTGTTGGTACTACCCTGAAACCGAATTTGATAGATGGAAGGGATAGGTATGGTACAGGCTTGGCTTGACACAGTAAAGGGGAGTCTAATCAAGCTTTTATAGACCAGACCACAGGAAGAATCTTATAGCGTTTCTGAAAAAAGGATCCTTTGTAAACAGCTCTATCAGAACAAATATAAAGCTTGCGTAAGTGTGAATAGAAATCGTTCCCAACCTAGTAACAGGATTCTTAGTAGAGGCCGAGTCGGGCCAAGCCAAGTGGAGCTTGCGGGTAGAAATGTCGTATCACGAGAGTCGGGGATGTGCTTGCCTCCTATCCCTTCTACCCTACTGCGTCGCGGGTGGCAGCCGGCTTTTCCGTGCCTTAACTTCGAGTCTTGGACAGAGAAGCAAGGTCGCGACCTTAGCTTTAGGCCTCAGATTGTCGTTGTGGTTGCCGCCCACGGCATCTTTATCTGCACCCAACTATTCGGGGCCAGCTTTCGAACTCGGGCGAGTCCAGCCGCTCACGTTGGCTTGCTAAAGGTAATTTATTTTGGTTGATACGAACATCTCGAATCATTGAGGATGCAAGTTATGAAGAAAGAGGAGGTGGTGCGGCCGCGGATGGGGTAATATGATTGACAACAAGGTGAAATAAGTAATCTAAACTAGCAAGAGAGCCCTTGCCATGATCTGTTGATATGGACTTTCAAGTCTAAATTGCTTTTCCCGATGCCGCTCATGCTTTCGCACTTCTATCGACACGGTATAGCTTTACATTCAACGACCCTTTGTCCCAGAATAACAGGATCTTTTGCTTATTCCAGTCCTCACTGTCTGGCATCAATTCCATGTCAAGTTCCATAGCATACGGGCGAGTATCAAGCGCATTTCGACATATGCGAGGCTGAGCATAGCACGATTGTCAGTAAGTGTCTATAGTGATGTCAAAGACACAGAGTCCTTCAGGAGGGTTCGAGACCTACTTTTTCCCCAGGCAATTAGGAGGACCAAACTGAAACGGTTGCACAACTTCCCTAGCATCATTGGCAAAGCGTGGATCATTCAACCAAGGCTCGGGATGGAAGTTGTCCGGGTTAGAAAATTGTGCCTGGAATGATAAGAGGCCCAGTGTGGGACTGATACAACGGCCTGAATATCATGAGTCAATCAGAATGTGCAACAAATATTCAGCGGGATATAGTCTTACTCCTTCTGGGATCTGATAGCCATCTACAATGGCACCTCCACTTGGCGTAATGCGCCCCAGGCCTCCTGGTGAAGGAGGGTATATCCGCAGACCTTCATTTAAAACGGCGAGAAGATATTTTGCATTGATGATAGAAATTGACGTAATGTCCTCCTCTTTCTGGGACGAATCTCCTGAACAGCAACTGGTAGACTTTTGGCTTGAGCAGCCAGAATGTGGTACCACTGAGATGTGTAGCAGTAGTCTCGCTCCCAGCGAGGGTCAGGATGTTAGCATTTTCGCCAATCTCGTCTGGGGTCGTGCCTTTCTCGTCATTAAACCGCAGGATGTAGGACATAAAGTCCTGTCTCTCTTCGGTATGTATTTTGTGCCTCGATAGTTTGAAGTCGTAGGCCAGCCACTGATCTCCTGTCATAGTCCGAAATCACGTCCCTCCCCATCATATGAGCGCAGACACTTGCGCTCATCAATTCATTACCTACTGGCCATGCGCCCTCGACAACTGATGGAAGCGAGCATTCTCCATTCCAAACAAAGTTCGGCCCATTCTTAGTCGACCAGGACTATGCTTTCCTCGATGCCTGGTCAGACCTCAACTTTTAAACTGCCAGTTCCTGTAGGCTTGCTCCAAAGTTTCTCTGCCAAGGCCATAAGACGTAGCAGCCACCTCATACTCCCTTTTAAATGGAACTTGGGAAAACATCTCAGTCTATATGGACAAATTCTGTGTCCTATTAAATTTTTCATGACTGTTTAATCGTCATGAACGTACAGGCCAACAGCCTGAACCTCTCGAACCCATAAACTCCAGACTCGGCCCCATGCCGTCCTCGCAATGCTGCCTGTCGCTACAAGTTCATCGTTATGGATTGATACAATGTCTGGCACTCTACCACCAGATGCTGAATCATACGCCGCCAGAAGACCAAGGCTCGTTGATTGAACGGCGGCATTCTCTCTCGCATAAATCGCTTTATACACGTATTCTTCGATTCCCTGGGATGCCACTGTATAACCGTGGCCACGCATGAGGACAACAGAATGTTTGAGATCATTTACACCACTCTCACTTTGATTTGTGTCCTCCAGCGAATCGCCAAAGCAGGCAGCAAGTGACTCTCCTAGATGACCGTTCCGTATGACAAGGTCTCGAGTAGAATCAGACTCGTAGTACTTGGCAATATCATAAACGGGCGTTGTCGCGCCTGCAATTGTGCAATGGGTTAGCATTCTGAGACCTGCATTTATCAAACCGTGGCTAGTCGCATCGCCTCACCTAAAAACTCCGTCATGTGGAGACATGCTCTCAGGGGCACACCTGACGCCCAAATTGATAATAGCGTCTGCACTTTTGGGTGCCAACAGCGATCGACTCGCTCCTCACCTGTAATGCTGTAAGGTATGACTGTGCTGGCATGACTGTGAATGACGCTTTTGACTCCTGGGAACCGTCGGTAGATCTCACTGTGGATGTACCTTTCAATGTATCCTGGGGGTGCATTAAGATCTACGGCGGCTGCGTCAGCTACATTGTACTGGACTAGATCTTGCACCGATGATATATTGGCTGGGGCCATGTTTCGAGGCATGATGAAGATATCTCGATTTGTCGGATGCCGGAACGAGAGATGACCGTAGGCATCCAGAATCCTGGCTCCGGTCAGCGTCAACTATACTTGAAAAGATCTCTTCATAGGGCCTCTCTGCATCGTTGATCAGCGCTCACCCACCCATGATGATGGAGGATATGACTTCCTGTCAAGCACTTATGCTGCCATTCTTCGAGAATTGGATTCCTTTTTTTGTCCAGCATCGTGAGAAGGCTTGATGGAAGTATTTTGTAGATAACCACTCTTCATGTAGGATGAGGACAGGACTAATCGTCGATGCATATAAATGCTCAGGTACAAGTGATGTTGCGTCCCGCTACCCCCGAGGGTGACACAATTTCGGGTGCTGTTCGGGCACGGCTCCGATTGGATTCTCAATGTCAGTTCAGAAGCCAGAGGAGCAAGCCGCGACTTAATTGTTCATTAATATACAATATCAGTAGCAATACTTTTGGCTGCAATTAGAAATTGTGAAGCTGCCCTCTCCAAACGCTTTGTAAATGCTGCACTAGCACTGCATTGAGCATGCTAGGATCTTGTCTTGGGAATTTTCGTTGGCAGTTGCAGCCACCGTGCTTCTCGGAGAGAATACTAGCAGAAGCGTACATATGCAATATAATCGTCTTCACCTCCAGGTTGGTTGATTTCCGAAGATTAGAGATTCTATGGTATCGAGACATAGGCCTCCCGTCAAGCCGTTTACGTGGGGTAGTAGGAGAGACTTTAAAGGTCTTTACTACGGCTCCAACGCTTGAATTAGGAATTTATTGAATTGTTTAAGTAGGAAGGAGTATCTCAACCTTTTTGGTACGAATTATTCATCAAATCTAGTGGAGGAAGACGCGCTGGAACTTAGGGGTCGCAATTTCTGGTCAGCTCGCTTTATTACCTCCATTGCAATTGATGGTTGTCAGTGAGGCATCTGAAAATAACATATAATAAGCGTATATAATACTTCCATATGAGACTCTATAACAGGCGAAGGTCAATATGATTAACCAATCTAGGCAGTGGAGCAGCTAATAGAGTGAGAAAGAACATGTCAATAAAACGCGACAATGCGCTGACCGTATGTAGACTTTGGCAGGGAACTCTACTTCTTCAGCTATTGGTATGACACGATGACTGGAGAGAATTTGCATTCTTCTGGCTTTAGCTTAAAAAGAATTGAGTGTTCATCTGCCAGGTTACGCCTAAGAATCTAGAAGTAGAAGGGGTTATTGATGGCCGATACTACAAGATCGAGACACCAGCTGCACTTCCCCATTTATCACTTGTCATTCACACGATATCATCAATCCAACACAGCTTGCATCTCTGTACGCCGCTCGTGGTAATATCCACTAGAAATCATGGGACCCCAGATCCTTCTTCATCGAGACTATCATTGATGGCTGTTTAGGTTTGAAACCTAGTTGCACTGCGCGGTCACCCTGAACGAGCATGTTCCCGGCTATGAGATGTTTGGCCTCGCCTTCGCCAGCCTCGCCAATTGATACCGCTCTTGGCTCCGGGGAGGAAACGAGGCCCTTAGCGTACAGAATTGGTGCCAAAGCATTACCCAAGTCCCTCCAGTTGAGTCTCTCGCCGTGGAGAATGTAGTACCTCGAGTAAGCATCGCCCATTGGTTGTTCGGTTCCCGCCACCCCGACAATTTTCTGGATGAAAGGAATGGCGTCTTCGACATGCACCGTGCTCACCACGGCGGTTCCCTCACCAATGTAAGGGACGAAACCGAGACCTTTTGCCAGTCCTGTAAGGATTGTGTATGCGACGCCCAGATTGGCAGAGGAACCCAGGACATTTTGGCCGTACGTGACCGCAAGACAAACAATATATGTAATGATCTTTCCACGTTGTCCAGCCTCAAGAATAGGAGTATCGGTGGGGCCGTTGAACATACTTCGGTTGATAGCTCTGATGTCTTCTTCGTTGTTGTCCTGCCTTTGTTTGAGCGCGCCCATCTCCGTGCATGGAATCGAGCAAACTTACATTCCAAACCTTACTTTTCGGGTTGAAATTCCCGGTTGTGCCGAGGTCGATGAAGTTGCCTGTTCCGCTGAGATGAACAAGAGTACCCTGGGAGCTCTCGGGTCTCTTCTCCATGCCTGATATGATTGTGTCGATGAAGTCCCCGTCAAATGACGATGCCGCGTTGATCACAATATCGTGATCCTTAGATAGTGAGCTGACCAAGTCTTTTTGCGAGAAATCCCCGTGTACGATGCGGTCAGCACGCACCGTCTGAGTGAAATACTCATCGACAGATTTATTGCGGTAGAAGACGGTCAGCGGCCAATTGGGGTGAGCCTTTTTAAGTGCAGGCGCCAAACGTGCTTTCAGACGCAGGTTAGCGCCAGTGGTATGCTCGTGTTCAGTAAACATACCTCCAATGAGGCCTGTGGCCCCAAAGAGAAGAACTGAAGGCATTGCTGTAGACGAAATTTTGTTGCGTTCCGGAATATTGCTTGATCACGCAGTGAGCTGTGAGTCGAAGTATGGAAGGCCATGTCCCGAATTGCACCGACGCTGTGTTATATACGTCGATATGCATACTTTGTGTGGAAGCTGAGTTGCTCTTGGATAGTGTTTCGGCGTTTGATAGCGCCCCGGCCTTTCGTAAGCCGTTTCACTGTTGGTGGCAGGGAATTGGTCGAGCCTAGTTTATGTAAGCAGTTTTAGAATTTTTGTCCCCTCAACAACACACTTAGTTGAGTTCACATGACGCCATAGAGCCTTGTCTGATTGCTAAGGCTGGCCCACTGTCCGGGATTTGCGGTGGACCCTGATTGAACCGAGTAAGCGGATTTGCTCTCCACCTGCTCGCCGAGCGAGGGTCACTCTCGCCGAAGTTTTGGAGCTTACAAAATGCGCCGAGCGAACATTTGCGGGCGGCTCTACCTTTTGATTATGGATTCAGCACGGGCATCTTTGGTGTTCACGTATATGTCTGGCGCAGTGGCACTTGACGTTCACGAAATGAGGTTTGTCAGCGGTGCACTATTGGAATATACATAAGGACAGCAATACTGTGAGTTCTTGATGTCTCAAAAAACCAACATCAACAATATCACGGTCCACGGCAGAAACACCAAACCAACTACCTAACTACTCGAACGTTCACCAGGAACTCGTTAACTCAAATAATCAACATCGTACGGAAAAGCAGCAGTCTTCAACGTCTTACTCCAAAAATATGGCTTCGCAGCTCCTCAAGGGCAAGATTGCCATTGTGACCGGGGCTGGAAAGTCTAACGGCATCGGTGCTGCAACGGCGGTTGCGCTTGCACAGCAAGGAGCTAATGTGAGACCTACCGACCCTGCCATTCGACAAATTTTAACATCGTCTAGGTCGCCATCCATTACAACAGCTCTGCCGGCCAGGCAGAAGAAGTCGTGGGGAAATTAAGAAGCTTTGGCGTTCAGGCTGTTGCACTCAAAGCTGATGCTGGAGACACGAATTTTGGCCAAACCCTCGTCAATGGCACGTTGAAAGCGTTCAACGCAGAGACCATCGATATTATTGTCAACAATGCTGGTACTGCCGTTCTAAATCCTGAGGGCATCTCCTCTGTCGGCACCTCTGATTGGGATTCGGTCTTCCATGTCAATGTGCGCGGCCCGTTCCTACTGATTCAAGCCGCACTTCCTTTCATGAAGGCCGGAGGGCGCATCATCAACGTATCTAGCATAATCGCGAGACTAGGCTCCTTTATGTTGCCCGTATATGGTGCTTCGAAAGGCGCTTTGAACGCGCTAACCGTTGCATTATCAGACGAGCTGGGACCGAAGGGCATAACTATCAATATAGTTGCGCCAGGACCTATCAAGACCGATCTCAGCATGGAGGGATCGCCTATTGCGACAAGGCTCCGCAATAATCAACATATCAAGAGGGAGGGAACCGCGGAAGAGGTAGCGGAGGCAGTGTTATTCCTGGCTGGTTCTGGTGCCAGCTATATCACAGGCCAGATTATTGGTGTCGACGGTGGTATTGGCTTCCCTTGAATGTAATGGTCTCATTGATTAGATGTCAAAAGAGTCAGTATCATCTGACACGGCCTCTTAGCTTTAGATCATGACGATGGCTTGTAGCGCACTTTCACCGACCTTCATTCATTCTGCACGACGTGACTACTCACGTGCGGACGTTTGCACACCCTCGCCAATAACCAAATGGCTTTGAACCAGCCAAGTCAAAATAAATGACAATGATCGTTATCCGGGTAGGGTTCCATTTTCAAGCTTCCACGAATTCCATGAAGCACTTCCTCCTGTGTGTCACGAATGAGTGTTTGTCACAAGAAGAATAGGAATAGGGATCGCCCGGGGTGGGGATAATATGGCGGGAGCGCCGCTGAGTAACCGTGAAGGCCTTGCAAACACTGGTCGAGCTGTTATTCTGATGGCTAATTTACCTCCATCACCCTGTACCACGGAAGGACGATCTGCCTCAGTGCTCCCATCTTTGACACGATGCCGTCCACTGGGATAAGACCCCGGGCAGGCCCAGACGCAGCATCATTAGTGATGGTTTTCGCAAGACCGAACATTGAGCAAAAGCTCTCAACCCCAATTCCAAGTACTTTAGCCACATAAATTGAGATGGACGCCTCTCTTAAGTACCAGTTCATGTATTCGTATGAATTCAGAGGAGCGACTGCCACTGACGAGGTAATAAATTGCGGGAACAATAGCTCGCCACAATCACCAATGCACCAATACCAAAATTCCTACAACGACTTTGTGTCGCACATTAAGTCTCGCATTCAATATTAGTGGAATCCAGATGGCAAGGATCATAATATCCGTAGATATATTGAAGATGGCGTTGATGATTGTAGCTGCGTACAGTGCTGAATTTATCCTCAGCATCTTGATAACTCAAAGAGAAACAGCGCTCACTAGCCGTTAATGGGTGGCAGCGTCCAGTACTGTGATAAGAGATAGTCTATAGAGGACATCAGATCAGGAACAAGGTTAAATCGTCACCACTAAAGCGCAACAAACCCAGAGAATGATCACATGTACTAGTTTATGTGAATGAATCTCCCCACTTCTAAGACTTGATTAGCAGGTTTACTATAAGAGATGCCGCCATTAACATACGTAGTCGTAGAAATAGTATCAACTCAGCTGCTTTTACGGTCCAGATAGTGTAAAGCATGGCATGCTCTGAAACAAAAATCACTTGCTCTCTTCTATTCTAGCCTACTTTAGAAATGGTGTGAGGGCGGATCATCCTGCGGCGTCAATAGGTTCGAGCCTGACCCTTCACCTGGTTCAAAGAGACCCATAGAAGTGTGAACCACATGGTTCCAAAGGGAATGAAGGCGTCATCAAGCCGATTAGTCCGAGCGAGAGGTCGTCGGAAGTTTGCATATCTGCCCAGATGAAATTCAAGGTATATCCACAGAGCTGGGGGTCATAGAGCGTGTACAAGGGAGGAAGGACGAGGAGACCTACAGTCGAAGAGCAACGAAAAGAATTACTACTCTGTATAAACTCTAGGATTCAGGAACAAAAGATAGATTGGCAGGCTTAGCTTCCATATCTACAGCTTCAGTATAGAGATTAGGCCTAAACCCAAGAGTAGGTGAGGTTAATTAAACTAAGTATGCAATAGATATGAGAGACATTCTCAGGGAGATTGCTCGCACTAATGCCTAATGACTAAATCTTTCTTCCTTAAACATTCAATCGTGTCCATCAGATACCCGAGTAAACCTTTACCATGTTAATTAATATCAGCTACTAAAGGATGTAGTGGTACCACTTTAATGAGATGAGCTAGATGTTGTGGAGCTAAGCTTAGAGCGAGGCTATTATGATTGACGCTGAAGCCCCTAATAAAAGCCTCCTTATATTGAGCCTCGAAACTATATTTGCGTGTACCTGAATAGGTTGAGAACTTACGCCCAAAGTTGTTTCGGAGTGCTTCGCCTTTATTCAATGTTATTCTCAAGTAGATGAATACCTTATAACTAATGAGGCATGGCGAAACTTTTAGCTACCATGGTCTCCCTGGCTGACAGTCTAGACTTCTAAACTAATGAAAAAGACAAGAATACGAGCGTTTCAACGGCTCGAGCTTCAAGTTTAGCCATCGCGAAACGTAAGGCTCTGACATTGTATTACTTTTCTGCGTATAGTTGCAGGTAAGATTCTCGTAGCCGATTTCAGAATAGAGTTCCTATCGGGCAAGGCTCGAAAAGACTCAGTTACCGGCCTCACGGATCAATATTTGAGGAACATGAAAGTGAAAAAGGCTATACGCCATCAAGAGAGTGTACTGCAGAATCAAATGTTGGCTCTTCGGTCACCAAGACGAGCTGTCCAGAGTTTTAGAGTCGTAGACCTTAACTTTGGGGAAGAAGCAGCTTGGTTCGTTGGTAAGATATCTGAAATTCCCTAAATACGGCGTAGATGGGAGTATTTCATGAGCCCAGAAAGATCTGATACTCATCCCTCACCCCCTAAAACTAATCGCCACCTCACCGCGGGAAGGAGTTTCAAGTACTCCAAGGAGAAACCAATGTCCCGGTGATTGTTGAGAATAACATCGACGAGCAATAGGTAACTCAGGAGAAACCGCGTAATCTTACCAGAGGCGAATTTTCACTCCCACGTTGACTAATCAAGTGATTGGCTAGTTTATGAAGGTTGCGCAGGCGATGATGCATTCTGCAGCCTTTGCTTAAGGATCGGGTCGAAACCATTGTCAGTGTTAACCAGACCTTAAGAAAATGCTAAACGGCTAAATTGACACAAAATCGTTGAGGATAACAGAATGCACCTGAATTCATGCATCAAAAGGTATTGGATGGACAGGGAAGGCGAGAAAAAGCAACAAAACGGGGTTGGTGGGGCAAGGGAGTCCTGCGAGAGAAAGGCCCTGTGCCACTTGCGACAAAACTGAACAAAATGCGCGGAATTTTCAGGAAGATAGAGGTATCCAATGTCTACAGGTTTGAGCAGATATGACTGGTTAATTACTATTATTTTGGATTTGCAACTAAGTTGATTTATTGCGGGCTGGTGAGAAAGTGGTTGAATTGCGTATCATCCACGTTAGTTGATAATATTAGCAAAGCTCTCCCGGCGGTTTTAGTTTGGGTGTGCCGATGCTGGCAGCCCCTCGCGGTCAGTAGGACCATTGTGAAAATTAGGACAGCTGGGAGATTGAATCGGTCCAGACCGCCACGTTCACGAGCGGAAAGGCTTTGTGGCGTTTTGCGCTTTGGGATAACCACACTTTTCCGACATCCCAGCAACACAGATCAGGCCACTCATGCCGCAAATGAAATGTTTGTAGTACTGTATCGGATGGTCTGTGCGAAAGCCCCGCGGAGTACTCCTGGTTCAGTAGGTGTCAAGCACAGCCAACTGAGCTTGTGGATGTCGAATAAATCAATAGTTCTATACGTCGCGTTCTTATCAATTCTTGATATTTCGAGCATTCCACAACGGGGATTCTTTTGCGGAAACATCTGTCAAAGTGGGCCTGAACCGCCGCATGTTATAGATGGCCACAGCGCTTATGTAGAGAGCCACAAACAATCTATCTTGCACACCGACGCATATCCAGTAACGGTGAATGAACAGTTGACACCTACATAAATGCAAGGCATTGACATCAAGTCGATTAAATCACACCAAGAACCCCTGTCACGGCAACATCTCATCGAACCACTACTTCAAACGGTGAACCTGTCACTTTACCTCAGACTGCCAAGGCTCACCAGCAGCGACAAATCGATACTACCCTAATCACTCACTGGAATGCGCTTTGTCGTTTCCGCGACATTTCTTGAGAGCCTACAGAATTTTCGCATCACCTTGGACAGCAAAGATACATTTACCTCACATTCGAACTGCATTTCTGCGTAGATCACATGGTGGTCACTCGATGATGTTGGCTCATGGAAAGACAAGAAAGGGACAAGACAAACAATTCCACGCCTTTATCCCCTGTCGGATAGGTAGACTTCGAGTACGATTGAACCTCACTGCCAAGATGGTTTGCTAACACGGGTCTAAGTGTAACGAAGAAAACCCGTGCAGCTCATCTGAGAGGCCAACGCGAAGAAAGCATTGCTCGCATCCTATCACCGTGCCAGGGGAATTCAAGCGATCAGACCTACAATGTGTACAAACAGAAGTTGAGTTCGCGAATTTTGTACTGACAGACAGTGCAGATGTATGAAAACTTCTCCCCAACAATTCCCACAGAAGAGGAAGGACTACAAACTGAGGCGACTCTGTCTGCCACGGTAACTGCGCAAGAGCAATACCGTGCGGAAAAGATCCTCCACGGTGCCTTTGGTCTGTCTCTGTGCCGTTGTGTGGATCAAGTAAGTCCTCGAAATCTATAACTTGGAAACTATCTAACATGATGCGGATCGAACATTTACTCACCAAGGAAGGAGTAGACTGGCACGCGAGGCCTTGTGTAAATATTTTCGAGACCTCCCAAGCCAAGGCTGCAAAGAACGCTTGCCAATGTCCACCTAATCATTCCACGGACTATAATGATTGCATAATGAATCATTTCTCACTTACGCTGTTAACAAGGCTACCAGCCGGTATCCCAGCTCAACTCCGTCAGCTATACACATCTTGCTGGTCAGTCACCCATCTGCTGCACCAAGGCTTTGCCATCCAGGCCTGGACAGAGCTCCCAAATCTTATGCGAAAGGCTGGGCTATATGATAGTACGTTTACGAGTCGCTATTTGGACGTTGAAGCTTTAGCTAACTGAGATGTCATAGCCAAGGAGAATTCTGTTGAAGAGGAATTACTCCGTAAAGTTCAATGGCAACTTTTATGCTTAGACACCCAGCTCAGCCTTCTATTTGGCCAACATCTGGCCATGCTACAAAACCCTAAGCCCGCAAAACCCAATTTCAAAGGCGAAAGCCCCAGCGTCGTAGAGCTTCTTCAAACTAGGATAGACATCACCGAGTACCAGGGCGATGTACTCTTATCCGCGATCAGCTTAAATGGTAAAGCCGAGCGTTCCTGGGAAGAGACAAAAACTTTGTTGGAGTCATGCATTCCGCGGCAACAACTTATTCTTGACAAACTGATGACACTGTCGCAAAAGTTTCCCGACGGAAGTCGCCTGGTAAGAACAACGCGTGAGCTACAACTTGACATGCACCTTTTTACCTTGGTACTAAATTCTACCCTTTTACGTGAAATTCGCAACACTCACCGATGCATGGATGCGGATACATCAAAATCAGCACACAGACTGCGAGAACGCAACCCTTCTTCGAAACGTCGGCGACCTCGGTTCTGCAAGTTATGCAGACCACCAATTGAATGGTCCCAGAAGGAGATGGTTACAGCAGTGAGATGCGCTAATGATGTGTTCGCTTCAATTCACGTCCCGAATATTCCTGGCTGCTACCCGCCTTGGATTGTTTACTTCGGGGCATTCTGTGCAGCCTATGTTTTAGGAGCTTTTCGCATATGCAAAGACGTTGTCCTAGAGTCGGACAAATCTCGCATCGAACACGTAGCAAGATCATTGGCAGATTTTGCCCGTCGCTCGTCAGACCCGGGTCCCATCCATTGCGCACTGGACTATCTTCAAAAGATACTTTCCTCCGAAAGTAGAGTTAGCAAACCCATCGAATCTAACGACGCCGGACTCGATTTCTCGATAGCTCTCGGAAACTATAGCTCCCAGCTATCGTCTTGTCGGAAACAAGTATCTGATGAGCTTCCAGGTGTGCATGAAACCTGCTCAGCTACTTCTCAGGGTCACCATGATCGCTCACCTGTGCTGCTTTGGGAAGATACCACTAACTCAGCTGCGAGTATCCCGCCCTTGGGGAGATATCAAGCCCAAGTCTCAGCTTATTATGCTTCTTCATTTCCAGCCCTGAGTTCTGAAATGGTGGGATACAACTTCGCTTCTCAGGCACCGCCGAACTGGTTCTCTGAGAGTGATTATATGGGGGTCCTCGACTCGAATTTCGAAGACAGAGTCAGTTTCTATGCCGCATACAATATCTAATGTAACCTGCAATAAGTATTGCTTCCGGCTAATCTTTTCAAAGTCGACGTTGGGCAAAGCTATCATGCCTTATGCGTTAGCTATCAATTTTTTCAGGCACTAAAATTGTGTTAATACAAGCGCTCTCCTCAGTAGAAATGACGCTGATCAAAATTAACTGA